CCATGGTCTTCGGCATCGAAATGGCCTGTAGATCCCTCAGAACCGAACGCTTTGCTCCGCGCGGCAAGTGGAACACGACAATCTGCATCGCAGTTGTGTCGTTTCTGCTCATGCTAACGTGGATGCCCACGATTGCTTGGCCCATGTACAACCGATGCTTTGGGAGTCTTATTTGGTTCCCGATGCGATACGACCTTCTCACTCTTGTCATACTTTGCATTCTAGTGTTCTTCTGCCTACTTTTGGCCGCCATCATCAGCATCCAACTCATGCGAACATCCAACATGGACCACAATGAGAGAATTTCGGCCTCGCGTATGTGCTACTATCTTCTGGTCGTATCATTGATCTATGTAAGTCCAAGATTGTGGTGCTATTTGCGCATCTACTAACCTACTTAGATCCTTGTCATGCCGGTTGAAATCCAGTCCCTCCGCAGAGACTTCATGAACGCGTTGGCCACCGCACGAGTTGCAGAAATATCCCTTTTCGCAACCGGACTCGTCATCACATTCTTCCACCTTTTCCTCCGCACGAATGCCACACGCATGGTGATTAGACCGATCGAAGAAATGAGAGCCCCTAAACAGCAACAGCGGCCAAAGATCCGATTCTTTGGCCCAAGCGATCTCGAGATGAACATCAGTGGTCCGATGGGTCTGCGAGGCGGTCGTCGGCCATCCGACAGCCAGGGTCTAATTGACGTAGGCCCTGAGAAGAACCGCCTAGATTTCGACCCCGAATACTTTCAACGACCGCAGCGCGCCATGACACCTAATTCAGTGAAGCCACATAGCCCGATCGATCCCACAAAATGGCCACTACCTCCGGCTGTTGCAGATGTCAAGGAATCCAAGGCCATTCAAGACCAGGAAAAACGTGGCTACTCCCTCTTTCCGACACGTGCCGAGGAGGTCCCTCGTCTGCCAGCAACGGTATACGACCCTAACGCGGTCCCGGGTGAATCGCGAGTGTCTAAGCTCGCTCTACGACGCCTCACGCGCAGGGGATCTATTACCAACGTTAGTGAAGCATTCGAGTTTTTGACAAAGCCACGACCGTTGTTCTCGGAAAAACATGGTCGAAATCGTAGCACCGATAGCAGTGCAACGGTTCAAATTGGTCTTCGCTTCTCTGTTGCACCTGCTACTCTTGCAGCAGCCAAGTGCACCCGGGTAGAACGCAACATGGAAACGGAGCCCAGCGTCCCTTCCCTGAGGAGAGGAGACACAGAGTCTAGTGGTGAGTCGCTGGGTCTCCCAATCCAATCTCCATCCCCGACCAAAACCACTTCAGATGAAGTCCTCGCTAGTCCCAGTCAATTCCCGTCACCACCACCTGCTCGACCTCGCATGCCAAGCCCAGCCAGGACCCCGGCATTTCCCATCACACCTTCGCATAATAGTAGCGCCTATCTCCAAGCTCAGCGTGAGAAGGTATTGCCTGCTCCGCCCCCACGCTCGCCACTGTCCAAGACTACCATCGCCGCGCCCACCTGTACGTCGGGCCTACACATGAACCCCGTCACCCCAACTGGATCTGTAGCATCACCGACGACGCCAGCCTCTATCCGCCAGGCGCCATCACCTACGGCGAGGATACCACTTGGTGCAGGAACCATGTCGCGTAGTCCACCACGGAACGGCTGGATCTGAGGGAGAGACGCGAAATTGTGCTATTCATAGACCGGGTTTGGCGAAAGCCGTTGTACGATAAAAGGGTTCTTGTTTCTTTTCCTCTGGGGTTCGTTCCTGGCCGGGTCCGGGGCGGCGGCTAACGCTGCTGGCGCTACACTTCTGGAGCCAGTTTGGGGTTCCCCTTTTCGTACCCTTGGGCTTTTTGTTACGTTACAAAACATCCGCCCCCAGCAGCAGGCGCTGGAGCTTCAGAAGGAGGCCAAAGCGCACAGTGGGCATCAGGTCTCACACTGCCTTCATGTCGATACGATACCAAGTCACTCCTTTCCACGACTTACATATCATGTGCTGCGCAGGGAGCACACACATTCTCTTGTATCCCCCCTCCCCCCCCAACCCGTAACCCCGTAACCCCTCATCCCCTCAACCCCCCAACCACCTTTGCCTTTGCACAGACTTTACTTCTTCATCCGTTCCTGGTCGGTGTTTTCGCCTAATTGCATTGACGAGCATCGATTCTTTTTGTATGTACACCCATAACTCCTTGATAGAACAGAACAGCCTATCCACCATTTGGTGCGCCGAGTATCTTTGAGTCAACAAGGACATTAGAATGTTGTTATTTCCAATACCATGTTTTCTTGATGTCTGTGCGATTACCTTTGCACTTGGTAGCCACCAAGGCGAAGAATCTACGTGAGACAAGATCGACATGGTCAACAGTGATGACGCTTGGGGTGTTATGCGGTGATTTGACATGACATAGTTTCATTGACTAACGTAAACAACATTAATTATCCGCTCCATCTCTTCCAAAACATCCACCCAACTTTTTCTGTGCCACCTTGTCTGAACCGCTCCTTTTCTTTGCCTCGGCGTCGCCCGACCCATGCAAACCATATCACTAGCCCGACGACCATGAAGGCCACAACGAGTAGTGTCTGGATCGGCTCTGCAAAGACCGCTCTACTCAGTAGGAACAGGCTTACGCAGCAAAATATGATTGGTGTAGTAATCCATGTTTTGTAGGGACGTTCAAGATCAGGCTCACGGACGCGTAATATGATAAGACCGAGCACGGTTTGGAAGTAGAAAGTGTAGCCTGCGACGCCGTAGAAAGTGACGAGAGTATCAAAGGAGCCGATCAGGATGTATACAGCCGTAAGTGCAGCGTTTAGTATCATGGCGGATACGGGTGTGAAGAAGAAGCCAGCATCCGCGTCTGCAAACCAGTCGACCAACTTCCTTGGCAGTCTGGTCATTCCAGTACCAGCATTCATTGAGTGTAGGCGTATGGCCTTGTGGTTCTTTCCTAGGCCAATGTTGCCGAACATGGCGGGCAGGTAGCCCTCTTTGCCGGCAGCATACACGAGTCGACCAGAGGTGAAGGTCGTCGCATTCAGGGCGCCAAAGCATGATCCTGAGACAAACAGGGCAAGAATAAGGGCACCAATGGGGCCAAAGACCTGAGAGCCGAATGCGACTGCAACGGTATTGGAGGACTCGATGACAGAGGTGGGAAGAACGAGGAAATACGATATGTTGGCGAGAATGTAGCAGAGAATGACGAGGGGTAGCGAAGTGTGGATTACGCGCGGAAGGTCACGGCTTGGATTCTTGAACTCGGCGGTGACATAGTTGACCTTGGTGTGTCGTGTTAGGGGAAGACACGGCATGGGAAGAGAATGAACATACATTGTCCCAGCCGTCAAAGGCCCACAAGCCGGCATAGAGTGCTACGGCCCAGTTGCTAATGTTGGTGTTGGTGTCGTCGAACCAGCCGCGGTTCTTCCAGTCCTGGTTGGCCTGGCCTTTGTAGGAGAGACCAGTGGCTGCCACGACAATGCCAATCGCCGTGACGCCCAGAAGGGCGACAAACTTGAGGATCATAAAAACGTCGGCGCTGCGTGTGCCCAGCTTAGTGGAGATGCAGTTCAAGAGCGTGACAAGCACGAGGCCGACGAGGGCCACGGTCTTGTTCAGCCATGTGCTCGCGTCGACGGCTTCGGCGCCAACGACGGCGCGGACCAGGTATTCTCCGAAGATGATTGCGATGATGGCTGCCGAGCCGGGCTTTAGCACGGTGACTGCGCACCAGGTGAAGAGGAAGCCGGCCCATTCGCCGAAGATCTTGGAGAGGTAGACCTGTGCGCCGCCGTTGAGCGGGATGGCGCCTCCGAGCTCTGCGTAGCTTGCGGCACCAGTCCAGGCAAGCACGCCCGCGACGACCCAGACGATGAGCGAGGCGCCGGGCGACCCGGCGTTCTTGTTCACCTGCGAGGGCGACGAGAAGATGCCGCTGCCTATGATGAGCCCCACGACCAGCGAGAGGCCATTGAGGAAGGTCAGGCTCTTGTTCCGCTCCAGCGAGCCGCCGCTGAGGGCATTCGACGGGTCGAGGGCGGGGTTCGCGGGGGCGCCCAGGGCAGTGTAGCCCTGGGCGGTGCTGGACAGCGGGAAGAGGTTGGGGGCAAAGTCAAAGGCGGACGAGACGCTGTAGGAGCGATTGCGCTGCGGGCGGGCAGCTTCGCCGTGGCCGGCAGGGTTCAGTTCGGAGAGCGGGTCTTCGTCGTCGAAGGAGAGCCTGCGCGAGGACGGCGCGCCCGAGGCCGACGACCCCTCGGACGTGCGGCGCGAGGCGTGCGACGACGAGGCCAGCGACGCCAGCTCGAGGGAGTCGCGCGAGTAGCGGCCGGCCATGCTGCGGAGCGGGAGGGCAGGCGCGGGAGGGAAGGAGCGTTGCGTGCGGCTCTACCGGGGCATAGCCATGGACAGGCACGCGCAATTGGATCGAGTGGTTGAGTGGTTGAGTGGTTGAGTGGTTGAGTGGCTGAGTGGTTGCAACGGGCACTGGCGACTGCCCCTGAGCTGCGACGGTGGGCAGCAGCGGTCGACGTGTCGGTGTGCGTGTGCGTGTCGTGAAGCCCCAGTCCACTGCACTGCACCGCACCAGAACCATCAGAACCACTGTGCTATGACGTTGTGGGCCTAGACGCCGTTCCAATGGGCGCCGTTTCCACCAACGCCGCCAAAAAAATCCAAATCGCGTCCAGGCGCATCAAAGCTTGGCACGTGAGCTTGACGCGAACACTCAACACTCAACACTTGACGGCATCGCTCGCTCATGTCCACCCACATGCAGCCCCGACATGTGCACGTGAACTGCTAATGGTGCGCTTCAGTCTGCAGCGCATATCCTGGCGGGGCGTCCCCGGCCACACCACACAGCCATGCCGCCGTGCAGCGTCCCACTGGGCTGCCCAGCGCAGGCAAAGAGCTGAGGGCCCGGCCTTGGAGACGCTCACTGCGAAATGGCAGCCTCACTGGGACAAGCTGGAGCCGCAATGGAACCAACTGCGCAACAACGACAAGGGACGCATCTATGTGCTGCCCATGTTCCCGTACCCGTCCGGCACCATGCATCTCGGCCATCTGCGCGTCTACACCATTTCTGATGTCCTGGCACGCTTCAAGCACATGCAAGGCTACAACGTCCTGCATCCCATTGGATGGGATGCTTTTGGTCTGCCCGCCGAGAACGCTGCCATCGAACGGGGGATCCATCCTGAAAAATGGACATTGCAAAACATCGAGTCGATGAAGGCCCAAATCAAGGTCATGGGTGGCCGCTGGGACTGGGATGCTGTACGTGCGACGCTGTGTCCGGATCGCATGAGCTGATAGCTGTGTGCAGGAACTACGTACCTGCGACCCCGACTTCTACAAGCACACCCAGCGCATCTTCCTCATGCTTCACCAGCGTGGTCTCGCGTACCAGGCCGAATCTCTTGTCAACTACGACCCCGTCGACAAGACCGTCCTTGCAAACGAACAAGTGGATGCCAATGGCTGCTCATGGCGCTCTGGTGCCAAGGTCGACAAGCTCATGCTCAAACAATGGTTCTTGAAGATCAAGGAATACCAGGAGCCTCTATTAAGCGACCTGGCTGCCCTCGCGCACAATGGCAGGTGGCCTGAAAAGGTGCTTGCTATGCAGAGAAACTGGATTGGCAGATCCCAGGGCGCTACCATTGGCTTTGACGTCCACTCAACAGCTACTGGCGAGCGGCACGATGCAATTGACGTCTTCACCACAAGGGCAGACACCCTTTTTGGCGTGCAATATATTGCGCTTTCGTGCAAACATCCCATAGTCCAGCACGAGGCGCTTGGAGATGCTAGATTGCGTACTTTCATTGACAATGCCAAGCACCTGTCTCCAGACAGCAAAGAAGGATATCTGCTCCAACACACTACAGCAAGGAACCCAATTGCCGAACGCGTTTCTGGTGTAGAGTCCAATGTTCCCGTATATGTTGCACCCTATGTCCTCGACGACTATGGATCTGGTGCAGTCATGGGAGTGCCTGGTCATGACACGCGAGACCATGCTTTTTGGAGAGCCAACGCTGGCAACAAACCCATTAGAGTCGTAGTAGGTATGCAGCCTGGCTCTGCATCTTCGCCCTTAATCCCCGAGAGTGACCATGACAAGCCTGTGACCGACAAAGGTTACATCGTTGCCGACATTGACGGGTTCAATGGCTTGTCTTCTGATGAAGCAATGCACAAGGTTGTTGCAGCACTTCAAGAATCTGGGAAGCGCGCCAGTATCACCGAAAATTGGCGTCTGCGGGACTGGCTCATCAGTCGACAACGCTATTGGGGTACGCCGATTCCCATTGTACATTGTTCGTCGTGTGGCGCTGTACCCGTACCCGAGCAAGATTTACCAGTCAAGCTGCCAAACCTGCCTGACACTTTCTTTGATGGCAGGAAGGGCAATCCGTTGGCTGAAGATCCGCATTGGAAGAAAACCGATTGCCCCAAATGCGGTGCAGCTGCTGAGCGCGAAACTGATACCATGGATACCTTCATGGACTCGTCGTGGTACTTTTTCCGATTCTTGGACCCGAAGAATGAGAATGCCCTGCTGGACCCACACAAAGCAAACAAAGGCATGCCAGTAGACCTCTACGTTGGCGGAGTTGAACACGCTATCCTGCATCTCCTTTACGCGCGGTTCATCTCCAAGTTTCTTGCATCCACCGCCACATGGCCGGAGGGCACGCGCGTCAATGGAGAACCATTCAGGCAACTCATCACACAGGGCATGGTGCATGGAGAGACATTTACGAATCCTGAAAATGGGCGGTTCCTCAGGCCGGATGAACTTGACTTGACGGTTCCGTCCGCGCCCTGCATCAAGGCGAATGGACTACAACCCCATCGTAGCTACGAAAAGATGTCCAAGAGCAAGTACAACGGCGTAGACCCAGGTGCTACAATTGCCATGTATGGCGTGGATGCGACAAGAGCTCATATGCTCTTTCAAGCACCAGTCGGCGATGTCCTCGAGTGGGATGCGAAAAAGATCACAGGTGTTCAGCGCTGGCTCCAGCGGATCCTTCGGCTTTCTACTATTTCCTGGGTACCCGAAGACAATCTCTCACGCTTCGAGATTCCGGAGCATGCAGACATGACGCTCTATGAAATCTTGAAAACTCTTGCACAGAGAGAGGTACTAGAACCATCCCGCTCAAGCAACAAGCCTACTGGAAGTCAAGCGGGACGTGAAATGCTCGCTCTGCTTACAGCGGAAGACAGAAAGCTGTGGATCAAGACCCAGCAAATCATTGCGAGTGTCAAACTATCATACTCAGAGACATACTCTCTGAATACGATCGTCAGCGACTTGATGACGCTGACAAACACTATACATGACTCTCCTCAATGCTCTGCCGTATCATCCTACCTAAAGTGGCACTCAATGGCTCACCTTATTCGCATGACTGCTCCCATTGCCCCTGGTGTGGCAGAAGAAGCATGGCATTTGCTCAATGGATCTTCTGGCCCCAGGACGGCCGACGACCCGAGAGTCTCTCGACTGACTACTGTATTTGCCGCTGGGTTTCCACTTGCCGATTTCGATATCATTCCTCGTCTTACTCGAACGACAAAGTGTGTCGTACAAATTGACGGCAAGCGCAAATTTGATGTGGAGATTGAAAAGGGTTTCGACGGACAGGTCTCGAAAGACTGTGATTCCAAGTCCCGATGGGTTCTAGAGCAAATAATTCGCAGTGACCAAGGCCAAGAATGGCTTCACAAGAAGACAGGCAAAATTTGGGGCCTCAGCGCCACAAAGGAGCCCCACGCCAGATTCGAGTTTGTGCCAAGCGACTGGAATGTCATTATCGTCAACGATGGAAAGCTTTGCAATCTCGTCAGTCCAAAGAAGAAGAAAACACACAAGTGTGAACATGTTCATGGGGTTCGAGATCGCAATGAGTCAGCTGCTGTAAGTCCTGGTGTACATGAGCTGGGAGAAACAGCACTGAATCAAGACAGTGATGAAAGAAAAACGGTCGCCAGCAACAAGAACATGGCCAGAGGTTTGGAAGAGGACAATAGACCCTCAAAGGAAAAAGCAGCCAGCTCGCAAAAGCTGAAAGATGTAACGGGCGCTGAGCAATCTGAGAGATTCACAGCTCCAGAAACTACTATCAAGAACAATGCGCTACTCTTATCATCCATGGCGGCAAGTGTCCTGCCTGTGCAAGAGGTTCACGATCGTGTCAATGCGCTCATGGCAACCTTGCCCAACTACCTCAGGCCCCACTACGTTCCGCCGCAAGTCCTGTCTGTAAGACGCCCCGCACTTGTACAAATGCTCAGGAAGGCGGGCCGCATCAGTCCAAAAGATACTAGAGTGGACCATGTTTCGCAGTACGAAGAAGAAGTCGCTGCTTTCCACACGCCTGTTAGTATAGCACCAGAATATCTCGTCATTGAAAGACCCCTCCATGACATGCACATATCAACACGCCGGCATTTTGTCAAGTCGTACAACGCTATATTTCCAGAACAACTAATGCTGCTGGCACATGTACTTGCCATCTCTCCACACACGTCTGCGGTTTTGGCGGTGCAGCGCCAATCTATTATGCGGAAACTTAACGAACATCGCCGGTGGGTGAATAACGAGATGCGCACAAGAGAGCAAATTGAAAGTAAACATTATACTAAGCGCTTCGCGACTGTCGAAGAACTGAAAGTATCGTTGGGCATCCCGGGCCAAGAACTCGAGTATGAGAAGAACAAGGGTGGTGAATTGGGGTATCTACCCAGGGCATATTGGAAAAGAGGAGCAGCTAGAGTGCAGGATGTGTGGGACGAAATCATCAGTCTTTGGGCTTTAAGGACTCCGAGGACACGAACAGACGGAGACAAGAAGGCGAAACTGGCTGCAGAGCCAGATGAAGAGATGATGGGTGATTGGACGTGGCTTATAGGCGATGATCCGAGCTCCAATTCGGCAGACAGGTCAAGTGCGGAAAATACGGCAGTGTTCAAGTGGCAATGAGGATTTCTTGCAGCATTACAAGGAGCATCTCAAGTCATGTGATTGTATATATTGCACTATACAAAATGCATTCGTCTCAACCTTTCATCACCGGACCCTAGGCTTCAACTTCAACGTCCCGTCATTGCCATTCGCTCTGGCCATCTGCGCTTCTACCATTCTCCCAATGTTGCCGCGATCCATCGTAATGCCTCCTCTCAATAGATCAAGAACGACTCTTCCCTTCACAATCGTCTCTTCCACAAGACCCTCGACGTTCTCAGGACCTACACGACCATACCAAATCCCCGTTCCAGCGAGCGCATGCGCATTGTGCAGAGGACTAGGAGGGAGGTATATGATGACATTTCCAGCATATTTGTGTCCGCCAATGTGACTTATCTGTGCCACATGGCCCTCGATACCTCGTCGTTGTAATTCGTCCTGGAACGAGGACTGCAGTATCGGGCCGAGGATACCACAGCGTTGGTCGCGGCCGCCATGGCCACATATCAGAACCGTGGGTTTGGTGATTGGTTCTGCGGTGGGCAGTCTCGTTGCCGCTTCCTCGTCGCGTACGAGCCTTGCCTTTTGCTCTGCCGCCAAGCCATCATGCATAGGATGTAGCGTCCTAGCCTTCAGATACGCGGTGGCGAAATCGTTCCAAGACTCGTTTGTATGCGGTATCGCCGCGACCCTTTTGAACGCAGGGAATAGCAATGCGGTCGTCGTATTCGGTGTTTTGCTCGCAGGCAGCGACGAAGCAGTTATAACGACGTTATGGAACGGCTAACATGGCTACTAGTTAGCACGGATGTCTCCTCAACGTTGCTGGCAGGGAACGAACAAACATCAAAGGCCTCTCCACCCTTGCCAATTACGCCTTTGAGACCCTTGACAAAGGCGCCGGTCGCGCCGTCGTCTTGCTCAATGTTGCTGTGCCAATCGTCCTTGCCGGTGCACAGAATGACTTGTTCTGAATACGCGGCCATTGAGTTCAAAAGCGGGGTTTTGCGGTCGATGTCGAGGTCGGGAGGCGTCGAGGCACATTCGCATGTAGGCGAGGGACATGTTGCTACGGTGGGCACCGAGGATTGGAGTCTGGCTGGGGACAAGGAAAACGGGCGCTGCCTTGTCAGACGCAAGCCCGTTGTGGGTATGCGCGAAAGACGCGCAGTTTGGAATGACATGATGTGGTGGTGAGCACCAGAGGCGGGATGGGCAAGGAATTGGTTGTATCGACTTTTCGGAAGCGTTCCGCAGCAAGCCATGACGCTCATGTCGGACATGGCGGAGCTCGGCTTTGGATATTACGACATCTCGTGCTTGGCATCTTTAGGAAGGTGCATCCCTGGATGGCCATGATACAATCTTCAGAGGTCCAGGATCATTGCTTTAGCGCCAAAATCTGCACGTTTCCCGAGGAGCTAGCGAAAGACGCGTCCATCTGTGTTGACTATTTCCTGGTCTGATCCTGCACCATCGACTTATTGACCTGCTTTTTTTGCGCAGAGCAACAACGATGCCTCCAGGTTCTAAGAGGGACGCCGGGATGGGAGCGCAAGCAAGCGCCGAAACAACCCCCCTGCTTAGGAGCATCGATCCAGCACCAATAAATGAAGCACCGGGCCAAACACCCGCTGACAACGAAGACGCCGTTCAGGAAATAAACAATGAGGACGACCAGCAAGTCCCACTGCCTAAAGCACAAATATTCTGGTTATGCTACACCTCTGTCGTGGAGCCCATTGCTTTCTTCGGCATATTTCCTTACATCAATTCCATGATTGAGATAGTTGGCAATGTAAACAAGGACGAAGTCGGCTTTTACTCAGGTCTGATCGAAAGCTTGTTTTCTGCCACGCAGATGTGCGTCATGTTGCTATGGGGCAAGGTAGGCACACATACTGGGACAGTATATCCACACTTCTGACCATCGTAGGCTTCCGATCGCTATGGAAGAAAGCCCGTTCTCGTGCTCTCCCTGATTGGAGTCTCAGTCGCAACAACCCTATTTGGCATGAGCCAGACCCTATGGCAAATGATTGTCGCGAGATGTTTCGCTGGTGTATTCGCTGGTACTGTAGTCACAGTCCGAGCAATGCTCAGTGAGAATAGCACCAAATACACACAGGCTAGAGCGTTCAGCTATTTCGCTTTTGCTCGGAACCTGGGGCTATTTCTAGGTCCGCTGCTCGGTCAGTGTAGTCTGTCTTATACTCAGTCCTCCTACTGACCAAATTCGCGTAGGCGGTGTGTTGGAGAGACCTGCTACGAAGTATACAAGCACCTTTGGTCGCATTCAATTCTTCCACGACTACCCGTATGCTCTACCTGGTATGGTCACTTCGAGCATTGCTCTCTCATCCGCTCTCACGACATTTTTCTTCGTGAAAGAGGTGTGTATAGCTCATCAAGTTGACGAGACATACTAACCGTAGCAGACATTAGATGTGCATGTCGACAAGAGCATCATACGTGAACCACCAATGTCGACTCGGCAACTCTTCCAGTCTCCTGGTGTCGCTAGAGTGGTGCTCATCTACAATTATGTCATGATGTTAGCATATACTTTTACAGCGGTCAATCCCCTCTTCATGTATACACCAGTACCTCTAGGTGGCCTGGGCTTCTCGCCAGAGCTCATTGCTGCTTTTACAGCGTTGGCGGGTGCTTCACAGGCTGCCTGGCTTCTCTTGGTATTTCCGCGCCTCCACACACGTGTAGGTACTGGGCGGATATTGTTCTACTGTGCATGCGCGTGGCCAATCTTCTTTGCTCTTAATGTCGCCTTCAACTTCCTCCTTCGCCACCATCTCACGAAGATCTTTTGGGCGACGGCGCCGCTGACGCTTGCACTGGGCAGTGGGGTTGCCATGTCTTTCAGTAAGTCCAGCCTCGCTTGCAGTAGGTCCTTTTCTAATATGTTACAGCCGGAGTCCAGCTCGCCGTGAACGATATAGCACCTTCGCACGAAACACTCGGAACCCTGAACGCTATCGTTCTAGCCATACAGAGCGGTCTCCGCGCCGTTTCACCCGCTTCGGCCACTAGTATATATGCTTTGGGTGTGAAGTACCAAATTCTGGGTGGACATCTATTCTGGCTCATCAACATCATACTCGCTCTAGGCTTACTTGTCCTCCTCAGGTTGTTACCAGCGAAGGTAACTAGAAGACCTGAGCCGCCGCAGAATAGCCGAACATGAATAGTACATTAAGAGAATTGTCTCTACTAGATGTTTTGTATACTCGCAACGACTTACAGTCCTGCCATATGTGTTCAAATTCAATCACATTGAGCAAATCATGATACATATCTGTTGCATCCTGTATTCACTTAGTAGAATGTGAACGCATTTCGTCCATGTGGGATCAGGTGTTTTACATTACGCGTCACTGGGCGTTTGATTTTGCTGAAGGACAACTCATGTGCATCATTATTCGACAGAAGGTAGGCGCCGTGTTCATGTACGCGCTGTGCCGCATCTTGTGACTCCACATATGCATGTATTCGCATCCACAGCCAATAGTAAACCTTGCACCACATTGCAACATGCCACATCGGCCCCTGGATAAGATGGTGTCTTACAGAGTTGCAGCTGTTCATAAAGGCATTAAATTTCTTTCCTTGTATATGTACGGTTGTCTTTTCACAAAATGAAGAAACTTGGCCCGATCTGTGAAGAGTTTCGCGCGTTCAGGAAGAGGTACGATGCGACCCAGGGATCGGCATGGAATTTTGTAAAGGGCTCTTTGGAGAGAAGTCTTCAGTGCAGCTGCGAGTACTGTATATTGGCATGCAACATGACGGGCAAACAACACGACATGGCAAGGTACAAGGAGCATAACCGCATGGCAGTTGCAGATAATTCTCAACCGATCTTCACGAGGGCGGAGGACTCTAAAGAACCAGTTCAGGACGTCATACTGTCCGGATCATTCGTCAAATCTGGGCTTATCTTCAAGACAGACCCTAATAAGAGGGAGGTGTTCGTTGTAGATCGTAAGTTTTCCCAGGACAAATAAAGATATGAGCTAACGCTACCGCCTGGTAGGTGCGGATGATCCAATCCTTCCAATAGCGAAACCAATCATAGGAAACACTGGATCTATGGAAGCCATGCGTGCCGCGTCCAAATGGTTCGTGGATTGTGTAAAGGGCCATAACACCATGTGCCCAACACTAGTGAGCCCGGATGGTCCACCACAGTTACCGTTTCGCATCATAGACGTCGGTACAAATGAGTCTACAGATGTCCGGCTGCTGCATAAGAATGGAGAATTTGGATACTGGGCATGTCTGAGCCACTGTTGGGGTGGCGAGCAGCCTCTACAGACCACACGAGACTCTCTGACACGACATCAGAACGTCATTTATTGGAGGGATCTGCCAAGGACTTTTCAAGACGCTGTCTTCGTCACTAGGGCGTTTGGAATCCCGTATCTGTGGATAGACTCGTTGTGTATTGTCCAAGATGACCTTGACGACTGGCAAGTCCAATCTGCTAAGATGGCGGACATATACCAGTACTCTATCCTGACCATTGCTGCCTCAGCATCATCAGGTCCTAGTCAAGGTATCTTTCGCAATGCAGGTCCAGAGTACATGGACAAGCCCATCGTCGATGTACTAGGCGACACAACACTCACGAAGGTCCGTATCCGCAAGGCTCTTTCCCACAGTGCTGCTGAATTACCGCTTCTCGGTCGGGGCTGGGTGCATCAAGAAAGGCTTCTGAGTCCGCGCATCCTTCACTTCGGGCATAACGAGATGATTTGGGAGTGCATGGAATGTTTGGCATGCGAATGTGGGCATCATGAGGGTCGATACAACGCACGCTCGCCATCGCTTCTATGGCCAACCTCGAAAGAAATGTTTCATCCATACTTTTTAAAGCCCGCCAACTTGTGGATCCACATGAGCCCTCCGGTGTGGCAACGTGCTGTGGAGGACTATTCACGCATGGCATTGTCGAAACCTGAAGACATCTTCCCAGCGATCTCCGGACTTGCAAAGATTCTGCAGAACGAGACGGGATGGGAGTACGTCGCCGGTCTCTGGAAGGAAACTTTGATCGTTGATCTGGTATGGTCCACGCGGGATCCACATATGGCAATCAGGTGCGCTCCTTGGCGGGCGCCAACCTTTTCCTGGGCTTCCGTGCAAAGTAGGACGTCCACAAGTCAGAGACATTCGATCTCTTATCGTCATATGAGTATCCTGCAGAGCGGCTTGCAAGATGTTGTGGATACTCGGCGGAGGACGGACTTTTATGCCACGTTGATGAAAACGTCATATACGCCTCTCAAGGAGGACGACCCGACAGGTCGTGTGCAGTGTGGTTACATCATTTTGAAAGGGACTCTGACCAGAGCCGCATTATGCAGAAGTACCTCCACACATGAGTGGTATATCACTGCTATCGGCAAGGAAAGGTACCAACACAACCACTTCAACATGGATTTCGATCTTGATAACGATGGTGGTCGAGGACAACCCGAGGGCTCACAAGACGTGCACTGCTTACGGTTGATCGGGCAAAGAAAGGACGTCCCGTTTGAGGACGAGGAATTCCTGGTCTATTTGGTGTTGAAGCAAGTGAAGATGAAAAGCCCTAGCGCAGTACCAACTCCTGGGTTAGACCCTTTGGTGTTCGAAAGAGTGGGCGTTTTGGTTAACTGGAGAGGCGAAGTTCAACTGGAAGACGAGTCTGACGCGAGCGCTATCCTACATGACAGTGTTGTAAAGATAGTGTGACCTGCTGTAGGGAAATGTTCAAGAAATTTGGCATGTCGGCTTCACAGCAGGGGCACGATTTCTGTGATCTGGCCACGCAGTGAACAGCTGAAAAGGCAGCCATAGGCACCGAAGCCATGAACAATCATAGGGATGTCAAAGGTCCAAATTTCTAGGCTACAGTCTTATGATCCTACTACAGCTCCCTCGTAACCCGAGCTTCTCCATAACTAATCACCCAACCGCTAGCTCGCTTTTGTGAACAACCGTTATTTGTGAAACCCTGGGCTAACAGAGCGCCAATACATTGATGCCTCCGCTATCAGGCTTGCCATGATTTCGATAATCGCATACAGGAACACGCTGTAGGGAATGTTAGCGACGATTCTCTCACTAAAAATTGACATAATCGTACCTTAGAAGCACTTGCGGTGGACAATGGAAGGACCGCTCTCGTCGTACTCCTGCTTTGAGATCCACATCTGCTGGAAGGTGGAGAGCGAAGCGAGAATGGATCCACCGATCCAGACTGAGTACTTGCGCTCCGGGGGTGCGATGATCTTGACCTTCATGGACGACGGGGCGAGGGCAGTGATCTCCTTCTGCATGCGGTCGGAGATACCGGGGTACATGGTGGTTCCACCGGACTATGACAGGTCAGCTAATAATGCACATTTCCAAGATTGAGATACATACCATGACAATGTTGCCGTACAGGTCTTTCCTGACGTCGACATCGCACTTCATGATGGAGTTGAAAGTGGTGACGTGGATGCCACCGCTCTCAAGACCAAGGACGGAGGGCTGGAAAAGGGCCTCGGGGGCACGGAAGCGCTCGTTGCCAATGGTAATGACCTGACCGTCGGGAAGCTCGTAGGACTTCTCCAAGCTTGAGCTCTGGCTGGCAGTCTGGATCTCCTGCTCGAAGTCGAGGGCAACGTAGCAGAGCTTCTCCTTGATGTCGCGGACGATTTCGCGCTCGGCAGTGGTGGAGAAAGTGTAACCGCGCTCGGCCAAGATCTTCATGAGGTAGTCAGTCAGATCGCGACCAGCCATGTCAACACGAGAAATGGCGTGGGGAAGAGCGAAACCCTCGTAGATGGGGACAACGTGAGTGACACCGTCACCGGAGTCGAGCACGATACCGGTGGTACGACCGGAGGCGTACAGGGACAGGACGGCCTGGATGGAGACGTAGAACGCAGGGGCGTTGAAGGTCTCGAAGACGATCTGGGTCATCTTCTCACGGTTGGACTTGGGGTTGATGGGAGCCTCGGTGAGCAGGACGGGGTGCTCCTCGGGGGCCACACGCAGCTCGTTGTAGAAGGTGTGGTGCCAAATCTTCTCCATGTCGTCCCAGTTGGTAACGACACCGTGCTCGATGGGGTATCGCAGAGTCAGGATACCACGCTTCGACTGTGCCTCGTCACCAACGTAGGAGTCCTTCTGGCCCATACCAATCATAATACTGCATCGTTGTCAGCTCGCGAATCTCGTAGGAGCTGCTCAGAGGATCGTCGTACCCGTGATGGCGCGGTCGGCCGACAATGGAGGCTGCAACATGGTCAGCACGTGCGTCTCAATGGTTCTCGCGGCTGGAGCAGATGGAGCCCAAATTGCTCCAGCGTGCGAGCTGGATGAGGGGAAAACTTACGGAAGACTGCACGGGGCGCATCGTCACCGGCGAAACCGGCCTTGCACATACCCGAACTGGCAATGGTCAGCTCACGTCCATTTGAATTCCATGCCTATCGCGCTGCGGCTGTGGAGGAGTCGTCGCGGCTATGCGAGGGAGAGGGCGTGGGCACGGGCAATGCGGATAGCCCCTCCACACAGCAGGGATGGCTGGAGTAGTGATTCGGGAATGAGAGCTCACCCATTGTCGATGACGAGGGCTGCGACTTCCTCTGCAGTTGGGAATAGTGGTCAGCAGAGCTCATTGAGATAGACGGCGCATCGATTGAGGATGCCGGGGAGTGTGCCGGGGGCGTTGGGCTTCAGCTGCTTACCTTCCATGTTGACTGATTAGGTGTTGAGATTAGGAGGGTTAGGTAGAGACGAGGGGGCTGCGACGTGTCTGCGAGGTGTAATGGCTGCGACGATGAGGAGTCAGCGCGGGATGTTCAGAGATGCCGGTATTGAGGCGATTGAGCAGGGGCGCGGGTGTCGGGGAGCTTACAGGATGAGGGTGTTGGAGGTTAAGGTGTTGTGCGAGGCAAGTCGGTGGTGGGTGCTGAAATAAGCGGGCCGGCCTTGCCCAGATTTACTAGCGGGGTGGCAGCTGCGAGGTTGGTTGAGAGCAGCGGGCTTTGCAAACGACACCACACGGGGAATGCGATCAAATTCAGCAGTAGACGCTCAACTTGCCCTGTGCCGTGTGCTGGACACTTTATACTTGTTTGCATCGCAGTGCGCGTCTAGGCTGCACAATTGCTGTTTTCGCAGCCGCGCAAGCTCCCCGCCACAGCATGAGGACGCCTCTCGCACACATGTCATACCAGACCGCCAGGCAGCGCTATTCTGCACCTGCCAAGCTGTACTGGTGTATAATTTTTCTCCACTGTGTACGACGTGTCTCACAGAAATGCTCGTGGCGGATGGGCGTAGATTTGCCTTGCACTTGCATTGCGACCCCAGCCTTCCACTCACGCTGTTGTTCACCGCCAAATCCCAAGCCAGCCCCGCTATGTGCCCCTGGCGGCGGATCAGGGGTGCGATGCGCAGGTCACGTGCTTTGGAGGGGCACGGGCAGCCAAAGACGACCACCTCGATAAGCTGTATTGCATCCTATAGTGTCTGTGTCTATGTCTCATGTCTTTTGGGACTTGTACTGTCGCTTGCTCTCACCTTGGAGCATATCGTGCCAATTTGCACCGAGTACAAACGCTCGTGACAGCTGCGAGCCATGGAAGGCTCGCGAATCTGCTGGGGCTGTCGGCCCAAACTAACCGGCGTCATTGCCTTGCCTGCGCAGCGAAATTATTTCCACGCTCAACCATCTCATAACCTCACAAACGTACACTGCTCTCCCAAATCAATTCATACAACACCATGAACGACCCACAGCTTAATAACCTTCTCAAATGGGGCATTCAGAACTCCGATGCCTCGCGCAACGACCCTTCGACCGCACCACAGCCCTTGTCGGAAGTCGACAAGGAAGCGCTGCAACAACTCATAGCAGGAGTAAGAGGTCCGTCGGACGCGGACCTTATGCAAGACTCTTTTCAAGTCATTGAGAACAACGAAGCTACGGCAGAAGCCAAGCACCAAGCCTTCGAGAACTTCGAGCAGCTCATCCAGGGTATCGACAACGCCAACAATATGGAGGCATTGGGACTTTGGACCAAATTGATTAAGCAGCTCGAGAGCGAGGATCCGGTCATCAGAAAGTGGGCTGCTTGGTGTTGCAGTACCGCCGTGCAGAACAATGTCCGCTCTCAAGAACGAGTAAGTATTCCGCTATCTGTACATCTTTATGATATATGTCTAACGGCCTAAAGCTTCTCGTGCTCAAAAACGCAATCCCTACCCTCGTGCGTCTTGCGACTTCGGATCCTGACAAGACAGCGCGTAAGAAGGCCACCAGCGCTCTCTCCTCAGCTGTGCGCAATTTCCAACCCGGCCTCGATGCTGTACTTGAGCACATGCCTGCTGAACACAAGCCCAAAGAGGCTCTCGATGCCAACGATATGGCTTCGGTCGACATACTCATCAACAAACTCAGAGAGAGCATATAACGGCATGGAGCGATGAGCATTTTTTGGCGTCTTTGACTACAGGGGTTCAGCATAGGGTCGGCGTTTTTAGGCATTGGAATCTTGAACATGAAGCAAGGACGGAAGAAAGAAGAAAGAACCGGACATACGTAGAGGCTCAGTGCTGTTGCGTACTCCATTAGCATCAATGCGAGCATCTCAGCGCAACACGCTGCACGTTGCCTGTAATCAAAGTTCAAATAACCTCGAGGACCAGCCCAATCAGTGCACCGAACTCCCCTCTACTGGCCATACTCTTGTCCAAGCCCATACCTAGCACGACTATGCGTGTCTCCCTCTCGTCTCTGGTCTTGATAGCACTGGCTATCTGTGTCGCAAGCGTCTGTCCCAGAATCTCCAGCCCCGGCACTGTTCCACCAAGTATCGTTGTCGCGGTGAGATGATGCATCGGTAGCAAGTCAGAGCTTGGGTCGTCTTCTTCGCGATCGAGGTATGCGTTTGAGGTCACTGAGGCATCCGTTGCAGCGATGTCGAGGGGCACGTGAACCTAATGTAGTCAGCAAAAAAATGAGTTCGAGGCGATGTTGTAAAATTCATCATACCCAGTGTGCCAATCGCCCGTCTTGAGCTGACTGTGATAAGTATCTTATCGGCAAAGTTGACCGCAGTTGCGACGGTGCGAAGACCTTTGATGGTTGCGGAGGACGTCTTCGTGCGCGCCGGGTACGACGTGTGCGAAACAGCATAGTCTCCCGAAAGAGCTGCGGCGAGGGCTGCCATGCTGTCGGCGGATTCCTAGGTCTTGTTTGTAGTATTCCGAAATAATTGCCAGGTGCTTTGCTAGACGCGCTCAGAGCCACGCTCTGGTGGGGCGGCTTCTCCAGGTCCAGGTTCTGCCACCGCCCTCGGTGATAGTGGATGCAACCTCCGCCAAAATTTATTTCGACTGTCGCAAACAATCCCAGGCTGTGCCGTCGCAAGACGCCCACACCTCGCCCACACCTCGCAGACATGCCGAAATTCGTACCCAGGCAGCGCAAGCACAAAGTCGTAGCGCGACAGAAGAGCGCAAACGGGGCGCAAATCGAAGACGCCAACGCCGAGCAGATCTTACCAGCAGAACAACGCGAGCGCGAAGAGAAGAGGAGGGCCCTAAAGGATGAGCTCGTGCGCGAATCACAAGGCAAGATCAGCGGAAAGAAGAAGAAGCGATTGGATAAATACGTCGATACGAAACTGAAGAAGGAGGAGAACCTAGCCCTTCTCAAGAAATTGGCTGCAACGAGAGTTGACACCAGCTTGTTTCAGAGCTCCAAGAAGCTTGGAAGCGGTTCTGACTCGAAGAAGGAAGCTTTGCGACGGGCGCTAGCTGAGCGCAAGGCAGGCATAGATGTGGACAAGAATGAACGAATCCTGTTTGAAGAGCGACCTGTACGGGAATACAAGCAGGAGAGCGAAGGCTCTGACAGCGAGTCAGCAGCGTTTCCGCAACAAGCCTCAAAAAAGCCTTCTGAATCACGGGCTATTCTCCCTGAAAGCGACTCGTCGCTCTCCGCACCCACAGTTGCGACACGCACCCAGCCATCAGCCTCTACACCTGTGCCGGCACCTACAAAGTCACAGTCTGCTGGGTCGTTCGGAGGCGGTCTCAAGCGTCCGCTCGAGGTGGACGAATCGGGCAAACCCATCATACAAGTGCGCAAGCGTAGAAAGGCAAAGAACAAGCCAGTCATCATTGAGCAGGATGTTGAGTGGGAAGGGTTCAGCTCTGATGACGAGCAAGACGCCGAAACCGCCGACGGAGAAGCCAGTGCAGCATCTAGCGCTGGCTCCGATGCGTCTAATGTGGAGTCAGGAAGTGAGAGCGAGGCAGCAGGGTCGACTTCAGAGGAAGCTGGAGATTCAGAAGAGGAAGAGGACGACTCAGAAGACTCAAGCGACGACGACGACAGTCATGTGGGCCCCGACGAGAGCGGCAAAATCGCCAAGAAAGAGAAGACATCTGCATTCAAAGCATGGGCGACGCAGCAACGAAACGAGGCCATCGGATTCGTCCCGACGAACAATTTGTCACAAGCACTTCTGCCGAAGCCTGCGAATTTTAAACCCCGTGCCCCCGAGCAGGATCCATTACCTGATGAATTACGAACGGACACTGCAACAGATACTACACGGAAGGCTTTCAGCGTCAATGTAGAAAGGTCTGCTGAAATACAAGAATCACGATTGCAGCTTCCAATCGTAGCAGAAGAGCAGAAGATAATGGAGGCGATACACAACAACGATGTAGTAGTTGTTTGGGGAGCCACAGGTAGTGGTAAGACAACGCAAGTGCCACAATTCCTATACGAAGCCGGTTACGGTGCTCCAGATGGACCAACGCCAGGCTTGATTGGCGTCACTCAGCCTCGACGTGTTGCAGCAGTGAGTATGGCAAAACGTGTTGGTGATGAGCTTAGCAGCCACGGATCAAAAGTTGCATATCAAATCCGATTCGACACCACAACGAGCGCGAAGACGGCGGTGAAGTTCATGACAGATGGGGTGCTGCTACGAGAGATCACGCAAGACTTCGTGCTAACCAAGTACTCTGCCATCGTCATCGATGAAGCACACGAACGCAGCGTGAACACAGACATATTGATCGGAATGCTCAGCAGAATCGTTGACCTTCGAGCTCAGATGGCCAGAGAGGATGCCAAAATCAACCCTCTTAAGCTTGTTATCATGTCTGCTACTTTGCGAATATCGGATTTCACAGAAAACAAGCGACTGTTTCGAGGTTTGCCTCCGCCACTCATCAAGGCAGAGGGGCGACAGTACACTGTTACGAATCACTTTGCTCGTCGCACTCAACGAGATTACGCGGAGGAGATGTTCCACAAAGTATCCACAGGCCATCGCAAGCTACCCAAGGGTGGTATGCTTGTTTTCGTCACAGGGCAAAATGAGATAGCACACCTTGCCAAACGCCTGAAGCAGACATTCGCTTCAACGCAAGGACATGACGCCAAGGCCGGAAAAGTGCTGGTGTCGCCTGCTGACGCTCCCTTGGAAACGGAGGATATCGAGCTAGGCTCAAAGGACCATGATCTGGAAGATGATGGTTCGGACTCCGAGGATTCTGTTATCCATGGACTAGATGACGAGGACGACAAGGAATTTGAGATTGAGGACGAAAAACCAGAGGATACCGTTTTGAATGTGCACGTATTGCCGCTCTACTCGCAGCTTCCCACCAACCAACAATTGCGCGTCTTCGAACCGCCCCCAGATGGCTCGCGCCTCATCGTGCTTGCTACGAACGTTGCGGAGACAAGTTTGACTATTCCAGGCATTCGATATGTCTTTGATTGTGGCAGAGCAAAGGAGAAGAAGTACGATCTTGTGACTGGAGTACAGAGTTTCGAGGTTGGTTGGATCAGTAAAGCCAGTGCGAACCAGAGAGCTGGTCGTGCAGGTCGTACTGGTCCAGGTCATTGCTATCGTCTGTACTCCTCTGCGGTCTATGAAAGGGACTTTGAAGAGTATGCTGCGCCAGAGATCTCAAGGACGCCTCTTGAGGGCGTCATCCTTCAGCTCAAGAGCATGGGCGCGCCTGTTGTCAACTTCCCATTCCCGACACCACCGAACCGTGAAAGCCTACAAAAAGCTGAGAATCTGCTTTCGTATCTAGGAGCTCTATCTATTGATGGTAAGGTAACGAAGCTTGGTCACGAGTTGTCGCTCTACCCACTCAATCCACGATTCGCACGCATGGTGGCAATGGGCGTAGCACAAAGCTTAGCAGCCGAAACAATTGCTCTGGTAGCGGCCCTCTCCGTTCCAGAACTCATCATCCCAGAAAACAAGCTCGGTCTACGCGAGCCTACCAGAGATCCTGACGCAGTTCGCACCGAAGAGGACAATGTGGAGGCTGAAGAACGCTCCCGCCTCCGCAAGGCCTACAACGCTGCACAAGCCAAACTCGCTGTCAACGCCAAACAAAGCGACTGCATCAAGTTCAGCAATGCTGTATGTGCTTACGCCTATGAGACGGATTCCCGTCATTTCTGCGAGGACATGTTCCTCAATGCGAAAGCCATGAACGAAGCAGCGCAGCTCCGCCATCAACTCACAAACATCGTACGCGCCCATCGTCCGACCGCTATCTCAACATACAACCCCAAGCTTCCAGCGCCGTCAGAACGCAGCATCAATCTCCTCACGCAAATTTGTGCCGCTGGATTCATTGACCAAATAGCCATGCGAGCCGATCTGGCTCCTGTGCCACCTGAACTATCTCGCAAACCTAAGACGGCGATTGACGTGCCTTATGTCACGCTGTTTCCCTCGCAAGTAGATAGAGGCGACGACCCATACGTTTTCCTGCATCCAAGTAGCCTGCTGGCAAGGACACCACCTGCCAAGATGCCAGGCTATATCATATACTCTCACCTGCAACGCGCCTCCGCGTCAACTATCAATGGCACAAAGGCACCCAAGACAAGACTTCAACCACTCACGCCCATAACGCGACCACAGATCATTAATATCGCGCTAAACACACCGTTACTACAGGCGTCCAAGCCGAGGGGCAAAATTGTCGAAATGGCTCAGAAGCGGAGAGAGTGCGAGGTTGAGATGAGTTTGGTAGGAGATAAAGGCACCCAAGGCTGGGGATTGGGTGTTCGGAGAGTCGTGCAACGCAAGGAAAAGAGTGGCAGTTGGGTGGTCGAGAAGATACTTGATTGAGGCCCAGATGGCGCGACGACATTTGAACAGCTGCGATGTCGGAGCATATAGGATATTGAAGGCATGCAGCATGCGTAGATACAGGGAGCAGTCAAAAGTGTTAGCACTGTATCTTTTGCAGCCTGCAATCCGGGCACCGAGACTACAGTGTAATGATACCCAGTTGAAATGTTGAGATGTCATCTTCTCCATTGTCCAGCAGCAAATTTGATAGATTTAAAACGTCTTCAGTTTGTTCCCCGTAAAAGGCTTCCGCGAAGTCCTACAATCTACTTTCCCACGCATCATCGTCCTTCAATCCTTGGACACTGCCGTCTCAGCTGCAACAGCTTCACTCCTCAAGACCGCCACTTCTTTCTCCTTTTCCATACTCTTCCTCCCTTCCTCATTCAAGTCAACGCGTCCTCGACTTACATATGTCCTAAACTTGCGAGCCGGTAACCGCGCTTCAAACATTTCATCGATTTCCTCAAGCGTCCGATTCTTGACTTCGGGCAAGAAGAAGAAGACCCATGTAGCTGCGATAATACAAGAGGGGAACCAGATGAAGCCATAGCGTGGGCCCCAGTTGAGAGCTTGGATATTAATGAAGTACGGTGCCGTGAAGGTCGTGAGCCACGCGCCAGCGAAGCCGGCGGCCGCCGCGAGACCGAAAGTGTGCGAGCGGAGGCGTTGGGTGGGTAGCTCACCACCGCAGAGCCAAGCATAGGTACTGATCATACCGTTGTAGCTAAACATGTAGATGCCCGTCAGTCCTACCGTTACTTTCCCAGTAGCTTTGGCATTGGGATGTTTGTGGTATACCGTCGCGATGATGAGTTGGAGGAAACCGCAGATCAACAATCCCGTCATGAGCAAATTGCGACGATTGCCGAAACGCACGACGATGAACGAGTTGGCGATGAAAGCGAGAATAGAAATAGCGGAGAGAACGTTGGACATGGCGAAGGGGTCGGCTACTTTGGCCATTTGGAGGAAGTAGGCTTTGAATGCTGTGAAGTTTGTATCAGCGTGTACAACGTTAGAAATCAAGGTAGCGTACCAATGATAAACATGGAACCTGACGCTGCTTGCAATAAGACAGCGCAGACAGCGAGGGTCGTTCGGCGCCGATCGACAGGATTGCTAAAGAGGTCCAGCCAGCCGATACCAGAGTGTGTTTCCTTTTCGCGATCAATAGCAGCTTGGATTGCGGTGGCTTCTGCAAGACTGTCGTGATCATGTGGTCGTAGCCACTCAAGGGCTTTGACGCCGTCATCGAATTGCCCTCGCAAAATGAGCCATCGAGGCGACTCGGGCACGAACCATATTGAACAGAGAATGATGAACGGGAAGACGTAAATCAAGCCCAACGGAATCAAGTATGCTGACTTGTCTGGTCGTTTGGCAGTCGCCCAGTCCACGATAGTTCCAATGAGCGTGCCAAATGAGACGAAGAAGTTGAAGCCAGTCAGGAACACACCACGCAGTTCAGCAGTGCTACTCTCTTGCAAATACAGCTGAGCAAACGTCATGAAGTATCCGTTGGCTAGCCCGATGATCAAGCGTCCAGCATACAGAGCCCCGATACTTTCTGTGGTCATCATAATGATGTTTGCGACAAAGCATGTAACGCAGGCAGCGGCCAGACATGCGCGGCGTCCGAACCATTTTGAGGGAATACCAGCGGTGGCAGAGCTGATGAAGGCACCGAGAGTCATCAGTGAAGAGATGAGTTGCTGTCGCTCGGTCGTGATGTTCCAGCCTGTAGGTGCTGCAGGTGCGCGATACCCGAATATCTGATGTCGAATAAGTATGATATGCAGATGTCGATTGGGTGCAACCATACTTGCAAGAAGCCCCTCATAGCCTGTAGCCCACCGATCATCCCAAAATCAAATCCATACTGAAATGGGCTCAAGATGACAACGCCACACGCCAGAAACAAACGCGAATGGCTGCGCCACGAGTCTCCCTTGTTGACATCAGTCATGATGAACACTCGTCGAGTCGAAATGTCGTGTAGCAGATCTGATGCTCATCGCCAGGATGCCCTTATACTACGTAGGGAGATCATTGCCTAGGGTGGATGAATACATTAGGATTTAGCCCATCTGCCGAACAGCATGCCAAGATGGACATGCTGTATGACCCCACAAGTGTTGAGCGTTTGACTGCCCAATTGTGGGAAGCGACCTTGGCAACGACCCAGTTGGATGTGGGGAAGGTAGGTGTGGGATCACTGCAGTATGCGAGGCATCACCAGGCCTAGATATTGCTGGCCAGCTGCGGTAAGATATGGTAGATTGGATGCTATGCGGTCCATGTGTTTGTGTCCAAGTCCATTCGGACCGACGACCATCTTACTCCATGTTTGATATCTTGAATCGGTCAAAAGTCCAAATTCGATTGCAATACTCATAGAAACCCTCAAAGACGCGACTGCGCAATGCCGTGATGCCACTGTGTGATTCTCGCAGACGCGCATCGGCGGCATGATACCGAGCAAAGCCCAGATGGAAATGCTTTTGCGCGAGGCGCGTTTGTGTGGACTTTGAGTCAGTATGTCGGGGAAGGAGTATGGGGTGCATGGTTAGGGCGAGCTGTGTGGGTCGGAAGCTCGGGCGGGGAAATCAAGGCTTGTCTCCGCGCACGCTAGTGTCTCCTCCCACCAACATCAACGTGCAGCCAGTGCCGTTGCAACAGCCTGCAAATGCCACGCATTCCGACACGGCTCCTCCGCAAAGCGTATGCTATAGATCCCCTGCTACCCGCTCTCCTGGCGCCCTGTCGCGACCTCGCCGCCGCGCAGGGCGAGCTGCGATGGCTGCGTGAACACGTCGAGCGAGTCGCGCAAGCGCGTCGTGCACGCGGTGATGAGCTGGCAAAGGGCGCGCTTCTGAGGCAGCTGGTCAGCGAAAGAGCGTCGGGGAAGCCGCTGCAGTACACGCTCGGAACTGAATATTTTGGAGACTTGGAGATTCGGTGCAGACCCGGCGTGCTGATCCCCAGGTGCGTGAGAGCGATATCATGTGACACAAGCCGACAAGACCTGACTGCTAAGTCGACGATACAGGCAAGACACTGCGGCCTCAATCACGCATCTTGTCCATCTCCTACGTGATGCGCCCAGCCTGCCTCCAGAACTACGGCTGCTGGACCTCTGCACTGGCACTGGCTGCATCCCCCTCCTGTTCCGGCACGAGCTATACTCGGCGCGCCAGGACGTCCACTTGCGTGCGCTTGCCGTCGATGTGTCAGAGGAAGCTTTGGCTCTAGCACGTCACAACCTGCGAAGCGTGGACGCGAGCAGAGCCGGCACAAAACAGGACCGCATACATTTGCTGAAGGCAGACGTCCTCCTCGATCCATTCGCAGACCAAGTCACGGGAGCACCCTCACTAAAGGCCGCAATGAACGATTACCGCCAGCCACCCTTTTGGGACATTCTCATCTCCAATCCGCCGTATATATCACCATCGGACTACTGGAAGACGACCACACGCTCCGTGAGAGGCTACGAGCCGAAGCTGGCGCTGGTGCCGCCGCAAAGCCCACATATAGACGACATCCAGACGGCCGATGCCTTCTACTCCCGACTCCTCGATATCGCGCGCGACGTCGAGGCTAAGATTGTGCTTCTGGAAGTGGCAGATCTGGAACAAGCCCACCGAGTTGCTCAGCACGCCAGGGCACTCGAGATTTTCGACGGCATCGAGATATGGCGAGAAGATCCTGGCGCTTCTACTCCCTCTCCCTCAGACACGACCAGCTTCTCCATCGTCGGCGAGGGTAATGCTCGATCCGTCTTGTGCTGGCGTGGAGCAGGGTCCTCGTGGCTCGGCAAAGCTGCCCCAGCAGACGCACCCCACGATGCACAGCGTCCGCTTTTGAGATCCAGTGGTCGAGCTCTTCCTGTGCAGTCCCATACAGAGCCTCTAAACCCGTATTTTGATCCGAGACTGTTCCTCGCTACAAGCCAGAGCAAGAACAAAGAGAACAGAGCGCAAACGACTAACCAACAAAAGAAAGAATGAACATCACCTAGCTGCTCAGGGCCTAAAAGGCGGCTCTGCTAGTTGACTAGTATACCCTGCATTTTGGGCCGCTGACGTCGGCTAGCGAACTGTTCAGGTCGAGGGAAATGGATGCACCTCACATCGCTTGTCAGCTTCTCACTCACAAAGTAATCATGAGCCTCAGCCTTCCAAATGAGTTGGACATGTGGTAAGAGAATGTCGGACAACGAAGCGCCGTCAGGGTTTTCTAATGTCCTTTACGACGCCAAAGAATATTAGCGTGCGACGACGTCATCGATTTGCCTGTGCACGCTACCATGCATCTACCCCAAGTTCATTCCTTGCACTCCATGCATATGAGCGACGTATTATAGCATTTGGCATGAACATAATCATACGCTTACAAAGGCTACCTTTCCCAAGAACCACCACGTCTTACAGCCGCAAATTGTACCCTGCTCCTGTCTTGCCGTATCCGTGCCGTAAGCTGCATGCCTTTACGGCTAAGATGAGCCCAGCAAAACGCAAGGCGGAGCAATCAGTATCTCCCCCAAAGACAAAAAAGCCCAAAATCGTTGTCCCGGAGTACCATCTCACACCATCGAGGCAAGATGAGTCTGGAGAGAATGTGTGGCCTGCTCGAGCAGAGCAAATTGACAGGGCAAGGGAGATCATCAAAGAATGGTTTGCCTTCCTTGATTTCCATCAATATGGCAACGGACTTACGTTTTGCAGTGCTCGATCTGGAAAACAAACCCTCATACTTCCGGACAAAGATGCGGATGGTCTCTCTTCCGGCAGTATATTACACCATACTTTGACTACCCTCGGACTCTCGCCCTCTATGATCTCAGTCTACTTTCCCTCCAAAGGGGCTAACATTCATGATGAATCCACTGCAGACGCCATTTCTGCAGTCTCTCCAACTTTCATCTTCGTCTTAGATCAGGGATCGCGAAACACGCCACCCCTGACACCAGCACCGCACACATGCCTCGTCATCGACCATCACTTTGCCGACGAGTGCGGCTTCCCCGACGGTGCAGACTACGTAACAGCACACGACTGCCCACCCGTCGCTACCAGTGCACTTTTGACGTACCACATTTGCCTCCCCCTTCATGCCGACCTCAGTGATAAAATCTCGTGGCTCTGTGCTCTGGGAACCCATGGCGATCTTGGAAGCACTATAAAATGGCAACCTCCGTTCCCGGATATGGCCCAGACCTTCAAACAACATCCTAAGAAAACCGTGAACGACGCCGTCGCACTCGTCAACGCGCCTCGACGATCCGCTGCTTACAACGTAAAAGATGCATGGGACGCCGTTATTGCCGCAATATCACCCTCAGAGATAACCAAGAATGAAAAGCTACATGAAGCTAGTTTCGAAGTGCGACAAGAGACAGAAAGGTGCACGCATACGCCACCGAACTTCTCTGCAGATGGAAGTATTGCGCTTCTGACCATTAGCTCGAAAGCCCAGATTCATCCCGTCATCGCAACGCGGTGGAGCGGGCATCTTAGGTCAAACAAACTCGAAATAGTCATGTGTGCAAACGAAGGATATCTACCCGACAAGGTCAATTTTTCGTGTCGTGTTGCGAAGATCGCAAGAGCAAGAGAAGGGGTTGAGAAGGTTGATATCATCAAAAAGCTTGAGAGTATAGTCGTAGGTGATGGCGATTTGAGGAAGAGACTTGGTGACAGTTTTGCTAGAGGTCACAAAGAGGCTAGTGGCGGTATAGTCGGAAAGGCTGAGTGGGAAGAGTTCAAGAAGCTGATGGGCATTGGAGAGGCGGAGAGGATCAAGAAGGAAGAGAAGGAGAAGAAGGAGGACAAGAAAGTGCAGAAGAATACGTTAGCAAATTACTTTGTTCAACCGGCGAAGAAGAACGAAGCATAGTACATAATCATTCACGAGGATAAGGTTCAACGTACTATAGCTAATGTAATTCATAAAGTGTAAAGTATCTACAAAGAAGGTAGGACCTCAAGCCCTTACAAAACCCTCACTTCCAAGCCAGGTGCAGAAGCAACCACAGGCAAAAGCAACACATTCCAACGGGCAACCCGTTCTTTAACCAGAGTAGACAGCTGGGCCGGGGCTGACGTACTTGAAGCTCGAGTCGTAGATGGCCTTTGTGAAGAGTCCGTCGCTGAGCTTGTACGCACCAGGGAACGAAACACCAGCAGGGTTCGCGCTGCCTCCACCGGTGACCTTGACCTGGAAGCAGGAGACGTAAGGCTGGGGCTGCCCCACACCGGCGTGTAGGGCAAGTGCCTCAGCACGGACAAGGTAGTCACCAGAAGCGATGTTCTTGGGGACGGTGAACGCGCGCTTTCCGCAGTTGGCGTTGAGGATTTCGGTTCCCCATGATGCTGTGGTGCCAGAGTAGCCGTCCTCTGCGACCTTGAAGAAAGAGCCGGAGGTGGCGGTCTTTGCGTCGGCGACCTTGGCCATGTAGACGAGAACGGGTCCGTAGTGGGCACCGCCGATGGCGGGCTGGGTGCACTTGCGGTCACCGGGCTGGGCATGCATCTCGACAGTGAGCGAGCCGCCGGCTGTGTGATGCGTTAGTGTGATGCTGCTGATATGTGTTTAGGAATGAAGTGTACGTACCAGCGACCTCGCACACACCAGACGATGTAGCAGGTCCGCGGCCACAGAACATGTCGGTAGAAGTCAGACTAGCGATGGGAGAGTTGTCCTTGACTGTGCGAACACAGGTTCCAGCCTTATCGTCAGAGCCGACCCAGAGTTGTTGCCATGTTGAGTGGGCGGAGACAGATGCCACAGTAGCGAGGAGAACAAGACCAGACTTCATTTTGTCGACTTGTAGAGTTATAATTGAAGAGAAGTGAGAGTAAGATCGAAGTAAATCGTTGCTGTTCTGGATGTCGTGTTTTCAAGCGGCCTGTCCTAGCTTTTATTCTGTTCTTACCTATGTACGCATGGCCCAGTTTGTGTATGTTCAATCTAACACCGACCGTGCTCTTCCGGCCCGTACTACCACGGGATCGCCATTTCCATGGTCGCAACGAGGTATAGGGTGGGACGAGTCGCCTCTTCACTTAGATAGATTGCGAAACCGTAGTCAAGCTTTCTTAGCGCAAAGTCCATCGCGTGCATTCCTCGACGTGATTGGCAGAAACCCTGTCATGCATACCCCAGGATTTACCGTTTAAGACACGGCACTCATGGCTGGTTCGGGAGTCACATGGCATCGTTCTGCATGCAGTGCTGCCTGCTAATATGAGGGTGGGTTAACAAATCTGCTGTCATGCTCTAGCCGAAATTTTGTGTGGGACACTGCAGTTGCTTGAAAATGAAGAGATTCTTGTCAAGGCTGGGTGCTTCATAGACCAGACGCCCAAGCCAGCCGACGCATACCCACTACAATGAGACGTTGGCTCCAAACCAGAGAAAGGAACAAGTTGATTTTCGTGGTGTGTTTCGTTGTAGTCACATGAATCACCCGACATCCTCGCATTATAGCCGGGGCCCACTATATTAATCAGCTTCAAACAACGACTTTGTCGACAGCGAATTGCAACTCCACAAAACCACAAGCGAGAAAAGTAATACTATAGTATTGTCGGAGACGAGGTTCTGTTTGGGTTGATAGACCGAAGCTGCGTAACTAAACGTCATGATTGAGTTCGCAGGTTTCCAGGATGATCAGAGTATATTGGATCTCATATAATTTCAGTCGCCATGCTTTCTCACAAATCGGATTTCCGGGATTTCGTAAAGCCACATCCGGCAGGTGGGATTTTTCATCGTCGATATCCCATACCCGGTAGCCTTTGCCGATGCGTTGTCGACGATCTTGGTAAGCTAGAAGCTCAGAGAAGACAAAGAAGGCGCGTGGGCTGCGGCTCCTTGTAGAAGCGGACCTGAAAGCTGAGGCTCAATAATCTCCACTTTTGACTTTCTCATCGTAGTACAATACGGCATCCAATAGGACCTGCGCTCCTAGCGCACAGTGTTCTGGACTGGTATATTCGTACGGGTTATGACTGATTCCATCTTTGCTTGGAACAAAGATCATACTGGTTGGACAGACTCGCGCCGACCATGCACTGTCATGTCCTGCTTTGCTCTTCATCTCTATGACTTGGTCTTCGCCGACTTGGCGAGTTGCAGCATCGCGCACTGCCTCGATGCATTGTGGATGGAACTGACTTTCGGGCAGGCCCCAGGAACGTTCAATTTTGTATGCCGTGCCGTTAGACTCATCCGCAATAATTCCATCAAAGGCTGCAAATGTTTGTGTCGCAAGCTGTTCTACCATCTCATCTGTTGAGCAGCGAATGTCGATGATAAAGGTCACTCCAGCGGGAATGGTCGCCTGGCTCGAAGTGTCGCTACCAATCACACCGACAGTGGCAACGCCTAGCTTCGTGCTGAGTGCAGAATCACGTACGGCTGTAATGAGACGCGATGCCGTTACCAAGGCATCTGCGCGGCGGGCCATGGGAGTCGTTCCCGAATGACCCTCCACGCCCTCGACACGGATGCTGAACCACTTCATACTTTGCACGGACGTGACAATACCAACGCTCTTACCCTCCTCTTCCAATACTGGCCCTTGCTCGATGTGCAATTCAAAATGACACTCCAGACTGTTTGCGCGGTAATCGCATGGTGTATCTCCGAGGTAACCAATTTGCTTTAGAGCATCTTTCATGCACACACCCTCTTTGTCTTGTAGATTCCAGCATGCCTCGAGTGGTGTGCTACTCTTTGTACTCCACACGCCGCTGGCCATCATTGCACCTGGGAACCGCGCTCCTTCTTCATTTGTCCAGTCGATGAGCGCAATTGGGCAATGCGTTTCAATGTGGTTCTCATGAAGCGTACGGAGGACTTCGAGAGCTGCCTGGACACCGAGGATACCGTCGTATCTGGAATGGCTATCAGCGCAACTGTGGTTATGGACACCTAAGCAGGTACTATGCATACCGTCCACCAGCGGGTTGTGTATCCATGTGGCTGCCCATAGCAATTGGATTACGATCCTTCGCCGCGCCTGGACGCGTAGCGAACACATTTCCCATTTGGTCGATCTTGATATCGCAGCCCAAGTCGCGACATTCTTCTACCAGCCAGTCTCGAACTTCCTTATCCTCTGCGGTTAGGCTGAGGCGGCACATACCAGTGCCTGTCGACAATGCTCCCCATTGCGAGCAGGTACTCTGGAGAGTGCTGTTCAGTCTATCGCCGTTGATAATCAGCTTCGGCAATGCCATTGTGCTTAGTACAGGTGCCTAAGTTCCCGCGGGTCAAAAAAGCTGCACGGGAACACAATGGCGTTCACTACGGACACACATGAATGACGTGTTTCCCGTCGGCCAAAGCGTCGATAAGATTTGGTTGCATTACTGATGGTCATGACTGATGAGCCCTAGTATCCTTCTATCGGGCCATATGCGGATTCATGTGGAGGTTGATAAGCAGCGAAGAACGACGCCATGAGGTTCGCATGCGGGGCGCGATTGAGGGGTCGTGATAGGAAGGTGCCAACCAACCGAGCCTAGGCGCTCCTTCAACTCCACGACGACTACGAAGAACATGACAGTCAAACATACGTTAGGCGCTGGTAGAAGAGACCAATACCATCTCGAGTTTCGAGATACATTACAAAGATATGGCTACCGAATATGACCTTGTCATCGTTAATGGAATTGTCGTGACAGACACCGAGATTCAAGAGTGGGATATAGCGATCAAAGATGAGAAGATCGCAAATATAGTATCGAGGGGAGGTTTGAACGATGTCAAAGCCGCAAAGACTATTGATGCTGAGGGCGGGTATGTGATGCCAGGAGGAGTCGATGCCCACGTCCATCTTCAAGAGCCACCTCTGTTTGGGAAAGGTTCAACAGCGGACAACTATGAAACTGGATCTCGCAGCGCAGTGTGTGGCGGTACAACAACCATGGTTACCTTCGCTCCCCAGAAGAAAAGTGAGGATACCCTCCTTGACACCCTCGCCGCGACGCACGCACGCGCAAAGGACAATTGCTACATCGACTACTCCTTCCATCTGCTCGTAGGCAATCCATCAGAAAAAGCACTGTCAGAATTCAAGACCCTCCGCGAAGAGGGCATTTCCAGTCTGAAGATCTACATGACCTACGAAGCGCTTCAGCTCCACGACGGTCAAATCCTCGACGTCCTCATGGAAGCCCGCAAACAAGGCATCACGACCATGATCCACGCCGAGAACAACCATGTAATCAATTGGATGACCACACAACTCGAAAAGCGTAAGCTATATGAGCCAAAGTATCATGGCCCCAGTCATCCACCCATCGCAGAAATCGAAGCCACCTATCGCGCCATATCTCTGAGCGAATTCATGGACACACCCATACTCATCGTACACGTCTCCACGCCGCAGGCTACTACACACATCAAAGCGGCAAAAGATCGCGGGCTTCCTATCTTTGCAGAGACGTGTCCGCAGTATCTTTTCCTCACTAAGAAGCATCTCGACGCCCCTGGCTTCGAAGGCGCGAAATGCGTGTGTTCCCCTCCGCCCCGAGAATCCGAAGCCGACTGTGACGCCATCTGGACCGGACTGGCCGACGGGACGTTCACGATTTTGTCGTCGGATCACTGTCCGTTTCGCTACGATGATGCGGAAACAGGGAAGAAGTCGAGTATCAGCGAAGAATTTCCAAATGGGCATTTCAAATACATTCCGAATGGGTGCCCAGGGATTGAAACGCGTCTGTCTCTAGTCATGAGCGCTGGACGCCTGCAGTTGACAAAGTTTGTAGAAGTGACGAGCGCAAACCCCGCGAAGTTGTACGGGCTTTGGCCAAAGAAGGGTGCGATACAAGAGGGAAGTGATGCGGATATCAACATATGGTACCCTGAGGGTAAGATGAAGGAGTTTGAGTTGACGAATGATATGCTGCATCATGACGTTGATTACACGCCATTCGAAGGGCGGTTATTGAAGCAGTGGCCGAGATATACCGTGTTGAGAGGCAGGATAGTGTGGGATCGAGATCATGGAGGACTTTTGGGCGAGAAAGGACATGGGAAGTTCGTGAATAGGGAACAGAGTGATCTTGCGAAGCCGAGATTGGAGGGCGAGTGGCAACTGCCGCTGTAATTATAATTGCTTGAATCCGCCAGAGAATCAGATTGAAGTTTACAGCTTCGCTTCAAGCGGGCGTTCTAAACCCACCATGAATCTACTGAAGTACTTCTCCAACTTACCAGCTGCATTTCCATCTATCTCTACGACCGTGCCAACCCAGCCGTCAGGTCTGAGTACAAATACTGCGCCTTTCTTAACATCGATATCATACCGCTTGTGTGCACTGCAATCCCCATCGTAGAACACTTTACCAAACGGCATGCCCTCCAGCGTCTCAAACGCAGAAGAACCTCCAGGCTCCGCGAGAATAGACAGCCACCGGATTGGCAAATTGACGTCAAAAAGCCACCCGACACGCGAAACAGCTTTGGCGAAAGCAGCAAGTGACGACTTCGTCTGAACAACCTCGCCAGCGAATAAAGCAATGTGAAAGGTCGCATGATTTGGCGTTTCTGTTTGGAGTCTCGTAGCTTCGAATGTCGCCGGTTTCTGCAGCGGTATATCGGGCGCTCGCTGACCTGCCTGGATCGACGACAAGCCTGAGCTTTGTCCGATATTGAGGTAAGTGTCCGATTCGTAGTATATGCCCAGTCCACTGCTAAAAGCCGCGGCTTCCTTCATGACCACTCCGAGAACTTCATTCGGGTTGGCATCGGGATCGCCAGTCCAGTTCTCCGGTAGTTGCATCGTCATAAGTCGCGAGATATCCTTGTCATAGTTGATAAGTCTTTCCACATTTGGTTGTCGCTCCGATTGGTATGTATGCAGAAGATGTGATTTCGCGACGCCTTGAAGAACGAGCGACAACTTCCAGCCCAGATTGACAGCGTCATGCAATCCCGTGTTAAGTCCTTGCGCAGCGCCAGAACTATGGTTGTGGCAGGCGTCGCCCGCTAGGAAGATGCAGTCATTAACGTAAAAAGAACGGGCGATGCGCTGCCCGACAACGTAGATAGTCCACCAGTCGACCGTGTTGAACTTGATAGAGAATGGCTTAACAGAGGCGATCGCCTCATTAACTGCAGCTCTCTCATCAAACGCCTCATATGTTTTCTGTCGCTCTGCCGTGAATGCGAATCCGATGCGAGTCGCGCCGTGATCGAGAGCGGCCCACAGCACATTTCCATGTGTTGGAGATTCGATTGCCGCATAAGAACGTGGTTTTGGCATATCGGTCTCGACCACGCCATCAATGCGCACCCACTTGTCTTCACTTGAGGAGCCTTCGAAAGGAATATTCATCGCTCGTCGGACGAAAGACTTCCCGCCATCTGCACCTACAAGATATCTACACTTGACAATGCTCCTGGCTTTTGTAACTTGATGCTCAATGGTTGCGACTATCTTTAAGCCGCCCGGAGAAATGTCATCAAGAATTTGGATATCGACAAGAGCATATGGCGCGTCAAGCTGAACGCCCTGCCTCTTCAGCGCCCGTCTGAATATTTCCTCCTGGTATTTCTGCCTCAGAACTAGCGCAAAGTCCCACTTCGTATCCTTCATATCTTCCATGAAGCTCCAGCCTCGACCTGGTACTTCTTTCCCATTCTTGTCATAATTTACAGTCTGTCGACAAGCGAAACATTGTTGCGCGAGCTGTTCGGCAAGACCCAGTTGGTCAAGCATTTCCGAGCTGCGCGGGAAGAGTGTGATGGCGCGGCCATATTGGTCCTGAGAAGATTTCGGGTACTTCTCGATGATTTTGATCTTGTGGGTAGAACGAGGGAGGTTGCGAGCCAGTTGATAGGCAATTATGAGACCTAGTCGTATTAGAGCTGGTGTATGGTATATTTTGCTGTGTGGAATTACGTACCAACAGGACCCCCACCAACTACTAGAACGTCAACTTGCTCAACTGTGGTGTTTGAGGTATTCATAATGCATGAAATACAGCGACATGAAGCTTTCGCACTTCAACAGACTTCGAGAAGGGCTCACGCCAGTCCGTCTCAATGCAGATCAGGGCAAGCTTCGGCACGGTGAACGCCGCCATAATGGAGATGACCAGTTGCATCTGCGATAAGACATTCCGGATCTCGTACAGCATTCGACCATTCTAAAGAAGATGGCCGCATTGCAGGTGTATAGGTGGGAAGGAACATGCAGCAAAGATGGGGGTGTCGCGTCCGACGATAAGATAAGGAATCAAGTGACGAGCCGGGACAACATTTCCGCCTGTTCATCTCATTGCCCGCAGCTCAACACAAACATCATGCGCGCGCCTTCCTCATCTCCTTCCAATAAGCAAAATGAGAGTTGCTGATTCTATGCTTTACTCAAGAATGATTAGCGGTCTCAAGTTGGGCGCAGCTCGAGCGGAACCCCTGACTTCACCCTCCATCACCCTGCTAAAGACATGCCTATGATCTCCAGTTCACTATTTAGATTCACTGGCTGGGTTGAACTCTCCAGGAAGGGCTGCTTCGTTGATTGGATGATCCTTCAATATTGGAGCAAAGTGATCGTCAACAATAGCCACCGGTCCAACTCAGTTTGTGTATCTTTTTCTCTGTCGTCACCTGGGCAACTTCTGCCCCACGCTTTTATTTCCAATACTATCAAACCCTCGTCTGATACTAGTCAAGCTTCCGCTTTCCTCTTGAGCAGTTCCAGCTTCATGTGCAGACCATTCTAAGCATCGAAGTACATGCAACTATTGCAGGTCCTGATTCATCCTTCAATCAGCGTACATGATGACTGCGTCACTTTCCAGCGATGGAGCAGAAACATTTTTGTTCGAGCATCCAACGCTTGGCTCGATGACTGGCATAGTCACTCCAGATACCCCAGATGTTGTACGATTTCGAGCTGTGCCTTACGCAATACTGCCCGGGCGCTTCAAGCAATCCGTGCTTCGGGAGAGTTTCGACGAGCTTTCTCGAGACTTCACAAAGCAGGGCTATGCGAGTCCGCATTCCTTCGGAATGGATGATATTCACAGTGGCGGTCTATACCCGGGCCAAGATACTATTGAAGCAAGCGAGTCCGACTGCTTGATACTGGATGTCAACGTGCCCAAAGTACACTTGAGAGCCACAATGGGTAAACTTCCAGTAATGACTTACGTGCATGGCGGGGCGTTCGTGCTTGGGAAACTAGATGCGCAGCACAACACGGCACCCATGGTCCAGCACGCTATAAATCTCAAGAAACCGGTCATTACGACTTCAGTACAATATCGACTTGGAGCGCTGGGCTTTATGGCCACACCAGACGGCGAAAAGAACTTTGGTCTTAAGGATCAACGTAACGCGTTACTCTGGATACAAAACTTCATCGGTGGCTTTGGTGGTGACAAGAGTCGCATCACGCTATTTGGAGAAAGTGCGGGAGGCTACTCAATATGCTGCCACATGCTATCACCTCGATCATCAACTGGACCGCTTTTCAATCGTGTTATCATCATGTCCGGAGTCATGGGGCCGATGCTGTGTCCTGTTTCAGAGGACAAGGCTGCGACAGCCTTCGCGAGGGTCTGTGAGAACTTGGGCATCGAAGAGACCGGTGAGGTTGCGCTCGAGAGGCTTCGAGCGTTCGATGTCCAAGACATCGTCTCTGCAAGTGATGCCTGGTATGCTAAGGGCAATTCCTGGTCACCAGTTCAAGACCTATCTTTTTTCCGCTCGAAGATTGCCTGGGACAATGTACATGAATTGCTTGGCAGGTGTGAATGGGTAGACAACATGATTGTAGGCAACACGGGATTCGAAGGACAGGCATGTATCGATATCGCAAACTCTTTGACACCAACGACTTTCTACGAGCATCTGAAGCTGGCATTAAGCGGCAATGCTGCACGAAAGATTATGGAAGCATACCATGTGACGCTAGACATGGACCAGAACCTCTTCCTCACATCAGCAATGCGTTGGTTCGGCGACATAGTGTTCGACGGTAAGTCAACTACAAACCCATTTTGAATATAGGAAACTGACTCGACATGCCTAGCACCTATACATGCATTCACGAAACACATTACCAGGGAGACTAAGAAGAATATCTATCGCTACATTTTCGACGTCGGTAACCCCTTCCCCACCGCGCCCTTCTACCAACAGGCCCACCACTGGGGCGATGTGTACTTCATCTTCCGTACCATGCAATTCCGATTCCCCTACAAACATCTCAAGAGAATCAGCGACAAGCATGCAGAACTCTGGATCAATTTTGCGAACGGTGAGGCGCCGTGGAACGCATTCGGAGACTGGCATGGAGGTGTGATCATGGTGGCAGATGAGAGGGATGGGTGGGCCCACAGGATGATGGGGCAGCATGAAGACATGAGTGGAGTAGAGTTTGCGAGGCTCGACAGTTTGTGGGAGGCATGGGGCGAGAAGAAGGGCGAGATGTGGTTGCCATTGGATATGGTGGCCCTGAAGGATGCAGCACCTTAACTTTGACCTCTACCCTGCGAAGGACACTAGACCTAGCGGCACTTCTAAATCGGTATGTGGTCATAACGGAGGATGCCGCCAATGCAGACGCGTTCAAAGTAGTTAACTACGAAGCATTAAAGCTAATTACGCTACACTATACCACTTTGAAACATCGATTAATTATGCGTTCAATAGCTTATCACTTTCTCATCACAAGAGGAAAATATTGATGCAATCAAGAATTGATAGAAGGGTTGCTTTGGGGAAGGGTCTTTGAGCCCTGACATGGCCCGAGCCCCGACGTCAGCTTACGCGCCGTGCCGCAATGATGCGCGTTGGTGCCTGATCCACAACATGGCTTTATAACAACTCCACCATGTAGTTGCCTCAAGCTTCGGTACCCACCATGGTGCTTCTGTATATCTTTCTGCTCGCTGCCGGAGCCGGTGCCGTGTGCCATGAAGCTTCCATTGCTCACCCCCTGCCTGATTTGGACCCCAACGATGCAGTCCTGAAGCATGCATTTGCTACAATCGATACGGATCTCGAGTCAGCAATTGCTGCTCCCGAATTCGTAGCAACCTCGTTCTCCGTAGAAATCACGTCTTCGAAAGAATCGCTGTGGGCCAAGCACCACACCGCGCGTGAACGGAACGCGTCTCGCCCTAGCATACCCGAAGTAAACGGCGATGCATTATACCGCATCGCATCCATAACGAAGACCTTCACTGTCCTCGGCATACTATACCAACACAAGGCGGGCAATCTCAGTCTCGACGATCCCGTAGACAAATACATAAAGGAGCTGAAGGAGGACCGAGAAGGCAATATAGCATGGAAGGACATTACCTTGCGGTCTCTTGCGAGCCAGCTGAGCGGCATACCACGCGAGTGTACTAATGCCTTCCTCAAATGCTTCACTGAAACAGGTAGGCTGATTTCCTTCAGTTGCGCAAAGCGATTTCATCAACCACAACCAAAATGGGTTACCCGACCCCCTTGACATAGGGTTACCGCCTTTATCACGGGAGGGTCTCATCGACTGCGATGAGTATTCGAAGAACTACGAGAAGCCATGTCACGCACGGGGTGAGAATGTGGGCGGTCGCAGCAGACTTGTAGCTGACCTTTTACAGATCTACTCCATGCTCTCAAGTCGAAGCATCCGCTCTTTGCACCAAACAAAAAATCAACGTATTCCAATCTAGCTTTCGACTTGCTCGGTCTTGTTCTATCGCGAGTGTCGAACAAGACGTACGAAACCTACATCGAAGACGCCATCTTCAAGCCATTGGACATGTCGAAGAGCACCTTGTCATTACCACCGGACAGCGCCGGTGTGATACCCTTGGATCCACACTTCTGGGATGTCGATGAAGGTATTCAAAACCCAACAGGCGGCATTTACACATCCACAAACGATATGTCCAAGTACCTTCGCTATGTCTTGACACACTACAACGACATCGTGACCGGCGTGAATTGGCTCAATCCTGTTTCACCTTCGGAGGGTCTCCATTCATTCTACGGCATGCCCTGGGAAATACTCCATACAGACCGTGTGCTGAAGAACTCCAGGAGGACCGTTCGCTTCATCACCAAGGGAGGAGGTTTGCCAGGCTACTTTTCCGTAATAGCTGTAGTTCCTGAGTATGATCTCGCCTGCACCATCCTCATCGCAGGCGAATATGAAATGTTATCAAAAGTTCAAGATGCTGTAGGAGCGACCATTGTTCGCGCTGCTGAAGAGATTGCAATCCGTCAGCTTGAAGAGCGTTATACGGGTACCTACACATCAACCAACCAGACTCTCAACTCCACCATAACGCTCGTGGCTGATGAGCGTGGTCTTGTTGTGGAGCGACTCATCGCTAATGGCACGGACGCCTTGGAAGGCGCCTTCAAAACTTCTCCTCGTCAATACATACAAGTCGTTCCGACGCTGCAGTACCAGGACGAGCAGAAAAAGCAAGGAGAAAACTGGCGCATCGTTCATTCCTATGAGAGGACTGTCGGCGAAGGAAGCATCTGGGACGACTATTGCATCGCCAACATCGATGGTGAAGTCTACGCCGGTACGAGTCTCAATGAGCTTGTTTTCTGGAATGCCGAGGAGGAGGGAAAGTTTGCAGAAGTTGAGCTCAGTGCTTTCCGCGTGAACTTGACACGATCAGACGAGGCGCAAGAACTCGTGGAGTTGTGAATCGTAGCGTGATCTTCGATTCCAGAGCAATGCACCTGGCAGGCGTCATAATACTCAGACCAGGCGTCTCGTGCTTGCTCATAGGACTCATCGGTTCTACCATAATGATGGTTTTGTAAGATACTTCCGCCGTTTGCACTGGCAAGCATTCAATTCTGTCGCACTCCAAAGCCGAGCACTCTATAATAGTAAAGTCGTCGCATGATTTCAGTACGGATCGGATGCTCGCATGAACCTGCACAACGAACAACGACCGGAAAAGAAATGAGGCGATGCCCGACCGGTCCACTCGCAGAGAGGGAAGGTAGCCGGATGCGAGAGCTGCAACGCGAAAGCGAGGGTGTCGATTTGGATGCGCGGAAACCCAGCATCTTTTCGGTCCCGTGAATGAATCGCGCCCCCGCAATTTGCCAATTCATATAAAAGACCAATTCGTCCGAATTGTCATTGGTGCAATTGGAACAATCATGCTCCCGCTTGGGCACTCGCTAGAACATCAAGCTTTCCCCCGCCACTTGGCCTTTATCCTTGACAAGGACAATATCGTTGCACGGCCGCAATTCGCGGATCTTGAGCATGGGTCTCAGTTGTTCCGTTGCGCATCACATTGGAAACCTCTAGCTGAACGCTTCAAGTTGCTGTGTTCGCCGTCCTTACTTCATTTGGCGGGGTTGTATCCAGCATCATCCTTGCATGGATAGCCTCAATTCAACCTCGTGGTCAACATTATCGTTCAACACCGTATTTTTTACGATGGTGTTCTTCGTACAAAGTTAAGCAAGGTAACCCTAATCAAGACAATTCACGCGATGCCCGAGACTATTTACCACCAATGAGTACGACGCTACAGGCACCCGGAGTTCTTCCTAATGTCGGGTAAGGGTCGAACAATTCAGTTGTAAGTTGGCAGGTCTCTCGGACCATTCCTTCGAGGACACAAGATGTAACGTATAAAGGGAGGCATATCGCCGGATCTTCTGGTCGTGCTACCATCGTTCCGCATCGTCATTTCATTTGCTTTATTAGCATCCACGGACTACTTCCGGTAGCAGCATTGCGCCATGCTGTCTATAACTCTCCTTACTGGATGCCTTTTGGCAGTCTCCCCAGCGATTGCTCAAACAATCCCTTCCCTCGCTGTACCAGAAGTCGGAACCTCCGCGTACGAATTCGATCTAAGCCAGGTCTCACTGAGCAATAGTCGATGGAAAGACAACGAGAACAGGACACTCAACTATCTCAAGGCTGTAAATGTTGATCGACTACTGTATAACTTCAGAGCGACACATAAGTTGTCGACCAACGGTGCGCAGCCGAACGGAGGATGGGACGCCCCCAACTTCCCTTTCCGCTCGCACGCCCAAGGGCACTACCTTACCGCTTGGGTTCATTGCTACGCAACTTTACGTGACAACGAGTGCAAGAACCGCGCTAGCTACTTCGTACAAGAACTAGCCAAATGCCAGGCCAATAATGGTGCCGCTCAATTCAGCACTGGGTATCTATCAGGCTTCCCAGAATCAGAATTCGTAGCGCTGGAGGCGGGCCAGTTGAAGGGTGGAAACGTCCCGTACTATGCAGTACATAAGACAATGGCTGGTCTGCTCGATGCCTGGAGGATCATCGGCGACACCAAAGCTCGCGATGTCTTGCTGGCGCTTGCTGGCTGGGTCGATGGACGCACCAAGAAATTGAGCTCGTCTCAGATGCAGACCATGCTCGGGACGGAATTTGGAGGCATGAACGATGTCCTGGCAGCCATCTATCAACTTACTGGAAACCAGCAGTGGCTCACTGTTGCCCAGCGCTTCGACCATGCAAGCCAATTCGATCCTCTTGCAAACAATCAAGATCGCCTAAGCGGTAACCATGCCAACACTCAAGTCCCTAAATGGATCGGTGCAGCCCGGGAATACAAGTCTACTGGCACTAAACGCTATCTTGACATCGCGAAGAACGCTTGGGACTTCACCATCAACGCTCACACATATGCCATTGGCGGTAACAGCCAGGCCGAGCACTTCCGACCGCCGAACCAGATCTCGAACTTCCTCACAAACGATACAGCTGAGCAATGCAACACATACAACATGCTGAAGCTTACAAGAGATCTATGGACTACAGACCCGTCAAGCACGAAGTACTTTGACTACTACGAGCGCGCATTGATCAATCATCTTCTTGGCGCACAGAACCCGACAGACAACCATGGCCACATCACTTACTTCACCCCGCTCAAGGTAAGCTCTGGTGAAAAAGAAGTATATGAGACATTGCTGACTCTGGCTTGCAGTCTGGTGGACGCCGCGGCATCGGACCAGCATGGGGCGGCGGCACCTGGAGTACCGACTACAACTCCTTCTGGTGTTGTCAGGGAACGGCATTGTGAGTTAGCCGTAAGCACTTCAGCTACATTGTATGACTCACACATGAACGCAGGGAGACCAATACCAAGTTGATGGACTCGATCTACTTCTACGACAGCTCCGCACTCTATGTGAACCTTTTTACACCTTCTACTTTAGACTGGAAGCAGCGCAGTGTCAAGATCTCACAAGTGACCACATTCCCTGCCAGCGACACAACCACGTTGACAGTCACCGGCACTGGCAACTGGGCGATGAAGATTCGCATTCCGTCCTGGACTTCAGGCGCGACTATCAGCATCAACAGACAAGCGTCAGGGGTTGCCGCCAACCCTGGGAGCTATGCTACGCTGTCTCGCGACTGGAAGTCTGGCGATATCGTCACTGTCAAGCTGCCGATGAAGCTACGCACAGTGGCTGCGAACGACAACGCTAACATCGCAGCTGTCGCGTTTGGTCCAGTTATCTTAAGCGGCAACTATGGGCAGCAAGCTCTCAACTCGATGCCTTCTCTGGCACTGAACACTGTGCGTCGCACAAGCACCGACAGCCTCGCATTCACGGCGACAGCAAATGGCCAGGCTGTAAATCTTGGTCCATTTTACGACGCGCATAACATCAACTACAATGTCTACTGGACTACCAGTGGATCGTTCTCCAACTAGTGCATGATGACAGCGCAGAACGGAGTCAAGATAGTTATGTAGACTGGCCGTCATTCTTTGTACATATTCTATCCCGACATTCCGGCTGGCTACGTTAGCATATCAATCAACATAACCTTATATTCCTTAACCACTCTCCTCCTGGCCTACGCAAGGGTCTCCCTCATCTCATGTACTTTGCGAACTTGCATATTGTTCATCCAGCTCGTCCTTGTACCAACTGTCGCTTCAGCTAAAGACGCATAGTTTTGTGTGGGTCTGAATGAGATGTTCAACTCATCTTCCATAGCGTCTTTGTTCAAGCTATTAGGATACATGGCAGTTAATATGCCGTGTTAAGGCTACTGTTGGGCCAACTAGCTTACAGTACGGTTGCTCCAAGGGCGAATTGTTTACGGTGGTGACACTTCGCATAGGGGTCACGATCGTAGGACTGTAGTACTGCCAAGACCACGTATTACTACTGTAGTTCCCTATTTAGGTAATAGCCTTAGCCTAAGCCTACCACTAAGGCTGCTCCTAAGTGATTTTAGCATAATATACAACTTTGTGACTGTAAACCCATAGCACGGCTCCTAAAACGTCGCTACTACACCTACGGTATCATGACCTTTACTCTCAGCTACTTATGGCTTACATAAGCCATAGTACGCATAACTAGTACTACCACGGCACTACGACCTGTTAACCAACCTGTTGGGATATACGAGCTAGACTGAGTTGCGTGAAGCCTTCCAACACCCGTTATTGAGCACGATGGTCAGGGCCGGGATTTTGTACTTGCTCGCGACCCATAGTGCGCTACTAGGAGCTGCGCACATGAAGCTGCAGCTGCCGATACTCGCGCATATCCGTCCGCGATTAATATGGCAGTGACTTAGGCAGGACGCGTGATCATGCGCGAGAATGCATTAGGCCGTTCCCTTAAGCACAGAAAACTACTTCTCATCTGAAGAAAGTGGCATGGCAAAGGGAATACAGGACGCGCCCTGAATCGAGGGACTCGATTCTTGCGAAGGAAAGGGAGAAGGATTCAAAGAGAAGGGAGTGTCCAGAAACGAAGGCGCGGCAGGCTGATTAGTAGAAGCTCTATGCGAAGACCGAACAGGCTGAGAAATCTCAGCGCGCATCAAAGAAGAAGTGTCTTGATCATCCGGGCGTGAGAGAAAAAGGCACCGCAGACGAGATATCGCGCAAAGCGAAGTCTGCAGCAGCTTGGCATTCAACTGGCACGCCTCGAGCGCTACAAATCCCGATTCTGGGAATCCTGATAGATACCTGGCCTCGTAGTGGATTCGAGATACCGTATCAAGTACACACCAATTTTCTATTGAAGGATCTCGTGTCGATGCCTCTTGCGATGAATTTCGGCGATAGCTTCAAATGCGATATTTTGCTAGTCAACTTTGGGAGGTTGAACACGGTGGGTTGATGCCGCTGGAGTTTTGTTGAAATTCATTATTGGTATCGTAGTAAATGAGCAAAACTCTCGACCAGAGCTTTAATGTAGAAAATACGCCAGAAGGATCGCAACGCTAAGAAAGTATCCTCGGCCCCAAACGCCTTCCAATGCTACGCGATGATACATAGTTTCATCAAAGTCTGTAGACGAGACCCTAAACACATCCTACCACTTCAATCGATCAAACAAATTGCTGCTCCTGATCTCACGCTTCCTGCTACCGCCAGGCAGCGCGCTTGTGCAGTCGACAAGACCTGCACCATTCACGCCCAGCATGCTCATCTTAGTCATAGCAGCAACGAACGCAAAGTCCCACGCACCCTTACTGATGGCGAAGGTGCCGAATGGGATCGCGGTAATAGGATTTTGCGAAATGCTCTTGTCCGCTGGGAGGGTGAAAGGTGCTCCGCCGTTCTTTGTCTCCGAGTAGTACTTGTTATCCCAGGTACCGACGGTTGAGTCAAGCGATGCGCCGGCCTGAGCGGGGTCGGAGATACGTTGCTTAGCAGTTGTGTGGGCGCCAATAAGAGCAGCGAGATCGATTGGAGAGAAACCCTTCGATGCTAGGAAATGTGGTCAGTCATTGCTGATCAGAACAGACATGCTTTGCTTACCGAAAAGCTTAATGAGATCACCACTCTCTGCACGAGGTCCAGGAAGTATACCCTGCGTGTTTGCCTGATCCGAGTCTTTACGACCAATCTTGACAGGTACTGTCGGGCCTCCAGGACATGTCTTGATGGCATGGGCCGCAGCGAACTGGATGAGGTCTGCAACTCCGACCTCTTTCTGCTGCGCCAAACTTCCGAGGTTGCCACAAAGTCGTTCAAGACCTCTGTTCTCCGAGCGGGAACACTCGTCGGCAAGAATCAATGAGCCATCGCAAGCACCATTGAAGCAGTCGTGGAAGGATGCTCGGATGGCGGCGCGGGCGGCGTCTGTGCATTGACCATCTGCCAGAAATTGAGCAGTGAGGGCAGTTGAGATCTCTTTCCAGACTGGTGGACAGGTCTCTTGTCCTTTGTTGACTCTCGTTTTGGTCAACATATCGTTGAGCCAGGCCAAACATGCTGATGATTCCTCGCTTTGTATGTGTGGGTACCTGAACTGAATTTCATCCTCCATGTGGGATACTGTGGAACAGCTGCAGCTGTAAATAGGAGAAGATTCGTTTGCATAAACGCATGCATTGGCGAAATTGGCTGCCGCCAGGGCAGTGACGACGTACGTGTCGAATATACATTATGTATAGAGCGATTTGGAAAGTTCAATAAAACGAAAGAATGAAGATTTGACAAGAGCTTTTGATAGCGAATGGCAGTGACCAGATGATGTTGGATTTGAAGAGAAAACCCTACTTCCCTTTATACACCTCAATAAATGTCGAAACATGGATAGGAATAGTATGCAGACGCGCGAGTCATTTCGCACTACTGGGATCGTGTCAGTGGGCGGACCCTAACCTCAGGCCACTTACCGCTTGCGTCGAAGTTTGCCTCGTTATTGGTGAGAGACTACTGAGGTGGTGTAAAGATGGTGAGGCGGGTAGCTCGATCCACCCTGCAGAAGCGCAGTCTACCTAAGTATGCTAAGGGTGAGCGATGTACCGTAGATCATCTTCGGCATGCAGTTAGGCGACAATTGTCTCGCGGGGTTTTTTGCGTACGACCAAGAATATTGAACATACGAGAGCAGTACTTGGCTGCCTGGACGTTGTGCGCCTCCATCCTATTATATTATAAACTGTTGTTGAGTGCATGCTACTGTCCAAGTAGATGCATGTTAGCCTCGTCCGCGGTTTGTTTGCAAAGCTCCTGCCGTGAGCATTTGCTCCAGTGACTAGTACTGGGAACGACTGTTTGGGGTGCTATCGTTTTGTTGAAACGAAACATTTGTTGCTAAATGAGGAAGCAGATCAATTGTTTCAATAGGAAGCGGACCGAAGTCCCATCTGAGCGTCCAAACATCGATCGTCTTGGAGCCACAGTTCCTGCACGGGCGCTTGTGTTTGAGGCCGGAAAGAAGCTTTCACTAGTCCTGTATTCAACTATTTCCGGACGCTAATAGCCGAGCACGCGGTGATCATCCTTCCGTTGCAAACTCGGCATTATGGGAGCTTGAGTGATTTGCTTGTTCTTCTCAATCTTCTGTCTTCCATCTTCGGACAGCTTGCTTGTAGATTCTGTGTTCAGGTGGTGCGGATGCGACCTCAGAATTCGCATGCTGAGGTCGCTCACAAAGGTCGCGACTCTGCCACGTCGCATGCTATGGATGTGGTAGGTACTGCAGGTTCCCACCTACGACGGAAAGCGACCAGGGTGCCTGGAGCTATACACCAGGCCTTGCTGTCGCGATTGAAGCATGGCGATAATGTGTGTAGTTTCGGGCTACTGGATACCCTTGTTTACTTTCCGTCGTATTTGACAACCTGCAGTACGCTTGAACAGATGGAATGGCTTACTCTGTGGCTCTTGAGATTCTCGCGACAGCAGCCTTGGCATGGGGGAAGTCGGTGTGACTGCTGCAACACTTTGAGTGCGCCACAAACTATGATAAGGGGTTTGAAACACACTTCCAATAAGCAGCAGTGCATTTCACGGAGCCTTCGATAGCTGAGGCGATGGCGTGAGATGGTGGTACGGAGGCCTAGAGGGGACCCAGATTTTGAGGTGTCGAAACCCCTGAGCAGCACCGATTCCAGGACTAACGTATCGCACTAAGCCTCTTCACACATTCTCCCTAATCCTTTCCAAGTCATGCTGAGCAAATGAAAAAACCGGTGCTGGATACTGTGGACATTGGCAACAAATAGCTCGTTGTTGCATCGAAGTGACAATTGCGTTATCTCCAAGCTCTCGGACTAACGCGGCACTTTTGAGGTCGCGACGTCAGCCCATCTTGCGCCTCGTACCCACTCAGGTGTTCAGGTAGTCGCGGGAACTCGAATCGTAAGACCAATACAGCTATCACGATCCGGAGTTCCAACAAAGCTATCTTCTTTCCAAAGCAACCGCGCGACCCGGCGGAAAATGGGAGCATACGTACGGAGTTGGCGTCAAATTTGCCGCTCAGCAACCATCGCTCTGGTGCGAAAACGTTGTGATCGTGGAAGGGGGTGTCATGACTGTCATGACTTGACCGTGGTAGGTAAACTCGCTCACGCGGGTATGTAGCTCGACACGCCTTCTCGTCTCCATCGCGGAAAGTTGAAGGCATATATGGTGAGCTGTGTGATGGCCCCGCAGTGACAAGGACGATCGGAGTACCTGCAGGCACCTGATGCCCAAGTACCTCGCAAGGTACAAGTGTTTGTCGAAATGACACTGGCCCCGTGTTTGACAGTCGCAAGGTCTCCGCGACCACTGCTTCTAGATAGGGCACGGAGACTGAGGTCAGGTCTCTCGCCGAAGGCAAAATGGTCCCTTTTGCACAGCCGAACGCACCGATGAGAGAGTTGCGCAGTCTTCCCTGTACTTCCGGGTTGTCGGTGAGATACTTCAGCGCCCAGCAAATGGACGATGCAGTGGTTTCATGTCCAGTAATGAGTAGCTCGAGTAACTCATCTCGAAGAGCTGCATTACTATCCGCTTCGCGTTCAGCTTTTGACACTGAAGTAAGCCGCAGATCCTTGTAGATCGCTTCGCTCAGTGCGCATGTTCGTCCTGCTGCTCCTGCCGCAACTCTTCTTCGAGATGCAATGATGCACTCATCCAAGATTGTATCTTTTTTTTGCATGGCCCGCCCTAGTATACCTGAGTATGAGAAGACCCAGGTATACAGTCTCGAGCTGAAGCCTAGCATCACCCAGTCCAGGCACATTAAGAGTGTACCCAAAACGCCATAGAATTCTGGCATTTGCGGTCGTACGAATACAGCCATTTCGTCTCCCAGATACTTAATTGGACGAGGTTTATGCAATGTTTCCATGCTAGCTGCCAACAGTCCCAGCTTCGATCCGACAAGCATCTGCCACATGCCTTCAAGTGTTGCTAATTTGACATCCTCTTGCGCATCGAATGCGCGACTCAAATCCAGAAGCTCTGCTTTCTTCTGCCAGACGTCGGCTACCTGGGTAGCTGCCCTAACAAAGCACGGCGCGGCTACATCGTCCAAGAACTTGGGGCTCACTACCACATTCCAAAGTCGTCTTTGATCTCTGAAAATAGGACTGCTCGACTTCAATCCGATCGTCGCTTTCGGCACCACCAATCCAAACCAAGTGTGCATCAAGTCGGCCCTGTCGATTTCTCCGATACGTCGCGTGACTATGTCTTCGATGGCATTTAATTCAGCCAGGACGAGCGTAGGGCGGACGGTCGAGAAGGAAGGAAGGAAAAGCTGGATGAGTGAAGATTCATGGTGCAGACTTTGTAGAGACAGCCAGCGGAAGACCTCGCCGGTGCGGAAATAATGCAGACCGAGGGTTATCAGGTCGCCCCATGGTAAATATTGAGCGAAGAAGTTGAAGGGAATGCCTGGGATTGGCTTGGGCATGAGGCACGCGTGGGAGATGATCCATGATGCGATTAAAATAACGAAAGCGTAGGCAAACGTAAAGCACGACATGTTTCCAAGGAAACAGGGAAAGAGCAACCAGCAGCGGAGAGGGAGATACAATATGAGAGATTTTCTTTGCAAAGCGAAGCGAGTGTAAGGCAACCAGCCTCTCGATAAGTGGCGGGCGTTGTGCATATTCCTTCCGGACCCGGCTACAGACAAGCGACGTGAGGGCATGGCTTACATGCAGAAATTCATTGGACTTTTTAGAAGGATGCTAGCGCCATCGTTATGTCTTGGATGTAAGACACTGGAATCGGGCTAGATAACCTGAACCAATCACCCAGCAGTGTAGAATGATGAAGCGTCTCCACACAAGCGTCTCATTCGCTAGACCTCCCGGAAGGTCCTCTTGCGGCTAGTTTTCAGCGTCTCGTAGTTCGATATGGGCTGATCAAAACATATGGAAGTCTAGTTGTTCGAATGGAAGCCACTGTTCTACAAGAGATGCCCTCTACTAACACTACCTGTGGTAATCGTGTGGACGCGGGACCGTGTCCACCATTACGCTTGAAAAATCCTGGGTTTCATGCGCAATAGTCGCAAATAGAAAGAGATGGAGAAGTTTTTGTATTTCTCTAGCAACATATGTCAACAAACGGTTGTATTGTTCCCCCGGTTCACTTTGAGTGTCCTTTAACGGCCGAGAGCCAGCTGGGAAAGGCGTTGCATCCTCCGTCGAGATGGCAAAGACTCCGTGACGAACTAGGCAAATTCTTACAGACCAGTCGTGTCGTGTTGGGTCACAGTCGCTCGTAGACCCACTCCCCGGTCGTAAATTTGTGTTGTAAATACCTGACGTTGTCGATATGCGGGTGCTCCGTGTTAGCACTCATAATGAAAAGTGGTCAGGGTGCCTGAAGGTATACATAGAATCTCGTCGTCCTAATTAAAACCTGATAGTTATGTGGATAGCCTCACGTAATTGGACGGGCCATATGCTGTTGTAGTCTGGTCATTTCCCGTCGCATGTGAGAAGCTGTAGTACCCTCCCTTCACGACAGCGCCGTGGGCCCAAAAACAGGCGGCGGAATATAGGTATCCTCTCATCCACCTCTACATATGTGAAAACCAGGATGAGGCGGTAGTATCGTCATATGCTCCAACCAGGGATAGTGCGCATCGTTTGAGATGATCGGAGAGCACAATGGTGGTTTCGAAATGCAAGTGGGCGGGAGTTTCGCCAGAACTACCTGCAGGGTATGCGCTAACCTTATGTAGATGCAAACACGCATCATTCTGCTCTTTCCCATAGTCACGACAGCACTTACCTTCGATTGTCGCAAGGAGTACAAACAATTACCTACAGCTGTCATGTTGATTTAGGTAGAAGGCTCCCCTTAGATCGTCGGATTTTGGGATTGCATACCAAGATTGGCAGTTGGGTTACCTGTCTCCAGGCTCAGGTATATTACCATTGAACTACCAAGCATTACACCTCCTATATGTCTGACTAGACCGAAGACCTGTGCAGCTTTCTGGTTCATAGAACCGTACGTGTCAAACGCCTCGAGAACCACATCTTGCCGAGTCTATTCATGCTCACAACAGGATACTTACCAACACTATTCCAGATTTCAAAGTGCCACACATTACTGCCACTAAGCGTTCTAGATAATCATGTCTGTTCTCGGGACTGGCAGATGATCGTTTGGTGATAACGCCTGCCCAAGTCCTGTTGTTTGCCGTCACCCCAGCAGCTCGTAACAAGCAATATATTCCACGCCGTGATCGGGTTCTAAGCTGCACGTGGCAGTGTAAGCTATTAGTCGTTTGGAAACCTGCTGCTGGTGTCATTCATTTCACATGATGTAGGCTAGCCCTTGCCCCACAGAATTCTCTGCCCTCTGGGTATAAAATCCTCGACTCCCACGCTCCTCAGTCCTCTTTACTCTCTACAAGCTCCTCCTACAACTACTTCTCAACGGCAATCTTCTTTGTATCCGTATATTTTTCTATCATCTCCACACTAGCGAAGTATCACAAGATGCACTTCCAGCAAGTCTTCTCGGCGATCCTCCTATTTTTTGTCGCCCTCATCGCCGCCCACAAGGGCATGGTAGATGACGACAAGCACCGAGATGTCGGTATTGCGTTCACTGAGCCTAACTTCCAGGGTGGGCACAAGACCATTTTCGAGGTCAAGGGCGAATCTGAGTGCCTACCACTGTACGAGTCCTCTCTTTAACTTCGATTGACATTGGCTAACATACGACAGCGGACAGCAAGTGTCCTCCATCCTCATCTGCAAGGAAGACGTCAAGTGCACGTTCTACACCGTAGGTCTAACACATGGCATGAGCTTGTGAACATGGCTGACGAAACCAGGGCACTGAGTGCAACACCGACACCGACAATTACGGCGTGACCATCGGCTGCGGTGATGTCGCCAATGTCAAGTCGGAGAAGGGCAACTTCTTCGGCTACTACAACTGCGGCGACATTAATAGAAGCAACAACGCTAACACGACTCTTCCAACTGTGCCTCACGACCCGAGCAATGACAAGAGCGTTCGTATGGGCGTTTAGGTGAACACATCCTGGCATCATTGGAAATGTGTGGCTAATAGTGGCCCAGGACTTGCTCGGATTTTTGGTCCCGTGAGCAGTTTGCTTTTTATTCGGTGGAATACGATGGATGACTTGTTACTTCGAGCTAGAGCATGCTCGAGGCCATTTTTACAAGCCAATGGGCTATCTCAATGTATAAATTCGATAAACCTGTCACACCTCTGATTGCCGAATGAAATCATATTGCGCACCCACACGAACAGTATTAATGTATTGACTACTAGTCCTGAACGCTGCGACTGCGAAGCTTGCATAATGATAGGTTTACCCCTTGCAGTAGCATCATGCATCGGGTATGCAGTGCCCGTGGCTGAAACAAGTGGCAACTATAACTTGGTTTGCAAATATCGTGGAAGTGGCCCACCTGCATATGTAGTTCGCAAGTCATGTTCATGCGCACCGGGCAGGGACAAAACTTGTGTCCGCTCTGCACCTACACGACAGGACCTAATGGTCTATAAGGGACTGAGGGCCTGAAAATACACGCTACTCTAAGGTGTATTTACCTAGTTTTGGGGAAATTTCGAGAATATCCAGGTTGCCTCAGCCTCTTCTCGTTGGGAGAGGGCGGACAGAAAATTTGCCAGCGCCTGGTGTTCGTAGAGTTGGCATTACATCATTTTACAGTACATAGCACACCGTCTTCACTTTACCCCTTCGACTTCGCGCCTAACAACGGTACCTGCATACCCTCGTCCACTATAATCCTTGGACCGGGGATCCTTTTCTCGCCCTCTCTCTTTGGCAAATTGCCAATCTTCTTCCACATCAGCTGGAGCATAATATGCCCAGGCGTGATGTCCATCTGCTGCGAGCCCCATCGGAATTGCCAAAGCGGAAGTATTTCGTTGTCCGCGGGCACCTTCTTAGCATCATAGTAGCATGCTACATCGCCGAAGCAGAGGAAGACGTAAGGAAAGCCGTCCTGTGAAGAAGTTGAGTACTTTGCACTGATATACAGGGCTGAAGACTTACGATGGTGTACAATTGGTCGTATATCTCGGCTTTGTGTTCTTGCTGGCAATTCCACGCGTAGTCCAATCCACCATATTTACTGTCCGTATTCCGCGCTTGCGAGTCGTCCTGGAAAGTACAATTGCCTTGTTTACTTGACAGCGTGTATGGGTAGTCGCTCTGGCGTGCAAATGTACCACATTCTGATGTTTTTTCGTTCACAAACTTGCCATTTTCGTTCAGGCAGCCGACTGTTTGCTTGGGCGTTGCGCTTCCCCAGTCTTCCGATTGGAGCACGTAGATGTGGCCGACGCCGGTGAAGTCAATCTGTTGGATACCAGCGTGCGCGAGGAGCGCAGAAGCTAGGATGAGGTAGAGCGATGAGATTTGGACCATCTTTACTGATCTATCGCAAAAGCTGATCAACGAGTGAAGTCGTGAAATGACGTCCGAATCCCCGGCACTTTATACAATCTCAACCAACCCTTCTCAAACCAAGCAACAGAGACAAATCCAAGAGCTAACAGGTTCGGTTCGGCGACTTTCGTCACGCGTCTCACTACCAACTCTACTACTTCCCCAAGCTGCAGCAATTTAGATTACAACACCAGGAAGTTCGCACCAACCGGCGATTCAGATGCCTTCAATTTATCAGTATGCGCCGGGTCAATCGGCTGGCACCGGACATTCGCTTGCACACGATACAGCCTGTCTGGACGGACAAATAGCGCCTGCGAAACTGGTCTTAATATCGGAGGTTAAGGCCTACCACGAGGGTTCGGCAAGGGAAAGAGATTTGAAATGCAAGTGCTTGCAGGTGACAGCGAACAAGCGAGACGCCCGGTGCTGTTGTACAACGGCATTGCAGGATACGGCACGTGAGAAACTTGGCGAATCAGCGCAGTGTTGGGGATATTGAGAGGTTCCCGCTTCTGTCGTAAAGAGAGTGCGGGGTGCTCTTTGTCCGATCCTTCCGGCAGTCGGGCTGAACGATATGTGTCAGACGTCTGTAAGCCGCGTGTGGAACTTGGGCCACGAGGTAGCTACAGTGAGATTCGGATATCGGAGCTGACGTTGATGTGGAGGCCTGGGGCTATACGAGGCGCTAGGAAGGGTTGGGAAATGTCTCGCTTATGGGTGCTGCTGCTGCTTCGTTTGTGGTTCAGTCTGGCTGAGGCAAGTTGGTGAAGACGTATTTCCATTTGTGTTACCAATGCCCTGTTATTCAACCAGACATTGAAGGGTTTCATATGCAACACCTACTAATGCTCACCTGTGAACAGCTATTGGAAGTGAACAAAGTCTGGTCTGTGTCGGGCACCACTCCAGGGCTTCCAGACCTTCCAATGACCTGCAAATTTCCCATGTGTAAGTAGATATCTGATTGCAAGGATCATTACTCGCATGTAGTCTACAAGCCGGCGCTTTCATTACAACCCTGGCACAGACCCCGTTGATCTCCCGCCATGATCTACAGCACCAGCTGCACGGATACACCAGATGGGTCCATGCCCTGATTCGACTGTGGAGGCCTTATACTCATACTCTCGAAAGGCAAGCTTGATCATGGCAATACTGATTTACTTGGACGGCGTCGCGGCCACAAAGCGGAGAGCCGAATACGATATTAGATGCTCATAAACGCCTCTTTCCCAGAAATTAGTTAAGCACGTTTCATGTATTACACTTTCAGAGATTCGACGGAACAGTTGCAGGTAAGCAAGAGAAAGGCAAACGCGTATCAATGCCTAATAAGATAACCAACGCGCGACAGCTCCACATATTGATCAAGCCATCCATACCTCCTTGGAGGATCCAAACTCCACTTGTTGAAATGCTTCGCTAATGCCCAACTACACAACTCCATGCCTGCTAAAATCAAAAAGACTGCCGATTCCCACCAAGCGATGAACCAGTCGATGGCGTCGATGGATGACCAAGACGACATACCAAGTCCGGCAAAGCACACATATTCTTCCGCATACAGTCCAGACAGCAAGCCTTGATATCTTCGTGGGCGGCTATGAGCGCAGCAGCGACTTCTTGATTCAGGCCTTTGGCGTTCTTGACCGCGCAGTCCGCGTGATCAAGACATGAAGCTGTATCGACTCGTCGCTGCAGATTGAGAGCACACTTGGCGTACTCCGCGACCGAGAGTGCTCTGTCCATGGGTATGTCTGATGCCTTGAGACTCGCGAGGTAGTGTTTGAGCGCGGCGCCTGCGCGGTCGCACCCCGAGGTGACCAGACTTTGGTACTTTTCGGAGAAGAGGATCTGTCGGGAAGAGTCGATTAGGCCGATTTGCTTGTACCGGATCTGGTCTAACTCAGAGGGTCAGCATTGCATGAGATATCTGCGTTGAGGGAGACTTGCCGATCATCTCGAGTGGCATTAAGTCGGTGCTGTGAGTTGCGGTTTGATAGCTAATTGTGATGATGCGATCGTATGTGAGCCGGGAACTGACTTGTCCGAATTCTAGAGGCAGGTCGAGGACATAGGTGATGAAGAGCAACTTCTCAAAGGCGGGTGCGTCTGGATATGACAGTTTCTGAGCAATCTCAACCCGTGCCCAAGAACTGACCGCCTCCGTACACTGGTATTTATCGCAGAGAATAGCCAAGTCAGCCAATCTGGAGATTGATATCGTATCTGTGGCGTTCGCGACCTTCATGTGCGTGATTTTGCAAAACAAGGTCACGGCGTCTGGGTCATCGTCAGGTAGCGCCACGCTTTTGGGCAAAGCAGCAGAGAGAACTTGTCCTTCGGCAAAGTTGCCATTGAACATGGCTTCAAAGACTGGTGAAGCGAGGCTCAGGACATGCGACGAGACGAGAAGTGAGCCAACCCGCTTGCCGTTCGTCATGAGCTCGAGGAGGACGTCGCCACGTTTGTCGATAACTTTATCTGATACCATAACCTTTCTCGTACGCCTTTTCGGTGAACCAGCAATCAAGCTACGGTACCTTTAGTGATCAGTCACGCAGGGTATAGACAGGTCGTACCGTTCGTTCGCCTGCTTACGTCGTGAGACTGAGCGAGTCGCGTGGTGTGGAGGTGTCGAACTGCGGATGTTACCAGCAAACGACGACCGTGCTTGGACTGCACATGGTGACTCCATGACCCATGTTCCGAGTTTTGAAAAGTAGAGAAAGTTGAAACGGTAGTGAGGAGAATGAAGAGGTCGATATCGGGTCATCTTGTGCTTCTACCTGCTTCCTCGACCATCAGGGAACGATGAAACTAAGGCGACGTCTGCCAAGATGCAGACCCAGATCGGGCGATGCATATGCTCAACGGCGAATCTAGCCACCCTTCTCTACAGTTTCCTTCCAGATTCGCCTTGTAAGCGAGATGACGCGAAGCCATGACAGGCAATCAACGAGCCAGGGACTGCATAATTGCAGTGTAAACTGCGGCGAAGACTGCGCAACGAGAAGAATGGATGCAAGTTTGACGTAGGAAGAGAGTATTGAAGAGACGGATATGATCTCGCGAGGATAACGCCCTGGAAGTCAACCAATCCTCATGTTGCGTGAGCGCATAGTTGACCAGAACGAGAACAGCCTCGGGGAAATTTCGCCGCCCCATAGCCTCAACCGCGCCGCATTGGCCAGCGAACCACGACTTGGCTATTCGCGCGCTTGACAATCCGTTTCCCGAAAGGCCAAGATGGCGCTTAACAATGCCTGTCAAATATGGGTCTGTTCCGCAGCTTTGGTACACCAAATGGTTCTCAAACATGCGAGGCATACTTCAACAAAGCATCCATGGATAGAAATGCGGCACAGTGGAATGCGGCGCCAACAAAGAGAGAAAATATCTCTGCGAAGGCAGCATTCGAGTGTTCGTACTTTGTCTTCTTAATTTTTCTTCGGGTAATTGCAAGTCCATATCTTGTACCACCATCGATATTAATATGCTTCGCTTGCTCCTACTAGCGTCGGTAGCGCGTGCATCGCTCTACGATGCTCAGCAACCTCTTCGGGGATCGAATCTAGATGTCGTGGTTCCAATCAAGGTCAGCATGCAAGATCTCGCAGCGTAATCTTCGCCTAACGATATCACAGCTAGACGAAAACTTGCAGTACTCTTATCCATTGAAGTCGGGCAAATCGGAGCTCATTGCTCTGGACACTCTCCAAGAGGTTGCGCACCTAGAAGCAACTACCCCTTTCTCGTCCATAACGATCAACGTGCCCCTGGATTTGAAGACGTCTGGATCTGTTACTTTTAGCCACAACGCATCGTCAGAGTCAGATCAAGTGGACGATAAGATCTGGTTGCACACCAGCGTCCTGGCTACGACCATTCCTCTGGATCACATTGGCATTCGAAAGGGCGGCATGATTACCATGTCGGCCAACAGCGTATGGCTTTCGCTCGACACTCCATATATATCGCTTCCGGACAGCATTTTCAACGTGCTGTTGCAGGCTGCAAACACTTCATCGGAGCAGGACTTTGTTCTAGATTGCGATACAGTACCCAGACTGCCAGATCTCGTCTTTGGACTGGATATTGATCACAGCTGGACTCTTGCAGGTGATGAGGTTGTGGTGAGACCGGAACAGTATGTCATGGAGACCGAGGCGGGGAAGTGTGTCCTCCTGGCTAGGCGCCGTCGCGGCTTGCAGAGGCTTGGTTGGGCAGCGATTCGAGGAAGGGAGTTTGTGATAGACTTGGCTGGTCAGAAGATGGGGTTTGAAAGCTGATTGTGTGGTCCTTCTGACGCTGGTGTTCCGTGTTAGCTTTTTGCACTCAAACATACCCAATTCGAGCTGTGCCCGTCCACATCTCGTGTTTATGCAACATTTGCGCTTCGAAGCAGGGCCTACCATGTCGCAATAATCCCAATTGCAGGAAGTCAATCGTGCGTGTCACTTACTGTATCCTCGAAGTGTTTGGTGTTGACTTTTGTGTGCTTGGGAGAAGTGTTCCAATGTACTTCGTCTGAATGACAGCTATGCGAGGGGTGCTTGCGCCTGCCACCAGATCTTCTGCAAAATAACAATACCTTCCAAGGTCGGAACTGCAAATCCGGTTCGCGTTCCGACCATCTTTAGCTATTCATCCTCTTTCCCCCTTGTCCATGCCTCCGTCGCATATGCAAAAAAATAAAAATAAAAAAGATTCCACGCGCAGCACGCCATGCCTGTGAACCTCGCGCTTCGCTTTGCAGGCCACGGCAGCTGTCGCTCCACATTTTGCTCACCAACGTCATGCGGCTGCGGCTTCGAGTTCCGCATACTCGTCGTCACAATCTTGGATCGGCCAATTTCGATGGAGAATCACGTCGCGTAGGCGTACCCCATCGCGAGATTGACTGCAAGATCTATGCAACTCGTTGAAGGCTGTGTAGACGCCCGAGCGATCAAATTTGCGCTCGACTAAACGACACGACAAACATGGAAAAGCAGCACAGCGTCGGCAAATGATGTCTACTGAGCGCTCGCTTGAAGGGGAACGTGTCCCTCAAAAGCTCGGAGATGCGCTATCTTCGTCATCGGATTGCTCGACCGCAACGGGAGAAAGGATGCGCGAAGTTCTGGCTCTGTCAATAGCTCTGGCTCGAGACGCGTTCTGAATCGGACTCGTTCGGCCGATTGTTTTCCGCCAGCCCCGAACGATATCCACGCCGTCTGCGAACATACTGCGCTCTCTCCGTTCTTCGACCGAGTTTTGACGGCGACAATTCGCATCCGCAGACCTGCGAGGTTGCACCGTTCGTTCCTCTGCCGTGGACGGCAGTCTGGCGCCTGAAATGCTCGGCCACCACCCCACCTTTTCTTCGAGTTCCGCTCGTGCTGCTGGGCATCGCCTTGATCGTGTTGTGGGACCGTCATGGTGTTCACCAGGTGGCGCTTTCCGAGTCAAGCAACTATTCCCGTTGTTGATGCCCAGTACAGCAAGCAATTCTCGGAGCGACAGCGTTGCTAATTGCGGTTCCTATGTCAAAGAAAACTCAAGAACGCTCAATGGCATTCTCTTGCTATGTTAATCTGCACTGCTTAAGCTCTCCAGAATAACATGTGATGAACATGAGCGGAAAGAATTCGGAATAGGGGAGGCAGCAGCTATCGAGCTGCCAGTGTCATTTGCCCCAGCAAAGCTATGGTGACTTACGTAGCTCCAATGGCCCTGACAGTCAATTGGGCTCCAGACTGCCACTGTGTTGGTCCCACCGCTCAGGGCTGCGCTACGGATGCATCGGCGAAGCTCAAAATATGCTCAATCGGGTAAGATGATGGTGTAGCTTCCATGGCGCGTAGTCGGTCGCGTGGGCGCCATTGGACGAACCCCGCACCTCCTACGATGCGAAGTAATTCCAAACACGACCGCGAATCCCGCGAACGGCATCGTCCAGATGCGTGCAAGGGTCCCATCATCATCAAGTGGGGAGCAATGTTTGTCGTGCGCCGAGTGACCCAAAGTTTTGAGGCTTCTAGCTACGAGAGGCTCTTGTGGGTACCAACACCTCATATATAAGCCCCTCACGAAACCCCTCAATTCTCACACAAGCACCATTCCCTTACGTGCATATTTCAAATAGAATTGCTCGCAAGACTTCACGTCATTGCAAACCACAACAGGTATAACCGTCCCGCCCCCTCTTTCTCTCCTTTTAGGCGATAGGCTGACGGATCCTGCATCAGTTTGACGTATCTCAAGTACCTTGTCGGCTACTTGTATATATACCTCTACGGAGCTTCAAGACTTGTTGCAACAACTCAGACACAATGGTATTTCTCCGCTCAGCATCACGCCTTGCGCGCCCTACCTCCTCCATCATCAGCGCACGCGCTGGACCCCGCCTCACATCGTCTCTACGACAACCGAATGCTTTCAGAACGCTAACCGCGTCTGCCTCACAACAGGGCAAAGTTCTTCTCGTCCTCTACGATGTAAGTCATGCAATGCCACTAACATGGGACAATCGCTGACGACGTCATAGGGCGGCATCCACGCTGAGCAGGAGCCAAAGATGCTCGGTACCACAGAGAACGAACTAGGCATCAGGAAGTGGATCGAGGATCAGGGCCACGAGCTCGTCACCACCTCGGACAAGGAGGGAGAGGGCTCTGAGTTCGACAAGCACCTTGTTGACGCAGAGGTCATCATTACCACGCCGTATGTTCTGCCGGAGCTACCCCGCAATGCACGCTAAAGCGCCCCGCAACACGTTCCGCGACGCGCTAGCAGACCATCCTAAGTGGCACGAGCTAACCAAGCTTCAGATTCCACCCCGGTTACCTCACAAAAGAACGTCTTGCTAAGGCGAAGAACCTGAAGATTGCCGTCACTGCCGGTATTGGTTCCGACCACGTTGACCTTGATGCCGCGAACAAGACCAACGGTGGTATCACCGTCGCTGAGGTCACTGGCTCCAACGTTGTGTCCGTTGCCGAGCACGTCGTCATGACCATCCTCACTCTCGTCCGCAACTTCGTTCCCGCCCACGAGCAGATCGCCAAGGGTGAATGGAACGTTGCTGAGGTCGCCAAGAATGAGTACGATCTTGAGAACAAGGTCGTCGGTACTGTTGCCGTCGGCCGCATCGGTGAGCGTGTACTTCGCCGCCTCAAGCCCTTCGATTGCAAGGAGCTTTTGTACTTTGACTACCAGCCTCTGTCTGCCGAGAAGGAGAAGGAGATTGGCTGCCGAAGGGTCGAGAACCTCGAGGAGATGCTGGCACAGTGTGACGTTGTCACCATCAACTGCCCGCTCCACGAGAAGACCCGTGGTCTGTTCAACAAGGACCTCCTCTCCAAGATGAAGAAGGGCTCATGGCTCATCAACACCGCCCGTGGCGCCATCGTCGTCAAGGAGGACGTTGCTGATGCACTCAAGAGCGGCCACCTCCGTGGATACGGAGGTGATGTCTGGTTCCCTCAGCCCGCGCCCAAGGACCACCCGCTCCGCTACGCCCAGAACCCATGGGGTGGAGGCAACGCTATGGTCCCCCACATGTCCGGTACGTCGATTGACGCACAGCAACGATACGCTGCCGGCACTAAGGCTATTCTCGACTCATACTTCTCGGGACGTCATGATTATAAAGCGGAGGATTTAATAGTCTACAATGGTGACTACGCCACCAAGTCTTACGGTCTGAGGAAGTAAGCGGTGGACATGTCATGAGCATTTTTTTCTTGGCGGGTTTTTGAGAGTCGGAATCGACTAGGTATGAAATATTATATCAACAAACCCAACGAGCTCCATGGATGCTGTGATGTTGTCATGGTTTGATAACATATCCTGAAGGTATGCGCATCTTTTTGGTGGCCAGAGGGATGTGTCACGTGAAATACTCTTTGTCGGCACCTGACTCGCAATGTGTGTGTGCAAGGGCACCCACCCATACGAGTATGTAGATTTCCGAACCATATGATACAAGAAGGTTGGCACTCAGCGACGGCTAGACAGCGACCTCGGCCGCTCATCCTCGTGCTCATTCATCGCTGTCATCCTTGAACCCCTCCTCCAACTCCCTCCCTAACCGCCTCTCCTCCTCCATCATACTACGCCGCTGCTCAAGCGCCTCCCTTCGCCTCTCATCAATCGGGTCAAACCCGATCATACCCTCTCCCTCCTCGTCATCAAACAGCTCGTCATCGCCACTGGCATCTACGACGCGCTGCGTGCGGCCCCAGCTCGAGGGCGCGAACAGGTTGTACAGCGCGTCGGAGAGTTTGGTGCGCCATGAGGACGAGAACTCCGGGACGCCCGCGGGCATGGGCAGGTACTGGCTGTAGCGGCTGCGGTGGCGGCGCACGAAGGGGAGGACGATGAGGGCTAGGAGGATGTAGAGCAGGGCGGCGAGGAAGAGCGGTATGAGGATTGTCTGGGGAGGAGTCAGTGAGGTGTGGCGTTGGGGACGGTGGAGAGACGGACTTTGAGGAAGTGGGTAAAGCCCGCCATGGCTGGGGATGCATGTGCGGTGATGCGCTGCGCGCTGCGTTGGAGTGGTGCCCGAGAGCTGGACTGCTACGCCACAGCTGGAGAGAGGTAGGAGAGGTAGGCAATGTGAGCAAATGCGTCTGGAGAGGCGGAGCGTCGGCATGCGGATGCGGATGCGGATGCGCATTCACGGCTGCGCAGATGGGCTCTCAGACCATGCGCCACACAATCCAGGGCAGGGCACGTCTTCTAAGAGAAGCACATGGGGGTCCGGCGCGGGCACTGGGCAGCTTTCCGCGGTTCACTCACTGAAACACTTGCGGACTCAGTCTGAGCTGCAATTACTCATTGTCATTTGTTATTCAGTCATTCCACCTTCTACCGTTGTAATTCTACTTCGTACATGCATTCATAGCTCCGGCACTTCAGTACCGTTAAATGCACCTCCCCTTTGACGAGGACTAGCGGCACCTTGCCGCATTCACTGCAGCACCCCAGGCCGCATGCCCACTCCGACGCCGCGAAGTCAAATCCAAATTAAGTCGACTTCGCATTTCGACGCCCGTCACGTCACGCCCCGCACTCGTTTCAGCAGCTGCACGCCGCCGCACAGCAGCTCGCAGCTCGCAGCTATAGGGCGCGCAGCTATACCACGCTCCACGGCCGCTTGGGGGGGACACGTCGAGGCTGCGGCACCAGGCAGCGCATAGCATTGACAGCAGACGATGGATGGCAAGGGCCGGCACACCTCATCCGCCGGCAAGTTTTTTGGGCGGCGACTGCACAAGGACAAGGAAAAAGGCCCCTCGGACCCGCGACATGGCCAGCAGCAATCCCAATCCACCGACAGCCCGCCTGGCAGCGCCCACGGTTCGCAGAGCTCCCGCCATTCGCACCGTCACAGCACCTCGGCCGCCTCCATCGACCGCCCCGTGTCCATGAGCGCCGAGGGCATCTTTGCGCGCGCAGGGCCCATCTCCACCATCGATGCCCCGCGACACGGCGACGACGCTGCCGCTCGCTCCCACGAGCCGCTGCCACACCACCTGAACAAAGGCGGCGGCGACTTCCACCAGTATCCCGTCTTCAACCCCTCCGCCATGCCGCAGCAGAACGGCTACTCGAATGCCGTCCCACGCCCCCCGCCGCACGCCGGCGGCACCACCATCGCCTCGAGCCAGCCCGGCGACCGCGGCGTGTCCATGCAGCAATGGGGGGGCCGGGACAGCAGCAAGAACGGCGGCAGCGGCGGCGGCAGCTACTCGTACTATGCTGCCACCGACTCGTCTGTCAACACGCGCGCCTCATCGGACCAGGCGAGCATCTACTCCAACGATTCCAAGACTCGCGGGTCCAACGTCTTCTACCCGCAGAACCCCTCCCAGACCACCTTCTCCTCCATCGGCCTCGATGCAGGCAGCCTGCTACCCACCGCCACGTCCACCCCCCGCGACTCGCACCGCCATCTGCTGCACTACAACTCGTCCTCGCCATCCTCGTCCACCCCCTCGCTCGCCCAGCAGACGTTCAGCATACAGCGCCCGCCCGACCATGTAATCGAGAAGGAATTCATGAATCTGATGGTCAAGCGGGGGTGGAAGAGCTTGCCCGAGCAGGCTCGGCGGCAAATGGAGGCCTACAAAATCGACAAGAAGTGGACGCTGGTGTATCAGGACAAGCTGGCCGAGTTCAAGCACGACGAGAAGAAGCGCCAGACGCAACGGAGCACCTATGTGGGCGGAGCAAGAGAAGACATTCTTACGCGGGCAGAAGAGGAGGGCTCGCCCGAGTGGTACGTCAAGAAGGTCATGGACAACTCCATCACCATCAAGCAGATGTCGAGTCTGGAGATCAGCTTAAGAACACAGCCAATTGCGTGGGTCAGGACCTTCATTGAGGCGCAGGGCCAGATTGCCCTCACGAATGTGCTCTCCAAAATAAACCGCAGAAAAGGAACGGGGCCGACACCGCCACCAAGTGTGCTGGCCCAGAAGGCGGAAAACGACGTGGAAAGAGAATACGAAATTATCAAGTGCTTGAAGGCGTTGATGAACAACAAATACGGCGCAGATAACGCGATCAACCATCCCTCGATTATCCAGGCGCTGTGCGGATCTCTCACTGCAGCACGACTCAACACCCGGAAAGTCGCATCTGATGTCCTCACGTTTCTGTGTCATTGGGGCGATGGCCAGGGACACGAGAAGGTCCTGCAGGCGCTCGACAATCTCAAGGCGCAGTATGGCGAGAGCAGCCGGTTCGACGCATGGCTGCGCATCGTCGAAGTCACCGTGGATGGCCGTGGCAAGATGGGTTCCATGGTCGGCGCATCAGACGAGGTGCGCAGCGGCGGCATTGGTGTCGAGAACCTCCTGATGGAATATGCAATTGCAACCCTCTTCCTAATAAACATGATTGTAGATGCGCCAGAGCGCGACCTGCAGCTGCGAATGCATATCCGTGCCCAGTTCACAGGATGCGGTATCAAGCGCATCTTCTCCAAGATGGAGGGCTTCCAGTACGAGGTCATCGACAAGCAGATCGAGCGATACATGAACAATGAGGCTGTCGACTATGAGGATTTCCTCGAGCGCGAGAACAATTCGATGGTGGACGACATCGAGGGCGAAGCCAAGGACCTCAATGATCCGAGCCAGATCGCGGACGCCATCATGCAGAAGGTTGCGGGTAGTCGAACGCAGGATTACTTTTTGTCTGCTATGCAGCATCTTTTGATCATCCGAGACACGGAGGGCGAAGACCGTCTGAAGATGTTCCAGTTGGTGGACCAGATGCTGAGCTATGTGGCTATGGACCGCCGACTCCCGGATATGGACCTTAAGCAAAGTCTGAACTTCACGGTTCAGTCGTTGCTTGACAAGCTGTACACCGATGCCGAAGCCCGGCAGCAGCGCGATGAGATGATCGAAGCACGACAAGTTGCAGACTCGGCCATAGCAGAGCGTGACGAGGTCAAGGCCCAGCTCGAGCTGGGTGCAGATGGCTTAGTCCAGAAGCTCCAGAAACAGCTTGCCGAGCAGGAGCGTATGATTGAGCTCCGTGGCAGGCAGGTCGAGCAGATGAAGGCCGAACTTGCAGAGACCCAACGGATAAGAGCCCAAGAACTTCAACGCAATGAGCTGGAGACACGTGAATTGTACCTCATGCTCAGGGACGCACAAGATGTGGCTGACTCTGCGGCGAAGAAGGGCGGCAAGGAGGGCTTGGCTGCTCAAGACCCAGCACAGATGCAGGGTATCATGGACCGCGAACGCTTGATGGGTAGACTCGAAATCCAGCTACAGCGTGCCAGGACCCAGGCCACACTTGAAGGCAAGACTCTGCAAATGCAACCGAGTGAGAAGCTCCGAGAGCTGCGAGAGAAGATGGAGGGTACCATGGGCGAACAGTCACAAGCAGAATTCGAGGGCCTGGAGCCTGGCGCTTTTGGCTCGGTGCGTCGTGGAAAGAGTGTCGTTCCTCGCAGGAAACCTCTTCCGGGTCTTCCTGGAGAGGCTGGCGAGGACGAGTTCTCAGACTTGGGAGAAGACGAAGAAATGATCATTGAGAAGCCTCGTCTTATCCAGATGCACAAGCCCAAGCTCAGTACATCAACAGCCAATGCCCTCTTGGGAGAGATCTCCTCAAAAGTCAAGACATACGACGGTTCAGACGCAGAAGATGGTGGCGACGGCGTTACTACCGGACCTTCACATCCAAGTCTCGAATCAGACTCTCCCAAGACGCCTGCAGACACTGATGCCGTCAAGTCTGGCATCCCACCACCACCTCCTCCACCACCGGGTGCCCTCGGATTTCCCGCTAACATTCCCCCTCCGCCGCCTATGCCCGGCACTAATGCTAATATTCCTCCTCCTCCACCGCCGCCACCAGGCAAGCTTGGCTTTGGCATTCCCCCACCACCCCCGATGCCTGGTATGAAGGGCATTCCCCCACCACCACCTATGCCTGGAGATGGAAGTATGCCACCACCCCCACCACCACCAATGCCTGGTGGCAAACGACCGGGCTTCATGCCCAAGGCTCCTGGCTTTCACGGTGCACCTTCAGTGTCGCTATCTGGGCCACGTCCTAAGAAGAAGCTCAAGGCGCTGCATTGGGAGAAGGTCGACTCTCCACAGACCACCGTGTGGGCTACTCGTGGTCTGACCTCTGAAGAAAAGGAGGAGAAGTACCAAGAGCTGTCGAAGAAGGGTGTACTCGAAGAGGTCGAGAAACTGTTCATGGCCAAGGAGATCAAGCAGCTCGGTAAGAAGCAGGACAAGAAGAACGAGAAGAAGCAGATCATCTCTCGCGATCTCATGCACAACTTCCAGATTAGTATGGCCAAATTCTCATCTGTGGCGGTCGAAGACTTTGTCAACATGGTTATTCATTGCGAGCCGAGGATTTTGGACGACCCTGTGGTTATGGAGTTCTTGCAAAAGAACGACTTCTGCGATATTCCGGACAACACGGCCAAACTCATGGCGCCGTATGCGAAAGACTGGACCGGCCCCAATGCTGTCGCAAGTACTCGCGAGCAAGACCCTACCGAGTTGACAAGAGAGGATCAGATCTACCTCTACACTGCATACGAACTACATGGCTACTGGAAGAGCAGGATGCGGGCGCTTGCACTCACTCGAACGTACGAGACTGAGTACGACGAGATTTCGAACAAGCTTTTGGAAGTTTCGCGCGTGTCTGAAAGCTTGAGGGATTCGACAAGTCTGATTAGTGTTCTTGGACTCATTCTCGATATTGGTAACTTCATGAACGACGCCAACAAGCAAGCCAACGGTTTCAAGCTATCGACACTTTCACGACTGGGTATGCTCAAGGATGACAAGAATGAATCTACGTTTGCCGACCTCGTTGAACGTATCGTCCGGAACCAATACTCTGGATGGGAAGGCTTCACCGACGAGATTGGTGGTGTCATTACTGCACAGAAGATCAACGTCGAGCAGCTCATCCAGGACGCGAAGAAGTACATTGACAACATCAAGAACGTTCAGATGTCGCTTGACGCCGGTAATTTGTCTGACCCTACCAAGTTCCATCCAGAAGACAAGGTTGCAATTGTCGTGCAAAGGAGCATGAAGGAGGCAAGAAGGAAGGCGGAACAACTGCAAGTCTTCCTCGAGGATATGCAGAAGAGCTACGATGACATCATGGCGTTCTATGGCGAAGATCCAACCGACGACAGTGCGCGGAGAGAGTTCTTTGCCAAGCTGGCGAACTTTGTTCAGGAGTGGAAGGTTAGTCTGAACTACATTCGCCCTCATGAACTCTATATGCTAATTGAAACAGAAATCCCGCGAAAAGAACACCCAGCTCGAAGACCAATGGCGCCGCAACGAAATCTCCATGCGCCGCAAACAAGCCGCTCTCAACCCTCTCTCGCCGTCCGCGCTCTCTTCCGACTCCGACGCGCCCAAATCCCCCGCCTCAACCGGCGCAATGGACGACTTGCTCCAGAAACTGCGCGCGGCCAAACCGGAAGCGCGCGACCAACGAGACCGCCGCCGCCGTGCGCGCCTCAAGGACAAGCACCAAGTGCGCGTCGCCTCGGGCCAGAAGATCCCCGAGCTCGGCATCAACGTCGAAGAAGGCGCCGAAGGGTCCGCCGCAGAAGGCGACGACCCAGCAGCCAAGGCCATCGTGTCACCGACCAGCGATACTGCTGATCCCGAAGCTCCCGCTGATATTGCAGATCGCGCAGCTGCGATGCTCGAAGGCCTGCAGGGCGGCTCCAGCCTCAACAAAGACGGCAGTCTATCTGTCCGACGGAGAAGAGAATCCGCGGATACGGAACGCCAAAGAAGGCGGAATCGACGACAACAGGCTAGTAAAACTGATGATGAGGGTGGGGTGTTGAGCCCCAGTACAATTCCTGAGGAGGAGGGGAATCGAGAGGAGGGGGGCGATGCTGAGGCGGATGTGGAAGTTGTGATCAGTCCCCCAAGTCCGGAGAGGAATGGGGAGAAAGAAGAGGAAGGAGAGGGAAGGTTGCCGACGCCGCCGCCTGAGTAGGTTGTTGAGATACCCGCACATAATGTTGTTTTTGGTTCTGCTGTTGGTTTAGTCTTGGGAGTGTGTGGCATCGCAAAGCTAAGCAACGGACTTTTGGAATGGGGAGAGAGAGAGAGAGAGAGAGCATAGCATGTAGGCGGAATTGAAAGATATTACTATGTCAAATCAAAGCTTATGATCGAGTTTTGCTCCTGAGTGTGTAAGAGAGTGAGTTTGTTTTCTCATTTGATGGGATGGGGCTACGTACGAATTGCGAAGACTTTTTGCATGGCCTGTTGATGTAAAATGGTCTCCCCTTTCATCCCCTCACAGCCTGCTTGATTCACGATCATATTCTAACGGGTATATCTGATGCCTGGCCGGCTGTCATCCCAGTATCCTTCACTGACAACCTCGCACAGGCCTTCCCACACGCCGCTAAGCCAATGCCTTCTGGTACAAGGACCCTATGAGAATCGCTAACGGATGCATGGGCCAAGGAAAACGACTCTACTCTCTCAAATCTCAACCACCCTCTACTATGGCATCCAATACCTCAGGCTACAATTTGCGACCGCGGAAACGAGCCAGGTCCAAGTCGGCGGAGCCTGCGACGACTGCCGCCGAAACGTCTGCAAAGACACCGACCAAGGTTAAGCCCAGTGGGCCTTGGAAAGCTCCTCAGAATGTGCCAAAGCCCAAAAGGCCTAAGAAGCTGCCGCTATTGCGTCCTCCTCCCCATGTTACATCTGACATCTTTCATGATCTCCCGGAGGAACTCTTGATGTCGATATTCCAATTTGTAAGTACATCAGTGTTTTTGCTTAAGCTACAAATCATGGGATGGCGCTAGGCATGCTGTATTTGACTGTCAAATAATCATCAAGTTCAAGGCGCAGATGCAAGACGGGAAGGACATACTGCGCGAGATAGGCTTTGCTGGATACTCTGACACTAACCAAGTTAACGAACTCCTCACGTACGTAACTTCTCTCGGGGCGGTTAGGGACGTCATGCGCGTTTTCGGCACCGCTAATATACATCGTCTCGAGTCGTTGAAGCTGTCGACAAAGGACAATCGAGGCCCGGCCAGGAACCTCGAGTACAACAACCCAATCCAGGACTTGGGCCTGTACCGCCCCGCCGCCCGCATCAGTACAACGGAGCTCATTTGCGACAACTACAACCTCGACCACCTTCCCCTGAGCATAAACGTCTCCATCGCCATCTCATCCCTCCACACACTCCGCCTCCTACAGTGCGACAAATCAACCAGCATCTTCCCCATCCTGTCGCCCAACACCTGACTGCACACCCTCGAAACCAAAAATATCACTTTCACACACCCGCTAAACCTAAGAAGCCTGCTCTCCTTCCTCGAATCCTTCTCCACGCTCAAAGTTTTCGTGTGCCGACTCCCCGACCCCGACCCCAAGTCAGGCTGGCTCACCAAGCACGTTGTTGACGCACTCAAACCCCACACCCAACTCCAAACCTGCGTCCTCAGCGTTGGCACCCACGCCGCCACCCTCCCGACCTCCGCAACCTACGAACCAACCACCCGCACCTCCTCACCCCCGGCTTCCGAATCGACGCCAACACCAAGACGCCGCGCGCGAAACACTAATCGCACCACCTCGTCGCCGAAGTCATACAGTTCCCCAAGCTGGAGAAGTGGCAGATCATGGCTAGCATTCCGAGGGGCGTGGGCGTTATGGATCCAGGCAAGGCGAGGAGGTTGGCGGATGCGATACGCAAGACGTGTTGTGGGTTGGTTGGGGGAGAGGGGTGTCGTATTCGGGCGGTTGGTATTCTGACGATGGCGAATAGATGCAGCCGCGAGGAGTTTGAGGCGGGAGAGATGCCGAGGGTAGGGAGTATTCTTATCTAGGGTTGGAGAATAGAGAGTGGGGTTTTGAGGCGTTTGCGGGGGATGAGTGATGCATGAGTGGAGGGAGAGGGGACTGCCCTATTTAATTGATCGATTGTTCCTTTGACCAGAATACTCGTTGGTAAAGGCTGCTCATGTATGATCAGTGGATCTTAGGCCCTTGACTTTTTAGTGTACTCACTCGGCTACTGGACATAATACTCATTACCCTTCACTGTCAGTGTTCTCCTCGCTGCGCTTCTGCAGTTGTGAAAATAGAAAATCATGTTGAAATATCCATTCGTCGGCGAGAGAAGGCCCAACGACCTCTTGCTTGGGTCATCGACGGCCGGCGACTGTAGTTGGGTTTCGGTCGTCATTTAAGATTTAAGGAACAAAGAGCCTTCTACCAGATCTTCCAGAAGATCTCCGTTGTGAAATCCGTCACCCACATCCGTGTTGCAAAGTTTCGCCTCCAAATGATGAAGTCTATTGCGCAAGACTCTGTACTGTGGCCAACCACAAAACGATCACAGGAACACATTGACATTTCTGGTCAATTGAATTGCAAACTGCAAGTCCCATCCGGCAGTTTTGTCATTGAGGTCGTCTGAGCGTAGTGGGCCTTGAAGGATAATTAGAAGTGGCTGATCCTTGTAGGTGAAGTTGAGAAAAGAAGTAGCGAGAAGAACGCCAAATAAGCAGGCGGGCTAGAAGAATTGCGTTGGGAAGTAATTACTGTTGGCAATAAGGGGATAAGAGGAGACCATTTGAGCGTATTAGTGAGGGAAGAGGTAGGGTTGCGAAAGTTATGGACAACGGGCGATTGCCGCTAAAGCAGCTTTGGCTGGCCGTCTACGCCACGTGATTACATGTCGGCTGCAAGGAGATGTCTGAGGCTAGCAAGTTCACAGGTTTCATCCCGACCACGAACTGATGAACTTGCTCTAGCTTTGGGTCTTTTGTAAGTCCGCAGACCATTGACCACGTTCATATAGGACATTGATGTGCCGCCATTACAACATCGCGTTGGTCTTCCATGATCTAAATCATGACAGAAATCAGCAAGGCACGTCCTTGAATACCAGCGGCTTTATGAATTGGACTAGTATTTTTACAGTGCGACCTTGACGCCATTATCCAGCTACCATCGAGTTTCTAGCTACACAACGGAAATTTTCTATAAACCGAATCATACTAAGCTGCGCAATAGTTTAAGCAGCTTGACAACTTCCTGGCGAACCTTGAATCAGGCCATCGCCTTCGAGTGAGCGTTTAGGAGACTGCAGCTGGTCGGTATCGATTTGACAGGCTCCTCAAACGAATCGGGATAGTCGCAATACGATCTTTTCGCATCGTGGGCAGCTTGGACGGCCATCTCTACTTAATTCTTGGCAATATGCACAATGCTACTGTTGCGCGCCAACACACTAATGTCACTACCTCTGCCAAGTGGAAGATTCAATGATCACATACGTTTTCACTCACAGCTTCCGCGATCATCAAAGACTTGTACATGTGCACAACCAGGTTTGAGGTACAGAGTGCAGAAATCAAGACATTGGCGAAGTATATTCATCAGCACTGCTAGGATGCGGTTGAAGAACATGGGTGACTGTAAGATTGACACCATACCCATATTCCTTAGCGACGTCGCAAATCTTTGTTCGAGTAAGGTACCATAGCCTTTCGACTTCAACTTCCATCGCCTGAAGAACTGACCTGGAGGCCACCAGTGACTGCTCCACGCGCAAGTGCGATATTATGATACTTCAAAGGCATACATGCCTACCTGCGTTTGGTACAAGTAGATGATGAGTGATTGAATGATCACAGCTTGGAGCCGGGAGCTTGCGGGGAGTTGGAAAATGATCGTTGTCCTGCATGGTATCACCTAGTTGCCTGTGACACATTAATACAGTTGAAAGAAGACATTGCCCCTGCACTATTCGGTGTCTGAAAGCAGGCCATGATTGAATCCTCAATTACTAACCTTCGCCCTTCATGGCTCTGATTAGTGTATACCTCATAAAGCATAGCTCAAGGTACGTGACATGTTCGGCGCTCGTCACCAAAGGCAATTCGCAAGACTTGAGCAGCGCACATGCATCTGAGTGCCCAACCAGGTCCAGAAACCAGACCAGCATTTTCAATTAGCCGTACATCATCAACTGCATGCACGTACCGTATCTTGCGCAAGGCGAGCCCATCCCATAGATAGCGTACCGAACACGATCCCGCCCAACCGCCGGAGCGCTGCAAGTCGCGATCATCTCCCCGAGCAGCACCGAGCCAGATGCAAAGCTCGTGGATTCCGAAATTCCAGATCGATATTCCCGCATTCGGTCCGTTGGTACCACGGTGGTGGTGATGGCGACCCATCGATAGCATAGCGATGCTCCCGTCTTCGGTCCTTTAATCCCTAAGTCGAGGGGAACAAAATGCGTTGCGGCCAACGAACGGGTCCGGAGGGAATTCGTGAACGACGATGATCCTGGAAGATGAGTTGCACGGTTGCCGGCTGACAAGCCGGTCGCCTCGACGGACCATGTCGATCCGATCGCTATGTGCCGTTTTGGAGCGGTCCAGGGGCGCAGTAAAATTTAGCGCGTGTGCTTGCGTGATCTCAAGGACGGAGCCAATTGCTGGTGTCTAGGGCATGGAGAAGGTTTGTCAAGTGAGTCGCGGAACCGGAGTCAACTCCGACGAGGCTGGACCATCTTGCGAAGGCCTTGGCTTTACACTGCCTCGGGTCGTTGTTGTTGGGCTGGGATCAATTTTAGAGCAGAGGTGATAATGCTGGGATCATAATATTGAATTATTGTTGAACGAAGAGGAGATGCAGTCGCCTGACAGAATATTACTACTACTTCGAAAGCGGTGACGAGTAGGTTACGCTTGTAACGAGATCCTTCTGGCTCTCGCTGTCGATGTCAATATCGCTGCCGCTGCCACTTCGATTGTTCTTCTCGTAGTGATGTTCGACTTGCTGAGTGACATAAATGCTTTTGCCGTGGCCGTCTTGGTCGGCTCTGGGGGAGTAAGGACCGCCACCCATAGGCCCCATTGGGAGTTCCGCATCGCCCTCGTTGGTATGGCGCGTAGCTCTGCTTCTCAGTCCATATCCTTCGCTCAGACGGCCGCTGTATCCGGCTCCGTATCCCTTGCTGCTGTGGCGGGTGGAGAACGCGGGTATAATCCTGACGATGAGTGGCTTCAGTGCGGGGAGTGAGGCGCACACGATGCCCAGATTCATCTCGATTGACGACCAGTACGCTGTAGCCGCAGAATAGTATGTACGATCGTCCATGTGCTGGCTGAGCACTACCAGGGCATGAAGTCGTAGGAACGAGACCAGACAGACGAACCACCCAATCGTCAGAACTCCGATCAGAGCGAACTTCTGTCGATTGGGTAACTGCAGTGCCCAGATGGCTTTAACAGGCAGTGACGCGACCATCAGATCGGTGAAGATGTTCATGCCGGCATTCAGGAACCAGAGGCTGTTGTGAGATAAGCGCAAGTTGATCGTTCGCTGTGCAATCTACTTACATCTCGTCTTTGACGCAATTTGCATTTGCTTTCGCCTCTAGATCCCAGAATGCTTTTACAGGCACGCAACCGAAGATTGAAGTACCGAATGTCGAAACACCCCTATGAGGAAGGTATTGTCAGCATTGATTGCGTAACTTCTGCCAAGGCTACCCTTACCAAGCAACGCAAATTCCCATTGCGATATTTAATGGCCACTGCATACCACCAAGAGTAAAGATTCGCTTGTACTGCATAATGATAGATATCTTGATGAACATAAGACTCAAGTTGTATGTTATGATGGACCAGAATAGGTACTGTTTTAAATTAGCCTAGACCCATATGCACGTATAGGAGATCGCTGACCTTGAGCACCAGTTCGACTTTGTCAGGGTAACGAACAAACATCGCGTGTTTGCCATTGCCAGCATTTGCTTGTAGTACTTGAACGATTCCTGTCGCAAGTGATAAGAGCTGTACAGACTTGATCAGCACACGACCATAGCATGTAGAATGTGCGATTGACATACCGTTGCAATGATGATGGAGTAATCTTCCCATCCAACAGCTTTGTACCTGAATCTTGTGTAGATGCGAAGGGAAACCGAAACGAGTGCGATGACAGTGAATGCAATGACGATGTTCTTGGTGAGTGGACCCAGATCCTCTCCAGCCAACTTGGCCAATTGCTCAGGTGGTATTTGATCCATAGCGGCCATGGCGTTGAGTGAGAGTGTCGGCAAGGACTCAAAGACAGTGACAAGACGAATATCGATATTGAAGATCCGGGTCGTCGAGGTACATGAGGCGATCCTTTTACATATTAAAGACAGGGTCTTATCCCGGGACCATGTATGCACTAGTGGACGGCATGCGTCTTGGACATGCAGAGGGCCTGACACTTCCTCGGTGGTAAAGAAACCTTGTCCATTAGTGGGTACCAAGCCCACTTCTCCGTCTGAGGATCTGGGGCGTGCCTATGCTGGAGTTCGGCTAGCTTCTGCAGTACAAGATTTGCATAGCCAATGGTTCACCTCGCGGACCTCCCGGGGGCGCGGTGGCGCAAGGTACGCGAGTACCGGTAGTCTCTGAAGGGGTTCTTGTCCGCTACTGATGATGTCGCTAGAGGAAAAGAGTGTCGCTAGAACAGGCATTTGACATCTTCAGGAGACTTGGAATCTCAGTTTAAGCTTCTGTATACAGCCGAACCGCTGGAACTCCGCAATTAATGTTGTTGATGCGTCTCGATAGTGCGAGAACATGCGTAAAGCACCATTTCGACACGTTTTTTTGCAAAGGGAGACCACGTGGAAAGCACTTAGCACAACCAGTCCACCTCTACTGCAACAGTGGGCTCTACGCTGGCCTTCGACCTGCCTGGAACGAACCGATTTCTACCGCCGGGCGCATGCTTGCGATGGTGTGGTAGACCAATGGATCTGCACCGAACGCACGGTTGGCTTAGACTCAATAAGGTATCGCGCCTCGTATTTACCAGGAAAACGTGGAGACGTTGCGCAATCGAAGTGCTGCAAGGGGCTCGCTTTTCCAGAGACCCACAGGGTGGTCACATTAACGCGTGTGCAGGTATGGTTCATCTTGGTGAGACATCCCACATCCGTTGTCTCAGAAGCACCAGCAGGCCTTGCGAAACATCTCTGTTCGAAAGTACAAGGCACCCTGTCTGGGCAGATATGAAAATGACCCATGGCTGGGAGCGTTTTCCATCGGGGTTAGCTGCCAAAAGTGTGCTGAGTTCAGCCCAAGAATCCCTCAAATCAGATGCACGAATCATCGAATGGCTTCCGTCATGGGAATACACCAGAGCTCGAACCTAAGGACTAGGAACAGGTTCCCGCTGGACAAAGGGTTCGCGTGAATCTTATAGAGATAGTCGAGCTCGCAGGCGGAGCGTCATCCGCCCGTCGGGCTTCTTCTCCGTGGTTCTGTCTGCGCCTGCACGATCGAAGGTTCCGAGCTATCGGAGTGAGCGAGGGGTGGTAGAGCCTTCTCCTGGTACCGCTGCGATGAAGATCCTCTTCAGGGACGGGATAGCTCCGAGCTGACTGCGTTGCTTGTGGAAGCTTATGGGGCAGAGAAGGTGCAAGGTTCAGACATAACTCATTCTCCAGAAGATAGTAAATAAAGAGCGAAATTGGACTAACTGTGTCCTTGGAGATGTGAATCACAGCCTGTAGTTCGCAGGCTACGGCGGGAAGGAAAGCAATGGCGGCGCATCTGGTGAGTCGCACTTGGCTCGCTGCCTTACACCGGGGTACTGTGCATACCTGCACCTACATGAGCTTGCTTTAGAAGTAACATTTGCATAGAGGATGGCAGGGAATTGATCTGCAAGGATCGCGTGAGAAACGCGATCTGCATAATCTCGATGGAAATGATCGTTGCCGTCCGTCGTCTGCCACGCATTGTCGGGTTCGCCGCACGGGCCGTCGCTTGGGTGATAACTTCCGACGTGGGGTTGCATGGAGTACCCAGAATTTCCCGCCCACGTGCGCCGTACTGCACGCTCATCACGTTGTTAAGGTTCAAGGGTATGCTGCAAGTATCTGCATTCATCGTTGCCGCTTGCCTCAAGCTTCAGGTTGCTCGTTGCAGGTGACTGCCCATCACATCACACATTCAGCTAGTCCATTCCCTAGATTATGGCCGCGCTCATCATCAAACCCAAACATTATCCAAGAACTACCAATAACTAGACCCTGCCATCATGCTCGTCATCGTTTGAGATCGATAAGCGTAAGGAGCGGTCCGCAGGTACCAGTATCTACCTGATAACTCACCCGCCTGGCAAACCTAGATCCCGCGGCGTCTTAAATCAAGCACGACCAACCTTAGGACTCGAAAGATTTGCAGTGTCTCGACATATGCATGGGATACTCGATCCGTGAAGGATGCGTGCTGCGAGGTCATCGCCTCTTATCTTGAATCGGCCCGACATACCCCCTTGATGCAGGTATCGCGAGCCTTTGCATACACCACCACTGCATGAACGGGGAATCACACCTGAAAACTGGTTTCCTCGCAGAACTTTACGCATCCGGCTACATTGATCCTCAAGAATTGCATGCTCTCGGTAACTCGATAGAGGATCGTTCAAATTCACGGATATCATCACGCCATTCTCACACTAGGCGTGCTCAGAGTGAACAGGGAAAATGATGATAAGGCCGTCTTCCAAGGAGCCAAAATCACTGATGGTAAGAATTGCTCAGCGCCGGCAGCGGAAGGAACGGATAGACAGCTTGGCGATACAACAACTTGGCTGTCGGCACCAAATGTCGGGTGATGTAAACGGACGAATTATGGACACAAAAATGAGCGAATTGCTTTGTAAAAAACCTCGGTCTCGTCAATTGGAAAAGTTACCGCGGCTCCAGTATTTTCTTCCTCTTGCGCTTCGCTTTGTATCATTATTTTACGCGAATGCAACCTCAATTTACTCCTGCATAACAGTGTTCCGACCCACTGGGTATGACGAAAAGGGAAAATAATAGCTCATCAAATATCGTTATTACTTCATCACATCCCTTCTCAATGACTCGGGCGCGGGAATCTGGCTAACCGTCAGCCTCAACGTATCGCGCACAATTCCTCGTACACACTCATTGATGCCTCAACAGCGTCGGGCTTTTCCATGTACACACAGTCCTAGCAAGAAGCGCAACCGCGCGATTGAGACCGGCCTGTCGGCAATGGCACGACAAGGTCGATAGACGTTGTGGGTTTGGGTTGTCAAGAACAGACGTGAGTTGAGTATTGGTGCAGCGACACGATGCCTTGGAAGGAGCCGCCATGATGGGAGGTAATGTCAGGTGTTTAGGTCGCTGAACTGGTCGCAGTGATGGAAATGAATTCGGAGAGTTGTTGACAACGCAGTAATGCTGTGCGACGATGGTGGGGTGACTTTGCGTTTCGACAGCATAAAAATGATTCACAACGCCACATCATTGTTGGCAAGGCCAATGTTGATGCATTACCTAATTATGATTTCCATCTACTGAACGAAGTCGATTTGGAAGTAAAGTGTAGATGGAGAAGGGCAAAGACTTTTTTCCCGTGCCCATTGCTACTTCATGTAGTAACAAGAATTCGAAATTTTGAACCTCGTCGGTAAAGGACTACGAGAATTCATGGGGGGCATGCAATTCTCAACCCACACTTTTGAGTGTGTAGCTCGCGCATGAGCGTATTCGATACAACTCAAGAGAGCCTCGTGCTCCCTGAGAGGTACCGAATCGTTCGGCAGTAGCTGCAGCGCTTTACTAAAGCAGTCCAGCGCTCCGGCAATGAAACGACCCATGTTTTCTCCGTTGCCAGTCATCGCAGCGAGCCTCATAAAGCGTGCTTGTCAGTATCTGAACTTCGCAATATCAGCATCCGAGGGCCGGAACGTGTGTCCATCTTTCCAGTACCCTGCTCGGATGATGACCTCCGCACCCAAGCTCATGCCAATGTCCAAGCTTTCAGCCTTACTCAGCAGTACACTGCACAGCTTGAGTGCGTACTGTATCATGTTGAGCGTTGTCAGGAAACACAGCTCAGCGAGGTTCTCGACAAAGCCCTCGCCGCTTTGGATTTCCAGCGAAGGCCACGAGTTACCTCGATGCATACGAAGCGCAGCAAAACTGCCTTCGTTCCGTACCTGAAAAGCCCTCATGTGCTGTTCAGCTTTCCATGCTTCTAGTCTAATTTCCCTGGAAACAGTAATATACTGGAGTGCCTTCTTCGTGCTTGTCCACTCGAGATTGACAGTTTCGTAGCAAAACGCCTCTGCCATGTCCGATTCGATGTGACCATGAACCGAAACCTTCATTTCTCGAACATGCATCTCCAATGGAAGCAACGGGTCTTCGACAAGGTCATCTGAGAAGAAGTCGTTGAAGAGAGGCTCGTAATGTCTCCTTGGCTCATTGAGCACCGGCGCTATCTCAATATCGAGGTTTATTTGAAGAACCTGGGTAAATTCTTCAGTACCAGTTGAGAGTGAACATGACATACTCAACCCACAATAGCGTTATCGCCCCCATTCGACATTTCAGAGTCTGCTCGCAGGATCATCATGCACAGGAGATACAGGTGTCGAGAACGTATCATAATGGCGCGAAAATTGGCTGGTCCTTCTAGTGCTAGATTGCTATCTGAAGACAATGTGAGACGCATGACGTATCCATGGAATTGAGATGCATGAACCTCGTTCAACGCGACGATAGGGTTAAATGAAATTCGCAGCATTGTCTGAAATAGAACGCTGATGATAGCAGTTACGTGAATGAAACGGTTCATCTTGACTATGACAGCGTAGGCTTCCTGATAAACTTGCTTATTGGTGCGGAGGATCGTGACATTGATGTCATCAATGGTACTTATGTACCTGTCCATCAGCTTTTAGATACAGCGACTACGGTAGGTTCGGCAAAGGAACATAACAAGATGGCGCAAACGGTGTTGCGCAACTCCTCAGGACTACGAAGACGTTAGCACAAATGTCATACGCGGAGCGTTCGTGAGATACATTCAAGTACATAAAGCGGAACGGCTTCTCGTTCGCACCCGCCATCTTGATAATCTCCGGCGGGCGAAAAGGGTGAGCGTGCATGAGTGAGGTCGAAAGGTCACGTCGAGGCAAGACCAGTTGCGACTGACCCGCGCGCATGCGTTAGAAAAGTGGGCCCGCCGTCTCACTTCACTATTGCGCAAGTGTCATAGTCATGCATACATGATTCGAGAGAATTGTTTGAAGTTTTTATGCATTCCATAGTTATCTAAGAATCTGGTCATGACAGTGACAATGTGTGCACTCTCAGCTGAGAATAAGGAAAAGGAAGTTACAAAGGATTTAGCATTTCTTGCTTACTCTTTTGGCTATCTTTGGGAGGTGGTAGGCGCCCGAGCTCCAGGGGGAGACCTTGTGGTGTTGACTTCCGAAGTAAACGATGATAGGTCATCCTGGTGTTATGTGCTTGATCAACCACCACTCTGTAGCCACACCAAGATACTATCTCTTTCCTTCATGATCGACGCGTCCCCAGGTTGTAATTGCAGCGCTGCATCAATATACATCAAAGCACGATCTGCTGTGCCTGGCTCGCGCTTAAGTCGTATCAAGACCGCAAACCTATATCTCAATTTGGCTAAGTGTTGGATTGATGGTCGATACTTGTATCCTTCCATCCAATGACTCTTCTTTGTAGAGCGGGCTGCCGAGTTCAAGCTTTCCTCGGCTATAATGGCAGCATAAAACGCCATGCCTGGATTTTCCTGTATGTTTGCAATCTGTATAAATGCCAGGTTGAGACGTAAAAGAAAGTATAACTCAGCCAACTGGGATACGAAGTGCTTGCCGCCACGCCTGACAAGGGCAGGCCATGCGCCGGATGCCAAGATTTTGTCAATATCGACCGCGGCATCCGCCCATGCAAGATAAGCGTCCCCTCCGTTTTGCTGCTTGAACAGGCTCGAGCCATTCTCCTTCGCAGCTACGAGATCGGCAAGCACTTTTTCTGGGTCTGACCAGCGGTCTTGTTTGATCTCGTCCTGTACTGCAAGGGCAAGATCTTCATTGACATGACCCTGGACCTTGATATTCTGAAGTCCTCGAAGCAAGGTCCGGAAAGGCGCAAGTAGTGTCGCTTGCGTGGTTTCCGAAAAGAAATCCTGGAGAAAAGTTACATGACCGATGGGAAGTGGTTCGATCAGTGCCGGTGCAACGTCAATCGAGATCTGTACCACCAAGCTGAACCCTTTCCTATGCGCATCTCCATCGCTGAGAGCCTGGCACAGCCAGCCCATATCGCGGTGCAGTATCATCACAGAGCATGGTTGTGATATTTCAAGATCGTCTTGGGGCGTGTTCGGAGGTACTGTGCTGCCGATGCGAAGCGCAAGAACATAGCCTTTAAATTGTTCAACCTTGGCCTTGTCCGATGTGACGATAGGCACGCGTATGCTTTGGAGAAGGAGGATTATGGGCAGGCCCCGAGCGGATGTCAGTCGGACGAAGCGGTTAGTCTTGACCATGACGTCGTATGCCTCTCGGTAGACATCCTTGTTCGTGCGTAATATGGCTGCTTCATTGCCGTTGTTGGCTTGGGTATACTCGAATGTCTCTTCAGCACTCATAAATCCTTCCTCTGGGCGGGGTTTGAAGTTGCAAAGCAGCTCCCGATAGATCTTGTCACGGATCTCGCGAGGCAAATCGCGAAAGCGGAACGTGGTCGGTTGAGAAGACATGTCGTTTGATACCATATGGTGATGGGTGCAGGCGGCGGACATTGATTTACTGAGAGCCGAGAGAAGAAAAGTAACGGTGCAACGTCAAAAGTTAGGCACAAACCGGGATCTGATTTGCGGGATGCCGAGTTCGACACGTGTTCCGCCGAAACACGCTAACACACGTCGTCACGGGACCTTCGGATACACCAAAAGTGCGGCCGTCTAGCCAACGAGAACCGTGCTTGCCCCTCACAACAACCACCTCCTTTCCGTCTGACATCGTGTCTTGACTCCCATCACACCGGTAATATCCCCGCAGCAACCCAATCCTCCGCCTCAATATACTCCCTCAAACTCGTCGTCTCAACCTTGATACCCATCTACCCTTATTAGCCATCGCACAATCCCATCACACATTCAAACATACCTTCTCCAAATCCCACCTCATCAAAGTGTCTGATTGGCTGGCATTATACCCCATCTCCGAGCTAAACTCATACATCTCTCCAATCTCCCTGCCCACCCCGCCCGGTGCATACGCATCCATGTCGCTCACGCTAATCTGCTTATAACTCGTCTTGACACCCTTCATGTCGCCAAAAAGCTCAATCCACTGCGGCCAGGTGAGCCACTCGCTCGCCGCCATGAGCGTCGAAGAAGGTGGGAGTTGAAGCAGCGCACGCACGTGCGGACCCGTGTCTTTGCGGGGATCGAGATGCGGAATCAGTGTGTCGGGGTGCGTGGGGAATTGCATCTGGATCGAGCCATCAGGCTGCTACACAAGTCCTCGTTAAACACTGAAAGTGACCAGAGATGAGGGCCATTAAACCTTTGCAAACCACAGCCCTGGCATGAAGCGCCAACTCGTGAAGAAATACCCGGTGTGGAGGCAACTTGTTTTCCGGGCTAGAGATGGGTACCTGTCCTGCAGATATGTGGGGAAGACATCGGCTTTGCTGTCGAAGTGGTAGAGTTCTTGATACTTCCCGTTGCTTAACTTCTTCGCGCTGCACAACGTACTCGCTACGAAGCCTACATCATCCAGGCCATCGAGTTCGCGAGCAACAGCATCGACAATATTTTCCCCTTGCTCGAGCTCTAGTTCATACGCGTACTGCCCGACGGACTTCCCCTGCTCTTTCGCCCGTGCTTGGTTTTCGGGGTCGAACAAGGGCTTCCAGAAATCTGTTACGCTGAAGACGAGATTTGCACCTTTGAAGACGTCTCTGAGTGAGGAGGGATCGTGAAGATCTGCTTGGACCATTTCAACACCTTGCGCTGATAGTGCTTTAGATCCCGCAGAATGAGTATCGCGGGTGAGGCCGCGGATGCGCCATGCTGGGTCCTGGAGGAATGTGGAGGCTACGGACCCTCCTTGGTTGCCAGTGATGCCGATGACTACAAGTAATCTCACCATCTTCTCAAAGTCATGAGAGACCTCGAACCGGAGGTGTTTGAGGCGAGGTTTCAACCAGTGCTTGGCGATGCTGACCCCGCCGTGAGGTCAGCTCATGCACCTAAAGACCGATTCACGAGCACCTCCACGCCGATCAATGTGTTCAGAATTCTTAGTTCATATCTTCTCTGTCCGCGCAGCTTTTCTACAGGAACTTATGTCCCACTGCCGGTCTTGACGCGTCCAGGACTCATATCTACTCCGCAGGCAACTTCCACCCACCAGGCATTAGCTCCGTAAACACCTTGAGCAGATCATACTTGCTCCTAATATCCTTGAGCTTCTTCAGATTTTCAGCTCCGTAGCTCTGAAACACAGGCTGCTCCTCTCCAGCCTCGTTCAAGAATAGGTACTTTGCACCTAATCCTGACCTGTTCAAGAGATCGTTGACCAGAGTTGTGAAGTCTGTCGCGAACTTGTGCATATAATCATCATCTGCCTCACAAGATGATTTCAGTTATAGCACAGTCCAGAAGTAGGGCGCTCTGAATTCATCGACGCCTTATGGGTTTCCGCCCTTCAGAATGCCTTGGCGGATGAACTCCTTGGTGAGAGGCTGGAACGATACACCAGTGGTAGCGTTAGCCCGGTCTGCGAGCCTCCTATTCGTTTCCGAAATGAGGGTACCATGAATGAGGTCGATTGCATCTCGGGTAGCCAAGCTCGAGATGACTTGCCACCTGCGGCGAAGGGTCCCTGGGACCCAACCTTGGTAGCTTTTGAGGACTTCGTTCAGCGGCTGTAACTTGTAGTCGTGCTTTACAGGTTTTATGATAGGCTTGGTGAAGTTACTCCAGACGTAGGAAATGTCGATGTCGGAGTCGTAGAACTTTGTGGCGAGGCACCTTACTTCCTTCATGTGAGCATCAATGGTGACGACGGGTGTCAGCGCTGCTTTCGCAATTGTAGCACCATACTGGGCAAAGTTGTAGACAGCATCAATGAACTTCGGTGCTTGGTCGCTCGAGTACTCTGACGATTCAATGAACACTTTCGGCGACTTTAGGGTGGCGAGGTCAAAGCGGGTCACGATACAGAAAGAGTTGCCGCCAGCTTTCGGTACCCAGAAGAGGTCCGAATGCGAGTCGTTTGCGGTCGCTTCAACGATCGAACCATCAACTATTACACACTGTAAATATTAGTACGGTTCATGAAACGTTATCGGTGAACACTCACCTCGTACTTCAGCACGTTGTCGGAAGCGAAGCCATATCGACTCGAGTAGATGGAGAGGCCACCACCCAGAAGCAGACCGGACACTCCGATCTCTCCCACACGCCCACCAACCGCGGCCAAGCCTTCCTTTGCCAAGAAATTGTACACTTGTGCCCACCTCAGCCCTGCACCAACTGAGACGACGTCTTTGTTGCCATTCAGCTGCAAGCCGTTGAAGTCCGTCGTTGAAAGTAGAACACCGGTCGCATCAATTTTGCTGCTACCAGCAATCGGCATATGACCACCACCGCGAACCGCAAATTTCGTCTCGGTATGAGTGAACTTCTGGACCGCAAAGACGATACCACGCGCGTCCACGTGTGTGAAGACGCTGTTGGGATGTTTGTAGTTCGAGGCAGCGTAGCTGTACTCTTTCACTTGTTAGCGAAGACGAGAACATAACAGGGTAATGCCTGCGAGCTCGAGTTTCATTCGTGTACCCCCCTGAACCAGTGTAGTAGGTAAGGTGGGATAAGCTGCTTTTGATTGCACACATGTATCAATTCCAGCAACCGCCGAAGCGATGCCAGTAACCACCGTCAGTAGACTTAAATTCAGCATACCGAGTGTCACGAGGATCAAGGTGTGGTGATTGTAATTCTTGAGGACACGCGAGTGAAAGGTACAAGGTTCTTCGATTGCTCCTGCATGGCGCACTCACCACCAAGCGGCTGATCTGCACCAAGCGGTCCTAGTGCGCACAAGAGTGGAATGATCACTCGTGCTCAAACCAATAAAGTTACATTTCACTTCAGATCTACTTCCTGTATTGAGCCTGATATCCTCCTGGAAGCTCAGTCACCCCTAGAGGGGTCAGTGGGAAGGTATGTTAACGGAATATCCCTACTTACAGGCATCGATTTCCTCCTTCACGACACGGTCAACTGTGCATTTGTTCATTGCAGCCGCGTCCTGTGTCTTCAATGTTGGGCAATCAATATAGCACGGGTTATCAAGCGCGCGTTGCAGGGCGTCGTCTTTCCATCCGAACAGGTAGTCACCGTGGTTTGCGTAACCAGTGCTGTACGACAGGTTAGCGGTCCTTACGCTGTCATGATTGGACTACACTCACCCGTCACCAAAACTCCACACAAAAGGCTGAGACCCATCGCTCGGCCAATCATCTTTGTTATTGAATTGGGTTGTGTCCCAAATGACTTCGTAGAACAGCTGACCCATGCGCACAGGATGTGATGCTGGACATGGACCGCCGGATTCGAAGCTACCAAACTCAGGGTATGACATGTGCGCCATGTGATCGGGTGAGTCAAGGTTCTTACCGTCCCAACAGGTAGGAAAGCGAACAGCCGTCATAATGCCGGCCGCACACGGTTTGGTAGGGAAATCCAAGGTTTGAGGATCACGGGTATTGATGTTGTCCAGGCAGGTAAACGTAAGTTGCCGGAAGCGCTCAGCTTCGGCTTGGGTACGGGCGTTGACATCGCCAACGAACATGCGAAAGCCCTTGTATTTTGTAAGAACGCGGTGAATAGTTCAGTTGCGTGGACAGTGACTTGACTCACGGGCTGAAATGCTTGAACTTTTGAGGTCTGTTGAAAGTTATACAAACCGTCTTGCATATAGTAGACAGTCATACCGCCATTGACACCCGTGAAGCCGCTGTTGGGAATTTGAGGTACACGCTTATATGTTCCGTTCTTTGCCTTGAAGTAGCTAGTGAGAGGTCAGTCATGATAGCCTATGTACATATCGATATATTCGTAAGCCTTACAGCACAGCAGTCCAGTAATTCTGACGACCATCAGCTATTTGAACACGGTGAAATGTTGTGGTATCTGACGTACAGAGAAATCTTCGCTGAATTGGCATGATGTGCACGTAGATTCGCCAGGCATATCTTTTTCTGGGTCCATCGTGATGTTAAAGGAGTTCTACGATACTGTTAGTTGCTTGCTTTCGCTCAGGGTCCTGTCATCTCTTACACCTCCTAAAATTTGGTGAAGATGTGGTGATGGGGCTTGACCCGGTGTTACGAGAGGATCAAGGCGGTCAATGACGAGTTGCGCACAAGGGAAGCGCAGCAAAGCATTTGAAGGCGCAAGCAGCGTAATGACTGTCACGGTAAGAATCCTCATGTTGCCTGTGGCTGTATGTCTTGGGGCAAAGAAGATCCAGAAGAAGCATCATACGACTTCTAGAGTCTTATACAAAGACACGCCCATGTCTTGATTGGCGCTATAAAAGGGTGGATCGAATGTTGTGAAACCATGCCGATAAAGAGGTAGAGTTCCAATCCTTGGTTTGGGTTTGGAATTTCTGGGCACTTTCCCTGGATCTTCAAAGCAGATTGATCGTAGCCCTGTTGTTGACTTACTTTGGATGCATCCACCAGATCCGCCCGCACGCAATTTATCCTCGAGTGGTTTCGTCGATCAGCTGTCATTGCTACGAGGACGAAATGCACTAACGCCCGTTTTAAAATGAGAGTCATGAGAATAAGGGCACTCTATCGCCCGTTTTGGTGCGCGATGGTATCTCGGCATCATTTCAGCTAGCCTTGATGACCCTTTGGTATATGCAGAAATACTCGTCGACCCCTTGAGGGCTTGGTGCTTGTGGTCCGCGACACTTGTTGAAGATTGAAATCCTTGACTGTCGTCCGGCAGTTATGCTCATGGGCATCAACCAGGTAATCTCCGACCTCATAACAATATGTGGTAAGAACCCTATTGGTTCGTGCGAGGTGCATTTACGCAAAGCTGTCCAGGTAGTGTTGAACTAACACCATGTCGGAATCTCCGCCACAATGCCAAGTCGTGGGGAAGCATCCGAAATCCATTTGCTTAAATTGTGTGGGGTCTTTGCATCTGATCATGCATATATCCGCCTAAAGTTGCTCGAAGAGCTAGAAAAATGCGTTGCACGGTGATTGGCCAACACGATGGCTTCCAAGGGATAGGCATTTGATGGACAGGATGCGCAAATCCGGGCAAAGGGCCATGTATATGAGTGCAGCCGGTCGATATGATGATTTCCTGGGCAGAAGAACGTGGAATAGAGATTTCAACGCGTAAGTAACGTTGATAACCGGGTATACATCTCTTGGTGCAATCTGCACTCTGTTGTTTCATCAGCGCGTTTACATACATTCAACGTACATCAAAAGGGTTTGTGGTATATCTTCTTGGGTGTCCAGAGACATTCCCGCTTTCAGTGAACTCACGCACATAGCCGACTTCTATTTGACTACGGTCGCCTTCCCACGTCGACAATGAAAATGATCTCTTTTGCTACGCTTGCGGGCTTCGTGTCTGCTGCATCAGCTGCATTCGATCTCAACCGAGGAGGCGGGGTGCTGAAGGCTCCTGAGGGAGATCCATTTAGGACCATCGCCGGTACTTTTATCGTCCCGAACCTTTCCGGTACGAACAGACTCTCCATATGGGTCGGGATTGGCGACTCGCTACAACAAAATTACGTGCTGGGTGGCGGCATAACCTACAATAGCACACTTCAGAGCTTCTCGGCATATTGGCCCGGTCCAGCAGCAGACACAACGACGGCAGTCCCGATTACAAGCGGTAATTCGATCACCGTGACCATCACAACGGCTGACGCCAGCGGTACCGTAACCGTGGAGAACACGACTCAGAACAAGAAAACAACGCAGTCGCTATCTGCACCAGCTGGTGTAGACTCAGCTGAGCTCACAGCGCTTGCAGCCAACTGGTTCGTTCAGGCATATCAGGTAATTCCTGGGCAGCTGGTGCAGACACCCAACTTTGGCACTGTGTCTTTCACGGCATGCACGGCAACAACGAAGAGCGGGGTTTCAGTTCCAATTTCCGGTGCAGGTCGATACGAGATTCAGGGTACTAGTGGCCAGGTCAGTACGAAGTATGAAAACCCTGGCGAATATTGTCTGCTCACTGCCACTAGATGTACACCAGCACAACGATTTCGAGCACAGGCATCTCCGTTAAGAGGCAGGCGTAGATATAATCGTCTAAAGTCGCATATTTAAATGTAACCAAATGAGACGAGACATGATGCATCGCAATGTACCGCAATGGGCTTCAACTGTGATATCAGACCTTTCTACACTATATGAATGCCGTTAGTAGCAGCTTCTTGATCGTGCTGTGTTGGACTATGCGATGCAAGACGAGGTTTGAGGATGTTGACCGGTGTCCTTTCATGTGCGATCAGATGAACTGGGCGTGAGGTGAAGATGATGAGCTGCCGACCTCCGATGACGTCGCTAGCTCGGACGCGCCTTCCCCACGAATCCTCCGACGCGTCGCAACAAACTCTGTGCAGCGAAAGACAAGATGCGCTTTAAGGCATCGATACAGAGTATCAATACCTTCACGAGTACGCACCTATCCCATATTCTTCTTCGATATCTGCTGACATAATGCAGAGCTCACCGCATCCCTGAATTCGCTAGGCCCCCTCGCTTGGGTGAAGCTCAGCGAAGAGCAAGTATGCTTTACCATTATCCCCGAGCAAGGCACGCAAGTGTGGGCGTGAGTTCACGTGCCCCATACCATGACTTGTCCTCCACTCTGACATGACTTAGTGTTCTTCACATTGTAAGGCCGCCAGTCCATCTGAACTTCAACCAGCCTAACACGCTACACAGGACGCCATCTTCGAAACCATCAGCGTCCAATCCGCCGCCAACAACGTCATAAATCTCGAAGTGCCCTTGGTAGCCTTGAATCGCGCCCTCAAATCCGCTGTCAACGCTACATCTGCAAATATACGGCTTACTAAGAAAGACAACCTGCCTGTCCTCGCCCTCACAATCGTCACGACCACATCTTCAAACTCGCATAGCGCTATCCCCACCGCCACGAACAACGACGATGGCTTCGACCCCTCTTTCGAACAGGACTTCGGCGGCAACCGCGATACCATCGTGACGCAGGAAATCCCCGTGCGCGTGCTCGCACCCGATGTCGTAGCTAGTCTACACGAGCCCCAAACCAGGGAACCAGACGTACACATCATGCTGCCTCCGCTCATGCAACTCAAATCTATATCCGACCGCTTCACCAAGATTGCACTCGGCGATGGGAAGACGACAAAGACGCGGCTGGAGTTGGCGGCGAATATGCACGGCTGCTTGAAAATGAGCATTCGTACCGATGCGATGAACATCAGCAGCGTCTGGACGGATCTGAACAATCCGGATCTGGACCCTAATCAGGTCGAGGGCGGGGAGGATGGCATTGCAGTGCATCCGAGTGAGCGCATGAAGCTAGTGGGAAGTGCGGATGGAAGGAGCGAAGAGGGATGGGCGATGGTGAGGATTGATGGAAGAGATTGGGGGAAGGTGATGAGTGTCGGGAGATTGGGCGGGAGGGTCGTTGCTTGTGAGTCGATGCGATACATTCCAATGTACGAGAGACTAACCGGCAGCAGGTTTCATCAATGAACATGCGCTGATCCTATACGTTTACTTACCTAGCGAACATAGCGAAGAGGAGTCGGTATTGACGGTACATATCCCCTCGGTTTCTCTAAATCTGCCTTGCTAATGTGCTAGCAGTACTACGTCAGCTCTTACAGCGCATAACGTGCAGCGGGGCCACTCACGAATAACGATCTAGATACCACCTATGAGACCACGTAGCAAAATACAATCCACATACATTTTGCCACTGCGCAGTTCACGTAACACATAGCAAAAAGCGAAGCACAGCTTCCCTAACCCCGAGCCACGCCCACATATCTACTTCACCGATGCCCATGTCCGGCCAAGCAATGAGTCGCCCCGGCACGCCTTAACGTGGCTCAGTCAGTGGCGCCCCGTCCGCTAGGCGGTGGTTGCGCTGAGACACTCTGGTAGCTTACCGGATTTACACTCTGAGACAATACCAGTGCTCTAGTGACTGTGCGGTCGGGAGGATGGAGGGACGGGCCGAAAAGGTTGACGAGAGACGGTGCGGTTCGGGATGACTGGAGACATGTTTGTGCGCTGCCTCTGGGAATGCGCTGTGCCGCTGCGGCTTTGGGGGGGATGTGGTGAGCTTGGCAATTTTGCTGTGGGCGTTGTGGGTGTTTGCGTGGCAGCCTGGTGTGGCTGCATATGTGTCTTGACTCCGTCGCAGCACGATCATGAGTCTGAAATCTCTATTCGTGCACCCGTGTACTTGGGTTTGACCGGTATGACTCTTCACGCGCCACACGCCTTACATATCTTCAAACTACAGCTCAACCACCTCATGCTCACACGTCTGCCTTCTATCGTCAATCAGTCCAAAACTTGTTAGCCGTCATAGAATTTATCGCAATTTTTCCCCGCTCATTAGCATGAGACTCCTCCTCGCCCGCACACACTCTTAAAAATCATTGAGTCGCAACTCTCACAACCGCCCTGTATATTCCATCCAAATTAAAAATTATTTATTCCTCTCTAGTAAGTAAGCTGGTTGTATGAACGGTTATCTTATTCTCCCCCATGTTCCTCAGAACGAGACGAATTGTTTTTTGACCATCAAGCAGCGTGAGTTTGAATTCTTGCTAGCACTGATTGATCTTTTTTCTCTCTTCTCAAAGTGAAAATGATTACTGCTGCTACTTTCCTTTGCTGTCTTGACTTCTCTCAAGTGTCTCGCATAGGTCTTGTTTTGTTTTCTTCGCGCGGAAGATAGCTCCATCAGTCGGGCAGTGCTGGGAATACGTCTCCGCGTTTCATCGTTTCAAGCAAGGGGTTGTGTGGATCATTCAGCCTTACAGGTGTGAGGCTCCGTCGGGGCCGCCGAGGAATGCCAATCATCCTGATTGAGAAATGAATAGTGTGCGCGGTTTCAAGTTTCAATGCAGGGGACTAGGAGAATGGGGAGGTGTGAATGTCGCAAGTGGTTGTAAGTAGCAATAGGGCATCTCAGCTTGTTTGCTGTAGTGTGGTGCATCTACCTCGCGCTGGATTGCTCGTCTGAGCGAACGTGCTTAATATTGAGACGCACATTGAGCAGAGCTATGTGTAACCTGGTGACGTTCCTCGTGATCGCGCAAAAAGAAAAAAGAATGGATAGTCGCCTGAATTGTCGCCGACTGGAGACGTTGTACCTATCTTTGCCTTTCGTCGCCTCCGTCCGAAGCTCGTAAGATATTCCACAACCATCTCGCGTCCCTTTGACGTTCTCGCAATGCTCCAACCTCGAAAGGCAATGTTTCGTAAACGCCACGGGTGGCGCCGATACTGCAACGTCCCACGAGCCCAGTCTACGGGTTCGACAATGCGTCATCCCTCGTCTGAACTGCAGCCAGCCTAAGCGAGTGAACACATGTTCGGCGAGGAAACGTGCTGGAGCCTTGTTATTGAGGTAACTACTTGATGAGGCTGTGGCCGGATCCTCTACGCCCGAGTCTTGTGAAATGGTCGACGGCGAGAGAGCGATGCAACATCGGTGCCTGCGAGAAGGTTCTCGAGAGCATAAATGGCGGCACTGCTTGGAAATGGGAAAAGGGCGCCGTGGACATTAGATTTCCAAGCCTATCCCGCTGCCGAATGCAGTAGTCTCCCATGGCCCCAAAATAACCCATTTGCAGACTTGAAATGCCCGTAAAATGCACCTCATCGAGCACCTGCATGATCGAGAGGCTATTATTACGCAAAGTCAGCAGCCTTCTTTCCTCCAATCCCATCTTTGTCTTATGCATGTATTTAACCTGTTGCGGACAATGGCTGACACTGGAACCTGAAACGTGCGGCGCAGTCAGCCCTATGGGCGCGAAAACGCGCTTAACGCGACTAGGGCACGCTACGATGGGATCGGGGCAGTGCCTATTTTTGGGGCCACATGCAGAGCTGCTGATGATGCTGCGATGCGCGAAGTGTGTTCCTGCAGGTGCGCAGATGGTGTGAGTGGAGTAGCCTCAGTGTCGGGTCTGCAGCGCGAGTGCTTCGAATTGATAATGGCGATTTGTCGGAATGCGAGTGTGAGCTACCGGTATCTAGAGAGAGCGCATTGTGAAAGTTGACGTGGCCGCCGTGGAAGCGAAGCGAGGTCACACTGCTATTGGAGCGAGTATTTCCGGACCCAATAGTTCACGAGAACCGACAGGGACATGTTGAGAGAGGTCTGCCTCCAAGGCAGTATCGCTGCTGGACCCGACTTCCTAATGCCGCTGTCGGCAGTGCTGGTTGTCCCGATCCTCGATATAGTTCAGGGGTGCATCTGATGTTGTGCACCTGGAAAAATTCCATTTCCATGTCATCGGGTGGACGGTGTACGAATGCAGGCATTGGAGCTCATGGGCATCCTTCTGCATCTGTAGCACGAACGTGGCTCAATTCCGGTACCAAGTCGACCCATGTGGGAACATGCAACGTGAGCACATCTGCAAGATGTATTGGACATGTTTCAAGAGCCCTGCCTGCAGATAGTAAAGCGAGCATTTTGCTGATTGGCGTGTCATGGCTATAACGTGAAATTGGGCGTCTGGGCGTAGGTCGCTGTCCGAACAGTCAATTGGGTTCAGCTGAAGCAGGTGTGCACGAACCAGGTATAGTGAACTAAATTTCGCCCGCAAGTCGCAGTCGCAATTGTACGAACTGCCTCCACGAAATTGCTGTGCGCATTACTCATTCGCTGCCCGGTCAACAATGATCAAAAAGGCGGTTCTCTAGCACCTTGATAGTCTGTATTCCCAGCAGTGCAGGACTACGGGCGATGCACATGTAAGGGCACTGCTCCTCGGCTCCGGGCTCGTGTTCTGGCAGCGGGAACTACGCCCGTCACAGTTATTGGTACTGCGCATAATCGCACTGAGTGGACCACAGCTGGACCATGTGCGCTGAACTTCGCGGATGGCCTCCGATCCGTCAGAGGCATGCAGCACAAGTCGGCGAATCCTGTATCTGGCATGCTACTCGCCTCAACGGCTAATTCTGTATGTGGGATGGCAGTACTCTCAACGGCTGATTCCAGCATTCAGGCACCAACGGCGTGGCGCTCTGGAGTGGAGTTCGACAATGGGGAGCGGGTGTGTGGCTCAACGCTCCGCCCTGCGCTGTGTTCCCCAGCGTAGTCGAACTACGAAAAAGGTCCTTTGGGACTATGATTCGCCGAGCTGCGGGTGTTTCAAGCCATGCGGCGGCCTCCCTCTTGGAACACTGTGCTGTAACGTCCCGAGCGTAGTTCGCACATGGCCTGAGGCAACGCGCAGGCACAGCAGTGCTCGTGGCCACGGATCGTCCTCCATTTGGCGACTGCTACGCAAGATCGTCATAGATCGCATTGCTGTGCGACCGCGATAATTGATATTGTGCTGTACACTTCCCAGAATTGTCGAGCTCAGTACCGACAATCAATGGCTGTGCCGTCGCCTCATCGGAAGCGGCATCTCACCAGCGGGTTGCCGAAGCAGTCGAGTGTGTAACAATCCCTGCTGCATTGCGCAGGTCCGCTATTCGTGGGTTGAGGAGACCGATGCACATGCTCGTGATGATGCTGTATGACTGTGTCGCACATTATTATTTTCACCCGCCAATAGCAGGTCCTGCAGCGCTTGTCGAAGAAGGATTCCTGCCTGATCTCCCCACGCCGTTCATCGTCGCAATGCGTATCCGACGTGGGAATGAAGACGTGTCCTGGGGGAGAGGAGGACTCCAGATGCAGATTGAGAGGAGGCAGGCAGGCAAACCTCTCTGGTGAAGTGCGCATCTTCTGCGACGCTCCTCTTTCCACTTTTTTTCGAGTCCATGAGACCTGCAATACCTTTTGCTCAACGGCTCCACCACCCAATCGCAAGCTCTCGCAATACCAGCCGCGGGTCGACTTCAAGGTTGCGTCCTTAATCCCTAATCAGCGCAGCGCGGCTGGCCCCTAGCGTCGCAACCGTGCACTGCGGCTCATCCATGTGCCACGCCCTCAGCACTGACACACAGACCCTGAAACTTATTCTGGTCTACCACCCATTCCATCGCGTCACTCGCCATATGCTGCGCAGTGCGCCATTGCAGGCTGCGATGACTAGAAGCCTTGACCAGGACCAGGGCTGCGTGGGCTTGCAGCCATTCCCGGCGCTATGGTTTGCTGGTGAAGGTGTAAGTGAACAGTGCGTATAAAGACTTTGGATGCCTGGCGGCAGGCAGAGAATAGTCACACTCACAACGAAAACGTAAACCATCCGCCTTCTTCAAGCGTCCCTTTCTTGGCCTGTACATCTCTGTTGTTTCATATAAGTCGAGTCGATATCCCGTTGAGTTCAGGCATCACTTCAGTCATCCTCTTCTTCAGTCTTCCATCGCTTGCAAATCAGCATACTCCGTCGGCTTTCACTACAACCGTTCCGTTGCCACTACATCCTCGATTTACTATCACTTCGCCACTACAATCAACTTCAATCATATATCAAACAATCCAAATGGAAGGTCGCGGCGGTTACAACTAAAGCGCTCGAACTACCAAGCAACACCACCTCACATCAGATCTATATCATCAGAAACACCACCCATCAGCTAGGCGAAGAAGCAATCTACACCTCCGCATCCCCAATACCAATACAACCATCACCATGGGTCGAGGCGGATACAACTAAGCCAGCGGCTGCTCCCGCACGCCGCCACCACCATCAACACATTCGCCTTCTTCACCTCTATAACAGCCACGATGGCTGCTCCATCAACGACTAAACACCATCACCGGCCCCGGCCAACATCCCGAACGCAGCGCAAGCAACGCACCGAGCGCTGGCGGACAAACTTCCCGCAATAGCATCACCTTTTGGGCTTCGGCCATGTATCTCTACGCACACCTTCTGTACCAACGTTTCTTTATCCTTTTGTATCACCATCTTCCCTTCTTCCTTTTAGCACAGCATAGCACAGCACAGCGATGGAGTCTCACCTGCGGTATCTAGACATGTATGATGGAACACGAATTCGGGGCATAGGGATATCGGCGCGCTTTTTTTGTTCTGCATATTTCATCGGCGTCGAGGGGTTTGCTTTTTTTTTTAGTAGAATGGGAAACCGGCCGGGAATAGCGGCTCTTCATTGAGCTGGGCCAGGCAACGGGAAATGGGCATACGGTAAACGGAAACGGAAACGGCACGTTTTTTATAGAGCTTGGAACCTGTTTGGAGTTTTGGGGGGCGTCTTTCTGTTTCTTCCTTGTCTATCGGAGCTTTCCTTTTGGAAATTCACATTCGCTTTATTTGGCCACATCTCAAATCTTCAATCTCTCTGCTTTTGCATCCATCTTACTCCGTCTGCATCTGCGCTGGTTGATCCAGTAGCATGTTTTCCTCACTCCATAGCCACTTAATACCCTGGTCGGTATCTTTGAATCCAAAACTGCTCGATCGGTCTATCCCACATATCACTTTGCATTGTCACATTTCAGCCCCAAGTAGCAAAATAGCGCAGCAGCAAAATAGCGCACCCCTGTCATGATCCTTCCCGAGCCCGAGCGCATGCGTATGCGCAAACGTGGCCATTGCGTATGCTCGATTCGAAAACAACGGTTATGATCTCATTTCCCTACACAGAACCTGCAGCAAGCACGTTAGATCAGTAATTTGGAATGCCCATCGCAAAGCTTCTAGAAGGTGGCAGGGGGAAGCGAGAGGTCAACGTGGTATAACGTGAGACGGGCAAGGAGGGATTCCATATTCACGACCCCGGGCTATGCTTGCCCTGCGCACTTATCGATTTGCGAACGGTCACACGGTTCCAGTAAAAGTGGCTTGTGGGCCATGGCTGTGCGTTGATGAAATGGGTTGATGAAATGGGGCGGAAAGATTGGTGGTTGTGATGGTAGTGGTCATGGCGCAGTACGCCTTGTCGACAGGGTAGAAGATCGAAGCGCAAGCGAACGACAAATCAGAAAACGGAACAGGCATGTGACTTACTTCTCAAATACGACACCTAGAACTTCTTCAACGTCGCCGCCCTCTCCACGGCCGGTAATCCGAGCCAGTGCTTCGGCAGCCGAGCGCAGTGATTCGGCAGCCACAACTATATCTATCTCATCGTTCGGGTCGGTAGGAGAAGGCTCTGACGCCAGCAAATGTGGGTCAACGGTCGTTAAGAAGGTCTCCAGGTGGCCGAGACATTCGGAGAGTAAGAGACGTTGACGCTCGGTTGCGCCAAGGGACTCTTGCCAAAGTCCGGGGTCGGGGTCCGACTCTGGCACTAGTGCGGCAGTCATGCTTTTGAAGACGTCGAGAAGGGTGGTCAGGAAACTCTGGATGTGGCCAGGATCTGATGACGTTGCTGCTGCGGATGCCTTGCAAGAGATGAAGGTGACTCGATCAGATGAGATGCCCAGTTCGGACTGCATTCGCATTGCCCATGTGTGCTCTAGAAAAGCGACGTTGTCGAGTTGGTCAATCTTGTTGATGGCGACGACAACGTTGACACCAAGATCTACACACTTCTTGGCCGTCTCCATAACTTCGGGATCCGTCTCGGCTGTGGCGTCTTGAACGACGATCAGAACATCCGACTCGAGCGCACGCTGCTTGGCCCGCTTGATGCCTTCTTGCTCAACTGCACCAACAGCCTCTGCTCCTACAAGACCAGCTCTGCGCAAGCCAGCCATGTCCCCAATCTTCACAAGCCACCCGCCCAAATCAACGCCGACTTCGACAACATCTCGTGTGGTTCCGGCTTCTTGGGAGACGATTGCCGCGTCTCTACCGACGATACGGTTGAGCAGGCTGCTCTTTCCGGCATTCGGCGCTCCAAGGAGTGCCACGCTTATGCCGTTCCGCAGCAACTCTCCGCGTACGGCATTCGCAACGTGTGCCTCCATTTGGGTGCGCAAGGCTCGGACCTGTTCGGCGACAGAGGCGCATAATATGGCAGGTGATTCATCGAAGTGCTGGTCCTCGGAGAAGTCGATCAAGGCCTCCAATTCCCCCCGCGCCGCAAGCAGAAGCTGCCGCCAGTGCTCATACCGAACAGCTAGCGACGACGTCGTGCCGCGCACAGATAACTTGCGCTGCTGCTCAGTAGATGCGGATAGTGTCTCGCCGAGCGACTCGATTTGAGGCAAATCCATGCGATTGTTGGCGAATGCGCGCCGTGTGAACTCTCCAGGTTCGGCGTAGCGAATTGAAGGTGTAGACCTTGTCCGACTTTCGCCAGCTGATGCACTTCGTGGTATTGCTGCTAGTACTGCGCGAACAATGGCCGGCCCGCCATGCACGTGCAGCTCGAGCACATCTTCGCCAGTGACAGTGTTCGGTGCGGGAAAGTGTAGGACAAGTGCACCGGAATCGAGGAGAGTAGCGGGCAAAGGCGATTGATGAGGGCTATACAGCTTGCGAAGCGTCGCATATCGCGGCTTTGGGAGAGGAGTCGAGGGACACAGCCCTTTATAGATCTGTCATGCGTTCAGTGGAGTCGCATAGTTAGAGCTACGTTAGGTGTACCTGTCTACATGCTGAGCCAGATATCCTAATGACGGCTATAGCAGCCTTTCCGGATGCAGTCGACAGAGCATATATTGTGGGTTCATCATGACTGAGACTGGTAACGTGATATGGCCGATGCTGGAGCAGGCTCAAGGGCTGCTGGATGAGGTAGTGCGGGCCATGGTGAGGAAACACAGGAAACACCCGTTTGGCTCCAATGGGCACAGAAAAGCGGCACAACGAAGGGTCAAGCGATCTAGGCTGCGTAAAGCGGTAATTGCATCTGAAAGACGTAGTGAAAGCTCTCATCCCGAGAGCAAGAAGATTGTCACATGGTGGGGTGCAATTGGCAGAGTCGTGGTTCGCTGGTGTTGCTTCTCCGCAAATGGCCCTAGCGACTGGACCCACCCTCGAAGTCTTGGCTGCCAAAATAATTTCTGGAAGCCACCCGTCGCCCGCCGACAACAACCAACGCTGCCCACAAGTAAAAACATACGCCATGGCTTCAGGTATGAGTCGCACGTGATATCGTATGAAACACTGAATGCTAAGAATCCGCAGACGATCTCGTGTGGTCCATCATTGGCACCGACTTTTGCAGTTTCAAACTCAAGACCACCAAGGACCAGACCTTCTGTCGCAACGAGCACAATGTCTCTGGTTTTTGCAGCAAACAGTCCTGTCCGCTTGCCAACTCTGCGATATGCCACCATCCGATCCCGATCCCGCCACCGGGAAGTCTCTACCTCCTACATCAAAAGCGATCGAGCGATCCTCACTGCTCAAAATGCGTGGGGAGCGCATAAAGCCTTTCAAGCCAACTACACCAAGGCGCTCGAACTAGTCGACGAACACGTTGCATATTTCCCAAAATTCCCTTATCCACAAGAACAAGCAGCGTTTGACGAGGCTGACTCAGGTCAACATTCGCATCCGCAAACTGGCAAAGGAAGAAGAGCGCCTGGGTGAGCGACTGGTACCGAGACTGGCGCCCAAGGTGCGAAGGCGCGAGGAGGGCCGAGAGAGGAAGGCGCTGGCTGCTGCCAAGGTCGAGCGTGCGATTGAACGAGTTCTCATCGACCGTCTTCGCTCTGGTGCGTATGGAGATCGCCCGCTCAACGTCGAGCCGAATGTGTGGAAGCGAGTCATGCGCGGTCTCGAGAAGGAGGGTCAAGTCGAGCGAGACGAGGACCTCGATGACGGTATGGAAGAAGAGGACGAGGAGAACGAGTATGAGCACGAGACGGAGAACGGCGTGGGCGAAGTCGAGTACGTGAGCGACATTGAGGGCGAGACCGACGACGAGATGGAAGACTTTGAGGACTGGGTCGGCGGACAGAGCCCAGACGAAGGCTCAGGCGACGATGATGAGAGCGACGACGCCAGCGCCAGCGAAGCCGAAGACGACGAATCTGCTGATGAAGACACCGAGGCGCTCAAGAAGACTCTCGCTAACCTCAAGCGCAAGCGACCAGCTGGACCCCCTCCCAAGCCCAAGAAGAAGCCCTCCAAAGACTCCAAGGGCCCCAAACGCAACATCGAATACGAAATCGAGAGGGAGCCTGCTACGAGAGAGGCTATGCGTATATGATACCCTTCAGCATATTATTGACAGCATCGGCGTTCCATTTTTGGCTTCATATGACAGCGCACTAGACAGACAGGCTACAAAAGTTACATGCGCGGCACTCTGCTACTTACTAGCATAACCGTCAAAGAACTTGCAAGACATTGTAAGACATCTCGCACGTTCTCAAAGTTTCCTGTTCTTCACAATGTCTCATGTTTCACGCATACATATCCTGCTTTTCATGATTTTCTTGCCGTGAAAACTCCATACAGAATGCTCGACTACGCTTCCCCAAATACCTATGTGCAGAAGAAATAGTGTGAGCTGTAGGCCGCTGAGCTTAGGCATTTTGCATAGCATACTACTGATCCCGGGTAGCTGGACACTCTTCGCTCCTGCACTCCAGACATCTACCACACAGATTTGCTCACCACAATCCCGTCTTCTCCTACATCATTCCCAAATGTCGTTGACGACCTCTTGGTCGCACGAATGAACATGATGCAGCTCAAGCTGACACCTTACCTGATACATCTCCGAATGTCTTTGGAGACAACCTCGCTACTTCTCCAGAGAAAAATTATATTCTTTTACAACCTTTAATCACAGATACGTTGGCTGAACCTGCTCTGCATACTTCTCATGACGATGCTGATGTGTGGAATCCGCAGCGGGACAATCCGAAGCCATATCTTACTCACCAGCTTGTGGTATACGAGGGTTTGGGAGTAGTGCAGACGGTGGGTGTAAGGTTTGGAAGGAGCGGAGGAGGAGAAGATGCAACGGTCTCGGCATGTTGGGTTGTAGTAACAAGGCAGTGGGAAGTGTTGAGGCGAACAGTGTTATAGATATAACAGGGGTGGTTGGAGTTGAAATATGTGTAGTGTTATGAAGCCTGTAAGCTTTGTGTATTGTTCGACAATAGCTGCATAATTGTGTTCGTGATTCATCTTTCGTATATACACTGCGTACTGATGTTCATCTCCTCTTTCGCTCCTCACTAAAATCTGCCTGGGTATCATTTCTTGCGACTCCACATTTTTCAAGACTCTCCAGAAGGCCTGCTAGATGCTAAGCACTGGCCGTGGGATCCACTTCAAAGACATATGATCTCGTGCCTGACATGCCCGTTGTCAACTACCACTACTGCAGCATGTCAATGTCACCCAAAGCGTTGGACTCAAGCCCCTTGCACGCTCGCCATACCCCAACCGGCAACCCGCTCGCCATCAATTCCCCATCTCTGCCGAGCACGAGGACCATTTCCGCGACTAAAAGCTTAGCGAGCTTCCCTCGCCTCGTCACGGTGCCCCATCCCCACACCCCAGCCTTCATCACTGCGCCGGGACTGCCCAAAGAAGCAACCCGCTACGCAAGCAACGGGTATTCATCAGAAACCGACCAATCGATGGCGAGTCGTGCGCTGCGATGCGGTTTTCCGTCTCCGCACGCTTTTCCCCACGGGGTGCGCGACGTGCTGATCTCTACAGGCGGCTGAAGGCGCTCAACGTCATCGCGCGACTTGGGGCCATGGAAATGATGCTTGCCGTGGCATTGGAGGTGGCGCTAGGCGTCTTTGTGGGGATAGCGTTTCATCAGGAACATTGTGTAGTGGCTCTTCATAAGCTCAAGCATCGCAGCGTTTTGCCTTGGAAAGTCTTGTATGTGTATTATCCTTCTGAGTCTGATTCGAACGTGGTGAGGAAGAGCTGGTCACACATACGCCGAGGTTAGAATCGACGAACGCAAGCGTCTGGTTTTCAAGATGAAGAAGTTCTACGGGCTCACGGGCACGGGGCTGAATATTGCTATTGCTGTTGTAGCTGGTACGGATTTCGCGCTTTTTGGATATGGTGAGTACTTTCCAAAACTCTGAAGAAATTATCCGAGGACTGACATCTTCCAGATCAGGGTGTCATGGGCGGTCTCTTGACCCTAGGATCTTTCCTCAAATACTTTCCCGAAATTGACACCGTTAATCCACCTCCTGGGAGCAGTCCAAGCCATGTAGCAACTATCCAAGCCATCACTGTCGGCGCATATACTCTCGGATGCTTCTTCGGCGCGGTAGCCACCATCTGGCTAGGCAACATTCTCGGACGCAAACGCACAATCTTCATCGGCTCGGTCATTATGATCATTGGTGCTATCTTGCAAACTGCTTCTTTCGGCCTCGCACAACTGATTGTTGGGCGATGGATCACAGGCTTTGGAAACGGCATGAACACGAGTACAGTACCCACGTGGCAGTCAGAAACCTCGAAACCCCATCGCAGAGGCCAAATGGTCATGATTGAAGGCTCATTGATTGTCTTCGGCGTGATGCTAAGCTACTGGATAGATCTGGGCTTTTCTTTCCTCGAGCCCAGCAGTATCGCTTGGCGATTCCCAATCGCATTCCAGATCATCCTCGCCGTCTTCATCCTCATTGCCATTCCCGGTCTTCCAGAGTCGCCTCGATGGCTCATTCTAAAGGGCCGCGACGATGAGGCTTTGGACGTACTTGCCGCTTTGAGCAACGCATCTCGCGAGGACAAGAAGATCAAGGCAGAATTCCAAGCTGTCAAGGACGTCGTATTTGAGATGTCCAAGGGCGGATTCAGGGAGTGCTTCAAGATGAACCGGAATCGCAACTTCCATCGCACTGTCTTGGCTTATGTCAATCAGATGTTCCAGCAGATCTCCGGTATTAATCTTGTCACGTATTACAGCGCGACCATCTTCGAGAACAGTATCGGTCTCTCGCCTTTCCTCAGTCGACTTCTGTCCGCCTGCAACGGAACTGAATACTGGATGGCATCTTGGATCGCCATCTTCACCATTGAGAAATTCGGTCGTCGCCCACTGATGTTATTCGGCGCGGCCGGCATGGCCATGTCCATGGCCGTCCTCGCTGGCACCACAAGTTCGATCGGCAGCTCCAGCATGGGTCTCGCTGCCACGGTCTTCCTCTTTGTGTTCAACTCGTTTTTCGCCATCGGATGGCTGGGCATGACATGGCTCTACCCCGCCGAGATTACACCATTGAGCATTCGCGCGCCAGCAAACGCCATCGCGACTACAGCGAACTGGGCTTTCAATTTTATGGTTGTAATGGTAACGCCGGTCGCGTTCGCCAGCATCGGCTACCAGACCTACATCATCTTCGCCGTAATTAATCTCGCCATGGTGCCGTCAGTGTACTTCTTCTTCCCTGAGACCGCTGGTCGCAGTCTGGAGGAGATGGATGAGATATTCCACAAGACAACACGTGTCTTCAGTGTTGTCAAGATTGCACATGAGTTGCCCCATAGATATGGCAAGAAGGGAGAACTATTGGTCGACTATGAAGATACAGAGGCGGCGAGAGAAACAGAAAGGAGAAGAAGCTCGGTGACCGGTGCCGAAGCCGGAGTGGGTAGGGGCGGCATACTCGCACAGGATGAGGACAAGAACATTAGGGAACACCATGAGAAGGCAGATGCCAATGGTTTGTAGATCATTTTGGAAATTACAGATTAATTGGTTATTGGTAGCGATGCTTAGGCTTGGACCCTAAGTACCAAGTTCTTCAGCACCACTATTAATTATCTTCCCCCGTCTGACTCCACTACTTTTTATTCTTGCTAGGCGCAGCACACGTTCCTACAGTTTCTCCTGCTCAAACGAACCCGTGCTGAGCCCAGACCAACCCATTCGCCTCCCTCGCAACCCGCCTTGAGCCTACAGACCATGAGTCAGATATGTCGCAACAGGTACGTGTTTGCTGGAAGTTTCAACATGTACGCAGACACGACCAAGCGACGACCGAGCAGGGTCGCCTATCAAACCTTTTCCCTGGAAGAGGCCCCTATCAAGCACGGCTGAAACAGGTTGGCGTGCACACAAGGTATCAAGGCGCCGTTGCGAGGGCCGGAGACGAGATCAACGCAGACCCTATTGCTGCGCTGCCTTCGCCATAGCGATGGAAGGGTGGTTGAGCTAGCTCGGACAAATTTCCCATCGTGGTGTTCGCTTCCTCAGACCAGCCACCTCGTGCCAAACCTCAGCACGTCCAAGTCATGCTTACTCGGCAGCTTTCCATTCCCTTCTAAATCGTGTAGCAGCGATGGATACCGGCCGAAATCCACGAATACGCCTAACAGTTTCGTCGCCACTTCTTCCATCTTCGCGGCTAGGATCTGCCATGCGCGACCGTGGCCTCTCGGGCCGATGCATGAATCGTGCGTCGGGCACGATCTGCATGTATATGCTTTCAGGAATGCGTGGCATAGCTCGTGCAGTATGGTGCCGAGGCGGTTTCGCCAGCGCACGTCGAGGTCGTCTAGGTCGCCGTGGTGTCGGTAGAGTTTTGGGTGGAGTAGGACCTGTGTGCCGATGATGGGGTTGAAAGTCCCGATGCCGAAGCATGTCTTTTCCGTGTCGGGGAGCCATGCAAAGCCTGATGAGATGCTTTGACGATGTGAAGGGATAGCGCCGAAGAAGAAGACCTTATTCAGGATTTTGACGAGTTGCAGCATTTGTGTGCTAGATGCGCTAGAGCGCATGTCCTGTCCGGTCAGGTTGGGGTTCCAGGAGTGTACAAGGCTGCGGAGTCTGAATACATCGAGGCTGGCCTTGTCTGCGGTGTTGTGTGCATATGTTTTGTCCAGCCAAGCGACGTGATGCCGGACGAGCCGCATCGCTTCATAGTCTCCATAGAGGCGCAGATTGAGCTTTGGTAGCGGGTAGGATGATGTAAGATGCGGCTGTGAGAAACGACTTGACTTTGCACGCCGGCCATCGATGTCGCACTGTATTGCGCCGTGTGCGCTATTCTGGCCAATTTCATATAGCCATGGAGCACACTTGTCGCAGTCGCATGGTGTGGGCTTTCCTTCCACCCACGTCTTCAGCTCGTCTAAGCTTGATGGTATTTTGCGCGAGACTCCTTCGCGAGGTGCGTGTTGTCGCCCAAGGATGCGGTCTTCGATATACATAAATCTGGGATTCAGCAAGAGGAAAGGCTCCAGGATCGGTAGGAGGTTGTGAAGAAATGTTGGCCCATTACATTCTCGTTCTCGATCATCAAAGTGGTCTCCTGTTTGCTTGCGGAATCTGCGAATGAGCCGGGTCACAGCTTGGGAAGGACTTGGACTGCATTTTTTCGTCGCCGAGTCGGTCACCGTGATCTCGTGAAGTCCCATACGTTTTGATCATACGTCAGCATGTCAAAGGAATGAGAATGTCAGAAAGAAGACTCGGTGATTAAGAGTAAGACGAAAGGAGAAAAGCATGAACCATCTGAGAGTGAAGCGCTGCTGCATGGTCAGCCTGTATAAACGATGAGGCGTTAGATTGCAGTACGAGGATTGACACAGGGATGAGGCTCCGGAAGGTTGAAACGTTCGGGTATTCGGAACGCGAACATGTTCGGCAACTCTAGCGATGTCGCTTCAGAGTGACCCGCGAGAATCAGATTAGACTCGAAACAAGTCCTCAACAAGCCGTACGAAATAACCTTCGAAGGCAGGTGTCGCGCCTGATTGAGGTTTGTCTGTGTATTCGCGTCAAGCAATATGGCAGACTGGAATACCTAGCTAGGTCATATCATCACCACATACTAAACTTGCAACACAACACGCCTTGTCACGGAGTTCGGAACCAAAGATAGTTTACCACCTCGCGTAGCTACAACTGCAGGAGCAACACAACGCCTCGATAGAATTAAGCAAAAGGTTTGTAATATTAGATATATGTTGTATCTGCCATCCTGTGAGTGGGGTTTTTGTTCTTTTCGTTCTGCTGGTGTTGTAGGGCTAGAAATTGCATTGATGCCAGGCGTGTTTCGTCCTGACGGAGGTGTACATAGACGTTAAACCATCAATCCTGACGGATGTGGCAAGGTACAGAAATTTATGCACAGTTGATAGCTGACTATAAATACCAAGCTCGTGCAAAGAGCCCTTGACGTGCTAAGTGGAAGCGATCGCGGAGTGAAATACTACGTGTGGACAGGAGTCGGATGTTAAACACCTAACTTAGGTACCGGAACTAGATCAGCAGCAAGCGCGCTATACAGCAACATCAATATTGTATCAACTCGCATTCGGCTTTCTCTTGAACTTACACTGCATGAGCTCGCACACTTTGTTGGGCAGAGGCAGGGCGGAACAAAGTTGTTTTCGCAGCATTGCCCGAATTGTCGGGGAATAAGGCTGGTGTCTTCGATGTGGCTGATAGTTCCGTCCACTTGTAGGATGTCAAGTGCGAGAGAAGAAGCGCAGAGCGCAGAGATGATGGCGAAAAACTTCATGGTAGCGTTTGCAGGTAGATTGTGTTGTCGAGTTTTGTGAGTAAAGGCATTCAAAGATGGCCACCAACGGCGAGAGCGAGCGGCTGTTTTATATCTCCAGGATAAGTCTTAGGGTCTCCCCTGGTACTTCGGAATCTTGAGCATACACCTTCGCGGTGTAGGGCGGTGTTGACGTAACCTACGTCTGTGCATGGTGAAACATCCTGCATATGTAATTAAGCAGACGAGAGTTGATGAGACCAACAGGTGCCGTAGCGTGAAGCTGTGTCTTATTGGCTGTTCTCAGCCCACTACCGCAGGGAGTGTTGGTAGATTCCTTGGTATCGATATACCGATGGTCCGATTCCGCTACAACAAGCCCGAGCAAGCCCCAGCATCCGTGGGATCCGTGAACACCGCGAGGTCCTCATGTACCTAGAGCTACAACAGCAGCGCAGCACACCGCAATTATAAACTTCTCTCAAAGCATCTATAGTTTGCCTAGCTCGACCATGCTCTACCTGCAAGTGTTAAAATTAGATTAATGTACTTTTCGTCTTGCTGTAAAGGTTTTGGCGCATTCAATGCCAAGCCCTAGCGGTCTCACTAGTGCTTGCAAGATTCTTTCGTTCGGTATTACCTGTCGATTCGGGCAGAATATGTCCAGAATATGTCCCAACTAGATTCGGTCCTTTATTCAAAATTGCCACTGTGGTACCGCACGAGAGAAGCCCTTGAGTCTCGAGCTCCCTACGATGCTCGGGAAGCAAATTTGGTCAAAGGCCAAGGGCCCATTGGTGCACAGACAGAGTGGCAGCTGTTAATGAGCACCCACATAGATAATAATCTACACTCACATAAGGCTCGCTTACTGGGGGGCCTAGTAGCTAAGCTGCCGCTTAACTTAATATTACCTAATTAGTATAGAGAATAGTCTATAGAGAGTTTTAAGCTACTTATAGAAGGTATTTTACTCTTAGGTAAATATTCTAAGTTTAGCGTTAATAGCTAGAAAGTTATATTGCGTTAAGTAGCTTCTTAAGCTATAATACTATAATGCGCAGCGCTATTACTATTATTTTTTGCTCTTTTACTATACTATATTATCTCTTTATTATATTATTATTGCCTCTAGTTACGCTGTATTTGCTGTCTTATATACTATTGCTATAGCTTAAAAATCTCTAGAACTCTAATATAGAGCTGCTATTACGTCTAGTAATACTAGCATCTATTGCTAGCCTTAACTTACTTAAGAGTAACTTAGATAAAGATAAAGATAAGAATAAGGCAGAAACTAAGGTTATTGTTAGCGCAGAGACGCATATAACTAGTTATTAATAGGATGCTATTTCTTACTATTATATATACTAGGCTACTGCTAACAATATTAATATTAACGTTAATAACCTTTAGAATAACGCATCTTATACTCTTTATAACTACTTACTGCTGCTAGAGCTATTATATAATAGCTATAACGCTGCTATTAAGGCAGTTATAGCCTAGAGAGATGCCTATAGTATCTTATATAAGCAGTAAAAATAGAGCTGCAGTAGACGCTATTAGCAGCTATTTGCTTGCAGCTGCTTATTTAAGCAAGCATCTAATAAGCTAGGTAAGAAGAGAAAGTAGATAGAAGTAGCTTCTATAAAATGTAAGTATTCTTAGAGGTTATATGTTATTATAGAGAACTATATAAATCTTAAGAAGTTACGATAGAGAGTACTATATTATAAAGATTATAAATTAATTATATATAATTACTCTCTAGAGATAAGTAAGCTTATAGTTACTTATTAGCGTAGAGTAACGCGCAGTTCTAAGATATTAGTAAAACTTTTAGAAATCTTTAAGATAGTATATAGCGCAAAATAGAGCTTACTATTAATTAAAAAGTAATTTCTTAGCGCTCTTTAGACGCGCTAGAACGTTAGAAATAAGTATTATTATTATCTCTAATAGTAATTAAGTATATAAAATAAGATAGAGCTAGTAGAGAAGAAGATAGAGGCTACTAAGTAATAGCACCTATAAGTTCTAGAGTTTCTTTTAAAGTTCTAGCCTATACGCTATCTAGATGCTCTTATTAGCTAATTCTATAATATTAAGTTTTAAGTTACTTAGAACGCCTTAGCATCTGCTTAAAACGCCTTAGCATAATACTAAACTTTGTAATAGTTATAAGCCTGCTAATAATAGCTATCTTAAATACTTTATTTTCGTTACTCTATAATACCTTAAGATCTTTAAGAAGTTACTAGATATTATTCTTCTTAATTACACCTTTAAAACGAACTGCTATAATCTCTCTTTACTTAATATTATTAGCTTAAATAGTAATAATTATACTATCTACCTTAGAGTTACTCTAATAAAAAGGAAGAATAAGAGTGCGTTTTTCTAGATTTTAGAGCATCTTAAGGCTTTGTTTAAGCATAAGAAGATTATAATATGCCTCTAGGTTATTAATAATAATAGAGCTTATATTAACGTATTAAATAAGGTCTTTAATAACTCTAATATTACTATATGCTAGTAGCATATAAATAAGAATATTCTTAGCTATATTAGAGAGAGTAGTTCTCTATCTATAACCTTAGCTTTTAGGCGTTATTATAAGAGTAAGCTCTAGATAGATAATAACTCTACTAAGGCCTTTATAGAGCTCTACTATGCTACCTTACGTTTCTAAATAGTCTCTAAGTTTAATAGCAATCTTACTGCTATTAGAAAGCTCTTCTTTAATACTGCAGAGTATCTAAATAGGCACTAGTTTAGTCTCTATTAAGATAAGCTTATAGACTATTAGGTTAATTAATATGCTTACTTTAGCTTACTAGTAACCTCTAAGGCTAAGAGCGCTTATAAGATAATTAAGAAGTAGCTAAATAGCTTAGAAGCTAATATTCTATAGCTATTTTAACGCCTTAAAAGCTTCTATAAGGAGCATATTACGCATAATAACTATGTTAAAATTTAAGCTAACTAAGCAGTTAGATAGAACTGCTAAAATCTAATTTTTGCTGCTATTATAAGCAGAATTACTTGCTACGCACTTATAATTATAGCTAAAACTTACCTCTATGCAAAGGCTAAGCTACGTTATTAATAGAGTAAGAATAGCTATACTCTAAAAGCTTGCTAAGATATCTACTTATAATTACTTAGGCTGCCTTATTACTACTAGATAATAGAGCTAGAGCTCTTATCTAAGTTATTACAAAGCTCTAATTTTAACCTATATTAGTAAGTTAATTATAGCTAGGCGCCTATAATATTAGTAGCTCTGCGACTTCTTAAGCCTTATATAGAGCAATCCTAGCGTATAGAACCTTATTATTATATTGCTAGTAGTAGTAAGTAAGGCAATTATTATAACTCTAGCTTATTTAAGTATCTAGATAAGAATAATATAAGTGCTACTATGCTTACTATTCTACTATAAAGAATAGCAACGTAGGCAATAACTCTAGCCTTATCTCTATATATTTAGTAGCTAAACGCATTCTAATAAGCGCACTAGCTTATAGCTTACTATCTAATTATAGTAGCTACTATATAGCTCTCTATTCTCTATCTAATATCTCTACTAACGCGCGTAGCGTTGCCTTATCTACTCTATCTACTATATAATTAGCTATATAATAGGCAGTTAGTTTAGCTGCTAAACGCTACGCTGTTGTAGGAATATATAAAAGCTCTAGAGCTACTGCTCTAGCTTCTAAATAGTTATTATCTACCTATATTTACTATATATAGCGCGTCTTACGTATACGCGCAATACTAGCCTTATTAGCTTTCTTAGGCATATTATCTAGGCTCTCTACCTGCTAGGTTGCTACCTAATTACTATAGGCAAATAGTAAGCTAAGAGCAGCCTAATAATAAGAGCTTTAAGTAATATATACTTAGCTGCGCATATAGATACGCAGGTAGGTTAAACTTTTATAAAGAATAATACTAAATAATAAATATTTACTCTATAAATAACGCTAAAATATAAACGCAATTATACTATTTTACTCTAAAATATTCTACTAAGCTCTCTTAGAGCTTACTAACGCATACTTTACTATACAAATTTGCTAGCTAGAGTATATTACGCTAGGCTCAGCTAGATAGGCTGCTAATACTTAGCTGCTATCTGATTCGGGCTTAATGTAGCTTATATAGGTGTAGATTATTATCTATGTAGGTGCTTATTAACAGCTGCCAGACAGAGTTCGTGGCATAACTAGTAACCAGCGCCTAAAGGCCTGTTTGGTTGCTCCATTTTCAACGCCTGTGTACAGAAGAACAACAATAATTTCTATTCTGTATAATACTATATAGAAATAGAAAGCAAATATTCTAAGTAGAGAGAAGAGTTAAGAGAAGCGACTTGCACGCCTCTCTAAAGCTGCATCTATTTTTTAACTAGGCGTTGTTAGCTTTTGCGGCCAGGGGTACGCAAAAGTTAAGATCTTAGTAGCAGCGCTAACAAAACGGTACCACGCCGTTTTACGAAACACGAGCCCTATCTCATCTCTATCTCCAAAAATTTCCAAAACGGAGTCTAATTTGGACTAAACGGCTACTTGAAACGGAGCAACCAAACAAGCCCTTATTATACTGCTATCGTTTACAGTATCGATGTGAGCTGTTGCTCGGTGATTTTGCTCGAGTCAACCTTGGAGAACATTGGTCACATGGCGCGGCAAGCATGGGCATGCCCAGGTGCTTGCCGACCTCCCAAGGTGGGGCTGGGGCTTGCCAGAAACTTCAGGACCTTGGAAGTTCGGCCGCATCGATCAACCTACCAATGACGACGACGCATGCGTTCCACAACCAAGACAAAGCTTTTCACGACGGTTTTGTTGTCATGGAAACATCGAACGCGCAGAATGGCCTCTACAACGTGCTCAGCGTTGTGCACTCCGACTCGACACACCGCGTTACTGATAATCACTGTATTGCTCAGTGTCAACCTTCATACAATGTTGACTAGCATTGTTGAATTCAGACCTTATGATTTGTATAAACGTCAAGCGTATGCTTCCTATCTATTCAACTCCAGGACGTTCAGAAAAGATTCAGTGACGAGATCATCACTTTGCATCGTTTGCCGGCTCAAACGTACTCAGTCTAACACTCGACTCGTCACCGAGTCTTTCAACGTCCAGAATGGCCTCTTCATATGACGCTTGCATTCAGGATCTTGCCAGCATATTGGGCTACTCAAACACAGATGCCTTTGCGCAATTGTGCAAATTGTCGGGTGTGACTGTAGACGACAAGGTAACTGAGCTGCGGGAAGCACTTGTGGATCTGGAGCTACAGCAGGCAGTTAGTGATCTCATTCAACAAGAAGCGAACACTGCGTATCAGGTGAATCTAGGCGAGCAATGCGTATGTCCCATCGAGAAGGAGCTAAACGAGCACGACGAACTCAAAGGACTTCACAAGGCCGACGAGCAGTCGCGTCTGCAGGAGATCGAGTTTGAAAACTGGTGCTTGGACAATAACGCGGACCCAAAATCGGCGCATCAAGGCCACTTTAAAGCTTTTCTGGCTCAAAAGGACTTCCCGGCTTGGTTTGAGTATGACCCTCGGGAGTACCCTGGTCTGAACGCTCTTGCTGCTTACATGTCTTTACAAGAAGTAAAGCGTGGTGAGTACTACTTTGCTCTTCCGCCAAGCGGGCAGGAATACGCTCGTCATATGCTGGACAAAACTTATGCTCGCACTCGTAATGCTGGCAGGTTTGAAGTCGGTAAGCTGATCGGTGGCCGTTGGAGTATCATTTCTGCCATGGCCGAAGTTGAAGGGTCCTTCAATTGCGGTATCTACCTGGTCAAAGATGAGCACGACAAATCTGGTGAGCGTAATGGCATCATGAAGTTGCTACCAACTGAGGCACTCGACCCTCAATATGCTCGGCGCGAGATCGATGTGCAAGCACAGCTGAAGCATCACAATATCGTTGAGCTGCGTGATGCTGACAAAGGGAACCATCGCCACGATACGCCTTTCATGGTGACGGAGTTCTGCGACAAGAAGACACTTGGCGATATAGTACGCCTGTACAGAGACAACGGACAGTGGTTGCCGGAACTTTTCATCTGGCAAGTACTGATCAGTCTCGCCCGGGCAGTGCAATACTGCCACAAAGGTCCCACATCAGGTAAGTCTTGGGACAGTATCACCCATCGGGACGTGATCTTGCACAACATCTTCATTCATTCCAGTGGCCGTGAGCTAAGAGACCGCTACCCCTACACAATCAAGCTTGGTGATTGGGGCTGTGGTGTGGCTCAGTCAGAGTGGACTCGGCATAATTTGAAGGTACGCGATCTTCCTTGTGTCGATCTCAGCTACGATCCTCCAGAGACTGCATTGCCGACAGAAGCTACTGACATCTATCAGATCGGAGTGGTACTGTTGTGCCTTTCCCGCTTGGAAGAGAGACCGTCTCGTAGCTTTGCTCAGATGTCTTACGCGCATGATGCTAACTTGCCAGGTTACTCCAAGGTCTTGTGCAATGTCATCTTCAGATTGATTAGCCCTATTGCAGGAGAGCGACCAAGTTCTGGCGATCTGGTCTATATTGCATATCACCATCAGGCGAAGCTGCGGGCAGGCGGGCTTCTGCCGCACACCGAGCTCTTGCTTGATGTTCAACTCTAGTCACTAGTCTTCTGCCTATGGCTCTTTATTGGGTCATTGATTCTGCTTAACTCTGGCTGACAATGCGACCTTCACAACGCAGTGGAAAAATCATGTATGTTCTACAATTGTTTACTGTCAGACTACGCCACAGTCGATTACATTGGTAGCTACATACACTTGACTAACCCGGCAAATATATAGAGCCACCTAGAACTATCGCTACCTCCTCAGTGATCGTCTCCAGTCTTTACGAATATATGCTATTGCTAAATTACTTCATTCGTTGCTTTTTACCCTGATTTGACCTCTATTCCTGATATTTGTGAGACACATTGCGCCAACCGACAAAGACACATCTCCTTCGAAAAGTAAAAGCACTTGCTGCTTCCTCTCAAGCATGTACCCGGACGCAGATCACAAGAAGTGTGGAGTAGACTACAGGAGCATGTTCGTGAGAAGATCGATTAGCACGATGAGGATTCGTTTACATGTAAGTGGTGTTAACAGAACGCAATCCTGCAATGCCCGAATGACCCTAGACGCAGACAGACGAAACAAACTTGTGGAAAGCATAGATCTTGAATAACATCCGCACATGGTCCGGTAAATAATACCCCGGGTGTGGAGATACCTAGCGGCGAATTTAGCGTCGGACAACTTCCGAGAGCTGATGGAGACCTCTCGCACAACATCAGCGTTACAGCCATCACGATACGGGTTTCCACATTTGCTTCTAACCCGCATCCATAACAGGGAACTTTTGATGCCTGTAGATTGTCGACTTTTTGGCTCCGCCTGTGTTGCCTTATTTTCATTGCCCCGCAAAGCCTGCTTATCCGGTAGCCAGGCAGCCTGGATCTGTGAGCACTTTTCCGCGATACACCGATAGAACGACCCACCCATGAATGCATATAGAAGCCGCATTGCATTGAGAGACATTTCTTACACTGCTTTCATACCTCGCCCATCGTTCCGGTAAGCGTTAGCGACTTTGCTAATCCATAGCACGGTCATCACCTAGACATTTTCCAGAGTCTATATCAGTTCTTTCCTTCACCCTTGTTACCAGGTTACTGACTCATACATTTTCTAAGCTCCACTCAGTCCTACTTTCAGTCGTCGTATCTGAGAGCTATACAGGAGCTCGCCATGTCTTCCGCGAAACGCACTCTTCAGCAGCGCATGCCGGCAAATGCTTGGGATAGCCATATGCATGTAACAGATCCCACATACCCTTTGGCCCCGGAAGCTGCCTACACACCATCATTACACAGCCTTCAGCATGCCATGAAGTTTGAAGCGACGATCGGAATGTCGAACATTGTCCTTGTCCAGCCCTCCATTTATGGCAACGACAATTCTTGCATGCTCGACGCTCTGAAGGCCATTGGACCTTGCAACGGTAGAGGCGTTGTAGGCTTTGATCCTGACACGATTGAGAGGTCGACTCTCCGGGAGTGGCATGAGCTAGGTGTTCGTGGCGTGCGCTTGAATCTCAAATCGAACGACACCAAGTTCACGGAGCAGTCTCTACGTGATGTCCTTCAACGCTATGCGAAGGCCATCAAACCTCTCGAATGGGTCTTGGAACTTTTCATTGGTATGGAAGATATTCCAGTCCTTGAACGCGCTGCGAAAGATATTAGTGTGCGACTGTGTCTTGCGCATTTTGGTGCACCGAAACTTCCGTCGCTGGCGGACCGCACGAACCCTCTCAATCCATACGAGTTGACCGGCTTTCAGTCGCTTGTGGATTTGCTACGTAGCGGGAATGTCTGGCTCAAGTTTTCTGGAGTGTACCGGTTTGATGAAGATCCAAACATGGAGGGTATCGAGCCTCTTGCACGTGAGCTATTGAAGATCGCAGGAGACAGGCTCGTCTTCGCATCGGACTGGCCACATACACGATTCGATGGCCTCGATGTAAAGCCTTTCGTCGAGAGGTGTCTGCAATGGACGGATGAGGCTGGTTTGAAGGAGGAAGTCTTTGTCTCCAATGCCAAGAAGCTTTGGGACATTGATGAATAGCATTCGGGTATGTACTTCTGGTATAGATGTGGTGACATGTAGGATTTGCCTACCCGAATGTTTAGCACTGAAGTACAATAGAAACATGTTACAGCCTCCTAGCACATCGCATACATGGAATTGCAGTAAATGCTCATAACGAAATGCCTAGAAGTAGTTGCGTGCAGGATCTAAGTCTTGAATACAATCAATGCGCTGTCATCTGGAGACGGGCCTATGTCCGGCCATCTGTCCTTTTGGATACCACATGCGCGACGAGCCAGGTCCCTCTCGAGGAAGTCTGCCAGCTCTAAACTATCCCATAGAATCTCCCTTCTTCTCCGCGAGCGTAGCATACATATTATCCTTCGCCGTACTGAGTCGTCAATGCAGAAAACATAGAACTGAAACAAGGCCATAGTAAGGTCGGTCTTAAGTCCGTAAAGTGGTCGTCTTGAATTGTTCCATAGGCATTCGAGGTCGTCGAGAAGCAGGTTGCATTCCTCAGCGTCAAGTATCGCGGTGGGTGGTTCTCTACATTCGAATTCGACGGAGCTCTCTGTGGGCGATTCGCTACATTTAAAGTCGACTGAGCTTTCTGGTCCATCCAGTAGCAATTCCCAGAGTTTGTGTTGTATCTTCAGATTGGCAATCCTTTCGAAGTGTTTGGAATATTCACCAGAGTCCATGAGCTTCTTCACAATAGTCAAGAATTGATGGTCCCATGTTTCCAGGCGTTGTCGCAGGGTGTCCCATTGCTTACAGCACTCGGCATTATCATCCTCCCAATCGTGGTCCAAGTCCCACGAGATATGAGCGATGTCATCGTCGAAACTGTTCATCACATCTTCGGCTTCGACGAGATTCCGAAGCCTGCCAGGGTGCTTCTTCTTCGGGGCTATGAATTGCCTAACGTCTGCAAATATGCGGTCTTCGGAGAAAAGGCCAACTTGGCCGCTGATGGCATGAAACATGGCTGCCAGATCCTCGAAATCATGACTAGGTAGATAAATGCTGGGTTTGTAGTTCGCGATAAGCTCCGTCCCGGACTTGATATGCCGAATCGCCTCGCTGAAGTTGCCACGCAAGCTCTCGAGAAGAGCGAATAGAATGCAACATGTAAGGATAGTGACCAGATTACTCGCTGACTCGTTTGTGGAATCTCGGTTGTGTAGCAGATCGGAGATGGCTTCATTGTAGTGCCGCAGGGTAAAGTTATCAATATCTGATGGTCTCTTGTGATCGCACGTTGTGAATTGCCAATGGACGGCGCCCAGAGCCATGACTGCATGCCTTATACACAACACGTTTTGGCTAGGGCTCTGGAACTTCTTCTTCCAGAAAATTCTGTTCAGTGATTCCGAAATCTCCAAATCGTGGATTGTGTTCGTAAAGAAGTGGGTATAGTAGTAAGCTTCCATAGGATCCCCTGGGACCAACAACGACCCTGGCAGATTGACGAGCAAGGGTCCTCGTGAGGGGCAAACAAGCCGATTTGATTTCGCTGCCAGTATAGGCAAACACGAGACTTCCCATTTCTTGGGAGGCACAGATGTGTAGCCGTCGCAGACAAACCCGCCTGACGTGCATCTTTGGCACATGGGCTTTTGTTCGTCGCATTTCTTTCTTCTTTTCTTGCTGATCCGATCAGTCAAACTGCCACAGAGATGCGCCGAGCCACGTTATTAACTTACCATGTGATGCAGCCTGTGCGAGTCTTGTGGGAGAAAGCTCTCCTCCGTGCGGCCGATGATTCCTCTGCGTTATGCATCGTGTGGATAAAGAGAGGAGATCTTTAAGCCGGTTGGTAGAGTGTACGCGATGATCACAGTGAGAGACGGTGTGTCGTAAGGGAAGGGGGAATGTCCGCGGCCTCCGGTGCACTGACCACTAGAGGCGGTGCATCACAGAGCAGCTTGGTGTGTGATTGGCCTCCTATACGCGCAGGTCCACAATTCGCCGCATACAGAGTAGTGCACGACCGGCCGTAAGCATGACAACTTCCTGCCTTTGTTTTTGGCCCTAGAGTTGTCAAGACTGTAAATCTCTTAGAGGAGTTTGGTCTGTCTGAAGTTGATATGTCTCAATTCAGAACTATTGCCCCTGCAGCCTGTCGGTGGTGCTACAACTCATTCTGAATCATCTGGCTACATAAATTCGCGTTCTGAAGCAGGAGCACTACGCGTTTGAACACAGGCTGCAGAGAAATCTTCAGACTTGAAGACGCAAGCAAAAAGCATTTAGCATCGCATGGTGCCTTCCTTTCTTGAGCTACTCCTCATCTGACCCACCACCTTCTTCAAATTCATACTCGCGAGATAATCCTAAAACTATTCTCTTTCTTGACTGGAGCCTTGATCTAAGCCAAATAGCCAAACGCCAGGATGGCTGCAACACCAAGTCGCCAGCCGGATGGCTTAATTCCGAAGCTGGATGATTTCCTATCAGCGCACCCCGAGATCCAAATCGGCCGAACCGCCCTTGAAAGTCTTCAGTCCGCTTATGATGGCAAAGACTCATTTTCCATCATCAACAAACCCTTCGGAAACATGGTGCTTTACCAAGAGTTCGATGCCGATACACGAGAGCGCATATACGTGGTTGCATTGGTCGACGATCCGAAGGGCCTTGAGTATTATCACAGAGAATGCGGCGAAACATCTGAAGGAGACACTTGCGATTGTGCAAAAGACAATGGACCAGAGCATTTGGTCTATGAGCGTATCGTAGAATACAAAGCTGCAGATTGCAAGAAGCACAAGGATGATCCGGAGCCAGACCCTGACTGTTCTGCGTGTTGGCCAGTCTTGTGCGGAAGCAAATGTACTCCGTGAATGCGGCTATCTTTTAGCGATTTTGCATCGCCCTACTTTTAGATAGTTGCAATCCAGAACATTCGTTAATAAAATTTTAGTGCACATCGCGGCTAACCGTTGTACATTTGATGTATGCTTACTAACGACTAAATGGCTTACGGTATTGACGCTCCAGGATCTATTGGAACTAACGTCTGTCTAGCCACTATTTGTCTGCTTCAAGAGGATGTGGCATACATGAATCTTGATGTTTTGCCTTGCCTCCCAAGGATGCGTACAGAGGCTGACACGGCAGTAAATATTCGTCAAATCATAATTGGATGTATATGTGAAGCTACATGCAACCTGTAATAGATCAAAGGCTATGTCATGAGCAAGAACCTCCTACAGATCGTAGGACAAACGCTGGAGTGAAGACATCCTCCCAGCAGTGGAAGCTTCGAGCGCGCTCGGGCCGCTCCCTTGTGCTGCCGCTTCAGCCATGAGATCTAAGACCGGTTACGTATTGGGTCTTTAAGAACCTATCTTGCCGTTGCCAGCTCGAATCCCATCAACGGTCGCTCTAACGAAATCGTACCCAATGTCAGTCCGCATTCCTTCAGGATTCTTGATCTTTGCGCTCTCATCTTCAACGGTGGTTAGCTATGGTAGTCTGCATGAAAAGGCTGCGAAGAGACACTTACACCACAGCTCATAGGCCTCCGGATGTGGGCCGACAAGACCAATGAAACCCTTACCATACGGTGTAACTGAGGCAGCGACATCCTGATTGGCAGAGTATCGGGCAATAACGTGGGGATCGGAGGCTTTGAAGCCTAGCATTGTAGCACCCTCTTGAAAGTACACCCATCTACCCTTCTCTAGCTTCGGACGGCTAGTGCTCGTGTTGAATTTCCAATCTACCTGAATCGTGGTGTCTTTGTCGTTTCCAACCTGTGCATTGTCCCTCTCTATCTCAGATACGATATTGACTCCGCTGGGCATGAGATTTAGCGCCGATTTTCCAGCTAAGTACGCCCCGAGACAAAAACCCATGTATCGGCCGCCGCCATGGACAAAGTCTCTGATAGTCTTTGCATGCTTTTGGAGATCGTCCCAAGCTTCGTCGACATCTGCAAAATAGGTCTTAGTCCCTCCAGATCACTCCCTTTCACACCACGTGCAGGAAGACTTACCTGGTCCGCCAGGGTATGCATAGATGTCAGCATTAGACAGGAGCTCAGGGCTTAGATCCACTGGTTCTTCCGGTCCAGCATACGTGACATCAAAGTGGAATGGAGAGTTTTTGAGTAGTCTGCCGACACTCTCAGAACAGTCGTCGCAAGCTTTAGATCCACGATAGATAACCGCGGTTCTCACAGCTGCCACAGAAGGTAGTATCATGAGTATTGTCCCGATACCTGCGAACTTCATAACGATTGTATGCTTCAGGAACTATACAATATGACACGCCGTGCCTATGGATGAAGGTATAGGTGGAGGAGATTAAATGATGCGCGGTGAAGGAAAATCTGCCGAAGGCAACTCATTTCTTATTTATCATATTTTCAGAGCTCTGTACAGACATACTAGGCCGGAAATGAAAGAGCTGCTTTCAATTTTGGCATCGGCCGGTGTTGGATAGGGAACGAAGAGGACTTGAACTGAGCGGAGATGTTTCGCGTACAGCTAGCCAATCAATGGTCGTTGTGACATCATGAGCCGCCTCAAGCTCAGCATTAGCTCGATACTTCCGTGTAGTGATGTTTCCATTATTATTGTCGACTTTAGCGGCGAACAAACAATTTCGGCCACATCGGACGTCTGAAAAGAAAGAACAAGTCTCAACTCAGCTCGACGCTCAAACATAGCGGGGCTTTGACAAGATTTTTGACAATCCTGCGGTATTTGAACAGCCTTGCTCAATAGATGACATCCTTCGCTTGCACCGCGTCCTTAAGTTTGTAACCGATGTACACAAACCTGGGCTAAGTTCACCTACTTCGAAGTGGCGATGAACTTCTGCCACATGAGTAATCCTAGAGAACGTACGGTTGGTACGCATGCCCATCCTGGGTAGCTTTGCGATAAAGCCTCTTGTTAGCCCGATACAGATATAACTTAAGACCCATTGCACTTATACAAGCAATCATGGCCATGACCATCATCAAGATGAAGGCCAAGCGATAACGAGGCTCGTCAGACTCAACAAAGAAATAGGGTGCAATAATGTTCCCAACCTGACCCAGTACATTGACCATTGCGACAGACACAGCCCGTTTCTCTGGCGTTCGTCCCATAGTGTTAGAGGTCCATGTACTGATAAGTGGGTTCGAGAAATACATGCCGCCAACGTAGATGAATGATGCAGCATACCGCGCGTTGCGATTTTCGGTAGCAAGGCAGATGATATATCCGATGCATCCAAAAGCAATGGGGCCAGCGAAATGGTAACCACGCTCTTTTGTCTTGTCGGAGTGCCAGGCGTTAACCAGTGAACCGAGGGCAGCGAAGATGTATGGAGGTGCTGTCAATACCAATGTTATCGTGTTGTTGTATCCAAAACCGCGGACAATAGAGGGGAAGAAGTTGGAGAATCCGTATGCTGCGGAGATGCCGATGTTCATGCCAACGAGCAACCACATCTTGTAGTCGAAGACGCTCAACTTCAGGCCTTGAAGCACGCCAGCTTTGCCTTCAGACGTTGAAACGCGATCTGCCAGAATTCTTGCTGCAGCAACCTTGCGCATATCTTCCGTCATGGACCAGCGCGCACTGCCAGTTGTTGAATCGGGATAATCGGGCAGGACGAAGAGCGCAATCAGAGCAAGCCCGGCACCAGTCACAGCGAGCACTATGAAGAGCCATTGCCAGCCCGCTAGTCCGTGAGCGCCTTCCAACGTGCCGAAGATAGCTGCGGCAATCAATCCAGCCACGCAGAAAGCAAGGGTTTGACCTGTGTATAGAATGGCACATCGAAGCGCCATTTCTTTGCGAGTGTACCAGCAGCCCATCACGTAGATTGCCTGACGGAAATTCAGTAAGTCTGTTTCATAGAATGAAAAAAGCACGTTCCGGGAGCACTAACACCAGGGAACAATGGAGCTTCGACAAGTCCGAGGAAGAATCGGACAGCAATGAGCCCAGAGTAATTCTTGACCCCGCAAGTGGCTGCGGAAACGCCAGACCATAGCATTGCCATCGTGCAAAGGTAAAGGCTAGGTCGGACCTTTCCAATGATCATGTTCGAGGGAATTTGGCCGAGGACATAGCTATTGGAGGTCAATAGCCATAGCGAATCAGTTGGACTGGAAGGCGTACCCAACACTAAGTATTGACACCGCAGTACCGAACTGATAGTTCTCAAGGTTCAGATCCTCATCCAGGCTACTAAGCCGAGCTTGCCTGCCGCATATTAATACGCTTTCTCGTCTTGATATATGCCACTGGTCTTACGCGATGGACGCTCTGTCGAGATAGTTGAACAAGTAAAGCACCCAGAGACATGGCATGAGCGTTATGTCAAGACGCTTAACTACTTGCTTCTCCAACGCCCTCCATTCTGGTATACCAAGCGCCTCAATAGTTTCCTCAGGACTAGGGAGAAACTTCTCAGTCTTCAACGCGTCAGCTTCAACATGAGCTGCATCTTTGGAAAGGCGTTTAGTAGAATCCATCTCGATATTTCCAGAGGAAGTTTGCGCATCGTTTCCTTTACAGCTGGATCTCCTGCTGAAAGCTACCATGGTGGATTCTGAGCTAAAATCTAGCGTGTCGGTCAAGATGAAGGAGGGAAGAGATAGTGCGTATCAAAGCTGGCATAAGCGGGTGCCTTCTTATAGGCGTCGTGATCAGGAAGCTTCGGTCATTTCTCCGACTCCACGTCGACTCCGCACCCCAATTTTGCTTCTCCAGTCTCCACTCAAAGATGAGTTGGTCTCAGACGGGGTAAAATCAGATTCGCTCCGCAGCTTCAGGACCTGCATGCTAAGCTATCTTTCGAGCTCGGCAACTCAACCCGTCTTGGCCGAGTCCCTGAGTTCGCGCAACCCTGAAGCAGTGTATGCAGTATAAACAAAGATGGTCCTTTGTAACATGAATTCACCATTCACATGAGCCACTCTGTAACTCACTGATGATCGCATTCATGTAAAGGTCTTAACGCAGACATCTTCCAATGTCGAATAAGTTATCCTTAGCAGCAAATAGTGGGAGTTGGCATTGATTTCCCTCTGTTGTATTTCCGTCGTCAAGATCCAAGACCCGCGGGCCATGGGAACCTTTGTGGAGCCTCAATACCAAGCAAACACGGCCCGTGAAAGCTCGATATGGGTCTGGGCACGACAACGCGCGGGCTTCCGCCACCAAGTGTGGCTCCTCGCATGACTAGCATAAAGAATATATGACATCTCTCTTGAGTCGCGTTTGACAGCATACGTCGTAGCGAGGTTGTAGCAAAGAGAATGGTGACACGATGCGGGAGAATCCTGATCTCATGGCGAGGCCCCACCTGCCGCGGTAACTTACGCCCACCTCAGAAGCCACAGCCCACCAACCGCATCAACAGATCAGGTATGTTTTAACTGTGTTGTTATTGAACACATATAAAATATCACTGCAAAACTCAAGCTCTTGCAGTGTCTTCCCACCCCTTGGCATCTCCTTTTTCCTCGAGCATTTCTTTCGAATTTCCATGCAGCCTCCCATCTAACTTTGGCTGCATGCGCCATTGTCTTGCTGGTATACCATCTCGGAAGAAGCCCTCGATCTCCTCCATACTCCTGCCCGTGACTTCACCGACACAGAACCATACATATGCTAGCGTGATGCAGCATAGGCCAGTATACACGAATCCCGTCTTCGGGCCCAGGTTTGCCGTGTAGTAAAGGTATGGCAGCGTAAAAACAGTCGCCCACACTGTGATCCAGAAACTGGCGACAGCAATGGCGTAAATCTTGTTGCGATTGCGTCCGACTGCCATTTCAGAAGCCTAAATACGTTAGTATTAGAATCGATTTCAATCGTCAAGAGAGCACTTACGATGGTCCAACCCAGAGGTCCCCACGCGAAGTTGAAAGCCGTGATCTCGATGATCACAAAGCTAATGATCACCTTGCCGAACGTTGAACTCACATCACCACCAGGAATGCCAAGACAGCCGACAATAAAAATACTGGCCGTCATGATCAACGTTGTAGTTAGTAGTAACGGCCGCCTTGGAATCTTGTTTGCGCAAACGACTGCAGCCAAAACTGTAACGATCTGAATCGTGAAAACAATGATGTTCATCAAGAAAGGATCCTCAAGTCCAATGGCTTGACTGAACACAGTACCGAAATAGTAAAACCATTGTATGCCGTTGATCTGCTGCGCTACCAGGGCACCAGCGCTGTAAATGACTTTGCGTCTTTCGACAGGGTCCTTGATTAGGCCTGACCAGCTCGATTCGGCCGACTGCTCAGCTTCGGCTGAAAGACTGCCACGAATGGTCATCATGTCCGCGTCCGGTTCATACGCCTTATCATCCTTGTACAAGAGTCGAAGTGCAGCGCTGCATTTCTCGTCCTTGGAGAGACGCAATAACCAACGTGGTGACTCTGGTACCCAGTAGAGGAATACCAATACGAGTAGTGGGAAGATGAGCTGAACGGCGGTGGGGATGCGGTAAGAAGCAGTCGTAGTCAAAGACTCGGTGCCGCGATTTATGACAGCAGCTATTAGCTGAGATACTGACAGTGTGAGCTGCCAACAACCAAGCAAAGGGCCGCGGATCTCCGTTGGCGCAACCTCTGCAATGTATAGCGGACTCGTGGATGAAAAGATACCGACGCCTAGACCAAGAATGATACGGCCTCCAATAATGAGGCCTTTATCATGGTCTGTAATGACTTGTAGGACAGTACCAATGATTGCTGTTATCGCGCTCAGGAGGAACGCCCCCTTCCGGCCAAAGAAGTCGTTCAGGGGTGCAGCACTCAAGGAGCCCACCAATTCACCAACATTGATCATTGAGCTCATGATCGAGAGATCGGAAGCCGATATCACATATGTTCCATCTGCTTGGCGAGTGCCGAAATGCTGAACGAAGGTTGACATGGCTTGAATGCCAGAGAAGTAGACACCTGTTCAACGAAAATCAGCATCGCAATCATTTGACAGAATCGGAAACATACCATCATAGCCATATTGACAGGCACCTAACGCGGCAAAAGCGCAGAAAAGCCAGACGTAGGGGTATTTGAGCTTGCCCATGATTGTCCTTCAAGGAGGCGGAGTTCACTTGAGTGCCGAATGAGTGGTTCATGCAGCGAAGTGAGACTTCTTATATGTCCATCACATCGAAATGCGGAGGCATTAAACGGAACCTGGAGCCCCATGGCACGACTCAGTCACTAGGTCTCTTGTGAGCAAATGTCGCAGTTAGTCGCCTACAATTGGCTAGAGGGACGCCCTAAGTTAATGGCCGGCCGGCCGGCCGTCTCAATACGGCCCGCTCAGAACACGCCGGGCGACACGAAGCGACAATACAGACTACTCGAGGTCCGGTCGACATGATATTGTCAGAGTGTCGGTCTTTCCTAGATGAACCAACTTACCACCAGTATCACTACACTGAACAATATTTTTCAACGATCTCGCGTGTATGATGCCCTCCGCAACTCAGGCATCTCCAGTGCGCTACAGCAGGCCGTCGGAATCTCAGGCGGCCGCCGATGCCATCCCGATTCTCATTGATCATGAATACCACATCTTTCATCTGAGCACTCCTCCGGATACTGTACGACATCCAACTCGGCTCCGTTCGACTTGGTCCCGGTTACGATCCCGCGATCTCGTAACCTGGGCACGAGATGAAGTTGAAGCACTCTATCCGGGCAAATCGCCCGACAGTCCGGATGCAGACGGAGCATGGACAGGTTCAGCCATCGTCGGTCCTGATGGCAACATGCACCTCTTCTACACGGGGTACAACTTGAGCCAACATGGGAAGCAAGTCATCCTTCATGCCCAGTCGAGCGACAAGCAAGGTTCCGTGTTCACGAAAATACCTTCTCCGATAACGATTTCTGGCGATATGTCCCTATTCGAGGACATTGACTTCCGTGACGCGCACGTCTCGTGGAATGAACCAGAGAGCTGTTATTGGATGATTGTAGCCACTAGGCTTCGAAGTGGGCCATATTGGACGCGAGGCTGTTTCGCGTTACTCACCTCATCGGACCTCGACGAGTGGTCGATAGAAGCAACGCCGTTCTATGCACCCAACAACATGTTCTGCCCAGAGTGTCCAGAAATCTTCTCCCTACCAAACGGGAAGTGGTACCTTGTGTACTCTAGATTTCATGCGCCTGACTCAGGAACAGTATATCGGGTAGCGGACGCACCAAGAGGTCCTTTCCGAACACCTCGCGGAAGTTCAGGCGGTCGCTTCGATGGCCGAAGATGGTACGCTGCTAAGTCTTGTGTAAAGGCTAGTGATCCAAATAGACGCGTATATTTTGGTTGGGTAGCAGATAAACTGGATGGGCAGTGGTCCTGGGGCGGCGACATGGGCATGCCTCGCGAAATCTCCGCAAACAAGGATGGTCTTTTGATCGTGGAACCCAGTCGCGAATTCATCGATGCATATTTCCGCCACGGGGCAGTTTCTGAATTGCCATCAGAATTGACCTTGAGTAGCGTCGGCATGACTATATCACGCGATCTGCGGTTAGGTGACAGGTCGGATTATCTGCTCGAGTTTGGTATCGCCTGTCAAGATGCGGCTTCATTTGGATTGCTGTTCCGAACCGATGAAGACAACAAAGGTTTGCAGCTCAGATTTACTCCTACTCAAAACGGCCTGCTTGATACGAGCTTGCTGAGCTGTCCACCACCACTAGACGACTTCTGGGCGGATCAGTATGCCCTTCATCTGCCTCGCGAGGTCGACGGCCCAGAGCTTGCTCGACACACCTCGCTGAAAATAGAAGGCTCCATCGTTGTAGCTGTTAGATCTGATGTGCTTGAGATCTTTGCCGGTGGGAAGTCACTAAGCTATCGCCTTCCGTGCACAAGGTATGCAGAGGGCAGTCACCGGACCGAGCAGGTGAAGCATACAGCCAACGGAGCATTGCGTCATGACAGCCCACGAGTGAAAGAGCTCGGTGTGTATGTTGATGACGGCGAAGTAGCCTTGAAAGAACTCTCGTTGCGTTACGTTTGCTCATCGGACCGCTGAAAGCGTTTTATGTAATTAGAGAGCCGTATTGCTCAGAAAGTCGAATGCATCTAGCTCCATGGTTGAGATGTCAACACCATTAATCTCAGAAGTACTGAAACCAAATCCGTTCATATCCGCTTCGAAATTTGAGGAGAGCGTTTCGGGCAAGGTGGGCGACGGTGCATCGATAGGAACAGCAAGAGCATGCTCGAGTCCACGAAGGATAGCTCCTTCTAGCCGATTGACCGCATACCGCATGGGCTCATTTGACTTGCTCCCGACCCTGAGAACCCACAAGTAGGAGCGCAATCGTTCTCGCCAGTGATCACGCTCTGCGGACGTCAAACTTGTGACGAGCAGCAACGTACAAAAGGATCCGATCACGGATAAGAAGTATGGCGTGGCAAAGAACCAGAATGCCTCTAAGTGTTCGAGACGTAATGATGCGACTAGTTCTATGGCCTGTTGGGTAGTGGCGTGGGCCAATTGTCTGATTGCACTGAGGACATCGACGTCGATGCATAGTGGTGCGAGCGCAGTCGATCTCACGAGGCGCCGAAGGATGCTGATCTTGGCAGCATAAAATGCGAGATGAATGTTTCCTTAGTCCCGTTATCAGTGTAGTCGTCTTTAAAGGCCGTGTTACCCTTACCGTTGGCGCAGAGTTGCCTTGAAGGTATAGAAGCCATATCAAGATGAGGCGGGAGGGTGTCACGCCAGACTTCGAGAGCCGCAAGCATTGGTTGTGCCTTTGTGTAGAGCTGGATTGTGTCCTGAAGAGTGCTGTTCTTCACGCTGTACAACTGCTTCAGGATGTCGTATAGTATCCTAGTGAGGCTTGTCATACATATAAAGAAGTTTCTTTCAACAGTCCAGTCATCTTCGACAAAATCATGCCCAGCAAGATCTTCGACTGCCCAATCGTCCTCGTGTATATGAAGCGGGCGGCCGTGCGCCAAGGCTGTCCAGACATCTTGCATGTACAGACCCCAGCTAAGTCGCTTCCGGAGCGATTGCTCCCATGCTGGGATCAGCCACCGTGTTGCATCGAGGTGCAATCCTAGAGCTTCTCCTACTGCCAGAGCTTGGCCCGTAAGACCCCAAGCGAACGAGTGGTCTGGATTCAGCGGGTCTTCTGGCTTGCACTGCAGGAATAGCAGCATAGCTTCAATGGAAGAGAGTCTAGGTTGATGATATGAGCTTTGTATGGCGTCCAACGTCATTCTTCTCAGCTTGTTAACATCCACGATCGCTTGATTGGAAAGCTGTGGGTCATAGTGCCACCAGTTAATAGCCATCAGGTAGACCGCTCCGAGTAGAGGCGCATCAATTTGTCGGTATGATCCTTCGTATCGGTTCATAAAGCCCTCTCTGTAGAGAATGGGGTATATAGGATGTACCATCCTCCAGAACAATCGAAGAAGCTTCTCACCGTGCGGCTTAATACAGGTTTCGATATCATCTACCCGATTGTAGTTGGACAAAAAATCTACAGACTTTTGATCACTGACCTGATTGAGTTATTAGCGAGATACATCTGGGGGAATGATACAAATCTGTACCATGTGAAAGGTAACCGGATAGTTCACCCCTTGGTCTTGAGGCGACACAAGTCGGATGGCGTGAGTTGGAAGCGAGTATTCGTTATTGATCGGATCGTATGGACGATGCCGCTGTGCAACGTAAGCAGACTTCTACCCATGTACGTTGATACAACATACCATCAATATGGGTTCCATGTCACTACCAAGTCCATAAAGTTCTGCAAACTTGCTGCGATTCAAACCGAGAGCATCTTCACTCCATGTAGGGCGCTGAGAAGCAGGATTTCCTTCGATGTGGCCGACGTACATATGCTGGTCCTCATGTGTAGGGTTTGAATTCGCTGCGATGATTCCATTGTCCACTATGAATTGCTGAGAGTTCAGTACGTCATGGGGCGATGGAGAGGCCTGTACTGATGGTGCAGAAGAAAGCTCTTCTTGCAAACCAGCGACCATTCTCCTTGGAGGCTCTTCTTTGAAAGTGCATTCATTGTTTCTTTGCCGACACAGGCTGCAGCTAACTTGCCCATTGTCGATGATGCATCGCGTCTTGCGGCGTCGGCAAAGGTCGCATGGGCGGTTGCTTCGTTGCGCGGGCTGTCTGCGCCTTTGGGGCCCGATGCCGTCTGGCATTCCGCGACTGCAAGGGTGTAATGTCCATCAATCATGGACACTGGGGTGTAAAATTGATGGCGAGCGTTCGGTCTTATTTCAGACGCGTTGATGATGTGACTCTGCAGTGCAGAGAAAGGACGGGAGGCTGGAGTACCCCTGCCGTCATGGTGGACCCCACCTGCCGCCCCAATCCAGCCTGCTTAGAAGGCCACACTTCAGGTTGCTGACTTCTGCAGCAGATCAGCGGCATATTAATTCTTTCATCACGCACCCAATTGCGACATAGATCGATGCCTCAGGCTGATGACACCAAAAGAAAATTTGCTCTATGCGTCTACTACAGCATCGCGAAAATGGCGATATCAGCCTTACTGAGCATATCGGCGAGCCTCCACCCTACGCAATTCTGTCGCATACCTGGGGTGCAGATAATGAGGAAGTTACATTTAGAGACCTGGTCGACGGCACCGGCACAGAGAAGGAAGGGTATCGCAAGCTCCGATTTTGTGGTCAACAAGCCGCTCGTCACGGTCTGGAACATTACTGGATAGACACCTGCTGCATCGACAAAGCTAGCAGTGCAGAGCTGTCAGAAGCTATCAACTCGATGTTTCGTTGGTATCGGAATTCAGTCAGATGCTACGTGTATATGGCAGATGTGTCCACATCTGTCGATGACAGCATGACCCGATGGAAACCGGACTTCAAGAAGAGCAAATGGTTCACGAGAGGCTGGACACTGCAAGAACTAATTGCGCCAACGAAGGTCGAGTTCTTTTCCCAAGAAGGCGAACTTCTAGGCGATAAGTTGTCTTTGCAGCAGACTCTTCATGAAATAACTGGCATCGCTCTTGACGCTCTTAAAGGAGGCCCTTTAGGTAACTTCAGCATCGAAGAGCGATTGCTATGGGCAGCGAAACGCACCACCAAGCGGGAGGAAGACGCAGCGTATTCGTTGTTCGGTATTTTTGATGTTCATATGTCCCTTATTTATGGTGAGGGGCGGGAAAAGGCCACCAAGCGTCTTCTTCGAGAGATCCAAGAGCATTGGAAGCTCCCAATAATCAAGGGCGTCAGCAGTTATCAGAGTCGAGAAGAACAGTTGCGTACCGTACAGCAATGGCTATCCGCAGCCGATCCATCTTCCAATTACCAGCAAGCACTAAGTAAACGCCAGGAGAATACGGGCCTTTGGCTTACGGAGAGTGAACAATACCAGAAGTGGAAAACGTCTTCAGTCTCTTTCCTGTGGCTTTACGGCATTCCAGGTTCTGGGAAGACGATACTGTCCTCGACGATCCTTCGCGACATCTTCAGCTCTCATGGAAGCAAGCCGTCAACAATTGTCGTGTACTTTTACTTTGATTTCAACGACGCGCAGAAGCAAAGCACGGACTCAATGCTTAAATCATTGGTCTATCAGCTCTTGCAGCGAGTCAAAGATATCCCGTCCCGTCTTGATAGCTTGTACCCCCCACATGGATCTGGACGGCAGCAGCCGACATCAGAAGCACTTCTAAATACCATTCGCGAATCGATACAGAAGTTTGAACAAGCATACATTGTGTTAGATGCCTTGGACGAATGCTCTCAACGTGTGGAACTCATGCATGCCCTCGCAACAATAAGCAATTGGCGCCTCGAAAATAGCCATTTCGTGGTTACGAGTCGCAGGGAGCGAGATATTGAGAGTGGTCTTGCCGTGTTTGGGGTGCTTGGGAACAGTGTATGTCTAAGTAGCAGTGTGGTCGACGAAGATATACGCCACTATGTCCGTCAACGATTGTCAGACGACTTGGGGCTGAAGAAATGGAGCCAGGATCCCAATCTACGGGAACAAATAGAAACAGCTTTGGTAGAAGGCTCCCAGGGAATGTAAGTGGACTCAGATCGTCAAGGGATCCTCCGTCTGAATATGTCACTAGGTTTCGATGGGCTGTGTGCCAGCTGGACACGCTTAGGAAGTGTCGCAATCGAGCAGGGTTGCGGAGATCATTGGCGACGTTGCCGCAAACTCTGGAGCAAACATACGACCGGATTCTCCACAAGATTACTCAAGAAGATTCTATCTACGCTATTCGCGTTCTGCGATGGCTGACGTTCGCCGAACGACCGCTCTCATTACATGAAATCGCGGAAGCTGTGGCCCTTGTTGTAGGTCGTACTCCCGTTTTTGATAAGGAAGAGGTGCTCCAAGACCCGATGGAGATCCTTGATATCTGCTCAAGTTTGGTCACTGTCAGAGACATGCGGGATGGGGAGGATGGTTGGCCGGCGCAGATCGTTGTGCTTGCACATTTCTCCGTCAAAGAACATCTCCTCTCCCACAAGCTACAAGCAAGCGATCTAAATCGGTACGCCATGCACCATCAGGCCTGCCACAGCATGTTAGCGAGATCTTGTCTTGAGTATCTCCTTCAAGTCCTGCGGTTCGATCTAGACTCTCGACATAGAGAGCGCACAAAACTTTTAAGTTACTGCTCAGAACACTGGACGGATCATGCTGAAGAGGCCGGAGGCTGGGATCCAGAAACCGCTAAGACGGCTGTTCGATTGTTGTCTATGACTGGTTCTGCATACGAAAAATGGTTGCAACTGTACAGTCCGGATCGTCCCTGGAACTTTTACCTCCTTAGCAAGTCAGTTAGTAATACTGCTCTTCCGCTGTATTATGCAGCGCTATTTGGCGTTGCCGATGTCATAGTGCTACTGCTTGAGAGTGGTGCTGATGTCAATGCTGAGGGTGGCGAATACGGCACTGCACTCCATGCAGCAGCAATCTGCGGCCATGAACGAACAGTGGAGTTACTAATTGCCCATGGTGCTCATATAAACACATCAACCCCTCATCATGGCAGTGCGATTCAGGCCGCCTCGGAGGTCGGCCATGAGTGGGTGGTCAAGCGTCTCATCGAGGCTGGAGCTGAGATTAATGCACGAGGTGGGATAAATGGCAGTGCCCTTGACTTGGCTATCGGTAACAACCATAACGATGTTGTCGCATTGCTTCTCAAAAATGGAGCAGAGTTGGAAACTCTGAACCGTGACGGAGTAAGCCCTTTGACTGGTGCAGCTTGCATCGGACACAATGGTATCATAAAACTGCTTCTCAGCCATGGAGCTACAATATCAGCAACAGATGGCAAGGGGTGGACTGCTATCAACTCCGCGTCTATCAGAGGGCATTCTGAGACTGTGAAGTTACTTATTTGACAATGGCGCAGACCTGAACATTGCCAATAGAGATGCTTGGACGCCTGTTTATTCCGCCTCATTCCAGGGCAACTACGAAGTGGTGAGATTACTTCTATCGGCAGGGGCAGACATCTCGCTCCCAAATGATGACGGTTGGACACCACTTCTCGCAGCCGTTGACGGCAATCATTACAATGTGGTCAAAGTGCTGCTGGAGCACGACATGCGTGATGCATACATCAAGGCTCAGTCGAAAGACGGCCACTCAGCGCTGTCTCGTGCCGCAGAGAAGGGCTTCGCAACTATAGTTGAACTGCTACTTGCGAACGGGGCTAGCGCCGTCCAAGAGGACTTCCATGGGTCCCAGGCCATTTCATACGCAGCTGTCGTTGGTTCCCTTGCCGTCCTGAAACTATTACTCGACGTCTCTCAAGTCGGGCCTAATCACACCGACCGTTATGGTCGCTCAGCGCTGTGGTGGGCAGCGTCGTGCGATCGACCAAAAACAGTCAAATTTCTACTACATGAAATACACTGCGATCCTAAGATAGCAGACGCCTGTGGTCGAACACCACTGATGATAGCTGCCAGGCGAGGTTACCAAGATATAGTCGATGTTCTACAAATATACGACGGTAATGTGGTTGACAAAAACGCAGATCTTGAAACTGCAACGATTCGATCCTCTGGCAGCACAGCCCTTATGTGCGATATCTGCGAATATAGTATCGCTGATGCAGATTTTCACTATCACTGTTTCACATGCGCCAGAGGGGATTGGGATATATGCGCCGAGTGCAAAGGTCATGGAATGACATGTTTGGATCATACACACACATTGACCAAGCGTACCATACAAAATGACCGCTTGGTAGAATTGATCTAGGCTTTATGTTGGATAAAATTGCCTACGTGCCGAATTAGTTTCAATGTTCAAGTTAAACAAACTCGTACTGCTTACGCTGCAGAACCTCTGAAGCTGGACACGCTGCTGCATAATGGCAATCGACCAATAAACCGATCAATTCGATGCACAAGCTCAATCTACAAATACGACAGTCTACGAAGAAATCCCTCAGCTGCTGCCTTGCTAAACTAAATTCGTTGAAGAATTCATCGTTTTCGGGTATCTACGAAGCAAGGCGTAAGATCATAGATTAAACGATAGATTGATCGTGTGCAACATCAAGCACGGGAGATGCACCTTGATCTGCGCTAATTCATCCATCCAGTGCTATTTATACCGCCGTATGACTCCTTTGACCCACTCCTCAGGCCCCAAAGCTTCTCCTCGCCTCCGCAACAACCACGCACCACCTCTACCCAAAATGAACCCACCTATCTTCCTCCTCCTCTCCATCCTACCTCTATCCCTAGCCACCCAACCCTTCGTCCCCGTCCACGGCTGCGAATGGGTCCACGAACTCACGCCGCTCACGAACTTCACCTACACCCACCCTCTCTCCCCCTCCCAATCTAACACCACAACCCCGCCCTCATATATACACTGGGCCGCCCCCGCAATCTCAGTATCCTGTTCCAACCCCAACCCCAGCTTCATCGGCTTCCAAAACGCCAGCGCCGTAGCCTGCGTCTCGCCAGGCGATGAAGGCCGCTTTCTCGTTTCCGCAGATGGGAAGAACGCGACGGTGATATTTAGGGTGTATGTGCAATGCGCCGCGGATATATTTGCGTTTCACTACGAGGCAGGGTTTGAGATGGAGTGTGTGAGAAACGAGGAGGGAGGGGAGGAGTGTGGGGATGGAGGCAGAGCGGTGGCGAGGTGCACGTCGCAGCAGTATTTACCGCCGATAAGGTACCCGCCGCCGCCACCGGCGACTTGGGGACGGTGATGGCTGGAAAGTGTGAAGAAGATACTGAGGGCGGGGTGTGAAAGTACAATTAGTTCATTACGTCTATGTATTGATGCCTAGAATAGCTGGAGCGAGCGCTTGCCTCCCCTGACTGATCGCTGGACTTCCTTCACGCTACGCTTTGCAGTAGTGTTACCTACGGGCGAACGCGTTGGGAATCCCTCCCAGCTGACTGCGTACTTGGCGACAGCGGCGGCAATACCTCGTGCGTGCAATAACCATGCCTCTTGGTTGAGGTTGTCGACCGTGTCAGCTGCCTGGTGGTAGTTCTGGTCGAGAATCTCGCCGGCAACACCACCCCAGATCTCTGCTTCCTTTGCAGTCTTGACCTCGTCGGCACCGGTGGTCGATCCTCCGGCGGGGATGTTGGCGTCAAGGAAGGGGCCGTAGTCAGAACGGCCGTTGAATTCGGTGGCATTGTACGGAACACCAACGCGGGTGAAGTATTGCTCGAAGAAAGCTTCGATATCGCCGCTTCCAGACGGGCCAGTGAGGCCGTAAGCACTGCCATCTCCGTCGTAGATCTGGTGAACGTAGTTGGGCGAAGCAATCATGTCGAAGTTGAGGTATGCGCGAATCTTGAGAGATTCTTCGGGAGATAGGTTCTCGACAAAATAAGTTGAGCCGAGCAGGCCGCTCTCCTCTCCACTCCAGAAGCCAAAGGTGACGGCATTCTTGACGTTGTACTTGGCGAGAGACTTTGCAACGTTCAAGATGCCAACAGTGCCGCTGCCGTCGTCGTTGATTCCAGGACCGGCGCCGACGGAATCAGTGTGTGCTCCTAGTGCCAACTGGTTGTTCTTGTCACCACATTTGCTGGTGGCCAGGACGTTATTGGTAGTGATCTTCTCGATGACGGTCTTGACGTCCAGGGATGCAGTTACATTGGCACCGCTCTGGAGTTGGGCGACGTAAGCTAGACCCTGCTCCTGGGACAGACCAACAGTAGCAACGTAAGGTCCCTCAGCTCGAGGTGGAGGGCCAAGAGTAGCGCTGACTGCGCCCGGGACGTTGTTGTAGATAACCGCACCGACCGCACCAGCACCGCCAGCAAGAGCAGACTTGAGTCCGAAGTCGCAAGAGCCACGGGAGACGAGGGCGATGTTACCAGACAAGCTTGCGGGGTAATCACTCGCCTCGCAGCCAAGGTTGCTGACTACAACCAGGGGTGCAGTGACGAGGCCAGCAGTGGAGTTCGAGTATTCAAATAGTGTCGAGTTGATAGCCTGTCCGCCAATAGTGAACTTGTTGATCGTGCCATTAAGCATTACATAGTTCGAGAATGGCTGGAGAGTAACATCGTAGTACGATGTAGACTCGAGCTCCTTCTTCAGCCACATGACAGTGTCATTGTGTGCAGATCCGCCCATGATCCTGTTGCGCGCAGGATAGTTGTAGGCGAAGTCCTGGAGCTGCTGAGCGCCTCTTAGGAGCTTCTTCGAAGTGATATCTGCCTCGAGTTTCCTCTACAGTTGTGTTAGCCTGACGATAATGTGGAATCAAAGGTATTGAGCTTCATACCGATCCGACCATGGGCCTGTTCTTGCATGGCTTGTCATTGTGGCCATCCTGTCGTCCTCGGAGTTCAGCAGTCGCTGACGCCGCAGCGGCGAGAGCAGCGAGAAGTGCGACCTTCATATTAGCAGAGCCTCAGGGATGACGAGTTGAGGTAGCAGGCAGCAGATACCCCTTCCCAGCAGCAGGCCCAGCTTGAGATATTTATACTGCACATTGATATTACTTACCTGCACATTCCTGCAGCAGAAGACCGAGGTCTGTCCGCGACGGGACGATACTTCCCAGTATCCAGGTCCGTGTGCCGATGTTCCTCTCGCGATAGCATATTACCTTGGCATGCGCTAGCGGCTCCATTCTTTAGGCTTAATGAAGCAGCTGGTGAAGAGAAGCCCCGCCAATAATGCTGCTTCTTCGTTCGAAGCAATCTAGGCAGATCTTGGCGTGCGTGATAGTGGCGGAACATTGTGCGAGCGTTATAGCGGGACAAGTGGGAAGTGGAGGCGCAATGCGTGCGGAAACGGGACACAGGGTGGCAATATCATACTCGCCAAGGATAAAGACCCGGTCAGACCGCAATATAGGAAGGTGTCACGGAAATGAGGCGTTAGATAGCAGCTCATCCTGTTTTAGAAGGATTCTGTACCTGGCGAGTGGTTCGCGACACCTAGCACGCAGCTCGGAAAGACATATCAATCACGTTTGTGGATCTGCTTGCCATAAGCTCGGAACGCCAAAACTCACACGCAGCCAGGACACATTGGACGTTCACCTCATGGATTTATCTTGCAGGCGGATTTATCGCTGCAGTCATTCTGGAGCAGTTGAATCTGTTTGACTTATTTTTGCTACTTTAGGGCCGTTAACATTGAGTCAGTTTTAGAATACTCTTTTACGCTACGAAGGCGAATTGTGTGAACACTTGCAGTGCTAGATGCAAGAAAACGAAAGAAAAAGCCAAGATAAACAATGGTGAAAAGGACATGATGGTCTCGGTGTATTACAATGACTTAATATGATAATGCAGGATAATCTCCGTCGAACGCCTCCTTTTGAGTCATGCACAATCGTCGAATGCCGTTTTTTGTTCCGCTTGATGCGAACCGTTTGTCGATGGCGTAGCCAGTTGCACTGGGCTCGGATACCCGTTCTCCTGTAGCCCTACTTTGCTGTTGATGGCAATGCCATGGCTGCTGTCATGCCCGATCCCAGTCGTTAGGAGAACATACTCTTGATCTATCTCAACCACGTTGCTGGCAGGAGGTGGTGGTGGCGGCGGCGGCGGTGCGGATGCTAGCCCGTCAGTACTTTTCCGCGTCTTCTTTGGCGAACCTGGATCCTCCTCTCCTTCCCGCTTGCGCTTTAGCTCAGATGATGAATCCGTGGGCGAAGCGTCTTTTGAGGCAGCAATGTCTTTATGGATGTCCATCATGTCGTCGTCCCACTCGACTTCCTCAATGTCGACTATCTCTTTTTCGGCTGACGGAGATCCAGCTCTACCATCAGCAGCTCGAGCGGCCTTTTGTTTGTCTCGTTCTTCTTTCTTCTTCACAGCCTTGTCCATGAACTCTTTGACGTAGTTCTTAACAGTCTTCTCGTGCCGGGAACTCAGCTTGGCCGTCGGATCCTTGACGCGTCCAGATTTGTAATCACCTCGAACGAGCTTTTTCGCTACCTGTAGTCAAGGTTAGCACGGACCCCAGTCTGGTGGAATCCTTATCTTACCTCTTTGGAGAGTCGTTTGATGTCGTCCTTCTCCAATTTCTTCCGGTAATGAGCAGCTACGTTCATAACGTGATGAGAGAGCTGTAATGGTCAGCCATTGTCTGCGCAATAGTAGCGTTACACCTACTGTAGCTTCGTAGATTTTCTCCTGCTTTTCCTGAGGCAGGCTTCTCCACTTCTCACTCTTCGTTTTCTTCTCCTTCTGCTCATCTCCAGTGGGCTGTGGTGTAGACGATGCCGATGGTCCAGTAGGCGTAGCATTTGAAGTGATGCTAGAAATGATGTCTTGCAGTAGTTGTGTGTCAGTCTTGGCCTTTGGTGGAGGTGGCGGTGGCTGGTTCGCAGCTTGGGTCGGGCGTAGCCATTGCGTTGTACCAGCGGTGTTGTAGTAGTATGTTGAGCCGTTGTCGGAAGTAGCTTGGAACCAACCGGGAGGTAAGGGGTTAAACGGTCGAGGACGTGGGGCAGGACGTGGGGCGTTGAAGAAACCACTTGGTCCACGCGGCACATTCACGACACCACGAGGGCCAGACGGAACTGCCGCAGCCGGACCCTTAGGTGCAATCAGTGAAGGGGACTTCGATCTTGATCTTGAACGTTCTCGGCCCCGTTCTCGCCGCTCAAAGTGGTTTTCGGTGCGGGCAGGTGTGCCGGCATTCGGATCTCTCTTCATGCGCGGTATCCGGTATGCAACCTCCAACTTGCTCCAAGCATTCAACAGTTCACTTGCTGATTCCTGGACTTGCTCGTTTCCGCAAGTCTTCAGTTGCTCAACGGCCTCCTCGATCTTGGAGTCCTGAATCTTGTTCCGTGTGATTCGAGGAAGGTTGTGAAGAATGTCGAGAACCTGCTGCACAACGTTGAAGTCGTCCATAAAAGTCGTCAAGGTCTTCTTGAGCGTCTCGTAACCGTGCATGCGTATTATGCGATGTCCAACTCGCTCGTTGTCTGTTTGCTGTATGCGGCTCAGCAGCTTGACAGCAATCCACTTCTCGGTACATTGCCGCAATGCTGCCATGACTTTGGGGACGCCATCATCCTCCAGCGATCGAGGCTTGAGATCATTGACATACTCCTCATCATCCTCGCTGACCTTCTTCTTGCGCGGCTTCTTAGCGACCGCTGTGTCCCAACCATCTCCATCATCGATACCAAGGGCTTCGATCGTAGCGTGTGATAGCTTGGTCGCGTTGTCGGACTGTGTCTTTCCGCCGATATAGCCGGTACAGTTGGGTTCGCCGCAGTAACAAGGCTGTGGGTCGGCGCCGTATCGGTCGACGTTGTAGTTGAAGACCAGTTCCTCGCCGGCTTTGACTTTCCGCTCGACGAAGATGCCCATGCGCAACTTGTCGCCCACGACCCATTTGTCAACGAAGCAGTTTGGGTTGCAGGAATGGTTGCAAAAGCGGCCGAGGTTGCCCTTTTTGGTAGCATCCACGAACTCGCCCTTGGTGAGGGACATGAAGTAGAAGTGCTTGATGCCTTCCTCGTCATACTGAATCATGCGGCGTCGAAATGTCCTCTCGTCTATGACCTCTCCGATGTATTCGAAGACGAAGTCGCCCGGGAACATGTCCTGGTTGGCACGTAGGCCGAACCCCTTCTTCGCGGTCTTGATCACCGTGACGTCCGCATATTGCTTCCGGAAGAAGCGCTGGTTCTGGCACTTGGTACCGCAGCTGCAGCCGTCGGCCACGCACTCCATCTTGGTGGCGCGGTTGATGCAATCCGAGTCCTCGCCGCAGGCGTTGTTGACTTTCTCGACGGCGTCCCACTCCTCCCCACAATCGCATTCGAGGGCAGGGTCGGTGGTGCCGATGTGCTTGTTTGCATATGTACATTGTGGCAGGACCTCGAAGGTCTGTTTCGCGTCTTGAGTGGAATCGGGGAGGTCGAGATACAGCGGCGGTGCGCGCTTGACGGTGCGTGAAGCTGCCCGCGACAGCTTGGGGGCTTTGCCTGGCTCAACCATAAGGGTGATGTCTCCGCCAAGCGTCTCCTCCTGCACGCTATTGGCCGGCGATGGAGAATCGGACTCTTCCTGCTTCTTGTAAGTGGGCGACTGAGATCGTGACCCGGAGGTTTTGAGCCGCGGTGGGATGGCTGAGAGGGGAGGCGTTGGCGTCCGGTCGGCTTCTGCCTTTACTTGCGGGCTCCCGCGTTCCGCGTCGGTCGCGTTTAACTTCAGATGATCCAGCTCTGGCGGAAGCTGGTCGGCGACCGCCTCGTGGTGGTCATAGTGACTCTCCATGCTGGCGGTGTTGACTGTGATAGAGACTGCCTGGAAGCTGCGAACGGGCAACGGCGATTTTCACGCTAACGATTGCCAACCTCAATCCAAGTCCACGATGCGCCCTCTCTCATAGCCCAAAACAGACTTCTTTTCACACTCCAGCCGCCAGGGTACTTGTTCGCGAGTGAAAATGGCCAGCTCGGTGGCGGCGCAGTTGCCTTGAGCAATGTCGCGGGCAAGTTTCTGCTCCCTGTTACCCACTGCCACGCCTAAGATCCGCACCAACTGCCACACTCTTGCGGCACATCGACCACAGCTAATAATAAAGGCAATGCGCAAAGAAAGATACGCGTCAATGTGGTAGTCGTCTCGTGGACATGGGTTGAGACGCGGGCGCAAGGTCGGGAGTGGTTCGCGGGTGCGGTCGCGCACTGCAGGCGTCGGTGCTGTGTGGCAAAGGCGGTAGTGGCTGATGGCTTATAGCTGCGTTTATCGCATCACTGCAGGCGCGTTTGTCTTCGCGGCACCTTGCGATAGTCGTATAGCTCGTCCGTGGGGCTTTCGTTGTTCGATGTAGGAACTGCCCACCCGTTTTCTGTCGCTAGTCTAGAACACCGCCTCGGCTCGTGTCCCCATTTGGGCTGCCGTCTTCAAGCCCAGTCCCGCCAGAGCTTCTGTCAATGTCATGGAGAACATCACTCTCAATAGACCGAAAGAAGAGTATGGAAATGAGAGGGGAGAGCGAAAATTGACGTGTCAGCACGGTAGAGTAGCTTGTGTTGATAACAATACTATGCAGCAAACTTCTTGGCACGCCATGAGCCTTGTACTTCTCCACCAACAATTGCAATAGTAATGGAATGTTGCACGCTGATATACTCCTGCATAGGGCGTGTCCTTGTCGTGCGCGACAGTATTTGCGCGAGATCGAAAGTTCATAGGGTTCCTCGAACAATGCGATGGAGCAGAACACATGTCAGGAGTCCTGTGTATAGCTCCAGATACAATTTTGAATGCCTTGGTCAGTGAGCTAGAGTGTACGCGCAGAAAGATCAGAACGCAGTGAACCTTTCGCCAGTTTGCGTTGCTTGCTGTAGAAGTAAACCTTAGAAGCTAGCTGCGAATGCGGCTAGCGGCAGAATCTACCCCACTCTGATTCGCGTGACCAGCTCTCTCAATTAAGCTTCAATTCCCTAGACTCGTACAGTCGATAGAGCTATAGAGCAGGAAAAGCCCCGATGCTTCTTTCTGTGTGTACTCATACTTTTCCTGAAGTCAACAGATCAGGAATGTACCTAGGTACCTATCGAGGACAGCCGCCACATCACATGATTCTATCATGACTTCACTCGCAAAGGAGGTAGCTATGGGCTTAGTCGATAGAAGAGCGTCTACTGCAAAGTACGGTGGAGAATGAAAATGGCTCATGATCTCACCACAAACGGTTAACAGAGGAAGAAAACTGATTTAGCCATAGATGCAGTAATTTTCCAGCTTCACGGTGTGAAAGATAGCCGATCCGCGAACTTGACTCTAGAAGTAGTCAATCAAAAACGCAACCTGCCAGCGAGTCGCGTTGGCCTTCGTCAGCCTCAAATGCAATGGTATCAAACCCATTCCTCGGGGCTTCTTTAAGATCTATGTCAGTTCCATTGGAGACGCTACTGGCAATCGCTTCGGCGCTCGGCCATGCGGTGCCCAAGTCAGAGTGAAAAATAGGTTCATTGGTTTCCAGAATCGCCATGGAAACTTTGAGGAGTGCGAGATTATAAGCGCCGGGCTAGCTGAGCGAACGAACAAGCCGTGGTGACAGCCGTGGTGCCGGCGGAATCTCAAGCGAGAAACGTTGATCAAGCCAGTATCCCGCTCTTAGACACCGGTAGCTCTGAGAGTATGGTCCAGCCGCAGTGTCAATCGGCATGCTGGTGATGTCATGAGGATGTGTTTGTACCAAGTAGATTGCAACTGCTGGACGCCTTCCCTAACAGTCAGGAGGCGTAGAGAATGTCGACGTTTTCGTGCTTCGCCAGGACCCGTCATGCCGGATTAGGCTCGGCAAACTCGTGTTTCATTGGCTCCGCTTTTAGCGGCCGATCGTGGCCCCGCAACTCAAACCTTGAAGACACGCCTGTCTGAATTCCAGCCTACTCAACGTTACGCCAGGCGCGGAAGAGAAGATGGCGCCTTTGGACATGTTCGCTGCATTCGATGAAGTTTATTGTTTATTGCTTCGGAGAGCGCTACCGCCAATAGTCGTTGGCTGGCGACACTCAGGCTATGTCACGCACAGCCAGCCTTGATTAATTACCAGGGGCTATTATGCCGAGGGCCAGGGCGGGCCGCTGATCTGGTCAATGGCAGCACGATGTGGTGTTGGAGCGGTGAAGTAGTCCTCACCACCAGCTGCACTGCGACGTGGCGGTACGTGGCAATGCAGACGCGAAGATCTGCTGTCGCTGGCAAACTATAAGGCTTGCCTGAAGCTTCTCACAGCCGTGACTCGAAATCACCAACCTTTGCCTGTGGCCCGTCCCGACGTCATGTGATTACGCACTATCTTACCGTTGAAACATGAACATGACAAGGATTATCCGCCTTTGCAAAACACGCCATCGATGCGATCAAGCGCCAGGCGAACATGGGTCCCGATGCGCCCACGAGTCTCAGTTCACGAACGCATCAGAGCCAGTCGAGTGTGAATTGGCGAAACATACTCAGGCACAGACTGCAGTGCCATGAGCCTCGAGGCGATTGACTAGGTCATTTTGGCCAGGATGCAGTTGCGCATCATGGAGAAAGGAATGTGTGGGGGGCGGGCCCATGCGCCTTCTGGAAGTTGAGATGGGACCACTACTGGACTAATGCCGGGTCTGCAGCGTCTCTCCTAAACCCAGCCTCGACACTCACCATTCGTTCTACCACCACTCTTCTTTGCCTGTTGTGATGGTGACATTTGGAGCGCACAGCAGGTATCTTTAAATGTTCCACTCTTCTACCACTCATTTGTAAACGTTTTCGCTTTGTTTCTTACACTCTCGTTGGTTTGTTCACGTTCGGAGCGTTTAAGCGCGTACGCGCCCATCTGAAGGGCCTTGTGATCAATTCTCTCCTCAGGTGTGGTTGCATGGCTAGGATTGCCTTGATATATTTCTTGTCGCCCTGCCCTGTGGTCATCCATCCACAGCATGGAGAGAGAGCCACCTTGGACAGAGCACGAACGCGTCTATCTGCTCTGTGAGGTTCTTAAGGCATCTCCAGTCAGCTCCCAGGCTCTACTATCTTTCTTGCGCGAGGCTCAAATTCAGCCGCGATGGAGCGATACAGCCTTGCCTCCAGGTACGCACTACATCCTGCCACACTGCCATATTGACTAACGGCGCTGACTGCGACAGGACGTTCCCTTCGTTCGAGCCAGATGGCATTCGACACCCTAGCTGCCACTTACGCGGGATCCGACTATCGCCGCCCACCAATGCCTGCAGGTCCTCAACCCATCATGTACGCTGGTCCCGAAGCCTCGCGGAAACGTCCCTACCAAGAAGCCGCGCCGCCAATAGGTCGTCTTCTCCAGCCTCGTCCCCCTCAACCCTACCCTGGGGAGTACATTCAAGCTGCCGGGCCCGCATATGGTTCGAACATAATGTCTAGTGGAGAGCCTGCGAACAAGAAAAAGCGTGGTAGGCCCACGAAAGCGGAGGCGCAACAGCGCGCGCAAGAAGCAGCCGCACGCGGCGAAGTCTACCCACCACCTAGGAGAGGCAGGGTGTCCATTACCGCACCGCCAGAGCCATCGCCGCTAGGCTCAGAATCGCAACCACAGGAAAGAACTCCTCCGCAGCAAGCAGTCCGCGCGTCACACTCTACGATGACGCCCCCACGTCAAACTCAGCCAGATCAAGAGGAAGAGTCATCATCGGGGAAGAGAAGGCGCACGAAACCAGAGCCATTAGAGCTGGAGAAGCCGCAGCGAACTTTGGGTGAAATGGAGTCCCCACTAGCCTACGGATCAGGCGATCCTAGCCGCAACCAGGCATACATGTCCTATACGCCCATTTCCGCACCGTTACCTGGATCGGCGGATTCACGGGACAGGGACATACGCATGGAAGGAGTTGAAGAAACTCAGCCACGAACTACGACACCTCACTCGTTTAAAGACACGGTCGGCATATGACCTTTTTACGTCACCAAAAGCACCACGGCGGTAATACTGATTTGAAGCGTTCCGTCAACGACTTTACTTATGCACTCACGATACCATTTATGGATCTTATGGAGGTATGCTCTGCCGCCGCAATTGCACATTGCGTGCGTTCACGAGTACCGCTCATGCGCAACATTTATTATGTCTATGCAGTTCTACTTTTTGCATTTCATTTCCTTAGCATCGCGTCTGTTTGTTTTTTCACCAAAACTATTTTTCCTTACTAAAACTTTTCTTCTTGCTTCTTTGGAATTGCCATGTCTACGCCACGCTTCTTTACGAAAGTCGAGATGTGACGAGCAAGTTACCTAATGTCTTACTATCACTACCTTAACGACCCTTTTTCGATAAGCCATTTGTTTCGATTCGCAACCATTGGGTCACAGGCTTCTGCGCCAGTCCCGCACATGTACGATAGATGCGACTTCTGAGCTTTCCTGCATAACGGCCTCTGTACAAAAACACCTATTAGCAGCACTATCAATATTAGAACCTAGGCACAGCCTATCAGCGCACACGTTCAACGACTTTCTGCGCTTTCTCTAGCGAGCAAACACTTTCGGTATCATGTTGCACTTAGGACTCCTGCACGGCAATGTGGGCTCCCTGATGTCCACTCAACAAGCGATCGTCAACCTTTCACGGCGTCAGATTGCTGCAGGTCAACCAAGAAGGGTAGATGAAATTTGGTTGAGCGGCCAGAAGCGGGCGCAAGAGGCGACGTCAGAACCAACAGCACGACACAAACAACGGGTCTTGTTTCACCTGCTACAAGTACCTGTGTTACAGGAACCGCTCTACACGCATCCCGAAGGAAGACTACACATGACCCAGTCGATGCAGGGGCTCTTCTCCAAGGTCGCGCCCGGTAATCCTCACGGCGAAATGCTGCAAGTAAGCGCCCTTTGTGCGAAAATCTCCCCGTCGCAACAACCCTCGACAGCAGCAGGAGAGAAAAGAAAGGGGCGCGTCGCAACCCGCAATGATCACATTCGGCCTTGGTAGTCATCAAATAACGGCAGGAATTTTCTCAAGTACGCGTAACTCCTACTCCGTTCCGCGAAAAGAAATGACTCGAGCTGCGCATCTTGTTTCGCTGCAGCACAAAAGGGGAATGTGTACATGACGCCAACGCATGCACGCATCGACCATCGTGCAGCTTCTCCCAACAAACATGGACACTCAACAGGCCCGTTTTGTCCAACCATCTTAGCCGCAAGGATTCGGCTGCGTCAAAAGGAGTCGACTTTGTAGCCGCTTTCTCTTGACTTTGACGGCGAGTGTAGTCCCGAGGTACGTCGATTAGGAAGGACGCTGGGCGGGACGGGACATCAAACGTCTCGGCGGCGGCCCGAATGCGCTGTTGCGCGCGGCAGGAACCGGCCGTTGTTCGCTCAATTTTCGCAGCTGTGTTGGGGCCAATGCCAATGTTTTGAACCCAGGCAAATTGCCAATATCTTGACAAGTTGTCTTGGTTTGTTTGAGGTCTGGGAAGAGAGGGGGCTGGGGGGGGAAGGGGGGCCATTCGTCTACAATTGCGCATGGACCAGCCGTTCTCCCGTCCCGCGAAACAACATGACATGTTTTTTGAATGCACCGTTATTGGCTCGCGATGGATTTTAAGCGAATAGTGATAGACTGCGATACAAGTGACGTTGGCGTTGACGTTAATGGCGACGGCGCTTAGCAAAACCACGGCCCTAGTCAGGATCGCCGGCCAGCGTTGTACCTGAAGATCATAACTGCGAGGAACTATGACCCGAGCGAGCGTTTGTGTGCGAATATCACAGGCAACGTTGGCCTTTCGCCGGTGCGGTTCTATATTTATCCACATTAAACGGGCGCTGGTGTCCGACTTGCCTATAGCAGCGCGGGTTATTATATTACGCGGAGTATATAGGCCTAAAGGAGACACGGGCGGCGTGCCGTGGCAGCCTGAAGCGGAAGCCTGGATGATGGAAGCGGCGTAGATGAGGGAGTGGTACTTTGGGTCAAAAGAATGATTATCGTAGCAAGCGCTTACGAAAGTGGAAGTAAATCATGCATATACTGGTGTGCTCCTTAGACTTTGCTGTATACTACCAACATAGAGGCAGAGTAGTGGTGCCGTGCTACCAATGTCATGATAACAGATGTGAGGTAAATCGATATTCGGAATTGATGAAGTGACCACCACCACCACCACCACCACCACCACCACTGCTCGCCCGACCCCAATATTTATGCCGTCAACGCCTCGCTTGTAGCAAATGCTAAACTACTCCTTGAAATATCAAATGGCGCTATGCAATAATGGATGGGGTTGTTTGATTGTACAGACGTCTTGTGTCGAGAACACCTAGTTCCCTGTCGCTGTATGAGGTTTGCAGTCCTCGCATACCCAAGGCGACTTTCTGAGTGTGCGAAAATCTTGTTCAATTCCCCAGCGCTCTTTGATGCAGTCGTAGTGGAAGCTGCGTCGTATACAGTCCTAGTTTTGTTAGCTTGGCTGATATCTTCTTATAGGACATGGTCGACTTACCATGCTGCTGCACGCAACGAGCGGTGAGTTTCGACTCGAGGCTTGTGCGTCTGCACCACACAGACACGAGTCGTAGGGAGCGGGTTCTGGTTCTTTTGCTTGTTCCGTGCGAACAAGCTCCGTGATGAGGGTGGCTTCTCGCATCTCTAAGTCTCCGTCTGAGTCTGCAGTGATGGGTGTCAGATGCCCAGTATCGGTGACTCTAGTCTTCCCTTTTCCTTTGTTAGCTTTGTTATGGTTCGAGCTCCCGTCTGGTTCTTGCGATCTCCGCGTGCGAAGCGGTGGAGGGTCGTCGTAGAGATCATCGTGCGACGATTGTCTGACTTCCAGATTGGCCAGAATTTTCGATATATTTGATGCTTCTTCAGCTTCGGCTGGTCGTGCTGCTTCCACAAGGCTTAGAATGCCCGTATGTGTCTCCTGAGAGATGATGCCGTCTTGTAGCAGCTCGTCGATCTTTTTCTTGAAAGGTTCAAACACATTCTCCTTCCATATCCAGTCGCGATTTTGACGTGCAAAGCGAACTATCGAATCGCCCACATGAACGTCGGACTGCAACCGCTCCTCCCACATATGAGCGTCAAACCCCTTCAGAAAGCGTTTGGCAGGGTCTGATAAGCTCCTATCCTTTTCGAATTCTGCCCATTTGCGGAGTTTGATCCACGAATCATCCACCTCATCATCGCTTTCACTTATATATTCTCCCGTCTCAAGCGGCCGTCTGCTCACAGCTCTGAAGAATGTGACGCCAGGAGGTGCCTCGGGCACGAGATATGTCTTTTTAACTTGCGGCGGCATGTCGCGTACCTCGTCTGGAGGTTTCCGTCTGAGGGGCTTAGGTATGCTTAGGGGCACCGTCATGGCTGCTCTCGGTACCGTGTATCGTTTGTTATTTCTCGCCGCACGGCGATAGCGATCGTCACCCTTGTGTAGATAAGCGCGTTCGTCAAATGGGTGTGATGGTAATACGATTCGAATGTCCGCTGGTTCATCAGCCTTTGCACTTGCTCTTTGGTCGGCTCTGTGAGCTCTGTGGTCAGAGATATCGGCTGTGAACTTCCAGACCTCGTTGCCTTCATCGTCGAGCCCTAGCCTCACAGTTTTGTACTCGAAGTAATCATGCCAGCAGTCCAAATGCATGCAGAGATCGTTGATGTTTGTAGACTGTCGTTGTTCACAGCCTTCGTGTGGACATACTAGGCGGTACCTGATGATAGTCTCCTTTTCGTAAACAAAAATAAGTTTTATCTTTGGCTCAATAAGCACCGGAAACGAATGTGGAACTTCAGGCCGCGCCCGGGCGCGCAGGCGGTTGTTATGTGTAGCGAGAATAGAGTCCCCAGCTTCGGACACCCACCCCATTGAGACTCCTAATTCGAACCCTAGAGGGCCACCGTAGTCTCGCAGTTGAAGGAAGGCCGTGCCTTCGGGACATTCTAGAACATCCTTCCATACCGCATGTATACGAGTGGATGGATCCTGTAATGAGGCGGTTACAGGGTCGAGATGATTGTAGAGTTCCTCGGCGTCACTCGCGTTGTCCATCTCGAAACTGATGCGCATTTGGAAAGGATCGTTTGTTTCTGTCTGTAGGTCTGGAAGATTGAAGTCCTTTGGATTGATGGCCACACGTTCTGTGTCTACGGACACAGATTTATCGCTCTGGTGAGCTTTGCCCCGTAGAATGGCATCCTGAGGAGGTATGCTCACGCATGCATGGTCAGACAGTGGCGAGTACACAGACACATTCATGACAACTTTTGCCTGCAGCAACATTCGTGTTTTTGCAGGGGGCTGAGTCGATTCGAGTCGTTGGGGCTGGTGAATAGGTTTAATGCTGTGGACATCCAGAACAAAACAGCCTTTTGATCGGTCGAGGTCCACCATCTCGTCGAGAGCGTCCCACGAGGGGGGTTTCCAGTCAGAACGGAGGTCGGGGGTCTCTTTGAGCGAATCTTGGGGGTTGGTTCGTCCTAGCAGATGGCGATGGGCGCGCAAGGCGCGGGTAAGGTTCCGGTTCAACAGAACAGGTGCTCTCTTCCTTGTTAAGTAGTCGTATAATAATATGTTTCCGGCAAATCTGTCATGCCGTTTGTTCATACTCTAGACATGAATTTCGTCAGTTGCTGGTCCTTGCTTAGAAATCAAACGAGGGTAGCACATACACTCGGTTTCTCAGTTGCATGCTATCGCAACTGAGCGCGACACGGCTACGATACTGATGGGATTTCGCTCTCTGTGACCTTCCTTATGGAAACTAATGAAGAGCGCGTTATGCGCGCATCGCTGGGCGGTTGAGTTTTCGAATGTTTGGATCTTTGGGTGCCGACGAATTGCGTGAGGGGTCCGATAGGGCGACTATGAGACGGAATGCGGCCGATGTTGGGGGGCAAGGTGTTGTTGATTTTTCCGATGTTTTCACAGGTAAGTGGTCTGACGAGTGCCTCCGGTGGTTTGTTTACCGTTTTACGGTCGGGCTCGGTGAAGGAAGTCGCGATGCCAGCGAACCAGAGCGCACGACAAATTCCACGTGAAGCGCGCAGCAAGATTCACGCCATTGCTCAAGCGGCGCTGCACAGTACGGCCGGCAACTATCAGATGTGGTGAAGTTGTGCAGGTCGCAAGCCACGTGATGTCGCGTCAATGGGTCAATCGCCCAAGGTCTGTGCTTAAGCTAAGGCGCAACGGAGAGCGTCATAGGCAGTCGCCTGCGGCTCGGTCCTGTGTATGCGCCGAGTGAGAGTCTCTACTTCCACCTTTCACTCATCGCCTACTCCACCCAGCGCATGTATATGCTCTGGTGCAAACGGTCCCAAACACTTGCGCGACCATAGCCCATAAAATGCCCACTTGACCGCCCGATCCACAATTCTCCACGCTCTCACTGCACCGTGAGTGCGAGCAGCTCGAGTACCTCCATGGCTGTGACACTCAAGCGCAAGCGCGGCGCTGTCTCGTACAGGGAACCGAGCAGCGATGAAGAAATCTCTGAGAGCTCTGGGCAAGAAGGCCAAGTCAGGCCGAAGCGTGCTACTCCATCGCGGCGGTCGACTCGACGCTCAGAGCCCGCTGCGCAACAAATGGGCCCAGTAGCCGACAGACGTCGAGCAACCGGATCACGGGAGGGCCGTCGCCGAGAAGTGCCCAAGATATCTTACAAGGACGTCAGCACAGACGAGGAGGAGCAGGACGACCCCGACGACGACTTCGAGGCCGACGACGACGAGCCTCGACGGCGAACGAAGCCACCCACAACCTCCGCTCGTTCGCCAAAACCACACAAGCCCTCAAAGTCCAAGGGCAAATCTCCACAGAAGCTGGTGTTAGGAGCGCCTCGGAGGGACAATGTGACCACTCCAGTGGCAACGACCACCGCTCCCATACCGACAGACGGTCACATACCGGCGTGGGCATCCTTGCCTTACCACGTACTCCTCCAAGTTTTTGTCTATGCATCGCATCCACTTCGAGACGAGAATATGAAGCCCATGGCCTCCATCCCATGGCTTGTGCAGATGGCGCGGACGTGTTCGGCATTCACTAAGCCAGCATTAACCGCGCTATATCGCAACCCTCCCGTCTTTGCCATGAAGCAGACGCGCAGGGATCTAGTACATCATCTTATTTCTCTGCCTGCAGATGCACATGAAGACTACCGTGTCATGGTCAAGCGGTTAGAGTTGGATGCGACTCAGCTGTCTGCGCTCACCGACCATGCACACAGCGTTGGGGATTTGGCCGCGCTGGTGAGCTCGCTAACCACTCTTCGCGAGATCGACATTTTCGATCCCATCGATAGGCCGCCCTTCCGCGACCGCCTTCGACGACTTCGTCGATGGGTGTATCCTCCTGAGCTGTTCGAAGCCCTGCGTCAAAGCGCGTTACGTCTTCGAAGCTGGCGATGGAACAGTACCTTCTGTGACCATGGCCCTCTGTGGATGAAGACCGTACACAGCGATGCATCTTTCCAGACCTTACGTGAGGTGACACTTACCAAGTTCCATCCTGCCGAAGTAAGAGATGATCAGGAGGATGCCCAGGGCCAGCCGACCATAGAGGAGTTGGTTGCGTCAGCTCTGGTCGCTCTGCCGCACCTCCAGACTCTAGCTTTTGAGTCCTGTGGTATAGTCAGTGGGCGTCTTCTGCCACTCTTGCCAGCCAACCTAGTGAGTCTCAGCATTACGAACTGCGGGGAGCTGCTCTCCGATGCTCTGCAAGCTTTCTTGACGACCCATGGCTCTCAGCTGGAGGATCTCACCCTGAACCACAACCAGTCTTTGGACCTCTCTTTCTTGGTGGATTTAAAAACCTCTTGTCCAAAGTTGGAAGTTTTGCGCATGGACACAACCTACTACAGTTCCCTATCCATGTCATCCGACAATGAACCTTTATACGAAACCCTTTTAGGCGAAACAGAGAGGCCGACTTGGCCAACCACGTTGAGAATTCTTGACATGGAGTATCTGCGGAATTGGAACTCAACAGCAGCTACCAACTTCTTCAGCTCACTGATTGACGCGGCCGATGAGTTGCCTTGGCTCCGCGAGATCACAATCATAGCCATGGTAGACACAGATTGGCGGCAGCGAGCAGAGTTCAGGATAAAGTGGACTGAGCAATTCAGGAAGGTGTTTGCACGAGCCTACATATCTCCCAATCCCCACCTTGTCTCCTTGAAGGCTTACCGGGAGCGGACGGCCAACGTACATGTGCCAGAGACGGAGAAGGAGATGGAGAAGAATGACTCGCTCGTCGAAGGCGTTCCAGTGGGTCTTGATGGAGCGAAGCATGACGAGAGCGATAGTGATGTGCCGCTTTTACAGTCTCGGAAACAGAAGCAGGATGAGCAGTGGGGATCGAAACGTCTGCGTTCACGCTCGAAAGCAGCTACAAGCTACGACGAGTCATCCAACGAGGAGTCGTCTGAAGACGAGGCGACTGCTGAAGATGAAGTGCTCTTTGTGCAGGGCCGATGTCATACTGTTCTTTTCCGCATCGACAACTTCCGTCCCCGCGAGGAGATTTATGGCGAAGCTGATTTCCTCGATGCGGAGCCTAGTGGCGATGAAGAATGGAATGGCAATGACGACCAGGACGATGAGGGAGGTTATGCTTGGTAATGGTACTATCTATGTATGGACTACGAGGCTTAGGTTGGCGTTTTGGGTCAGACGGTATGTCTTGGTTTATGATTGGGTAGAGTCTGTCAGACCTGTGATTGGCATTGGACAGGCGTTTGTCGACTTGTATGAATAATGGTGTATGACAACAGGGGACTCATCAGGCGTTGGTGGTGTTGGGCTGCAATACATGACAGCTTGAGGCCAGACAATGTTAGGCCAGACACGACTGGCGCAGATAGTCCTGCCACAACCCTTGCAAAATACAGCCACGAGCCCATACGAAAGCCGTTGCTTCTCCAAGTCTATTTGTGGGTAGCTCAAGTGTCAGAGCAGCTGAATGTGATGGACTACAGACGTGCGCCACAGCCTCAGCCACAAGCTCAGCCTCCTGACGTCGCCTACGAGTATCCACTCAGAGACGGCTAAGCAAGACTACCCATCGCTCAATGCTCTGACCCGTACTTCTTCCACATAAGCGCTCATTGGAAATTGCGAGCCTGCTACTTTCGCACATCTATCCTCTTCGTCTGCACCCCCTTCCCCGCGCACCACGACGAAACGGTTTTCCCTGCCCCGCAGTCGCTGACAGTCGTTCGCACACCAACATGGCTGCGCCCACTCCTCCCCAGCCGCCCGTATCGCCAGATTCTGGGCCAACGGACCCGACGCTGCCAAAGCTGCCTGCCGGATGGATAGCACAATGGGACAACGGGTAAGCGCACCTCCTGGCTGCTGCGCGTGCTACTCTGCTGCCCCGCCATTGCATTGCATGCCCCGCGACACGGCTAACACGTCCACAGCTCTCGCAAATACTACTGTATGTGGCCCGCCGCCGCGACACTCTGCATGCCGACATGTTGCGTGACACCCTGGAGCCCTCACTGACTTGTAGGCAGACGTCCAGATCAGCACCGGCGTCTCGCAATGGGACCTGCCCACCAGCGAAGCTCCCATCGGTGGCAGCTCCAACCATAGCACGCCCGCACAGAACACGAACCCGTACAACAAGCCCGAGGGCGCACAAGGCCCCGAGGCTGGCGATGGCACAAGAGGCGTCGGCGGCCATGGGGAGTCGACGGATCGGGCTGGCGGACTAGGGGTATGAAACACTCGGGCAGCAATGCGCCTAGCTTGGGCTAACAGGGACAGGGCTTCGCCATGAACGCGCTGATGGGCAACAATAAGCAGAGCAGCGGCCACGGCGGCAGCGGCTCAGGAAACCTCGTTGGCCAGCTTGCCGGCTCATTACTGGGCGGCGGAAAGCAGAGCCACGGCGGCAGCAGCGGACACGGCGGTGGCGGCTCCGGCAACCTCGTCGGCCAGCTTGCAGGATCGCTGCTCGGTGGTGGAAAGCAAAGCCACGGGTCGTCTGGACAGCAGCAACATGGCGGCAGCTCCGGCCATGGCTCGTCGGGCGGTCTAGGTGGCCTGCTTGGAAGCGTCATGGGCGGCGGATCTGTGAGTGCATGGCAGTGACTGGCCATGTTACCGTGGACTGACAGCATATAGCACAACAAGCCCGCCGGTGGTGACTACGGCTACAGCCACAACACGTCGCAAGCGTCAAGCGGAACCTACACGGGCTCTGCACCGCCAGCCGCCTACCAGCCAGGAGGGCAATCTGGTGGTCAACACGGGGGACAGCCCGGCCACAACAGCTACGGTTCTCCTCCCCCAGGACAGTACGGCAGCGGCGGACCCCCACAGCATGGCGGCTACGGCCAAGACCAACACGGCGGTTCGCATCAACAGCACCAGGGCTACGGCGCGCAGGCTGGCTTTGGCGGACAAGGACAAGGACCAAACTATGGCGGTGCGCCTCCTGGAGGCTACGGACAGCAAGCTGGATACGGTGGCCCGGCGCAAGGCTACCATGGTGGACCGCAGAACTACGATAATCACCAGCACAACCAGGTATGTCGGTTGGAGGTGCAGTTCAACCATGTGATTCCTGACCTTTTTCTAGTACGGCGGCGGACAGCCAGGTGGCAACCCAGGCCAATACGGTGGCCAACAGTACCCACCACCACCGCAAGGCGGCTACGGAGGTGGACCGCCTGGGGGATACGGCGGTCAGCAAGGCGGCGCGCCTCCTCCCGGATGGCATTGAACATGAGGAGTTCAGGGCAGTTCAGAAGTGCTAGGGGCAGAATGTGTCGGGACAAAAGCTTGCTCCACGGGATTGAGCATCTGGGTGGAGCACATTTGGACCTCAATTTTCGGCTACTATTTCCTCGGAGGTATCCTGAGAGCCTCAAGGGCTTTTCGAGACTGGGCTGGGCGGTCGTTGCTATGTGTATGGATGAATGACATATTCCTCGGCTTCATTGTTCTTGCCCTCGGCCACTCAGTCGTATGACCATGACGCTTCCCCATTTTGCATCCTGGCAAAGCCCCGTCCACGCGACTCTGGCATGAACTTTCCACGTCCTCACGCGTCTTGATATCCGTAGATCCCGAGTCTGCACTTCCGTTCAAATCGTCTAATTCCCCTCTGTGCCCTCGTCTCATACATCCTTCAATCCCCAAATATCTCCTCCCCCCCACCACCCCCCGCTCCCAGCCCACCCTGCACCCTCCAACTCACCCCCGCCCCACCCACTTTCCCACACCAACTACTCAGCCCCGCACGCACACCCCTCGCATCCCTCGCGGGCACGCGAATCCACACCTCCCTGCCCTCGCTCTTTAATATATCCACGGGGATCGCGGCGCCCGTAAGGCCCAGGTAGGATGACAGGGCTTGTGTGAGGAGTTGGGATATCAGGAGCGGGTCGAGGGCGGTAGGTTTGTTGTTGGTGGTGGTGGAGGAGGAGGAGGAGGAGGAAGGCGTGAGGGTGAGGTGGAAGTATGTGTAATGCGGGTGGCGGAGGGTGGAGGTGTGGATTATGTGTGGGGTGGAGGGGTTGCGCTTCTTCGACTTTGGAGCGGAGGAGGCTTGTTCGATGGGTGTGGAGGTAGAAGGCGCGGTCGTAGAGAGAGGTAAGGGCGCCATTTGCGTTGGGTGTGTTGGGAGGTTGCAAGACGTCGGGTTGTTAGTGACGAATGTAAGTTAGCGGGAACCTTTGACGCGAAAGTTTTGGCGGCGTTAGGTAGCGCGTTTTGTGGGGTTAAGTCCGGGCGCCGGCAGCTGTCACACTAAACTTACGCGACTACACTTCACGTAGCACTAGCAAGTTTTCACACGATGAATTGGGAGACTTTTCATTGGATTAAATGTGTTATCCGAAAGTTAATGTCTCCGTCCTAGCATTCCATTCCACCACTGCTGCCTTCAACAAGCTGGAAAGATTTGTTCAGGGGAAATGCCCACACGAGCTCGCTCGCTGATGATACTGAACCGAAATGTGAACCGCACACGCTCGCTACTGATGCTGCATTGGGATATCAAGATGCTGTTCAACGCCGGCAAATGTGAAACAAAGGAAATCAGGGGGGTATCTAGATGCTACTGTGATAATACTCAGGACGCCATCAAGACATGGGTAAACTTTTGGTGGGTCAAGGAAAATTCGTGTGTAAAGGGGAGTAAAGGAGAGTAGAGGGGATGCGAGTAATGCGCTCTCCAGGTTGCTTCGAATGCAGACGCGGAAGCTGTACAGCAGGCATTCGGGGAACCGGTCGTGAAGGGGTAACTGATGTGGCTTTTACTTCTTGGCTTTGCCCTTCTTCGCGGCGGCAGTGTCGGAGCCACCGTCACCTAGGATATTGGGCCATTCGATCAGTGGTAGCTGCTGTCCAGGTTTGGTAGCCACTCTCTCAGAGATCATCTTGACAGTCTTCTGCACAGCGATGACATTTTCGATCATGTGTCCGACTGAGGCCAGGTTCCCACGGTGTGGCTCCATAAAGTCGTTCTTAATTGTGTCCACTTCTTTGCGTAGTATGGTCTCTGCTCCTTCAACCTTGTCGACGCGGCTGGCTAGTGCCGTGCAGGTACTCTCGATCTTTCGAATGTCCTGCAAGCGCTTGTTGTCCTCTGTGCTTGCAGCTGTACTAGGGGACTTCATCTTTTCGTCCAGCGCTGTGACTTGCGCGCTCAGCTTGGTGACGGCTGCTGTTGATGCAAAGGGCGAGTCGCCAGAATTCAGACTTCGTAGGGACTGCTGTATACCATCAATCGCCGTCTTCATTGCTTTGATGGTGGGATCATTCTGCTGATGGAACAGGTGTTGTATATTCTGAATGTCCTGTCGTAGAGCCACAAACTGCTGAACCATGTTTGCCGCATTAGAGGGGTAGGCTTGGAGGAACCATTGCACCATCTTTCCATGCAATTCATCGCTGCTAATGTTGTTGTACTGGTCCTGGAGGACACGGAACGAAAGTCTTAGACTCTCAACACCACTATCAGCACTCGCAATGAGTTTTACAAGCTCTTGATCACGCCGCTCTCGTAGTAAAGAGTGTTCGGCCACCTCAGTCTGTAATTGTGCCACTTCTTGCTTCAGTTTGGCCAACTCCTCACTGCTGATAGGAGGGGAGACATGCTGCGGTTGCTGCTTCGATGTGGTAACCTCTCGCGTCAGCTCTTCAATTTTTTTATTGACCTCCTGTTTAAAGGGGTCCATGGTCCGAGCGAATATTTTAGGTACTTCGTGTTCGAGGACCTCGATCATTCCAGTATGGTTGTGTACAATGTCTTCGACCGTAGTGAGCCCATCAAACAGAGTCTGCACATCTTTATTGAGATCTGCGAGGGTTTTGGAAAGCAGTGTAGCCATCTGTGTTTCAACTCTATTCGAAGTGTCTGATACAGTGTTGACTTTGCCTTCTATAGAACCAGTCTTTTCGCTTAAAGTCGCAATCTGCGTCCTCAGACTGTCCGTTTCTGTGAGGCTGGATTGCAGGGCCTGGACGTCGTCGCTAAGCTTTTTCAATTGTGTCTTGACTGTGGCATCCTGGGCTGGAATGGCATTGGTCGAGGGACTAGCCACAGAAGTTCCATCTTTGCTGAAGCCAGGGCCAGGGCCAGAGCTGCCTTTCTCTTCCAAAGATGTTATCCTCACATCCAAGCGCTGGACGCGTGCGTCAAGATCTTTCTTTTGTGTCTGGAATAGGGTCTGTCGCCCCTGCAGGGTTTCCTTGTCTGTCTCGAAGACGTTTTGTCGTCCCTGGAGAGTTTTCTGTTCTATCTCTGAGTTTTCTTGTTGTTTCTGCAAGGATCTGACCAGTGGGACAAGTTCATCTAGCTTCTTGACCTGTTCAGCCAGGGTAGTGCCGTAGTTGCCGTATTCCCATCCAACGGGACCAAGGTACTTTACTGTGTCGTCGATGTGTTGAGAAATTTTTTCATACGTTTTTCTTTCATTTTTGACGACAGCATCAACGACCCTAGACAAGTTTTGCAGCTGCGACGGAAGGCCCTGCTTCTCCATACTTGTCTTGAAGTTTTCGAGCGCGCCAACTTTCGCTGCCAATGGTTTGCTAACTTGATCCAGCTCAGTCCTAGCCTTTTCAGTAGCTCGTGCCTCTGGTTCACCTTTGGCAGGTGGGGGCGCAAGATTTGTGAGACGGCTTATGATATTGGCCATGTCGAGCTTACGAAGCTCTTCAACTTGTTCTTCTAAGGCTTTCACCCTCTCTGACAGTTGATCATTCTCTGATGCTTTCGCTTTGAGCTGACTTGCTAAGGTGGAGATTGATGCGGCATCGTCGGTCTGAGACTTGGACGCATTGAAGACGGCTTCTTTTCTGAATTTTAAGCCTTGTAAGGAGGCTAATGAAGCCTTTCCAGAGACGTTTACAGATGCATGCTTGGGGAGCATGGACGTAGCGAGAGGTGCGTTCTGCACCGGCGTCGAAGCTCCGCTTCTACTCACAGGTGACTGGACATGTAGTGGGCCTAGTATTGCACTACTCCGTCGACCAGCGTCTTGGTCGCCGACTGCTCGGACAGCGCGCTGATCAGCAGGCCCAGCTGTTGCATTCCTTGGTAGGCCAGCACCAGATCCTGTCCTTGAGCGAGGAGGACTAGGTGGCCCAATGCGGCCTCTTTTTTTGGGCGGGCTACTACCGCGAGACCGAGTCGAAGGTGCCCGCTTTAGACTGCGGTTGTTCATTTCAGACTGAGGCGACTTCGTCGCTGCTTGCCGCAAACTTAGTGGACTAGATGGGAAATTATTAGTTAGCAATTCGGTAGACTGCGAATTATTACGTAGTGTGTAGATGTGGCGTATTTTGTGTATAATCACGTATGTCCACGTTGATTGGCCACCTGGGCAAGAAGGTAAGCCCTTCTGTGGCATTTGATACCAGCCGATAAGCGAGCAGCCAATGTAGACAGTACTGGCCGTGCACATCTGTCTACGTTCAACATACCTTTTCAAATGTGAAGGTCGGCGGTCGGTGTCGCCTCGGGCATTGAAATTGGTATTGAGCCTGTGTGGTGCCTGGGGAGCCTGGTTGGTAGGAACGCCGGGCATTTCGACCCGTTGATGGGCGGGCCGAAAGCTGGAGGGAGTCGCAGACGTCACACCAATGCAACTTGGCGCGCGGAAAGAGCGCCTAGAAGCACATCTGATGTAAGCGCCCCAAGGAAAGAAGGTGCAAAGTGCAATGTCGTAAAAGAAGGGAAGGGCCGAAGCAAATAGAGGGGAAATCAAGCAGCTTTTATAGGGAAGCAAGCTGCTGCAACTAGCGCGTCTGTCTCGACTTGTTTGAATTATCTGATTGGCCAGGCAGCTGTCGCGTCGCGTGCAAGGTGCAGGGGTGGTCCTGATATCGTGGGTCCGTGCGCGTTTCTGGCTGGAGCTTGCATCGCGAGAAATCGCTGACGGGTAAAACAGACACCCATCCGCCTGACACCACCCGCCAGACTTCATCATGGCCATGGTATGCTGCCATTGAGATGCTCGCAGGCACACACTGACACAATGCAGCCCATCACCACCATCGCCGAGAGCAAGGAGCTCCGCGGGCTCAACCTCATTGCGGCGCATTCGCACATTCGCGGTCTCGGCGTCGAACCAGACACGCTCGAGCCGAAAGTCTCATCGCAGGGCCTCGTGGGCCAGGAGAAGGCGCGGAAAGCGGCGGCAGTCATACTGAAGATGGCGCAAGACGGCAAGATTGCAGGGCGCGCAGTCCTGATCGCAGGGCCCCCAAGCACAGGAAAGACGGCCATCGCCATGGGCATGGCGCAATCGCTGGGCCCAGACGTCCCCTTCACCATGCTCGCATCCTCGGAGATCTTCTCGCTCGAAATGTCCAAGACCGAGGCGCTCACACAGGCCTTCCGCAAGTCCATTGGCGTACGGATAACAGAGGAAAGCGAGGTCATCGAAGGCGAGGTGGTGGAGATACAGATTGACCGCAGCGTCACAGGGGTGGGTATGCGACAACGTGTCACGTGGATGGAGGCTAACAGATCGCAGAGCAACAAGCAGGGCAAGCTTACCGTAAAGACGACCGACATGGAGACCATCTACGACATGGGCACGAAAATGATTGACGCCATGACCAAGGAAAAAGTCATGGCCGGCGACATCATCTCCATCGACAAGGCATCAGGCAAGATCACAAAGCTCGGCCGATCGTACACGCGGTCAAGGGACTACGACGCCATGGGCATCGACACCAAATTTGTGCAGTGTCCCGAGGGCGAGCTGCAACAACGCCGCGAAGTCGTGCACACTGTCAGTCTCCACGAGATCGACGTCATAAATTCGCGGACGCAGGGCTTCCTGGCCCTCTTCTCCGGTGACACGGGCGAGATCCGCAGCGAAGTGCGCGACCAGATCAACACAAAAGTCGCCGAGTGGAAGGAGGAGGGTAAAGCCACCATCGTGCCTGGCGTGCTGTTCATCGACGAGGTGCACATGCTCGACATCGAGTGCTTCTCCTTCATCAACCGCGCGCTCGAGGACGAACTGGCGCCCATCGTCATCATGGCCAGCAACAGAGGAAACACACAAATACGCGGAACAGACTACAGGTCGCCTCACGGCCTGCCCCTGGACTTCTTGGACCGCGTCGTCATCGTCAGCACTCATGCATACAACCCCGAAGAGATGAAACAGATCATCTCGATAAGGGCGCAGGAAGAGGAGGTCGATGTGACCCCGGATGCGCTCGCGCTGCTTACCAAGATCGGCCAGGAGACCGGGCTGAGATATGCGAGCAACCTCATCACCACGTCAGACTTGATCCGCAAGAAGACGGGCAGGTCCGAAGTCACGGTTGAGGATGTGCAACGTAGCTTCGCGCTCTTTTACGATCCCTCCAGGAGCGTCAAGGCAAGTTCTACGACATTCGCTTTTGAAGGAGCGCTTGACTAACTCTGCATATAGTTCGTTAGCGACTCGGAACAGCGTCTTATTGGCGACGCGGGCGCCGTCTCCTTCACAGTCACCAATGGCACCGAGGCCATGGATGTATCATAGACACATGTTTCCTCTTTATCCAATGGCGTATAATGGTTTCCTGAGCGTTTTGAATGCAGGGTCTAGCACCTCCAAAAGTCAAGGCACCGGGATGTAATGCTAATAGTAGAGAATGACCAAGTGCTGTGCAAGTGTTGAAGATTCACTCACCATACGATCAGAATGAGTCTTCACACAACTTCGCAACATCTGGTGTCAACTCTTGAATTACACGCAGCGCTCTATAATAATGCATTGATATCAGAAAGCAGCATGAAGCCTCATCAGCTACCTAGTCACCGAGAAAAGAACGCCTGATCAACCCGTAATCATACATTGATGTACATTCCATAATCATAACCCATTCATTATCCCATTTGTTCATGTGCTTTTTAAGAGTATCGCCACGTTTCAGCCCCATGGAGCGGAGGCGCTGCCTGTAAAGGTGGCAATGCCGACTTCTTTTGCGCAGAGGGCACGCCATCTACTCCTTTTCCATCGTCACTAATCGGACTCGGTATCGGTCGTTGTAGTTCATGGGGCTGGGCTTGCGGCGGCGGGTGGCCCTGTGCTGGCTGCATAGTCGGTGGATTGGCGTACGGGCTCGAGTGCGAGGGCGGCTGAGCATAGTAAGGTTGCGGCGCATAGGTTGGACCCGCAGTGGATGTGGACGTAGTGGTGGTGGGTCCGGTTGAGGTGGCCAGCTGCTTGAGCATTTGTTCCCACTTTGGCGCGCCCTCCGAAGGCTGAGATGTGCGCTGCATATCGCGCTGGAAGGCATCCGATGACTGAAATTGCGCTGTTGGTCTAGAAGCAGGTGGTCCAGGCGGTGGTTGCTGTCCCTCATATTGAGGCTGAGGCGTAGGCCTCGGGGCGATGGCATCAGGCGTGCTTGGTGTAGGAACTTGAGGCATCCAGGCTTCCGTAAAACCGCCTCCAGGACTATAAGGTGACACGTAAGTTTTTGCTCGTCTTAGATACGCATTTTTGAGGTACGGGTATTTCATAACGTAAACAAGGTATTCAGTGGGGTTTTGTGCAGCATACATAACGGAAGAGGGAGGTGTGTTGGCGTACTTTGGTGGATTGGGAGTCCCTGATGGGTTGCTCGGTATTTGAGAGATCGATGCTCGGCTTGAAGGCGCCTGGCCGACCGTATTATACATAGTCGGACTGTGCTCTGGCCTTGCATTTTGACTCGCTCCTTGCGACCATGGATATGGTGGTAGCTGACCTGGAATTCCCAAGGCAGGACCTGCCGCATACGGGCTCGGAGGCAAGGCTTTGGACTGTGACGTGTGAGCATACTGATTAATTCCATGGAGCATCGGTCCAGAAGCAGCAGGTGTCGCTTTCCAGTTAGTGGTAGAGTGAGCCTGAGGTGGAATATACGGATGATACTGATACTGCTGCTGTTGCTGCGCCGCCGGTGGAAGTGGACGATGGTTGTGATAACCTTGATGCTGTGTCGGACCATGACCCTGCGATGGCGGGCGATGGTCATAGCTGACGTTTGGCTGATGCGCCACTGGTGAATTCGGGTTCTTCCTGGTATCCGGATTGTACACAGGCGACTTCCACGATGTCATGTACGACTCGTGCTTTGGCCTGTACTGGTATGGTCGTCCCGCGGGCTGTAACTGATGTTGTGATGGTGTGCGAGGAGGTACAGCAATCGGAGCCGGTTTGAGGGGATAGGCAGCCGAGTACGGTCGTTGAGCAAAAGCTGGCACCGGCGGAGGTGGCGGCTTGACTGTGTCCAAGAAGTTGCTCTTCGGGTTGTTCTTCGGCTTGGCTGGATCTTCCGTATATTGCGGCCTTGCTTCCGTCGAGGGTTTGCCAAGATAGTACCAGAGTCGATTCTCTTTACTGAAATCGACTTTGGCAAGCTGGCGGGTAACATCAGGTGCAGTGTGCCACTCTGCCCACTTGTGGGCTGAAGCAGGATCATGGAAAGGATCGCCCATGTCTGGCACACCATCAGTGCGATTTGTAATGTCCAGAGAAGCGTCGCTCTCCTTAAGGTGCTCAGGGAGAGGTTTCGCGTTCGCGGAAGGTTTCGGTCGTTGAGATTCGTCTGGGTGGAGTTTAAGAATGTACTTCCACTCCACTTCAACGCGATCACCGTCAGGGAGGACATCGACAAGTACAGCCTGCTCACCAGGCCTGTTCTCCACGACTTGGGCACCGTAGATCTGATACATCTCGCCACCAACATACTGAAACTGGATGACATCCCGGGGCTTGAGTGTCTTGCCGTAGTTCAAGACGAACTTGTCCTTCTCCAGTGCATCAACGTCCACAGTCTTGTTGTTCCGCTTCTTCGGTCGGTGGAATCTGCAGCGGAAGTCGTATCCATCGTAGAAATACTCGGTGCCTTCTTCGTCGAATGTAGGCATCGGACCAAGATCGACTTGCACACCGGCTGCTACCGCGCACGTAGCGTGGAAGGCCCTCGTGCATTTCTTTTGCGAACACTGGAAGACAGCGCCACGCTTGGAACGACAGTAATTACACTTGAGGTCCAAGCGATCCTTGCCAATGTTCGCCACATTACATACAGTATCGCCACCTTCTGGCTTCGCAATGATGAATGTCTCGGGCGTGTAGTCGGCGCAAATACGATGAGCCTTCATACCGTTGTCGGTTGGTAGCAGCTCATCATATTCAACATCATTTGGACAAAGAATGCAAGGCATGCCTCGGCCAGGAATCTTGATGCGAATGCGAATGCGTCGGACCTTCTTGGGCTTTGGGGCTTCTTCTGGCTCTTTGGCCCCTCTCTTTCTCTTGTTGGCAGCAGGCTTTCGACCTGGTTTAGCTTTTGGTTTGCCAGCGACGCTGCGTGGTGGAGTGGGGGAGGCGGTCGTCGACCTCCTCTTCATCTTCGTCATCGGTTTCCTCGTAGTACTCTGGGGTTGGCTCTCCTCGCAGCTTGCGCTCAATCTCGTTCACATCGACCCAGACGCTGTCCGACTCGCAGTTACACTTCTTCGCGATTCGTCCGTAACTGAGCCAGGATTCGTTTGCAAAGTTGACCGACTCAGCACAGTTGTAGCCAATGTTGTAGCCTGAATGATAGCCGTAGGGGTATGTAATGACGAATTCGCCCTCGTAGTGGACTAGTCGGTTGACTTTGATATTGAAATCTTTCTCCAGACGTTGGGGTGATATCAGGTATGTCTTGTGACGCAAGAATTGGGAGCAATGCTTCGCATCGTTTGGCCAGATGCTCTTCATAGCTGCTTCGAAGCGACGCGCGTCCTCTTGCGAGATACTGTACCACTGTTTCGGTGCACCAAAATGTATGTAGTTGATGCTGTACAGATCCACGTCTTCGAGATGCCATGCGAAAGTAGCCTTCCACATGCCTAGGTAGAGGTATGCCGTGTTGACACCAGGAACTTTTGTTCCGAGAACATCAAGCAGATTGGGGAGCTTAGCCACATTCCAGGAAGTTGTTCGCTCGTCAAATAGGGAGCCGGGCATGTCGGCGCCGTACATTGGTTGGCCATAGTTGATGGTTTTCCAGTAGTTGTCTTCGAGCTCTTTGCACCGCTCCACAGTAAATTCTTCCAGACCCGGATGGTGGTAATCGAAATCATCAAAGGCAGCTTCATCAACGTAGTCGTTGACAGCACCCCGATTATTCAGACGACGGGAGGATACCGACTTTGCTTGATCCGCAGTCTTCGGTTGTCGGCCGCGTGCCTTCGTAGGAGTTGCATCATCGCGGTTTTCCTTCTTGACCCTGCGCGTGGATCTCTTCTCCTCTTTACCTGGAGATGTGGGAGTCGGAGGAACATCGATGGAGGCTGCATCGTCGTCATCATCATCATCATCGTCGAGCCGTTCTTTCTTCACTTGACGTCGCCTCGAAGGACGTCCGGGACCGCGTTTGGGTGCAGGCGAGGTGTCCTTGTTCGTGGGGGCGGTCTGGGCTCTGGTGGAGCGGGTTCGAGACGGGGGCTCTGCGGCAGCTTTCCGTCGCTCGCCTCGCTTGGCCGGGGGTTGATGATGCGGCTCATCAGTCACCGATCGCCATTCCGGCAAGTTGTATGATCGCTGTTTTTCAATGTTTGCCTGCGTGTATATGCCGTGCTGGCCTGCAAATTCTTGCATAATTGGGTTTTTGACTTTGATCGACTTGACGGCTTCACTGAGATCGGGAAGAGAGCCGCGCCTACGCATAGTGAGCAAGTGACATTATGATTGCAAACTGGTCGGGATGACTTACCATTCAGTAGGAGGAATGACTTTTACGATGCCAGACTTCATTCCGTGCTTGTCGATCTTGTCGATGAAGCGCTTAAAGTTGCGGAATTGATCCATGGTCTGTACAATAGATAGTTAGCGATTGATTGGAAGCCTCCGAAAGATGCATATGTGCATCTGCGCGCAAACTCAATCCGACTAGAAGGCAAAGTTCTACATAACTCTGTAACTTACCGGCTTGAAAACGGGAATCTTTCCTCCTTCGAAATAGTGGTCGGGTTCGATATCCTCGCCATCGTCGCTGTCGATATCAGACAGCTCTGATGACAACCTTTCGTCTCTCTTATCGTTGTCTTCGCTCGTTGGGGGCGTAAGAGCGGCTTTGGGCACCGCATCGTCGTTATGCGAAGGTGGCGCCTCCACCGAAGGCACAACGTCCGCAGGCGCTTCCATTACGGCGTTGCGCAAGTTGTTCGCCGTGAAGGTGTCTCGGCGCAAGTGCGAGGGGGCGTTGGGGGCTAGTTGGTTTCGTTCGAGAGAGGCCTGGGGCCAGCGGGCATGGCTATTCCCGCCACCGTGACCAGAAGTAGCTATAGTAAAATCGCAGCAATTTTATGGGTTGCACATCAACTCAACAGAGCTGCTGAAATGGGTACTGGAAGGATCGTGGGCTGTGAACGAAGGCGCGGCGTGTGGGGAGGTGCGCAGGAGGAGGATGCGGTGTTGCGAGGTGCAGTGCTGCGAGGCCCGAGCACGCGCTAAACTAACCCTAGCCGCCTGGCCTGATCATGGGCAGTTCATCGTCCGGCAACGCAACCGGCGCCTCATGAATGGAATCTAAGCGATTAGACAATCATACATCCTAGAGAAGAACAAGCTGATAAGAATCTTATTCATAATTCTCCCATGCCTTGCAAACTTCCAGGATCGGGCTGCTGCCGCATCACCCGCTAAATCTCGTGTTACTGTTTGTTCCATGCACGTCATCAGAGTGACTCTAATTAATCTTATCAGATCAAGATCTCATCTCCAGGATCTCATCTATTCTTTCCACACAGTCACCAGGAACTACAATCCGTTTCTACTTATTATGTATAGTCTTCTACATGTAGTTTCTCATTGTGGCAAAGTTCAAGTACCTGTAATAGGAGCCGGTGCTCCCAAGTAATGGCTGTCAACTACGATGACACACTCCACAAAGTGAGCGAGCGTAGACAAGCTTTTTAAAAATAGGTCTGTGGTGACCATATGGCGTGCATTGTCGTTGCGCGAACGCCTGTTAGGTGCCGCTGCGGACCACCGAGCAGTACCTGCAGACGGATGCTACACCACCAATGAACTATCGCGAACCGTTCTGACGGCTTTCTGACTGGTTAGGCTCCTTTGCGGCAAAATTGTGGCTATGCACTGTCACTATTGAACCACTGTAGCAGATGTTGTCGCGCACTGCCAGTCAGTGACGGACACCTGGGCCGTGTTTTGCGGTTGCAAAAGTCAGCAGACATGAGCTCATTGACATGATCGAATGGATCAGCTTGAGCAGGATGCGATGCTGCGGTGGCAGTGTTCCTAGAGAAGCCAGTGTTTGCCTCGACTCCCGAGCCCGCCTCCACACTCCACCTCGCCAATCTTGCTGATGCACCAAAAATTCTCCGGATCGCCGTTGCACCCGCAGCGCCGGGCCAGGGGGCTGCGGTAGAGTCGACCCAGCACTAACGACGGCAAAAAACTTCCTTACAGTTCTTTTAGAAGTTGGAGAACGTGTTCCGGGATAAGCAGTGACATCTTTTGTCATAGAGCGATAGACGAGTCACTGAGAAGAATACGTATGATGGAAGTGTTATACAAGCCTTTCATTTTGAGCGCCAGATCCGCATCCACGTAAAAGCCCTTGATGTTGTACAAATGGCCCATACCCGAGAGATCCGAGGCACCGATGCTATGCTATGCAGTAAACAAAGTAGGCTGTGATGTGCTTCATCAGCAGTTTTAGAATGGTAGATGCCCTTGAGTGCTAGATGTGAGCGGTCCAGGAACGGTCGTGATACCAGCAGCCAGTTGGCCATCTAGTGAACGCCCTCAACAACCTATGATGAAGGCTCGCCGCCGCGAGGAGCGCCACGGAAACCACCTCGATCTCCACGGCCACGGAAGTCTCCACGACCGCGACCACGACCACGGAAATCACCTCGTGGGCCGCCACGACCACGGCCCCTGAATCCTCCTCGTCCCTCGCCCTGGTGTCCTCCGCGGCCGCGACCACCGCGGTTGTGGTGTACCTCGTGGAAGCCGTCACCTGGTGCGGAAGCGCCTGTGGTGGCTTGTGGCTCAGGAGTGTCGTCGGCCCAGCTCTGAGTGCTTGTGACAGGAGCAGCAACATGAGGATTCTCGGTCTCGGCAGGGTCGCGAGGGACCATTTCGAAAGACTCAGTCAGCGGGTCATCACTGCCAGCTGGTTGCTTATCCCACTGCGCCTCAGCAGCCGCATTCGCAGCTTCTGGCTCGATGCTCGATGCTGCTGGGGCGTTGGAGATCTGGGCGTCTGCGCTTCCGTTGACAGCTGCAACATCTTGGTCGATCTCGGTGAGGCCGGCATTGGTGATCGTAGGGTCGGAGCCAGCCTCAGTCTCTAGTGGTGCTGACTGTGCTTGTGCGACCTCATCGACCCAGGCCTCTTCCGCAGCGAAAGGAGCCTCGTCCAGTGCTGCTTGCTTAACCTGGGCATCTGCAATCATGTCAGTGGAATCCTTGTGCAACATGTGAAGTGAACATACAAGTAACGCCGAGCATGATCCCCTCAGTGGACGGCACACCCTCTTCCGCGCCGTCGATGAGTTTCTCGGCTGCCAGCACAGCAGTCGCGTCTCCGCCGTATACCTGGAGCAGAGCGCCTTCAAACGCCTTGGTGAGGTCCGAGTCATCGTCCTCCAGTTGTCGCCGAGCTGCTGCCGCCCTGAGGAAGCGCGAGAGGGTGAGGATCTTCTCCTTCAAGAGCTTCTTCTGTTCCATGACCGCCTCTGCCTTCAGAGTGTCCCTCAGCGCATCAAGCTCAGAAGAATGTGCCTTCTTCAAGATCTCCTTCTCACGTGCGAACTTCTCGTCCTGCTCCTGACCATACTTCTGGAAGTGGCCGAACTGCTCCTCCAGTTGTGCGCGCTGCGCCTGTAGGCCCGGCTTCTTCTCTGCCGAAGCTTTCTGGTCGGCGTTGATCTTGCGAGTCGCGACGAGTTCGTCGAGGGAGACACCGGGGTTTGCTTCGATGATGGCATCGGTCTTTTGCATCGCGCTCTGTGAAATTGTAAGCAAGTGGCAAGTGGCCAACAGTAGCTAGAGTTCCTATAGTGACGTACCAATTTCTTGTTGATGTTGCGAATGTTCCTATGCGCGCAATTATTAGCCTTAAATCTTTCCAAATGATAACAACTCGATCGCGTGCCCATGCTACTCACTTCTGAAGCTCCCTGACGTAGGCATTGTCGCTGTCAGCTCCGTTGATCTTGCCTGCAAATTCTGAACCGCCTGCGCCGGCCTCAGAAGATGTCTGCTCACGCGCAGCCGGAACTGCGGTGCCTCCAACGTCTGCCTTGGCCTTCTTCTTGCGGGCGCTCTTCGACTCTCCCGTGACCATCGATTGGATCTTGGAAACGACGTCTGGTGCCATTTTGAGCTGTTGTTGATTTTGTAGTAGATGTTTGAGTGATTTAACGCGTCGGCCACGAGCTGAAAGAGTAGAATGCTAAATGGAGAGCGGGTGGTTTTGCTTACTGTTGGGTTCGGCGCATCAAACACCTGTACCTACGCACGCCAAGAATAATTTCCTAGCGTGCGCCCGCGTGTGCCCAAGCGCCTCATGGAAGCTGCGAGATCGGGCAAGGCCGACCGACAAGCGACCACTCCTACCAAGGCTACTGTTCGGAAGGTGAGATCCCTATAAATCGGTATTTCTATAGCATCCAGAGGAATGGACTAGCAAAGATATGGGATACAAGTCCTGATACTTCTCACTCTTTGCCAATGCGGTCGTGCACATAGAAGTATCTCATTTTGTAGGTGATAGGCCATTACACACAATCATAGACATGGTTAGCTTGAACTTGAAAATTTTAACCCGCAAGGAAGAATCAATCTCCTATTATGACATCGTTCATGGTAAGAGATACGCGACATGTACTGGTACATTATCCAAGTTCATCGGTTGTAGCAATTCTAGAGACGGATTGAAGAGCCATGAGGCGCATCCGCACTCTTCCACTATTAGAATAACAAATGCCGACAGTGACGTATAGTGAGCTTTTTGGCTAGTATGCGGACCTTGCCCAGTGTACGAAGCCTGAGAGTGAAATTCACTTGCACGCCACTACCAATACCAGCATGAACGGCTGTCGCTGCAGTGTGAGGTAAACAAAGGCTAACTTCGTGCGTGTTTGGATTGTGACGACCACCCACTAGGAAGCTCTAAATATCTTCTGGAACGTGGAGCCGTACTAAGATGAGATCTACGCTATAGACACAAAACCCTTTCCTGATGTAGATGCAAGCGTGTCAGAAAGGTAACTCGTAGGGTCTACTCGAACACCGACCTTAACTAGATGCACGAGGGTTGAATGGACTGGGGTAGGTGGGAGTTGACGGAGTGTTGCATCAGGCTCGTTGTAGGACTTGTGCGAATGCGTGACGGCAGCACTTGCTTGAGCGATGTTTGCCCGATCGACAAACTAGGTGCAAAGCAACGACAAAATGATGGTGTGGAGAGGAATTTTTGCTCAACGAATGAGAAATTCACATCTGAGACAGTGCCAGCTTGTCCTATAAAGGGGGGCTGCGTGGATAGGACATGTGACTATGCATTGACCTGGTGGATGTAACATAGATATCCAGCAAAGTCGCTTGGAAGTCAGAGCCATGTAGCAACCCAGCTTGAAATTTGTGATAAGAGAAGGTTTGAGATACAGAGGCAGAAGGAAAAGGGCCAGTCTCAGCAACTCGTCCGGCTATGCTCGACCAGAATGATTGCCAGCCTTCTTCAAGCTAAACTAGTAGTACTGAAGGAGTTCCTTGTGTAATCTGCCCAGGTTAGAGTACGGGGCAAGTCCGTGTGATGATGCAACCACTTCGGTTGTAGGTAAGCTGAGGAGACTCTTCGAGGCAGCGCTTGTCGTCTTCGATACGAGAGCATGCAGCGAGGCTAGAATGTACAAGCACGTTCTGGCCATTGGGGGTGAGCCTGCAGTTTGTAGTAAGAGTAACGCAGAAAACAAGGAAGCCTTGCAGGGTTGGACTAGTCTCTGGGATGGGTGGTAGTGAGGACCCCACTGTGTCACATGCCGACTTCTATGGCTGTCATGTGCGCGCGCGTCTACAGGATCGGCTGAGCACACTAGGCTGCTGGTTTGTTATCGGTATGCGTGTGAGGTGGTTGCAGACATTGCGGCACTCCTGGCCGCGGGTTTGCAGCGCTTGCGACACATTGCTGTCAAGAAGGACCGTTCAGAGGCCGTTGACTGGAAGAAATTGTATATATGCAACAAGGCATGCCTAAAGCCGGCTTGCAAGAGGACGCGGAGTTCATTGATGAGCTCGAGCTTGCTTGCTGAAAGGGTGGGGACGCTTGGCCAGTTGGTTGGCTGATCTTAAGCGGACGGGACCGGGATGCGTCTTTTAGCGTCCTTCGAGGCCGGCTCACATAAACACCCAGCACCTGCAGTCTAAGCCCTCACGTGCCATTATCTTCATCGCTCAAGTGATCTCCAGTATCAAGCACCTCGTAGCTATCTTTCATGGCCGCGCTCGCCTTTCGCAAACCGTATAATTCCAAGGCCAGCAATTCCTCAGACACCATTCTTCTCCGTTGTCGAAGCTAGACGATTTTCCAAGATTCACTCCAGCTGTTCTTGCTCGCCCCAGATCACGAGATCGCGCCTGAACCACCTGACCATCATCAAGCATCCGTAAGTCAAGCCTCCACTTCTTGTCGCGATCTTCCGGTGCGCTCCTTCTCGTCGTCAGCCCGGCCGCGACATGGAGGACCAGCTCCAGCCATCCGCCTGCGACAGTCGCGCCTGCCTTTTGGCGGTCGCGGTCGCCTTTGCGTGGTAGGCGGTTCGCTGGGTGTTCTGTCGCTCCACATGTCCGCGTCCCACACTTCACGTCGGACATTGTCGACGCGCGCATTCCACGACGACACGGCGCACGACGGCTTTGTACGTTGCTTGCTGCCCATCTCTTCACACGAGAGGATGCTTCTCCTTTGAGCAATGACAGGCCAGTCTCACAGCGGCAGGCGGTCGATGCATCCAATCGCCCGCTTGCTGGAGTTGTGTCGCACTGCACTCACGTACTCACTTGCCCGCGCCCGTGCTAACGTTTGTCCTTCCTCAGGCGCTTGCATGCGTTGCCTCAGCGCATAATTGCCTGCCGATACCGATACCCTTTGCGCGTGAACTGGAGGGCAAAGCGCCGCCACTCCCCCGCCTCGGCTGGTTTGCGACTGCTTCGACTCAAGCCTCAAGCGCGTCCAACCTCATCCACGACCCACAGGCCTCACGAGGAGACTGATCCCCCGCACAATCACCGCCGACTACTCCACGGTTACGGGGCGTAGCGTCGCCGTTTCACTTCCACCACAGCCCTCCCGTCTGTCATTGGATTCCACGTACGCCAGGGTCCAGACTTGAGCTACCACAGCCTACGCTGTACACACCCCACACGGAACATATTACCTCCCTTGTTCAGACTATTGTCCAGCTTTACTCCGAGACCATCGCTAGATCAAGATGGCCGATACCGCTGGCTACCCCACTGACGCCAAGTTGGACTCTCACAACGCTCATACCAACAAGCGGAAGCGCGACACACGCGATCAAGGCCTCAACCGCCCTGCCCCAAATACAAACTCGGATCTCGCCGACCAAGTCACCGCCAACTTCCTTGCCGCACACAACGCTGGAGCTGACGACATGGAGCAGCAGTTCGACGTACACCAGAATGGTGGCAATACTGCCAGCGTTGGAGACACGGCTGCCGCTGCGCTTGCCTACCACCAGATGACCGTGCCGCAAGCGACCGAGCTGCAATTCCAGACACAAGGCTCAAGTGGAGATTCGTTCAGCATGGGTGATCATCACCAGAATCAAACTGGCATGCAGGACTTTAGCTTGGAAGCTCTGAAGGCTGCGACACAAACGGGTCGGTCTGGACAATCGGCACCTAGCGAATCACCTCCACAAAGTGCTTCTCATAAGCCTACCGTTGGATCTGAAGAGTGGCACAAGGTCCGGAGAGATAACCACAAAGAAGGTAGGCATCTCAGCGCCTGCACGTTTGCTCTGACTAACTTGACCTAGTCGAACGCCGTCGACGCGAAACCATTAACGAGGGCATTAACGAGCTGGCCAAAATCGTTCCTGGCTGCGAAAAGAACAAGGGCTCGATCCTACAGCGCGCCGTCCAATTCATCACTCAACTTAAGGAGAACGAGCAGCAGAATATCGAGAAGTGGACGCTCGAGAAGCTTCTTACTGAGCAGGCCATCACGGAGCTTAGTACGAGTTGCGATAAATTCAAGGCCGAATGTCAACGAGCTTGGGACGAGTGCCAAATCTACAAGCGCGCATGCGAAAATGCCGGCATTCTACCCGACGAAATCAAAGAGCGCCAGGAGAACGGCGAGCAATCTGGGCCCAATCCAATCTCATGATGCAGATGATGCTAGTCTTTGGTCTTTGTCAAAGCTACATTCATCGGTAATGTCCGTTACGAAGCCTTTCCTAGCTTGTCTATGGCAAACCTGTGTGGTGTCTTTCTTCTCTAGGATCGATTGGCTGTTCGAGCCAATGTTTTCTACTGTTATATTCCCTTTACATGTGTGGCATGTGCTGTTTTGCAACCGGCGTTTATTCAATGGAGACCACTCGTTCCAGGGCGTACATCCGTGTTCGCGCTCGAGAAGCTTTAGTAGGTAGAGGCACCGAGGGCAAGCTCCATGCATCTTCACACCTCTAGCAATACTCCGGTGCAATATCGTGTTTATCGTGACAAACACTGTCTTGACAATATACTTGAACATTTGACCGACTTCCAATATCCCTCTTTCAATGACGCCCAACGTTTCATTCGTATAGCGTTCGTGCGCGAAAGGACGGACGAGCTAGAACATGAATATGTTCTGCAAGGCTCCCTTGGAAGCCGGAGGCGGACCATCTGCAGACTTTAGAAAGAAGACATAAAGACCAGGAGTGCCAGGCTTTACTCATTAACATCTAGGTCATCTTACTGTATTTACATCCGTCAGCGTCTCATCATCTACGTCAACGATGCCGAAATCCATCTTGGTTGTTGCCGGCACTGGAAAGCAAGGCCGTGCTACAACTCGCGAACTTCTCAGCCACGGGCACACTGTGCACATCTTGACACGAAATCCCTCATCCTCACCAGCCAAAGACTTGCAATCCCTGGGCGCGGTAGTGCATGCTGGAGACCTAGAATCAATCGGGACAATCCAAGCTGCGCTGGACAATGTGGACACGGTCTTCCTCGCCATCCCCGCCCACCCGGTCACTGAAGTCCCACACGCCAAGACATTCATCGAAGCAGCAAAGAGCAAGAATGTCAAGCAGATTATCTACTCAAGCGTCGCACGCACCGGCGAGCATGAGAGTTTTCCAGGCTGGAACGACGAGTATCCTATGGCGTGGTATTGGAAGAATAAACACACGGTCGAGAACATGATACGCACATCAGGCATAGCGCATTGGACTATTCTCCGCCCATCAGCCTTCATGCAGAACTTCTGCCGCCCTGAGGTTGAATTCATGTTCCCTGGTCTCGCAGATGCGCATGAGCTGCGTGTCGCGTTTGACCAAGACACAAAGCTCGATCTCATAGATGTCGCTGATATTGGCAAATTCGCAGCGGCTGCGATCGAGGCGCCAGCGAAGTATGCAGGGGCGGAAATAGCAATTGCGGGGGAAAGGTTGACGACAGCGGAGATGGCTCAGCAGCTTGGGAAGATTCGTGGTGTAGACATCAAGGCGGTATACCTTGACGATGAGCAGGTCAAAGCGCTTGTTGCGCAGGGTTATATCGCTTTGGAGGCACAGAAGTGGCAGAAGGAGGTGGGCTATCGTGTTGATGCGGGAGCTTTGGAGCGGTATGGCGTTCCTCTTACTCCGCTGGCAGAAGCTTTGGATCGGGATGCTCTGGGGTGGTAACTAGCTTGTTTGGCATCTGTAGTCGGAAAAGAAACAATATGCTGTCTATTCCGAGCCATGCTAGTGCTGTATGTCGAGACGTTGTGGTGAGCTGTGCGTCATTGGCCAGAGCTGCAGCCCGCATTCACAATGGCACATGCCGTGCATTTTGCCTCTCCACGTCGCGGCTACCCATTCCTTCTCCCAAGCTCACCACGTGCTCACGCCTTCGAAGCAGACACGATGTGTTGGACTTGAACATGGTCTCAACATGGCGGGTACGGTAGCATACCCCACAACATCTGACCTCGTCCCGCACACGATCACCTAGCACCTATCACCATGGACAACACCGACGCCAACGACACTCTCGACGAGCCGCTAGTCCCGCCAGTACTCGATGAAGCAGAGCTGATCGGCAATGCGAGCACCGACTTCCCTATAATAGAGGCGGAGCCCGAGGAAGAGCTCGACCTGCCCCTCGACACCGCCCAGCAGCAGCAGCTACTCTTGGTTGACGGCGGCGATGGGCGTCCTGCAGCGGGTCCGCCGCTCACACTGCCCGGCCGCCCTGGCTTGCAACGAGGCAACTCGGTGCCTACTCCTGCGCCGCTGCACCTCCCTCCTCCCGCCCCGCCAGCACCGCCAGGCCCGCCTCCAGACACGCTCGCGCAGCTGCAGAACCTCGTGCAAGGGCTGCCCAAAGCCGAGCCGGCACCTTATGCCTTCACATACGACGATGCATCTTGCTTTGCAGAAGAGCTGGAGGAGTGGTTTTCCTACGCTGTGGAGGAGCAGGCCATGCTGCTGAAGGCTCAAGCGTCCTTTGCTCTGGAGTGGAGCACGTTCAACGGCCTGAATGACACTTCATATGAGGAGCACGGCCTGGACTGGACGCGCGCAGCCGCATCGCAGCACAAGGAGTTTGTCGAGCATCTTCTGCGGGAGATTACACAGACAGACCCGACCTTGCGGCTGAAGCGCCTTGAGGCACTCGTATACGTTCTCCTTGGCTGCTGGCACGAGACCGCGGGCCTTGGTGCTGGTGCGCCAGACACTGACGATGGGACGGCTTCGGGGCGCACCTCGCGTGCCGGGCATGTGCGCAACGCCATGTACGAACACGCAGGCCAACAGACGGCTGTCATCAAGCGCAACGTGCACCTACTCGTCCAAAGTGGCGGTCTGCAGGCTGTGGTCGATGTGTTGCAGGCCTCCTTGTTACGCACCTGTGGTGTCGACGTTGCCCTGGAAGCACCCCGGGAGGGCAAAGAAGCAGAGCGCCGCGAAGTCTGGTGCGCCATGACCGCCGTCTATGTTGTACTAGAAGTCGCTCGTGTTGAAGAGAAGGAGAATGACAATCTCAGTCTTCGAAGCGCGATACTTGACCTCAAGAAGCCAGGACTCCTCATGCTTCTTGCCGATCTAATCTCCAAGTTGCGCTGGGACGAGACGATCAGTCTGCCTCTCAGCAAAATCTCCCTGTTATTGTGGAAGACGATGCTAGTCTCCTTTGGCGGTCTTGCACGAGTTGATGAGGCCAAGGAATCGTTCAGAGACACAACTCTAGAGTCGGAGGACTCGAAAGGGCAGCCCCTCATTACCGCGTCCCCGCTCGACTACCACCTCTTTCGTCAAGAAATCAGCTCCAAATATCCAGCATATAACCCTCCGCCACCACTCTTCCCACTCGAACCCGAAAACAACTCTATTCTGCCACCGTTGAAGAACCACCCGAGCAAGGTAGCCGGTAATCATGTCTTTGGGTCTGGCCTTGGAGACGCCCATGGTAACAACACGTCTATCCTGCATCAGCCCGTTCATATCGCAACGCCTGCTCCCTCGCCTCCTCCGTCCCCAGCAGGACCTGGTGGTAAAGGTGGTAAGAAACAAAACTACCAGACGAACCAGATGTTCCCCTTCTTGTACCCTCCCCTTGACGAGTCTAGCAACAAGCTTGGTGGCAAAGGATCGACAGACCTCCAAGATCTGCTAGTTGGCCGCAGATGGGAGGGAGCGGACATTCCATCATCTATACTCGAGGCCGCCGAGCTTTTTGCCAAACGCATGAAGGCCACGCGCGCTATGAAGCAGCTTTGGGAAGAGCGTGTAGCCTTCATGAAATACGAGCGAGGCTGGACAGGTCTAGATGACAGCCTCGACATCACAGAACTTTCTCTTGAGCCAAAGGAAGACGAACCAACGCAAGCGCCACCTCCTGGAAGCGTCGAAGAGAGGATGGGCCTTGTTGAAGACTTCTACGTAAGTCGATTGAACGTTGTCCTGTAGAATATCTGCTGACTCTGTGTAGCGCACTGCATTGCCTAATCTACAGTCTCTGATCATAGTCCTGATCAAAGCAATTTTGGCCCATGTAACTGCACTCGTCACTCAGTCCAGTGGCGCAAATGGCCTCCAGAGCGGGTTCCAATTTCAAGATGGTACAACAGGCGGGCGACCGGACACGAATGGTGTCAACGGCCACAACGGTGCTGTGGCGACCAACGAGGAACTTGATGCGATGCGCACGCAGGAAGTCTTGGACAAAGCTGTTACTGGCTCACTCATTCTCATCCTGAAGTGGTTCAAAGTGTCTCGTAAGTTGATCGCATTTGGGCCTATTGCCGCATCGCTCATCATGTACAGATGTCCTGAAATTTGAGTACATAACACAATTGCTCGTAGACTCTAGCTATGTACCTCTGATCTTGAAGCTTTTGCAGCTACAAGAGATTGAGAAAATTGTCAACTTTAAGAGTGAGCAAGAGGAACTAAAGTAAGTCGAGGAGTCGTTGCCGTGGATCATGAACTGACGTTCTCAGTTTCTTCAATTTCTGCCGCGCACACTCTAGAAATGCTCCAGAAGAGAACAATGATGCGAACCAACCACATGAGAACCACGAAGGTGACTCCGACTCCGACGATGCTGCACCACCACCGATCCGTCTCACAAGACAAGAATCAAACGACTCGGGAGTCGGCCCACCACAGGCTCCTGTAGCCACGCAACCGCCAGAGGTTGATGAGCTCGGATTTCCGACTAACGAGCTTCCCAAGGAGCCCATAACAAGTTTCTCGTGGCGCGCATTCTTCACCTCGATCAACTATCTTCGCATCATGCAGAAAATCTGCAAGGATAAGGCACATCGCAATCTCATGCTTGTTTCGTACAAGTCATCGCAGTTCTTGCGGAAGAGCTTGAAGGTGCCGCAACCCGAGTTACGACTGTACACACTGAAGTTGTTCAAAAATCAAGTGCCGTACTGCGGTAGGAAGTGGCGGCAATCGAATATGCGAGTCATTACAGCTGTGTATCTGCACTGCAGGCCTGAGCTTCGAGACGATTGGCTAGCCGGGAGCGACGTCGATGCCGAAGTTGACGAGAGCGTGCCGCTCGAGCAAGCCTTGCGCTCACTAACACATTGGCACAACTTGAAGCGCTACCCCGAAAGCCTCGGAGCCAAACCCGGCGTTCTTGAAGAAGAACAAGACTTTTTCCGCAACGAGCTCGAGAAGATGGACTGGGGCGAGGAAGTCGCGAATGAGGGTGACATGGAGCAATCATGGCCGGAGCTTCAGGTCGAGGGTTGGTGAACAAATTTATGCACCACATACTGCCGATCCTTGCGCGTCCCCTCCATGCGCAGCTTCGGTGCAAAGTCGCTGTGTTAACGTATACGCTCTAGTTCCAGTTGAGGAAGATGTTTTCAAGGACGTCCCCGAAAGAGTTTTCGGCCGCCAGCGTGTAGCTACTATTGGAGGTATACCCGTTAGACCAGGCGCAACGCGACTCAACAGCTGGCCTGTCATCACCAAGCCCAGGGTGAAGCACGAGCGGGAGTCAGATTTTGCCGGCCTACTAGGATTGTTATTTACTGGTGAAAGTACGGACGATAGCGATGCGGAGACCACTGGCGCTGAGCATGCGTTTAGGCGGTCCTCTTCTTGAGCGTTTGTCAGATAGCGAGATGTGGATGTGCTTGAAGAGGAGTATCATTTTGAAGCTGCCCGGTGGGCTTTGTGGAGTTGGAATACCTGCTGTATACCCTATAGAATCACAAGTTTGGCAGTCATGACGGATTACGCTAGACATTTTTATGGACAGTGGTCGTTAGATTAACACATGTTCATTGCTGCCATGCGATGGATGTAGTTCAATTGCGCTCACACCTCCATAGCTGTAAGACCAAACGCCGTACGTGAGCTTCCGCACAGGCTACATGAAGCACACGATCTCCCTTCCAGAAGAGATGCGGAGACGTGCCTTCCGAGTGACATTCATCCCTCAGCCTGCTAAGCCGGACCCGGCACAGAGACCATTCGCCGCGGCGTTAGGCGCTCATGATTGTCATCACCAGCTACACGTCAACGAACTTGCGATTTTCCAGGCCAAAAGGCTCACACCTGAAAGCATGAACTGCACAGAAAGGTGAAGCATCAGTGCGATTCGGAACGCACCAATCACGACCGCCGTCTTCCGGATGACCTCCGCGTGTCCTTGCGAATAAAGCAATGCGGGCCGTCTTGCCTCACTCGGGGCGGCGATACCCCGAGTTTCGACCCCACGAGCAGGGATCGTGGACTTGCAGCGAACATGTCGGCGTCTGCTTTCTGCCGCCGGCATGGTTGAGATGTTTCTTTCCTCTATCTTCCGCATCTTGCGCGTGCGGTTCTAACAATTGCGTGTTTCTGTAACCTGTACATATTGTGTTTGTTCCTGTGTCTGTATGTTGAGACAAGTTTGCAAAATGGCGAAAGTGTTTGAGTTCGCTGAAGGTCCGTCGAGCTTCACCGCCCTAGCCCAGGAACAATCGCTAACATGACCGACAGTCGCAAAGCACAACACGGCTGAGAGCTGTTGGGTAGTTCTCTACGGCAATGTCTACGATGTAACGCGATTCATTCCTGAACACCCTGGTGGCAGTAAAGTCATCCTCCAGCTCGCGGGCTCAGACGCGACCGACGAGTACGATCCTATCCACCCGCCCGGCATACTCGAAGAGAACCTCAAGCCTGAAGACAAGCTTGGTACTATCAACGCCGCCTCGTTACCAAAGGAAGAGAAGATGCCTGTGGAAACTGGAGAGGCACAGAATGACGGACCCGTGGATCTAGACAGCATACTGAACATCGACGAGATCGAAGAGGTGGCGACCAAGAACATAGCACACAAGGGATGGGCATACTACTACTCAGCCGCTGACGACCTAGCAAGCAAAGCATTCAACAACAGAGTATACCGCCAAATCCTCCTCCGCCCACGCGTCTTCGTCGACTGCACGCGCTGCGACACCTCAACATCCTTCATCGGCAACAAAGTCAAGCTCCCCATCTACGTCTCGCCCGCCGCCATGGCGCGCCTCGGCCACCCCGACGGCGAATGGGGCATCGCCCAAGCCTGCGAGAAATACGGCGCCATGCAAATCATCTCGCAAAACGCCTCCATGACCCCCGAGCAAATCGTCGCCGACGCAACCCCCGACCAGGTCTTTGGCTGGCAACTCTACGTCCAGAACGAGCGCCACAAGAGCGAAGCCATACTCGCACGCATGAATAGTCTTGATCCGATCAAGTTTATCTGCCTCACCCTCGACGCCCCCGTCCCGGGCAAACGCGAACACGACGAGCGCAGCAAGAACGTCGCGTCAAACCTGCCTGTGCGCGCGGCTGTCCAGGAGGACCAGAGTGTTAGCAAAACGAGCGCCGAGCCCAAGAAACCCAAGTCCATGGGCGTCGGCCAGAGTCTGTTCTGGGGCACCGCCGCAGACCTGACATGGCGCACCACTCTCCCCTGGCTCGCGAAACACACGCACAAACCCATCGTGCTGAAGGGCATCCAGACGCACGAAGACGCGTATCTCGCATCGCTGTATGCGCCGCAGGTCAAGGCGATTATCCTGTCGAATCATGGGGGCAGGGCGCTGGACACCGCGCCGCCGGCTGTACATACACTTCTCGAGATAAGGAAGTACTGCCCCGAGGTGTTTGATCGCATTGAAGTTTGGGTGGATGGCGGGATTAAGCGCGGCACGGATGTCGTCAAGGCGTTGTGTTTGGGCGCGAGGGGAGTGGGTGTGGGCAGGGCGGCGTTGTTTGGGTTGGGCGCGGGGGGGAAGGAGGGTGTTGCGAGGGTTTTGGAAAGTAAGTTTACCTGTTCCTCTTTCTTTGGCTTGGATGGGTGTGAGGGGTGCTAACATATTTGACAGTTTTGAAAGCGGAGACGGAGACGTGTATGCGTCTGTTGGGAGTGGAGAGGGTGGAGGATTTGGGCATGCAGCATATCAACACAAGGGCTGTGGAGAGGGATATTTGGGACGGGCCGGGGCTGGAGAGGGCGAGTTTGAAGGCGAAGTTGTAGACTCTCACATCAACTTGTGCTTTACAGAGACTTTTTGATCATCTACTGGTTTGTTTATCCTACCTTGTCTCTGCCAAGAAGCTTCTTTTACCCAGAAGAGACCACACTGGTTGGCTACCGTCCGTTTGCTTTCTCGACTTCCTTTCTCTCACCTCACGTGATTGATCACTGAAGGCACAATCGGTGAGATCACCTGGGATCCAGAGAAGTACAAGACGGCTGGAGCATCGCTCGTACCTATGCACCTTTGCAATATCACATGGTAAAGGCACTACCACGATTGTTGGGCTCACGCCTCGCACCTCATCCGACTGAGAAGCAGTGTTGCCCGCACAGACTTTGATGGATGTCGGGCACTTCACGTATTTCTCGAATGCGAAGCCTTCGAACTTCATTACAAATTGTTCCAACCGCGCACAGAGGTGGAAGTTCTTCTGGCCGTTGATCTTGGAGACGACGCTACTTTGGAAGGCATTCGTATTAATGTTGCTCCCCTGATGGATGCGACCATAGGGCCCGACAACGAAGAGGTATTAACTGTGTCTATCACCAACGCACAGCGCAGTTCTCGACTTCGAACGACTGTATTTTTTGTACAGTTCAGAGTGCGTAATCGGTTCCGCAATCTGGGGTATCCTTGGAGTAGATTTCCACTTGTATGGACGAACGGTCGATTGGAAGCCGTGGACGATGAATTGGCCAGATGGCGTGGAGACTCTGAGGAACTGGATGAGTAAACATGGTATTCCCCAAGCACGCTTCGCTTTGATCATTGGTCAGTCAATCGCGGGTGATAGCCAACGCAAAGGGATCCGTTATTAGAGTCCGCCAGGGGATTTTCCCGTCTTCCAACCTATTTGCTTCCATACTCAACATGGTGCAACTGCGGAAACTGACATAACCGCGATCCGCCAAACCTCCATAGTGGACAATAAAAAGCTTTGCTTCATTCTGATCCTAAGAACGCAATGTGCACCTCGTTCTAACCGAATTTTAGTGTAGATTACGTGCGCGTCCACGTAGGCCTGCGACCTGCCACGTAAGTGCGATCCCCAAATCCTCTGGACATCCTCACAAGATTAGCAGAATACTCGCAAGCGCTCCTTCGCCGCCTGCAACGGGAAGCTCCCTATGTATACTGACGACTCAGGCTGCATGAATATCCACAGTGCGATTGCCTGAAGGATTGTGGCTGATGCATGTGGGGCTATCATACGACGTTTTATCCTGATGGCTTTACGTGCGGCGTGGAAAATGTAATGTTCCTGGTGCAGATCAATGTTACCTCGTGGACGGTCGTGTTGGGCCGAATGCGTGCACACGTGAGGCTATGCATGTACATCGCCTCGGCGCTTTATTTCGTGCAGGTTGCAAAGAGAGATCAGAGTGCGAGAACCGGTTTTTGCTCGAACATGACGGCGTGGTATTTACTTTGGGCTGACCGAAGAAGGGCCGGGAGACATGTGAATGGTATGTTGCGATCGGGCTTTGATAAGTTCACAAGGCTTTGCATCCGATTGTCGTGCTTGGCTCCAATAGGTTCGTAGTGCACCTCTTGTCCTCTCAGTCTTCGTGCTCAGAGTTAAGTCGACATTCTTCCTGGAGTCTCCTGTGTCTTGCCAAGGGCGCCAACGCCGGCAAGCAACCCTCGAGCTTACTCGACGACTTTGAAACGTTGTTGGGTAAAGCCGTTCATCTAAAACGGTGACAGACGATGGAGTGACCTGGAATCCCAGTGCATATCTGACGCTGTACTAAGGTCCAGCGAACCGGACTTCAGCCCTACTCACCGTCGGCTCGACCCTTTCAACGCTGCTGCAACCGTGCCACGAGTACGCCTGCCTGATCAGGCACACCCGGCCAGCGCAACTGCAGGCCCCAAGCGCATGCGCGTGCTCGAGAATCGTGAAGTTGTTGGCCGGTCGCATCTTTTTTGATAGCCCGACGTCTGCACTGCGCCTTGTGACCATGTATCCGACGCAGAGGATAAGGGCGTTTAATGACGTTACGTGGATCGACGGAAACGAAACAGGAAACACGCTAGAAGGCCGGTCCTGATTTCGCACCAGCCGAATGGTACACATCTGACCCATCCTCATTCACCACGCAGCAAATCAGCCTTCATAATTCGGCTACGGCACGTTCCTAAGACCGAGTCTGCTACGGGGGATCTCTCCGGCTGTGGCGGCACCTTGCCTGCTATAGCTGCCTCGCATGCGATGCCATTATAGTCCATGGTCTTCCATTCCGGGCCTTCGGAATCGTGAGCACTGTCAGCACCGCCGTGGGGATCTCCATGTCGGGGCATGACGGCTCGTGGGGCGTTGAAACTGTATCCGAACGCATTGAACTGCAGGAGGGCAAGCGCATTAGATGAATCAACTCGTAGTCGCGAGTCGCGAGGCGCTCCAGCCAAGACCATGTCCGTTGTTTGGTGCCATGCGGTCCAAGGCAGAAACCGACATGCGCGGAAACAAGGCATTAACCAGCGGGCGCCATGCCGTGCAGCCAGCGCGTCCAACGGCGGGACGTAGTTGGTCAGGGCCACGGAGTCTAAACAATGAACTGACTTCTTCACGATATCTCGGGAGGACCCCGCTACTGACTGTTAGGCCTGTCATTCGAGTCGCTTCTCTAAGTGGCTGTGCCGCTTCACTATTCCTAGCAGTGAGAAATGAGGACTTGCGGACCTGTGCGGACCCTTTCATTCTGCGGAGTATATAAAGACCCTGAAGCCTGGGTTGTTGTTTCGAAACTCAGCTGCCGCTTGCCTATCATCATCGCCCTTACCAATTTACCTATAACTTGGTTGCGCCTTTACTTCTGCTTCTTGCTCCCGGAACTTTTTTTTTGTTTACCATACCCCCAACCTATATTCCACGGCACCAACTATAATTCACTCCTTTCGAGATCCGACGAACCTTTTCCCTGGTGCTGCACGCGATTCGTCGGCTATCCTTTCCGCCCGCATCATCCGACCCCATCGACAACATGAAGGACTGCCCGAACTGCCGCGGAAATGGCACAACAAAGTGCGACGACTGCAACGGCAAAGGCTGCCAAAGTTGCAAACGATCGGGCACCAAAAAATGCGATGTTTGCGAGGGCCAAGGAGCGATTCATACCGATCACTAGACCGCACGCTGCGACTGGCTTCTACGATCGACAATAGCAATTTTATACAAACCTGCTCAGCTGGAACTGCAGACATTTTCTGGTACGTTTACTTGACAGCCTGGAGATTAGAGGGAAGCGGACGCTGCTTGCCTTAGTGGAGGCTATGCAACATTAAGGCTTCCTGCGCCCTTTGACCACCAACGCATCCAAATAATGAAGCGGTAGCTGCTCACTCGGTTCTGACTGACAATACGACAGATCTTCATCATCTCATCTCCTTCCTTCGTATCGATATTTCGTATCCTTATCGCCCCCAACCCATCCCTTATCGGTGCGCAGGCGCAACACAAACGCGGGCAGACACAAAAAAAACAATCCAAGCGGTCAAAGTGTGGGGGAGCTGGAGGTGCTGAGGAAGAGTGGCCGCCGAACAAAGGCCGCAACTGCAAGCCACAATCACGTGCATAAGGTTTTATACCCAACAAGGCAATTTCCGAGCCTTTCCGATTCTGTTATTCGCACGGGGCGTTATATAGACTTTTCTTATTGGGTGGTATTTGCTGTATTTCGGAGGAATCGTCGGATTCATGGGATTGTGGGAGTTACGTGGACGTGGGTGGCAGATCTGTAGGGATGACGTGGTGATGGGCAATTCATCGTCTGGGGTTAATCCGGCCCGATTGGCATAACCGTGCACTTGCGTTTCATCTTATCTGGCCGACTATCGTCCTTCAGCTCTTTCATTGCCACATTGACGTCTGAACGTGCAGCATGCACTGACCAAAAAAAGCTTGTACACTGTCACATTTCCATGTGTGTCTTACTCGTCGTCGCCGCGCACCATGATATAAAAACATTGCAAAAAAGAATGGAAAGGTGGTATGGTAATTCCGATACCGGGAACTGTTGCTCTGTTAGAATTTTGACTTCACAGGATGGAGGGTGGTAACGTACTCGAACCCGGGTCTTTCCGGCGCCTTCGTCCCATTGAGTGGGATTTGAAAGCGGAATATCCTAACCGCTGGACTATATCGGAGGTTTGATTGTGGTCTTGAGATTTAAGAGGAATATTATGTCGCTGTGAACACATTGTAGAGTGCTCCCAGGATGCAAAGTGGCTTGAGTGAATGTTATGCGTGGGCTGTGTTGTATTGTGGGGTATCTGTAGTGGATCGGTCAACCAAGCGAGAACCCTGCGCCAGTGTTATGATGATTCACCACCCGCACACTAGGCTGTCATGTGTTTGCACGAACAATATCGCAGTAAATCAGGCTTCAGAGCAAATATGACTCCAATCAGAGAAAGCATCAATAGCAATGAGTTTAGTCACGAGTCTCAATATCACAGTAATGCACTTGCCAGATAGGAAGGTCATGCAACACTTGTCATGTGCTATATAAGATCGAGTCTATTTGACACGACGCAAGGTAAATGTAAATCCAGGTACAAGAAGTGAATGTGTCATCCGATCATCCCCCAGCTTGCGTTGACAACGTCTACCTACCAACCGTCTCGCGACGAAACACTTAGTTCCAGAAAGCACGCGGGTGGCGGCGCAGCTTATAACCATCCGACGAAGACTTGGATCCTGAAGACGAAGGCTTGGATCCAGAAGACGAAGACGAAGAGCCCGCAGCCTTCTCGAGCCACGCAATGAAGGTGTCGATAGTGAATTCTTTGGGTAGGCTGGAACCGGATCCTGCAGACGGTGCAGTAGACGCCTTAGGAGTAGCAGAAGCAGCTTTGGCAGGCGCGGAAGTGGTAGATGGAGCGCTGCTTGAAGCGGGAGTAGCAGGAGTAGAAGAGCCGGAACCACCTGCGGGTGAGGATCCAGAGCCAGAGCTGGCGCCGCTGAAGAGTGCGGGGCCAGGAGGCTTGTAGCTGCTCATGTCGCCTGAGTAGATGCTGACTTTGATGCCAGCGTCATCGGGAGTGTACAACTTGTCGGCTGTCACTCCTGCGGGTGTTGCCGTGCCGGAGCCTTCGACCTCGATGTTGATGCCTGCGCCCAATCGTTAGTTCAAGTTCGAGCCTCACTTTCATTGTGTTGACATACACTTGGGGTAGCTCTGAGCACCATTCTCCTGCCCGGCGGAGTGAAGAGCAATGATCTCGTGACGCAAGACGTATTGACCAGATGCAATGCTCTCCGGAATGGTCACCGTCCAGGTCTGGTTGTTGGCGATGAGCTTGGAAGCAGCCCACTGGCCATTCTCATAGCCGGCTTGGTCGATCTTGAAAAAGCTCAGGTCTTTGGAAGTGGCCTTGGTTGCATCGTCGACCTTTGCGAGGTAGTCGAGGACAGGTCCGACATGAGAAGCTGGCCAAGCCGTCCACTGAATGTCGATGGTGCCGCCAGCCTTGACCTTTGCAACCTTCGCACCGGCAGTAGCATCCTTGTGGCAAGCAATCTTCGTCACGTCCTTAAACATGTCAGGGGATACGAAGCCATTGTCTACCTGATATCAGCATATGCTGCTCTACCTGCACTTCATAACTGGAGCTGACGTACCAAGGCACTCCGGGCATGACCACTCGATAACTTCGGGAGAAGGTTTCTGGTACTGGAAGGAAGGATCATAGGCAGTATAGGCCTGGCCGTCGACCTTGATGCCGGCGAGATGGCCGTGGGCCTTGACCGAGGAGGCAAGGGCTCCGAGAAGAGCAGCGACTTGGATCTTGGAAGGCATCTTGGAATGATGATTTGAAACGAGGATGATTCGGATGAAAAGACAGTGTGTAAAGAGAACTTCGAGATCAACGAAGGTTTAAAAGAATGTAGCTTCAATCGATGAAGGACAAGCGAATGTTGAAGTGAATGACAAGTGTCGAAACGACTGAATGACTGTGGTGAGGAAGCCATGTCCGTTGGCAGCCATCTCCTCTTATACTAGATGCCACCCACACTCGGAAGAAACACAACAGGGTGGGTCGTTGTTCAGTTGTCAAACCAATATTGTGCGTATGACGGAAGGGGCATTGCACTATCACGAAGCTTATTCACATTAAGCAGTGCGACTAAGCTTGAAAGAGATCTCGGCACGATGCTTGGGTGTTGCACATACAGCAAAAGCTGCGAGATTCCGTGTTATGCCCTGGTTTGTGTAAGCTGCTCGGAAAGTTGAAACTTCCTCAAATGACAGGAGTGGAGGAAATTTTGGCGCTAGAGGAAACGTGCGACATGTTCGCCTTCCCACCTCAATGCCTTGTGGAAATTCATCAGCCATAGATCCGTGCATCTTGAATGCACTTCTCTATGCTCTAATGATAATTTAATGAAGGAAAGGAAAGAAAGCAATTGCGATGGAGTTAGTAGTACTGGAACAAGCACGATCTGATTCTCGCATGGCAATGACACCATGCCAGAACAATATACCAGCACATGCATGTTCAATACCATCATTTTCATATATCCCAACCTAAAAGAACCGCTAACTGCGGCTGTACAGCTCGTTCCTATCCCCTCCCGTGGCGTCATCGCAAGGTTGTTTCAAGATGACTCTGGCCTGCCAGCGACTTGAGTGCCAAAGAGTTGAAAAATTCTACGAGATTCAATCACCATTTCCACACTCCCAATGCCGCTGAATAACTCCCCAGAGCACATAATTCTACACATACCATCTCCATTTCCTCGAGCATTTTCATTGATAGCTCCCCCAACAAGTCCTGAATCGCGCGGCATAAACGGCACACAAATGTTTGTCATGCACAAAAGAAGCACCGACTGATCCACGTTTCAACTTCATTAATTGGCCCACCATCATCACCACCACCTCCGATACACCACCGGCTAAGGGACGGCACTGAGAAACAAGCAACGGAATGACGGCTTGGACCGAGCACCGACAACCAAGTGCGTCGAGCGTTCCACGTGCCGGCCTACGCTCCACGCAGCGTCTTCTTAAGCAGAAACTCCGCTTGCGGCGGGCGCACAAACGCTCTTGAATCGAGCCCATCCAGCGCGGCCGATATCTTTTCTTCGAGATCCAGCTTCTTCGCAGCAGAAGCAGAAGCAGTGAGTGTCGCGGCGCGCACTCGTGGCTTTTGCGTGATTTTCACATCGGTTGACTCGCGGGATATGTCGCAGATATCCAAGAATTCCCAGCTGAAATGTTGGTATTCAGTGTCTTTGATGTTTCTTATTTGATCTTCGTGGTCGCAGAGGCTTATATCAGCCATCATGTCTTCGAGCGCGAGGGCGCGTCGTAGCTTTGTTTTCCTCGGACTGCTTGGGGATGTGGGCTCTATTATCGGAAGACTATCCATGGTCTGTGTAGGTGTATATCTTGGTGTGTTCGAAGTGTCTCTGGTGTCCTCGAGAGCGTTCTGCAAGTGGTATAGGAGTTGTTCCGTCCTCGCCTGGGAAGTAGTATTAATCTTGTCTCCACGATTGTTAAATCGCACGCCTGTGTCTTGTACGCAGGTGAGCGAAGCCATGGATAGCAACGGCGGTGTGTGCTGTGTCTTCCCTGCCGTGTACGCGAGAAGATTGTGGGGGAAAGAGGTGGTAATTCACCGAAGCCGAGAACACCTCATAGCCAACGCACGTTCGGTCTCCACCCACGCGCACCCAAGCCTTCGACTCCGCGGACGCTCCTTTCTTTATGTATCGCGGTTCCTATCTTCACGCTTCTTTCCATTGTCCGGGCTAACGCATTCCATCTATTTAGTCTCGATCACACGCATTCCTAGCCTTATCGCGAGACCTCAACCATCCGGTGACCACTGTGTCGGATCGACCATTCCCAAGTTAGAACACAACTCTTGGCCAGGAGTCTGGAGCACATTAACCATTGCGCCATGTGCCACGATCCATTCAACGAGAAGCATTGATGCATGAGTTTCTTCTCATAGGTAGAGAAAAGGTTCTATAGCCTCTAGCCAGCAGCCCATTAACCATGTGAGACCGACCTCAAAGACGCGGTCGACCTCAAAGACGCGGTCAACCATCGTGGTGCGTAAGATTGTCAGTGACCATTGCATCTCTGTGGCAGTCGCTGAATACATGTCTCAGATGCGAATTACCTCCCCATTCTCCCATGCATTCCAAGTCATGTCTCTCTAGAACTCAGCACATGCTCAGCTGAGTACTCCATCCCATCCATCTCATATGCTCTCACATCTCGATGACTTTTCCTTCCACATCTGATTCACATGCAAGCAACAGCGCCCACTCGTCCGGAGCACAACAAGCAATATTTGGACATGTTTTATATATCATATGTTTCTATACACCAATGCCCCTCTCCCTCTCTCCCTCTTTCTCCCTTTCCCCCACACTCAGAAAAACGACGCCTTGCTACATGCGTATAGTGGGTATAATTAGACAAACGAAAAACTGCATATGTTATGCGAATTGATGTTGTACTGAACCAGCTGCCTGAAACAAAACCAACCAGGAAGAGACAGATCCGCTTCATCGACGCGAGAGGTGCTACCTTCGGCCCTGTGAATCGTTAGAACGCGTCTGCTTATGTGAGTTTAGTATGTGACATACTGTAGTGCCCGCCCCACCAACGGTGACTCTCTGCTTGCCCAGCCAGCTCTTGGGTGCCTCGCTTCTCCGTTGGAGGATGACGGTGTTGCTTTGCAAGCGACTGGTCATGTCGTACCAGGCAGATGTGATGAGTTGGTTCTCGCGGCGGAGATTCTCGACTTCTTGCTGGAGTTCGACCTGATATTGTGTTAGCTGCAAATCCCATGAGCATGGAAAGCCACGGGTGCGTACCGAGCCCTTCTCTGCAGTCTCTTTCTTGACCGCTTCGAGCTGTCCTCGTAGTGTTCCGTTGGCTGTGACTTGTTCTTGAAGATCCTGTCAAAGGTTAGCACAACTGTCTCGAATACACGACGTCATTTGTGAGCGTCAAGGAAAGAGCAGTATTGGGAGATGAGTATACTTCATGGCAGCAAAGCCAGGGACAAATTTACCACACAATCAGCCGACGTGAACGCAGAGAAGTACTCGGAGCCACATGTTGTAGACTCCTTTCTTCTCTTTGGCGACAGCATATGCGTCATTCGACCCCAAGTACTTTGTCCCGTGCCCGCCGTCGAAGAAGACATCTCTGAGAGCGACTTGTTCGTTCCTGCACGGCCCCGCAGAGGTGAAGCCGGCGATATAAGAGTCGCAGCAGAAAAGGAAGGGTTCAGACGCTTTGCCGATCTCATCGAAGAGACAACGGCATCAAACGCGGAGGGAGGCGACTTGATGTGCGAAAATTGTGTGTTGCTTACTTTCTTTGCTTTCTCCAAAGCAGCCTCGGCCGAGAGTACCGTCTCTGCAATCTCCGTAGAAGTCGCGTCCAGTGCCTTGGGCTGGACCTCTGAGGGTGCTTCGATGACTGCCTCAATCTGCTGGCGGATGTGCCGTAGCGTCTCGACCCGCTTAAGTTCGAGCAGCTCGGGAGTCAGGTTTCCGCGATCAAGGAGGGCAGCCCTCAATAGACCCGACTTTTCCTCATTGGCGAGTTCAAGGTCTCGTAACCTTTCGTTAGTCTTCTGTTGCAACGTCAGCATGCGCTCGTGCTCAGCTTGCAGGCCCTCTGCTTTGGCTTCCTCGCTGATGTCGGCCTTTTTATTGAGCTCGTTACGGAGCTCGGCCACTTGGAGATCCTTTTCTCGCAACCTGCGGTGGAGCTCTTCCAGCTCAGTCTCTGCTGTCTGCAGCTTCTCGTTCTGCTCAAGGAATGGTTTCTCGCTTTCTTCGTCTTTCTCGATCATCATGTCGGATCTCAATCCGAGGTTCTCTTGCATTTGCTTGAGTGTTTCCGTTTCCAGAGACCTCAATCGGGCGCTGAGAATTTCGACCCTCTGCTGCAGCGCAATCGCATCAGCGCTCACTCTGCCATCTGCAGTCGGTCTTGCGCTTGGGAGATCGTCCATGCTCTTAGCATTCTCGTCCTGCGTGAGCTCATCTTCCAGGCTGCCACCGCCAGCTGCGTGACTTGAGGACTCAAGCTCTCGTATCCGGTCTTCCAACTCTTGTCTGGCGTCATCTGCCTTGTATTGCAGCTCTCGGGTCTGTTCAAGCTGTTTCATAAGAAGGAGATTCTCGTGCTCCACCCTCGTTCGCTTGCCTTTCTCCTCGAAAATGGCCTGTTCACAATTGACCAGGGTTTGGCTGTTTTCCTTGTTGACCTTCTCCAGGGCCTCGCATCGCTCTTCCACGTTTTCTAGCTGCATCAGCCGTTCTCTAGCTGTCTGATAGTCCTCGCGTAGCGTTTCTAATTGCTTCGTTTCCTTTGAAAGCGACTCGATCTTCTTCTTGAGGTTCTCATTCGCTTTCGCTCGCTGGTTCAGCTCGTCGCGCTCAGCCTTGATGAGCTGCAGTTGATCGCGCAAGTCCTGTTTCGAACCCTCTTCGCCCTGGTATCGCTCCAGACGCCGCTTCTGACTGTCCAGTATGTCCCTAGCATTTGCCAAGTCTGTCTCGAGCTGGTCGATGTACTGTCGATCGCGAGCGAGGTCGTTCCGTAATTGTTCAACATCCTCCGACTGAGCTCGCTGAGCCTGTGTCTTGCGATCGTCCATGTACAGTGTCGCTTCGCCCAAGTCCTCTTCAAGTTGCGATATGCGAGCCTGTGACTGCTTGAGTTCCGCCTTCAGCTTCTCGGTCTGGGTTCGTAGTGCAGCTCTGTCCTTGTTTGCCTCGAACAGCAGCGCCTCTTGCTCCAATTCATTATTGTTCGCAGCTGCTGGAACCTGTCCCGACACAGCCCGCGTAGGCGTCCGGTATCCAGACAGGTTGGGTTCTGAAGTCAGCTCCGAGTCGACACCCAACTCGGACATTCTTGCGTCCAGTGACTGCATGTCTTGTATGGCTTGTGCAATTGTCTCTGCGGTCTTGGTGCCCAATTGTGACATGACCTGCAGCATCCGTTGGTTGCTCTTCGGCGAGAAGCACGCGGCAAGCAGCACACCCATGGTGAGCTTTGCTATGAGCATTGTCGAGCCGTCTCTTGCGCCTGTCTTCAGGTCTGGTACCATGCGCTTCGTAAGCACAGGCAGCTGCCCACATTCTTCCCGTATGTATGCCGACACGGCGCGCTCGATGTGCTTGAGGTTCTGCCATCTCGGTATCCAATCCGATTTGCGGCGGTCGCTTTCGTCAAAGTTGGGCAGGGACTCGCTAAAGTATTCGTCGTCGATGTTGGCGAGGATCTGCCAGAGGATCTGGCCGTCTTCGAGCTGGTTCCATGCTGTCACTCTTCCAGGCAGTTCAAACGTGTTTACCTACAATGCCCGTGATTAGCCAAAATCCAGGGACGCAAAGCTTATCTCGACGCGTACCCAGTCGAGGAGAGCCTTCAGAAGCTCGGGCTTGAAATCGTCCATGATGCGAGATGGCGGGGCTCACAAGTAGGCGTGGCGCAGCGATATACGAGTCTGAGAGCGAGAGTATGGCAGAGACGAATTATGCATCATGAGCGGGGCCGGGTATCATGGGCGACACGTCGAAGCCCGCACGGCGCGGTATAGACGTGGGACGTGATGGTGGACGGTTGGTCGATGTCGCGCTAGGCCCAAGGCGCGACTTCCGCGGTCTGGCGGCCAATGCAGAAAGTCGGGAAAGATCAAGGCGGCAAGAGACAGTCCTGGTGTGTCTAGAATGAAGTGATTCAGAGCGAGATGCCAGAAGACAGTTTGACTCTTTTGGCAGTTTCGCAAGATTACGTGCATGAGGCTGTGGCTCCGTTGAAACCAGCTGTGTCCCCAGATCTACCCGCCCATCGAGCCGCGGGGAAGTCGTGCCCATTGCCCTTGCCCTTGCCCATGCCGTCTGCTGCAAGGCCACCAACATGCTAATGTCGACGACGAAGCATGGAAGCACTCATCCGTACAACAAATTACTGCAAAATACACAGAACAGAAAGTGTGATTTCTCTTAGATAACGTGTGGAACGCCTGCCGGGAGTATCCTGCGCCATACTCCATAACCAAGTCCCATATACCATATCCTATAGCACATCGCATATCGCATCTTCGACATGTAGCCAACTCATACATTTGTGGTACCCGCACACTGAAGCCTCATGATGCTTCCATAACTGCTGGTGTGCAGACAGCCTGCCCACTGTCAATGCCGTGTGGCCTACGCCTAGTTGTTCTGCGTGTACACAACGCCGTCCTCCTCAATCTCCGGCTTGTGGTCGTTATTCATCGTCGACACAAATTCGAAGACCGACGCTGGGCCGGTGCAGGCGAAGCCCTTGATGATGTCTGCAGAAGCGTTAGTCGTTTCCTCTCGCTCGGTGCAACGTATATACTGCGCCAGCTTCCAACATACTGTACTCGTGTGTGATGGTGCCCTTGGCGTCGATGATGGCCTGCTTCGCCGCCTGCACAACGCTGTCGGGCGTGTCGTTCGGCCAGCTCATGATGACAGACTTCTGTGGTGCGACTGCCATGGCGAAGGTGGCGAGGAGCGCAACAAAGGAGGCGGTAAGTGCGAAGCGCATGTTGCTGGGTGTCGTGCAAGTGTTGGGGTGTGCGGATCTCAAGTGGTGGATAGCGGCGGGAGTTTCCTTTGAGCCGTAGGACGTCAAGTGTTTCAGGTTGGCAAATGCGGATTCAGTGTGAGCGGGGTTTGTGAGGAAACAGGAAGGTATAGAAGAAAGTGGTTGCCTGCTGCGCGGCGCTTGAAAGTGGCCATCGCAATAGGCTGCCGGGCCCTACTCCGCAGCATTGGGCGGTCGCGGATCAAGCGTCATCGCCGAGAGCAGAAGGTGGCATGCGTGACGCAGGCAGGGGCGCTGGACCCTGTGTTTCTCGGCGGTGACCTTCACGCATGTCACGTGTGCCTCACATCACATCACATATCAACGAGAGAAGAGTTGGTTGTTTGGTAATCCGTAGCTTCCATCTATCTCTGGCAAGTGACTTGAAGCTTTGTTCCAGTAAGAAAAGTGACCTTTGCTCATGCTGAACGTTTCAAGGGTCGAGCGAGGCACCATGTGTGCCTGCCCAGATGCAGACCGCATCGATAGGAAGCCATGTGAAAGGATAAAATACAGAAGATACCCTAGTGGTAAGAAATGAAGTTCCTTGTCGTGAAAACCGTGCCGTAGCGCCATAGAGATGCTTCAAAAGATGCCGAAGCTCCGCGAATATGCTCGTGTCATGTCGATACTATACAAATCGATTTGCCATGATGGGAAAGAATGAAAATGTGTGCAAGCAACACCTCATACCGACCAGGCAAGAACGAGAGATAGGAAAGAGATCGCTCTTCAGATGACTACCGCCCAAGACCAGTGCCAACGTGTCGACTGGCGGAAATGATGCGGTGGTGATGTGACGTTGAAAGTACGTGAGCGATCGCGGCCGTCGTCAGGTCGTAAGTCGTAGGAGTAACTTAAAAGAAGTTACCCATGCCGTTCTGTGCCGGACCGTACTGGTAGGCTTGGTTTTGTACAGAGTTGTTGAGGTGGTGAGGGAGAGGCGGGTTGCTCATGCGGTGAGGCTGAGGCGAAGCGATGTTAGGACCATAGTTGGCTGTGGCGGTGTACATGGGAGCCTGATGAACAGAGGTGCCGTTGGCCTGGTAGCCACTAGGACCCTGGTTCGTGAAGCCCTGGGTGTGCTCGCTGGATTGAGTCGAGTTGCCAGAGTGGGGAGAGACTTGACCCGAGGCGGCACGGCCGGTGAAGGCAGCCAAACGACCCTCACGCTCCTGGACCTTGCTCTGAATGCGACGACCATAGGGAGTCTGGCGGATGGACGGCAGGATGGGGCGCATGATCTCGATGAGATGGATACACAGAGCAGGTGGAGCAAACTCGAGCGCCGTCTGGACGACATAGTTGCCGTACGAATCGCGCATCAGGTGCTCAAGCTCCTCGACGTCACACAGCTCTTCGATCAACATCTGCTTGGCGGACATCTCGGCACAGCGGATGCACTTCTCGATGACGTTGGAGCTGAACTTCTGCTTGGAGAGCTCCACGACCTTGCCCCGGAAGCCTTCACACATGGGCGTGGTGAAAGCAGCGTCATTCAGGTCGAGGATGTACTGGACAACGTAGTTGCCGAAAGGATCCTGGACAAGGTGGAAGCTGTGCGCAGTGATCTTGCGAACGAGGTCAACCTTCTGATAGCCAGACGCATGATCGATGCAACGCTGAAGAACACAGCAGCCGTGGCGATGGGTTCCGACGATGACACAGTGCTCGCCTACAGCGTCGAAGATGAACTGGGCCTCAGAGGACTTGAGATGGTTCAAGCACTTCTGGATGACGTGGTTGCCGTTCAAGTCCTGGATGAGGTCGACGACTTGGCCAGACAGCGCCTGAATGATCATTTCAGTCTACGAATGTGTTAGTACAACGAAACTAGGTAGGTTAAGGAAGAAGGCTGACCTGTTCTTCGGTGGAGATGAACTCGATCATCTTCTGTAGAGCGCGGGTACCGTGCTGGTTGAGCGCGATTGAGACCATGGCAGGGCAGGCGTTTCGAACAAGAGTGTTGCGCTGCTCATCGTTGGCAAACTCCAAGAGCTTCTGGCAGAGATAGTTGCCGAAAGGGTCGGTCATGAGCTCGACCACATGAGGGGCGGTCTCGTCGAAGATGATCTGCAGGCTCTCGGGAACGCGCTCTTCGAGCTTCTTCTGCAAGAAGCGACATCCATGTTGGTCCTTACACAGGCTGTAGATCTCTTGGCGAGGCATAGTCTTCAAGTCGTAGTTCATGAAGCGGTTGGCATCGTTCTGAAGGCGACGGCTCTGGATGACGCGAGCCTGGCTATCCTGAACGCGGGACTGTGGTCCGTACGTAGCATAGGGGTTGTAGTACCCAGCATTGCCGCCACCACCAAACATGCCGTTGCCACCGTAAGCAGGAGGAGCGCCCATCTGCGGACCGGGTCCCATGGACAGGCCGTTCATAGCACCTGACAGCATCGACATGCCGTAACCGTAGTAAGGGGCACTGGAAGCAGGAGCAGCAGCATACTGCGACATGGTGGGAGATCCGACGGTGCCAGCGAGTCCGTTAACAGGAGCAGCGGAAGTCATGCCAGGACCGAAAGGAGCAGCGCTCGCATGAAGACCAGAGTAGCCAGAGCGATAGTCCTGCTCCTTGTATCCATTGGAAATCTCACGGCTGTGACGGTTGTTCATAGCGTTGTAGGGAATGCGTCCCAAGTTGGCGTTGTGGTTGTGCAGGTGCTGCTCCGCATGAGTGTTGAAGCCGCCACCATTCGTGCCGTTCACTCCAGTGCCATTCTTGAGAGTGGGAACATCGCTCGCAGAGTATGACTGCGTCAGCTTGGGCATACCGTTAGTGGGGCTGGCGAAGCTGGAACGCCTGGGCTCGGGGCTGAGGTGAAACTCTACCGAGCGGCGGTTGTTGGACATGTTCTTGTTGGGAGTGTTGTCGGCATTACCATTAACTTGGCCGTTGTCGTACTCGTCACCCTGGGTAGCTTTACGCAAAGTGTTAGTAGGCAAAGACTGTTGAGCTTGACGATGACGATAGCCTTGCCAACCATTTGGGTGAGACTCCGGGCCAGGGGATTGGGAAAGGGCCAAATCAAGCGCAGCAGAAGAGGCAGAGAGTTTCGTACCATTACCAGCTCCATCGCGGCGGACCAAGATGGGGAACTTGTCATCTGTGTTGCTCATCTGGAGATAAGCCTTGTGGTCCGGAGAACCGACCGGATTGTGCTCTTTGTCCTCTTCACCGAAGAGGTAACCGGTGGTGTCAATGTGGCCCAGGACCGAAGCCAGGTCGGGCAAGTTGTCACGGCCACGCAGATCCAGACTGGTGACTGGCATAGACATGCGGTTGTTCCTGAGGAGATTAGCGACCATCATGGTGGATTGCATGTAAGTGGATGGAGGAGAGAGCAAGGGACATGGGGCACAGAGGCTTATGAGATGGAAGACACATGGCTCGAGCGCCAAGGCCAAGTAAAGGTGAGATTGCAGGTGAACTTACTTGCGAGTGACAGGGCTCACAGGGGTGAAGTCGTCGTTATCAAAGTCATCGTGGTCCTCGTCAGAGTTGCGGCGGGTACCAGGCACAGACTGCGAGGGCAAGCCGTTGTTGTTGTTGAAGAACTGGGCGGGCGGTGAAGTGACCTGGGAGTTGGCGCGGCTACCACGAGGGGTAGTCATGCCGGGGTTGATGCTCGACATGCTGAAGCGATTCGGACGCGAGAAGGCAGAGGGAAAGCCGTTTCCGTCGCTGAATTCGGGCGGGGTGGTGGGCTGGCTGTGGGCGGGCTGCTTTCCGTATCGAAGATCGGTGGACAGGCGGTGGATCTCCTCTTCGCCGCGGCGGGACTGTAAATCTATGAGTTCCATTTCGGCTTCAAAGCGTCTGCGCTGTTCCTTGAGATATTCGTACTCAAGCTTCTTTTTCTCGAGCTGCAGGCAGCGTCAGCGGGACACGCGCGACGGTCAAACGTGTTTTGGGGCAACAATGTCACTCGCGTGACTTGTAGGTGGGGCCGAGATGAATAAGATGAGGAAATAGATTGGAGCTCAATCTCAAAAAGAGACAAAGTGTACAAGAATGGTGCTAACAATGGAGTTGAACGGAGGGGTTGAGCGGATGGGAGGGGGGGTATTGTGGAGGGGAGGAGTTGAGGGGTTTATCACCACGTCGCCGTCGCAACTGGACCCTTGCAATTTGCTTTGCATGAGCGATAGCGGGGCAATAGCTGGTAAACGCGAGGTGAAGGAGAGTTCATGTTGCTTACCACTTGAAGCTTGTGGTACGTCTGTTGGGATGGGTCCGTCAGCCTCAACTCTAATTCACCTTGGATTGACCGGCGGTACGGACGTGCGAAAACGTGGCCGCACAGGCGACATGTGCGCAATGGAGACAGTGAAGGAATGGAAGTGAGAGCAATTGCTGCAGCATTACAGGCTGTTACAGCGTCACGCATGCGTTGTCCCCAGCTCTTTCAAAAACACTATGTACTGGAGCAGTTGGAACGTACCGCTGTTGTGAATTCGGTCGGCTCAGCGGCCTGCCTGCGTTGCTGACCAATTGGCGAGAGCGGCGTGCTCACAGTAGGAATGTTGTTCGTGGTGAAGCGTCGGTGCAGCTGGCCGCGCACATCGTTGGCGGAGCCCATCTGAGCACCAGCAGAGTTGCGGAACGCGAACGAGTCTTCGCGGGGGGAGCGGAGGCCCCCGTTGCCTGCAGGATAGGCCATTTTGAACTAGAAATACACTGGAGGCCAGCTGTCAGCGCAAATATTCGTCGCATCTCTCATGTGTGTGGGGTGCGGGCGGTGAGGTGGCGCGCAAGGCAGGAGCTGTGCAGGTCGCACCTGCCTCAAGGTCTTGTATAGGAGTAACTGGAGAACGGCTGCATACAGAGTAAGTGTACACGGGGCGAACGCCCTCTCTACCTCTGACGGTGCGGTGCTCCAAGTCAAAGACGTCGCGGGATGTCAAGCAGAGAGGTTTGGGCCGACGAGGGTTGGTTGGCGGAGCGCGGTAACTAGTCGCTCGTTCGTGACACACTTCGGTCCCTGCGCAAGGCCCGGGCGGATGTCGGGGCCCAGATTGGGCGCAGAGGAAGAGAGTGACGGTAGGGAATAGCAACAAGGCGCGGCTTCGATATTCTCCAGCTCGCGCGATCAGAATACAGAAATATGGTTACAGTGTGGTTGAGGAGTGACGCTTCTTGCGGCCACAGTAGAAGAGGACCCTTACGCTAGCCATGCATCCGCCTTTCAAGGGTTCGAGTCTTGCCGTTAGGTCTTCCCCATCCACACTGGTGGTATTGCACGAGGTCTTGGTACAACTGCCATGAGGGCCTGCCCACTGGCCATCTTTCCTGTGTTCGTACTGTGCGGCGGCCGATTGATCTATCAGCTTCTCGCCTCCCACCGTGATCATCTGCAATCCATGGAGCTCAACCTGGAAAATCGCTCTCCGATGGCTCATGTGATCTAGCGGACTAGTATTCCACTTCCTGTCCGGAACACAGCCCTCCCTTCTTACGCCTCGGCCTGGATAGCACCTCCCTCGCACTCAATCGACCCACACGCCACTCAGCGCCTAAATTGTGCGGTACCCGTAGGATTGAAGCTTTTGACAGGCGTCTTCCAGACTTCAGGGGGGCATTGAGCACTGCACTGCCGGCGAATGGTTAGGCACATGCAGGGCTTACATCATTCAGCAGATTCTCTTATTCAAACCACGCCCGGATCTGCAGCGTCTGGACAACAGATGAGGGGCATGGCAAGCTCCACGGCCGGTGCTGCATCCAGTGGGGCAAAAGTATTATCCTCGTCCCACGCCGATACATGCCGCTTCATGCCATCGCAAGAGAGTGGTCCATGGGCTTAACCATGTGCTCGACGATGCTGTCCCACAGCCTACATGCCTCCATGCTGGCGGGGCATCATTGCGACATCGCAACTTCAGCTCCAAGAACAGCTCCATGACTGTCAGGCATGATGCCTCAATCGTTCAACTAGTCGTGGGCCGTCGCCTCTCAGTCGCATCCCACGGCACCAGAGCAGAGGGCTAGCGAGGTACGGCTGCACGTTCACCGCCTCGAAAGCTCGAAACGGCAGGGCTAGAATGCAAATGGCAAAGTCAATGCCGCGTAGCAGCGTTTCAGCCTTCCCCCGCACTTGCCAATCGGCTGAAAACGAGGCGATGCCGTGGCCATTGAGGAAGACGGGACGAAATGGCGCAATGCCGGTTGGGAGAACGATGTTTCTGAGATGGTGTCTGACAGTTCGACTCACTGCCGTGCCATCAGCTTGACTGCGGAAGTTATTAGAGTTGGGTCATGGAAGGAGCCACCCGTCGCTCTTGACTCGATGCTCGAGCAGCAAGCCAATCACAACGCGATACCGCTTTTCTGGAACGTCACCACACAGAGGCAAATGCCAATAGCACCCGAATCACATCACTCCTCCAATGCGAGGTCGTCCAGGTTCCGACAGTCTGCTGTGCGTCTTCAAGATTACCTGCACGCTGCTTGTGACAACGCGACAGTAGCGTGCGCTCCCAGTCCAGGATCACAGGGTGGCACAAACGTGGTATATCCGAATCCAGGGTTGTGGCACTTCGGTTGGCTCAACACACATCAACTGCAACATTAAAAGGACGCGGTACAACCCTCAACACGATCATGACCGCACTCTACTTTGAGGGCTTAGGTTCTTCCAGAGAATGAAGCACAGGGGTCTAGTAAGAGGATATGATGCATCAACAAGAGGTCATAGCATTGTAGCGCGATGCCTAATGGCTATAAGGTGACGACCCATATCCCACTCCATCCATCGACTATTGCTCTACTGGTGGATCAAACTTGATCGGGTTATAGTGTGGCCCACGGCGAGGGCCATGGGAGATCTCCCGGGGCTTCACAACGCTCCTCTTCGTGGGAGCAATGATTCTTTCTGGGAAGCCATCCCACGAGGAAGCGTACTGCGCGACCAAGGTTGCGATACCCTTCACATTTCTCTCCCATGCGTCCACCTCAAGGTTAGTGACAGTATCACATGTCGCATCATTGGAGCAGGGATCCAATGGAGTACCTGCCGTTCCGCCAAACATCCGGGCCTCTTCCTCGGTCTTGTTTCGACTTGCTCCCGTGAACAGGCCACCACCCGGAATACCAGCGCCTACGAAAATACCAACGTCACCTCTGCCGTCGAACTCTGTGGCAGTAAAATTCTGGCCCAAGCTGGTGAAGTATTTCTGGAAGGCTGCTTCGATCTCGGCGCAGCCAGGGGGGCCTGTGTCGTTGAAGCGACTGCCATCTCCATCAAGGATCCCGTTGATGTAGTTCTTCGACGCAATCTGGGTTTATGTCAGTCTCTTAAATGAGCACGAGCTGAAACCCGTCTTACCACGTCGACGTCCACATAAGCACGAATCTTGGCGGCCTCGTCCGCCGACAGGTTGTTGACATAGTGTGCTGATCCCAAAAGACCCAGCATATTAGCGGTCCAGAAACCGAACATGACAGCATTCTTGACCTTGTATTTGGTAAGGGCTTTAGCAACCTCCAGAACTCCTACGACGCCACTGCCATTATCGTTGATACCAGGTCCGTCGTTGGTCGAATCAGAGTGAGCTCCCAAGGCAAGCTTGTTGTTGTGGTCGCCGCCAACCGTGGTAGCCAAAACATTGGTCGTCGAAATATTGCGGATATCAGTCGTTACATCGACAACTGCGGAAAGGTTCGCACCATTCGCAACAGCCGAGACGAATTGCTCTCCGAAGGCTCGATTGATACAGACGGAAGGAATTAACTTGCCCTCGGGTCGGACAAAATTACCTAGAGATGGGCGCGTTGGACATCTAGCATTCTCCTCGTCGCCTCCGTACATAACAGCACCGATGGCGCCTTTAGACCCGGCCCAGGCCGACTTAAGCCCGAACTCGCACACGCCTCTGGGGATGAGCGCAATGTTTCCCGCAAGCGTATCAGGGTAGTCCGTCTGTCTTGGCGTCAGCATCACTCTCGGTGGTATTTTCACATTTAGTACGTACGAAATTGCAGGCGGCGTTGCTGACGAGGACCAGTTTTCCAGACACGGCGCCGGTCGGCGAATGCTCGAATAGCGAGGACGAACCTGCAGGGGCCGCGGTGCCGTTGATGCTAAAGGCGTTGATCGTGCCGTTGAGCTGCACAACTTCGAAGTACGTCTGCAATGTGACGTTGTAGTATCCATCCAGCGCCTCGAGCTCCTGCTTGAGCCACTCCACAGTCGCGATGTGCCCGGCGGTTCCGATGAAGCGGTTGCGGTCTTTTGTTGCGTACGCAATGTCCTGGACTTTTTGTGCGCCGGCTAGGAGATTCGCTTTTGTAATGTCGGCCTTGAGAAGCGTCTACAACCCGGTTAGCACAGTTGCAACTCTACTTTCAAGTAATCGTACAGCATCAACAGCTGGCTTCGCGCCATCCTGACGAATCGCCTTATCTCCCACCGCCGCAGCGCCGGCAGCAAGTGCGCTGATAGCAATTGAGTACTTCATGCTTCACTACTCAACACGCAAAGATAATGAACCACCAAAAAAAAAGCTGTCTGCATCATGTTATATACCTACCGTAATCCTGCGCCACAAACCGGACAAATCCAATCCCTAAATTTCAAATTTCGTCTTACTCGTATAGGACCGAACGCATAGTGTTGTTTCCCCCGCCAAAATGCCGCCACATTAACCCCATACGCTTTAGCTTCGGAAAGATAATATACACAAGGCGACTCGGTGACGGCTGGGCATGGTCTTCGTACATCCGTGGCAGAGGCGAGGCGCGCCTGTAATGGTAAGCACACAAGAAACGAGTGGTTTGGGAAGGTGGCAAGAAAGATGCTGTAAGCACTAATGAGCAGTAGGACTTTGGTCATTTTCAGGTGGTTCTTTGGACTAGGGGCCGGGGTGTAGAAGAAGTCGGATGTGGTAGCTTCTCGGCCGTAGTGCATGAGTGGAGTGGTTTTGAATTATGCTGCTTCTGAGAGATCTCAGCGAATTGGCGTGAACTTTTAAGGGTACTCGCTGCTTTACATTTGCTATTCTCCTTGCATTGAAGGTTATAGCGGTTGTCTTGAGGTATCAATTGCGTCCTATGCAATCTTCGCTTTGAGAGCTACCGTGTTACCTGACATTAAAGACTTACAGGCTAGCATGAGCGATCTCACTACATCAGCTCCCCAGACCTTGAAGGCATCTCCGGCAGAGTCTCGGATATCGCTATTAGTCCCATACCCGACAGCTAACTACCTCTGGCCTTAGCCTAAAAGTCCTCAATGTCAGATAATACGGTAGATTTGTCGCATCGCCTGGCTTGACGCGGGCTGAAGCATTTGGCCCTTGGGGACGTTTGCTGTGGTCGACGAACTATACAGTGGTAGAGAGAGGAGTTTCAAGTGCATGGTAGGAAATAACGAAGAGGGTTTTGTGTGTAGTGTCGGTTGAGACGAAGTGATTGATGGGATTACAGAGCGGATTTGGTTTCGATTCGCAATCACTAAAGTAGGCTAATACCTGCTGAAAGTCATGTTAATTTTCAAATTTCTCATTACTTCTAGGTGCACATGTGTCATCGCAGCGTTTGAATATACGCCCAAGTCTGCTCTTTACTTCCTGTCTGTCATCTCCACGCTTAAATATCTAGCTATTAGCTGTAGAAACAGCTTGCTTTACGCTTGCTACACAGAGTCGTCTGCAGCAACTTTACTGCTGTTTGTTGGTTAGTATGTTCTTTACCAAGGGAGAAAGATCATCTCGATGATCCATCTGATCTCACTACGAGCTCAGTCAGACGGATCATGCCTCGGGTAAAGCTCCAGGTACTCATCCAGCGCCCGCCTCAACACCCACCTAAGTGCTCTCACTGCTGTCAGGGTCCTGAGCAGACTTGCCTACAACCAAGCCTCAGCAAGCCTAACAATCAAACTTCGAAGAGCCCAATCAGCATGTCAATGAAGCGCAGAGGCCAGGGCTTGATTGTTGAAGAGTCTGGTTCTGCGTTTGTGGTAAGCCGCCAATCGAAAACGCTCATCATCTTCGGAAGCCAGATGTTGTAATAGTCGTCGTCTGCCAGCCGTGCAGATTGAAAATGTATATCATGCCACTGGAACATGTCCTTGCACACGTCCAAAATCTTGCGCCAATTCGCATCCGCAATGTGCAGACCTCCAGGGAATGCCCCGGCATGCCCGGACGCAGTGCTACCAAGTGCCCATTTCACCGTGAGCTCAACATCCTCTTCGTATATGTCTTCGCGACCATGCGTGCTTAACGTGAAGTGGGCACGATTCCACATTTCTTCAGTGAAGGTCCGCGCGTGGGCGTAATCGTGTATGTTGTGCACCCAATGCGCAGCCTGTGTGTCTATTATACGAGCCCCCGTATTGTTTTTGATTACTGGTATGAACATGGGGGTTAGGCACTTGGGGCAAGTGTTTGTCCGTTCAGTCCATTCGCGAAGACAGGTAGAGCCGAAAGTATGACCACACTTGGTACGCACCGGCACATGCTCATCATTGAAGGTGTCGAGACAGATATTGCAGGCCTCAAGCGTCTCGATGTCCTCGAAGAATTTATCTTTACTGCGTAGCTGAATTGAGCTGGACATGGTTGTAGTAGAGGATTACAGTGATGGGTAGAGGGTCGAAGTGATGATGACGAAGAGGGGTTGATCTGCGATATCGTACCGAGTTGGTTGTATTTACGAGTGATTAGGAAGATTCTTATGCTGGTACGTTATAGAGGAGGGGGGTGAGGAAGGTATTTTGGAATGCGCCGCAAGGCTTCAGCGTGAATTGGCGATGACCCAAACCCCGTGCACGAATACAGGCACTTGCATTGTGTGACATGGGAATTCTGTAGGGTCTTGCAGTAATACAATAGATAGCTGAATACCATTCACTGTGTTGGCTTGTTGATACCGCCATCCAATGTATGTTAAACAATGTCGAGGATATCCAAAAATTATGTATCGAGTATACGGCCGACAGTTACATGGACTTCACTCATCCCAGATCATTCACCATACCAACCACACAGCACAAAACTCCAGCAGCATTGTATGATCCATCCATGTAAAACACAGATATGATTCCAGAGCAATAAATCACTGTGGGCTACAGTTCTGAATCTCACCACCACCTTCCACGTCTCCATCTTCCTCATCTTGGCCCGAGTCTTTTCTTTTCTTCGCGTCATTCCCAATCTCCTCATCTGCCTGCCTCTTCCTAGCCACCGAAGAGCTATCCTGTGCAGCTGGTGTTGATGCTTCTTGTTCAGTTGTCAGTGTCGTGTCAGTGGAAACAGGCGCTTCTCGATTCTCCTTCTCCATGATTGCGTCCAAGTCGAATGGAGTTGACTCTGCAGAAAGCCCAGCAGATGTAGACGACAAGTCTTCTAGGTCTCCGAATAACCCCTCCGTCAGATCGTTCAGAGACTCCACATTACCCGCGTCTTCCCACGTCTCACCAGGATCTCCAATCGGATTCTCGTGACTCTCCGAGCTCTCTTTCTCCTCTTTCTCTTCCTCATCAAGATCTTCATTCGGACTCGCCGGGCTCTCTTGTACTTCCTCGTCTCCACTCCGCAGCAACCCCTGAAACGGCAACCCCTCAATGCCAAAAACCGTCGCAAGCAACATCTGCGTTTTGTACGTGCGAAGCCACAACTCCGGAAGCTCTCCACAATCATCCTCATGGTACTCATGCGGATGCAGACATGCCTTTAGTGTTTCTCTAAAGTCCGTCCCGCGCAAATTCCTCGCCAGTCCAAAACCACTGGGATCGATGCTTCTCGTCTCACGAACATTCCACAGTAGAGACGCGTAACTGATGTGATGACTCGCATTCCTGAATTTGCGGGCATCTAGATGTCTTTGGATGGGTTGTTTTGCGGTTTCCTAATGCCGTTCTGGGTCGGTTTGCCATAATTCGCGTTTTGGATGTTGCTTCTTTGGGCGCTTTTGGCCGGAGATTTTGGAGACGGTTTGTATGAGGTTTTCTCTGTATTGATCGAGGAAAGATTTCGTTAGAGCTGGTGGATAAGGAGCTTGTATCGCTGGCTCGAGGCGATTTACTTGTGTGACTGAGGGAGTGGATGGGTCGACGAAGTGACAATCCTCTCTGTGAGTTGCACTTTCTTGCGGAGCAAGTTTTTCCTGTCCGAAATCGAAAACTTGTGTAGCCGAGAGGGGTAGAGGTTTGACATAATAGTTCTTCTTTTTAGGGGCCATTTTTATAACTTTTGTGTACCCGGCCTTACCACGGGGTGCGCATGTGGGGACGACTTTAGTTGTCGGGCTGGCTGTTCTGGGCTTCCTAGAATCGTCAAGCCTCCCGCTGAGAAGACTTGGGCTTTGCATCCCCGGTGGCTTGACAGGATCGACCGCTGCCCATTGTTCGGGGGTGAGCAGCAGCTTTGCTGGGCCTGGTCGAGGGGCCCTGGGCGGAAATAAGGGCGCCTTTACCATCTCAGCAATTTGTTGATCACTCAATGGTCGTGGGCGTGGACTGGGCGGCGGTGGACTTTGTACTTCTGATACTGGTGAGAGGAATCTTTTTGGGGGAGGTGGCATGGCTTTCTCGTCCTCCTCCTTCTTCCGAAGCGCGCGTCCTCTTGCTAGACTGCGCTCTTTTTCTTCCTTCGTTATAGGACGAGGACATCCGAAGTCACAGCCACCTCTGCACATGGAGAAGTTGCCCTTCATCCCATTTTCTATCCACTTGACACATTCAGGAAGTCCGCTTACAGACGAATTGTGACGTGCATACCATATGCGTGGATGGTATTTCGATAAGTTTGGGTTGTGGATGTGGACAGACCAATGTTGCGCCAGAACACGGTCCTCGATGAAGGTGATCCTCCGACCTTCGTTATGGGGATCATATCTGAATGACTGCATAATTACTACGGCGTGATCTCGGGGACAGTGACGGATGAAATCGAGCATTTGGTTGATATCGTCGACAAACTCGACGCTGAGGATGTAGTCCGAATAAATCCGGCTCATGTTCATGCGTGCACTGAATGCATAATGCCGCGCGCGTGGATATCGCCATTTCCGTAATGGAGGTGTTCTAGGGCCGAGATTGTTAGGAGCTGATTTCAGTGGTGTTGACTGACTTTGCTGGTAGTCTTTAGACAGGATATGTTGCTGCTCTTTACTAGGTTTTTGGCGGCTAACCAAATCCTTCGATTCCGGTGCTCTTTGAGTAGATGCCATATGAACTTCCGGGTCTGAACTGTTGCGTTTCTGTCGTTTAGAGTAGAGTTGATCATTGTATAGAGTTTCCGACTCCTCATCGTAGTCCGATACGTTGTCCACCTCGATCCCCTCATTACCTTTCAAGTATCTTTCTTTGCTGGCGTGCTGTAGGCGCCTGCTCTTTTCGTGCTCAAATACTGCTCCCTGCTGCAGGATATCCCGAGCCTCTTTCAACCTGCGTTCGACTCGAGCAGCAGTAGCGTCGAACCTTTTGTTCAATCTGTTGAGTATTGCTTGTCTTGTCGCTTCTGCTGCACGTTCGTTTGCCATGGTATTATCGAACGCGACATCTGAGTCTACACTCTCTGGTGAAAGCCCTTCGCTTCGAGAAAACATATCGCCGTCTCGAGATTCGTCCACGGATTTAGATGGTTTCATCGACTGCACAGGCTGCTCGAGGCCGGCTGTGGTGGAGTGCGTGGTTGGGGTCTGCTCGAATATTTTCGTGTTAAACTGAACACCACTCCCGTGAGCGTGACCCTCGGATAGAACGGACTTCGCAGCGGCGCCTTGTTCCTCTGACGTGGTATCAACCATAAAACCTGGGCCCGGCTCTCCATCAGCGCCGGCATCGCTCCCAGATAATTCGACTCGTTGATTGTTCGCCTCGAAATCCACATCCATAATAGCTTGCACATCAAAGTCGCTGCTGAGATCCACTTCCTCACCTTTGTTCGTTCCCACCGCTCTTCCGTGTTGTTCGGTCTCAGTCTCCGCTACATAATCTGGGTCCAAATCGCCGTCGGCATCGATATCGCTGCCATACCCCACTTCGGTATGTTCTTTGGGTATGGTCCGTCCCTCATCTTGTGTTTGGGCGGTACCGTCCGGGTCTGGACTTTCTGATCTATCGCCGTCGCTGCCGTATTCCGTTTCGCGGGACGCCATGATGTATCGTATCAATGCGCGATAGTGTAGACACGTCTGCGTATGTATGTAAAAGTAGGGATGGCGCGTGGCAGCGCAGTAAGTCTAAATGCTGTCATTGTGAGTTAATGAAGGTTGTGACCGAGCTCAGATGTGAGTTTTCCATGACCGCAACTGCAGTTTGTACGGATCTCGTCAGGTCAGAACCGAGGAAAGCGTTGAGCACCTGCATAGTCCTAAACCTAATTGCTGCGTAAGATGTAAATTTGTTTTCCGTTTCTACAAAACGCTACTCTTCTCAAACTTCATCTTGTTGATAATGCTGCCAATTCCATCGACATAAATTTCAACTTCATCACCATCCTTTAAGAAGTTTTTCGGCTCCATAAACAGTCCGACACCACTTGGAGTTCCAGTCAAAATCGCAGTACCAGCCCTCAATGTCGTTCCTCTTGAAAGGTGCTCAATGACCTGACCAATTGTGTAAATCATGTCGTCGGTACCAGTCTCTTGTCTCTTCTCACCGTTGACCTTGGTCCAGTATGTCAGTTTCTGCGGGTCTGGGATGACCTTCGTGCTTGCGATGCATGGGCCAATGGGGCAGAATTTGTCGAACGATTTGGCATATCCGAATTGGCCGCCGGACACGTTTGCTGGGAGCTGGTAGTTGCGAGCTGACACGTCGTTGCCGACTGTGTATCCGAGAACGTAGTCTTGGAAGTTCGCTGCTGATACGTTCTTACAATCTTTGCCAATAACGATAGTGAGTTCGCCTTCATAGTCCAGCATAGATTGGCAGTCCTTGTGGATTGGTACGTCTTCCAGAGGTCCCGCTAGAGCATCGCTGGGCTTCATGAAAATCGCGGGGTTCTCTGGTATTTGGAGCTGTTATGATGTTAGTCCACATTCTTAAAACCAACAGCACTTTTAACTCCAACACATCCCCTCCATTCCAGCTGTTACAAAATTTTGTGCAGGTTATATTTGACCCGCCAACATCTCTCGTCCCCTCCACCCTCCCATTCAAGCAAAAATCCCCAAAACTTAGACTTACATTACACTCCTCCGCATGTCTCCTATAATTCAGCCCCACGCACAAAATAACATTAACATCCTCCCTCCTCAGCGGACTCAAAAGCTTCCCCACAATCTCCTTGCCCCCACTCTTCCTAAACCCGCTCTTCACACTACCCTCCAGCACCTCGACTTCCTTGCCCTCAATCTCGCGCGTCGGAGTTTCTTGCGCAAGATTGCCGTAGCGCTCCGCGCCCGAGGGCGTCGTGAAGCGGATGAGCCGGTCGAAGGACATTCTTGTGGTTGATGAGAGGGGGCGGAATTGGAACTGGGGACGGCTTGATGGGCGTAAGCGTGGCAGTGGGGAAATGGAAAGGCGAGCTGATCTGGCGAACATGAGGTGCTTATGAACTGCCCGAGTGTCTGACAAACGCGTGTGTTTCGCGGGATGGGGGGCGGATGGTTGCCCCACGGCGGGGTCGAACAGTCGGCAAATGGGGGGCAAGTACGACATGGAGGCCGAAAGACGGACTTTCTTTTTTCACAGTGGATGAAAGTTTTCCCAAGCTTTCTTCGAGTAGTTTGACTCTGTTAAATGCTCATGTTTGGAGGGTATCTACGCTTCTCTTTGTCTAACCGCTCATGTCTACATCCCCATTACTTGCCTGCGCAATCGCGCTGGGGTCCAATTGACTCAGACAGCCCGGGCAATTGTGCAGCACCATGTGCGCGAACATGTCGCAGTCGATGCAGAAGTGGCTTTCGCATGCTCTGCATTCGTATCTGCCTGACTCGCTGGCTTTTTGCTCTTCACTGTCGTCTGCGTCTCTTTTGTGCCCATTCGTCTCTAGGTTCTGCTCGGTCTGCGTGCGCTCCGTGTCTGAGGCGGGTGGTTTGGAGAAGGAGGACAGACAGCTCACGCACTCTTTGCTGCCCTTCTCACGTGCGCGCGACCAGCTTACTGTGGCCCAATTGCGCAGAGGAAAGAGGTGGTGGTAACTTCGTGCGAGATGGGTGGAGAGGAGAAGTGTGAGCTGGCAGCTTGGGCAGGTGATGGGTAAGCTACAGACTTTTGCGCTGCATCGCGAGCATGTATAGCCTCCCATTGTGAGATTGCCGTGGCAGGCACACATAGTAGGCTTGTCTTCTACCACGCGTGAGGGAAAGCCCATCATCATAAGGGCAGCAGCTGATTCGGGTGGGGGCGCATCCGTCGTTGTCGCTGTTTGTCGAATGACTGGCGGTGTGGTGGTTGCGATCAGCAGCTCCTTAAGCATTTCTTGATCCGTAGCAATGGTATACTCGCCCTCGTCTCCTGCATTAGTTCGAGTCACAATCTCAGTACAGATCTTTAGTCGCGCACCCATCCCGATAATGCTCACTCGTACCCGGTCGCGCACGCAGGCTTTTACCGTCTGGTGTATGTCTCCTGGGTCCATGGACAACAGCGATCCAAAGACCACGATGACCTCTCTTGTCCCATGACTTGGTGTGTGGTATAGCGTCGCTCTGGCCAGCTCCAACGAATTCTGCAAACTAGGTGCGCCTTTGGGCTCTTTGGCATTGTCTGAGGTCCGTATCCCTTGTATCGCAGCGACGTGTTCCGCTGGGTTTCCCGACAGCTCCGACACTCGTATACACACACCATCGTGCATGCCCAACACGCTCATTTGGGAAATCGGATTCTGCTCGAAGAATTCGCGAACGTAATCCTGGGCGTAGTTGATCATCGTGATGTAGCGGTTCGGTCGCATGTCCTTCTCCATCATCGCCTCAGACAGATCCAATACTAGCACAACATGTCGTATTATGCCTCGTTGGAATGGCTTTGTATCCTTCCGTAACCTTTTGCGCTTCCGCTCCTCCTCCTTCTCCTGCACACTTTTACCCAAGGAGCCATCATCCGCGAGTATCACGGTCTTGGCTACTGTCCGCGAGTCCTCCGTCTCCCACGCATGCCGTTTTGGTGGTGGCCGGTCATCTTTTGTCTGCCTTTTACTCGTTCCTTGGGCGCGTGTGTTTGATGCGGTCTTTGATGGCTCGGCCCTCGAGCCTACATATTCTTCCTCGGAGCCATCTTCACCATCAAATGAGTAGTCTGAATCGGGCATTGTGCTCTAGCCCGCTGCCTCCCCACATTCACAGCGTTGCACAGTCTCCTCAAAAGGACTAGAGTTGTGTATAGATCGAAAGTACGGGTAGTCGCGTTGCGACGACGTTATGCGACCTGGGGCGGAATTCGCTGCATGTGAGGCAAGCGGCGTAGTGAGGGCGCGGTGAGACTCGTGTGCGGGATAACGAGTGCGGAATTATGGCGTCGACAAGGTTGACGATGCTAGAGATGATCAAAGGGTGCTAATAGATGCTTAAATACTGCAGCCGCCGATTATGGGTATGGAGTGTAGTTTGACCAAAACATGGTGGTGGTGGTTTGGTGTCCTGCAAGTTCGCGACCAGCCCTGTGGATCTGGAGCTTGTTATCACGAACAACGGGAAAACACGTGACATCAGAACGCGGTCTCACGTTTTGCATGTGAAGACAGGGCGGCGTAAATTGCAGAATATGAATTTCCTTCCTAAAACATTATGTATCGTGCACCATGCAGCAAATGATAGCCCGACGCACGTCGCCACCAAAGACCCAGGAATTGGTATACGCTATGCTGAAAATCATGAAGCATCACACACGTCTTTTACATTTCCTCCACATATTACCAGCCTCGTCAATTGTAGGCTCCTGCGCCTGCCACAGTGGGCATTGGCCAGTCATCCTCAGTGATGCTGGACCAGAACACCCACACCATTATTACTGCCAGTAGGGTGAAGAGCGACTCAAAGAGTCCTCCGTTGATTTTTCCGTCAGTGCCGTTGCAGATATGCACGCTGATGACATATTGGAAGATTTGTCCAATGGCAAAGAGGAGCGCTGCACCGATCAGGTAGACTAGGGCTTTGTCAGTCAAGGTTGTTACGGCCTTAGAAATTATGTTTACTCACGCATCGGCTTGCGCTCTCCGAGGATGCGCAGGACTAGGAATGCTTCTAACAGGAAGAATATCACGAGGAAGACCAGGGGGACGAGCTGGTATAGAGTGTACAAGGCATATGCCTGGTTGGGCGTGCCGAGAGTATCGTCCCAGTAGCCGGTCCAGCTGAAGCCAGTGTCGAGCGCAATGTAGCCGGTGCCGATGAAGATCAGCAGAGACGAGATGAGAAGCAGACCAATCGATACTGCAGTGCCGTCATCGAGGAGCTGGTAACCGACAGCGCCATTCAGCATGAGTATCCAAGACGTTGCTGTAATGGCGGCGATGTGGATTGCGACGAAGGCCTGTGCGGGTGTTAGATATAGCCAGGTGAAGCTATAGGGTGAGAACGTACGAGGCGCACGGTGCTGTTCAGCGGGAAGCCTCCGATTGTGAAGATTTCGCATATAGAGATGATGATGTAGCCGAGGAGGAAGAGTTGCATTTCTCTGTTCGCTGTCAGTGACCAGTCGCGACAACGGCTCCGTAGTCCTTACCTCCTCCCAACAGCAGCCTTCTTCCTTTGCGATCTCCATATCAGGAATGCGGTGATGAGAATTGCGACGGCATCGATGAGTATCGACCCTGAACAGGTCAGCTTGGGACAATTGAGAGCGGGTGCATGCACTGACCTAAATTGCGGAGCCTGCTTTCACCTCCGACACTGAAGCCTTGGAGGGTGCATCCTCCCCACCCTTGGTCCAGGCGTGTGGTGGCTTCGTTGAAGAGCTACAAAGGAGGCAGAGGTTAGCGTCGCGCGCGTAGAAAACAGCACGGGTTGGGCAGGGCGACGTACATAGCATACTAGAAGAGGTCAGCGTATATTCAGATAGAGTGCGGTGCAGGAGTGGTGCAGTACGGACCTGGTAGGGTGGACCAAGTATCGCCTGTGTCGCGACAGAAGTCGTCGAATTTCCCGTATCTGGACATGGCTGGCTACAGCAGCGCGCAGCCTCGCGTTGGGAGCAAGTCCAGGAGAGCGATGGTCGACGGCAGTGAAGGTATAGGGCAGCGATGTGGCCGCGTGCGGTGACGGTGTATCCAAGATAGGTAATGGCGGTGAGTGTGACTATGGAGGTGCAGGTGGTGGCAGTCGGCGGTGCGGATTGAGAGATGATGCGCTGCAGCGTGGCTGGGGGGGAGGTGCGAAACAGAAACTTGGAAGTTCCAAGTTGCCAAGCGGTTACTGCGGCGGGATGGTGTGGCTTGAATTGCTGGCGCCGTTGGCCAAACCAACAACGCGCTATCTACCGCTTTGTCAACGCGAGGAGGGTGTGACTGGGAGCACGGCAGCGCGGTCGGACGGGTGCGAGAGGATTTCTGTGTTGCCCTCGATGCAGCGCGCACCCTCTTCCTCTTGAGGCTTTGCGTCCTGTTGCATCCTCAGGAGCAGCCAGGACGCAAACCCTCAAGGGTAATCAAAGATGCAGCCAATCGGCGCCGAGGTCGAGCGCGGGCTAACGTGTTTCAGAAGCACCATGTCCGCGCCAGAGCAAGCCACAGCCTTGCAGGCGAGCAGAACGCATAAACTCTGCTCATGATGGTAGATGAAGTTTGCAAATCATGTTTCTATTCGAGTACAACACCAATTTGCCTCGACGAGTGTGCAAATAGTCGACACAGATTCCGCCGACTCGACTCGTCATGCGCTTCACGGCGGCCAGCATGTGCAGCGACGAGCTAGGGACCGTTTCGTGCCCAAACGCCCTCTGATGTAGCGCTGCACCTTCCAGACGCCAGAGGAGCTTGCTCGTGTCGCGTTACCTAGGCGATCCAGCTGCTAGCAGCGTTTCTTCACCCGCTGCGTGTGCTGTCCTCAAGAAGTCAAGAATCAAAAGGAACGAAGCTGCACTGAACAGCCTCCCATCCTATGCATCAGCGGGTTTGTGCATGGACATGATTGATGCCCGTCTTGGCTGATGCCGTCATGCGCCAGGCGGAAGAATACCCATCGCTTCCTGCAGGCACACAGCGTCTTCAGTCCAGCCGCGTGCAGTGCGTCAAGCAGGCAATGCTCCGCTCCGCTAAACACAGCGGCTGCGAAATGCTGTTTCGTTTCGCATCAACACACTGTCAGTATGCGTTTCGTATGGCGGAAGAGTCTCGCAGTCATGAATGGGCCATGGCAGTCGCGAGGCGGGTGCACGTGAAGATCGCCTCCATGTGCCGCCTCTCGCGCTCGCACCCAAGGGAGGTGGAGATGGAGGTGGAAGTGGATCAGCCTCGGACCACTGACCGCGCATGCGATCCGGCGGCCTGGTAGTTTTGGTCGCTTGCGATGCTCGTCAGATAAGGTTGTTGTCGTCAAGTCAGGGTCCAGATGAAAGAGCGCAGCATGGTGACTTTTCTGCGTTATCAATCACGTAGCGCAACCAAGTACACACGCACAATGTGTACCCCGATCGGAACATGCTTCCCGCTGCGGTGAATGTACATCATCGCGCAGGCATCTCCCCTTCGTCACCACAAACTAACGCCGAATGCGGTCGGGCCGAGTCGCCAAGCTGTCCATCTCCATGCACCCATCTATCCCGTCAGCCAGACAGGGACCACAGCTCAGTTGATGCACCCACTTGCTTTTCAGTTAGTTCCGCCCGTTTGATCACGAAGCACACTATCGTGCTCCTCCAGACCGCCGACCGACAAATGTGACCGCCCTGCCCTTGACCGCTCTAGCCTTACTTGCTCGCTGCCGACCCTGTGACGTGCCACCACAGCGGCCGCATTCTTTCGCTCCCCCACAGAACCACCCTCTTGGAGTCGGGCTGCTCCGCATCAGCCTGCAGTTTTCAAGATTTCTTCTTCGCAGAGCAACAGGAGACCGGCCAACATCCCCCTCCATACCCTATCCTCGTCAGCACGGCCGCGCGAGCGAGATTCCGCTTATCTGCTCGACGAACAAGATAAGGACAGCGCACGCTCGTCCTTCGACACCCCGTCTTCAGAGTCCGACCTCTCGCTCTGGAGCGACACCGGTGACCTCGTCGACCAGCTCGCCGACCAAGAGGACCCTCTCCGCATCCGACTGCGCGATTCTCTTGAAGAAGGCCACCTCCCCAAGCATCGACGCCAGCAAAAGCGGGCCCGCTTCCAGTCACAGGACGGCCTGAACGAGAAGGGACCCGGATCCATCAGGAAGGAGGACATTGACATACCTGACCCGGGACCACGAACCATCTCCAAAGCTGAGCAGATACTCGCTGCCATCATGGCGCCCAACGACAGGCCCTCCCGTATCCACGGGCTGCACGGGAAGAAGCTAGTGTTCGTCCGATTCCAGCTCTCATAGGTTGATTAGGATACTGACAGTGGCAGCTACTTCACAAGTATATTCGTATCACTTGGTGTTTTCCTGTTTGGTTACGACCAGGGAGTCATGTCCGGAATCATCACGTACGCCGCCCCGAGCCCCCCACCACTCGAGCATATCTGATCATCCAATACAGGGGAGTCTACTTCAAGGACTACTTCAACCAGCCCACCGCTGCCGAGCTAGGTACCATGGTCGCGATCCTCGAGGTCGGAGCCTTCATCTCCTCACTGGTGGTAGGCAGGATAGGAGACATGATCGGAAGACGCAGGACCATTCTCTACGGCTCCCTCATCTTCATCGTCGGCGGTGCTCTCCAGACATTTGCAAATGGAATGCCCATGATGATGCTGGGTAGGATCATTGCTGGTCTTGGTGTGGGAGCTTTGTCGACCATTGTACCAGTCTACCAGTCTGAAATCTCGCCGCCCCACAATCGAGGAAGAATGGGATGCATTGAGTTCACCGGTAACATTGCCGGATACGCCGCGAGCGTTTGGGTCGATTACGCTTGCACATATATCAAGGGACACTGGTCCTGGCGAGTCCCGTTGTTCATGCAAATCATCATGGGAAGTCTTTTGGCTGCTGGAAGCTTGCTCATCTGCGAGTCCCCACGGTTGGTGTTCCGCAATCTAATCGATTGAATGTTGCTAACAAGCATAGATGGCTCCTGGACAACGACCACGACGAAGAGGGAATTGTAGTCATCGCTAATTTGTATGGCAAGGGCGATATCCACAACCCAAAAGCTCGTGAAGAGTACCGTGAAATCAAGATGAACGTGCTTCTAGGACGACAAGAAGGTGAACGATCGTATGCCGACATGTTTAAGCGCTACTCTAAGCGCGTGTTCATCGCCATGTCTGCACAAGCCCTCGCGCAACTTAACGGAATCAACGTCATCTCGTACTATGCGCCTCTTGTCTTCGAAGAAGCTGGCTGGATGGGTCGTCAAGCCATTCTTATGACTGGAATCAACGCCATCACATACCTTCTGTCGACTATTCCACCTTGGTACATTGTCGATACGCTAGGTCGTCGTAAGATTCTTCTATCTGGAGCGCTCATGATGGTCGTCTCATTGACTGCCATCTCTTACTTCCAATTTTTGCAAGCGAGCTGGACACCAAACATGGTCGTTATTTTTGTTATGATCTACAACGCCGCGTTTGGATATTCATGGGGGCCCATCCCATGGCTGTACCCACCAGAGATCCTGCCACTCAGTATTCGTGCCAAGGGTGCTAGTCTGAGTACTGCTACCAACTGGGCTTTCAACTGGCTTGTAGGTGAGATGACACCGATTCTGCAGGAGCGTATCCAGTGGCGTCTGTATCTCATTCACGCTTTCTTCTGCGCCGCTAGTTTTGTTATTGGTAAGAGAAACTCTGATCCGCTGCTCTTCATCTCGTGCTAATTTGTGCAGTCTACTTCATCTACCCGGAAACCGCAAACGTGCGCCTTGAGGATATGAACTCCTTGTTCGGAGATGCCACCTCCGTTATGCCAACGCCGAGGACCCTCGCGGAAGCGGAATCTCTCTTCAGTGGCCACGGCCGTGGCTCTCCAGTTCCATCTCTCGACATTCGAAGCAACCGGGCAGCGGACCAGGCTATCCCAGGGCTCAACATTGAACCGCCTGAGCTTGAAGACGGAGGTCGGGCCATGTCTACGAAGGCTGATGGCGAAGGTGAAGGTATTGGTGGCTGGATCTCCAACATGGTCAAGAGAACGAAGGGCAACGGAGAGGGTGATAGCTCAAGTGGAAAGTACAAGCGGGTGGGACAAGACGAGAACTAACCACACACGCGCGGTCTCGGCAAACGGCATTTTTACATATTCTGGCATATCTCCATGATTGGCACTGCAGCGACAGGCCTTGATATCCAGGAGCGGCTCCGCTCCATACGCGATTTTGACTTGGTGAAGGCGCATAGCATCTGTTAGCGAGGAGGCTCACCCCTCTTGTACTGTATAGAAGAGACGGTAGATACGGGTTGATTAATTGGAGCTATTGTAAAAGCGAATATAGACCATTATCTGCAATGCTTGTCTGTGAGACTTGGAAGGTGCTCATCTCAGTCTTCGTTGTAACTCACTGGGCAAAGTTGGTTGTCATTATCACGTGCAATTGCTGGTTACCATGCGCAAAATTCCAGGTAGTTCCAAGACCACGATTACTAGAGTATCTCCTCTTACCTGTCTTGGAAATGTAGCTCGCGCTTGGCTTAGTTGGGGTCGGCGCCATTCACGTCACGTGAAATCAATATGACAGGTGTTCACGTTCCGGACGCGCAAGCGCAAGGGCCAACTTTCAGCTCCCCATCGAACTATTTCGGGGATACGATACAGCCCACCACCTCCTTCGACAACCGCAGCGCAGGGGTAGCCGTGCCTTGCTTTTCCAACCATTGGGACACTTTTCGTTCCTCCCACTTCCTCGTCAGGGACACGATTCCCTTTCTTTAATTAATCCTTCCCACATCCAGGGTCCTTTCCTTTTATCGCTGCAGCTACCAGCAGAGCTCTAGCCTCGACAGCCGACCAAGCTGTACGTGCGAGCACCCTCCACACATCTTGCACCACTGCAAGAACCGTACCTGGCACTGCAAGCAAATACACCTTGGCTGCAATCATGACAACTGCGGCGCGCACAACGGGTGCGGAGGCACAGTCGGAGGAGCTGCGGAGGAGAAATGTAGCCTCACAAGCGGAGACTACTCCCGTAGTAGCAGCAGCGCCTACGAGGGAGAAGTCCAAGGAGAAGGTAAATTCTACACGTCAGAGTTGACGGGAGCCCGTACAGAAGCTTGTAAACTAATTCGCTGCCAGGCGTTTGACATCATCTCCTTCCTCGACGAGTACGAATTCATTTGGGCACCGCTCATCTTCACCTTCTTTGCCTTCTTTACCCGCATGTATAAGATTGGACTTTCGCCAATTGTTACCTGGGACGAAGCTCAGTAAGCGGGACTGCACAGAATGCATAGCACGAGCTGACCATGATAGTTTTGGCAAATTCGGATCTCACTACCTCAAGCGCGAATTCTACTTCGATGTCCACCCTCCGCTCGGAAAGATGCTCGTTGGTCTCTCGGGATACCTCGCAGGATACAATGGCTCGTTCGAGTTCAAGTCTGGCGAGACTTACCCGGAAGAACTCAACTACACCTTCATGCGTCTCTTCAACTCCGCTTTCGGTGCCGTCTGCGTTCCTCTAGCATACTTCACCGCAAAGGAGCTGAACTTCAGGAGGCCAACCGTCTGGTTCGTCACTCTGGCCGTCCTCTGCGAGAACTCGTACACCACCATCAGCCGCTTCATTCTTCTCGACTCCATGCTCCTCTGCTTCACCTTCACGACAGTCTTCTGCTGGTCCAAGTTCCATCGCCAGCAGAAGGACCCGTTCTCGCCTGAGTGGGGTCTATGGCTGATGCTGACTGGTGTATCGATTGGATGCGTCTGCAGTGTGAAATGGATTGGTTTCTTCGTGACTGCCCTGGTCGGACTCTACACCATTGAGGATCTCTGGAACAAGTTTGGCGATCTTAAGATGCCCAAGATTGAGCTATTCACACACCTGGTCTTCCGTGTCTTCGGTCTTATCCTCATTCCTCTAGCGGTCTACACCTTCAATTTCTACTTGCATTTCCTCATTCTGGAGAACAGCGGACCCGGAGATGCTCAGATGAGCTCGCTCTTCCAGGCCAACTTGCGCGGAACCGAGGTCGGCAAGGACAGCCCACTTGAGGTCGCATATGGCTCTCGCGTCACCCTGAAGAACATGGGTTACGGTGGCGGATTGCTCCACTCTCACGTCCAGACCTACCCAGAGGGCTCCATGCAGCAGCAGATTACGTGTTACCACCACAAGGACGCAAACAACGACTGGTTCTTCTACCCCAACCGTCATGAGGTTGACTACCAGCCCGATGAGGAGCTTCGATTCCCCAAGGACAAGTCTGTCATCCGATTGATTCACGCGCAGACCGGCCGAAATTTGCACTCTCACGCAGTTGCTGCACCTGTCACCAAGGCCGACTGGGAAGTTTCTTGCTATGGCAACACCACCGTTGGCGACACAAAGGATCATTGGGAGATCCAGATTGTACGCGATGCGGCTTCCAACGACCGCTCCAAGGTCCGTACACTCACCACTGCTCTTCGCTTCAAGCACGTGGATCTTGGGTGCTACCTTCGTGCTGGCAATGTCAACTTGCCGCAGTGGGGTTTCAAGCAGATTGAGACTACTTGTGTCAAGTCAAACAACCCGCGTGATGTGTACACTCACTGGAACATCGAGAGCCATGTCAATGACAGACTTCCAGCTGGTAATCCTGGTGACTACAAGTCTCCTTTCTTCCAGGACTTCATCCATCTCAACGTCGCCATGATGACCTCCAACAATGCGCTTGTACCCGATCCTGATAAGCAGGACGATCTTGCCTCTTCTTTCTGGGAATGGCCTTTTCTTCATGTTGGTCTTCGTATGTGTGGATGGAACGACGATAGTAAGCTTGCTGTACTTCGGATGTGAGATACAATGCGCTAACACATTATAGTCGTCAAGTACTTCCTCCTTGGCAACCCCTTCGTTTACTGGGGTAGCACTGCCAGTCTCGGCATCTTTGGTCTGATAGTCATTTGGTACACCGTGCGCTGGCAACGCGGTTACAATGACCTGAAGCAGGCCGACATTGACCAGATCCACTACTCCGGGTTATATCCTATCATCGGATGGGCACTGCATTACGTTCCCTTTGTGGCTATGGGTCGTGTTACTTACGTCCATCATTATTATCCTGCGCTCTGGTTCGCCATCATCGTGATGGGCTTCTGTGTTGATTGGGCAACCAGAGGACTGAACAAGAAGGTACAGTGGGGTATTTTCAGCGCCCTGTACGTTATCATCATTGGACTATACTGGCTCTTCAGGGCCATTAGCTTCGGTATGGTTGGCCCGAGCAGCCAGTGGTCGCACCTCAAGTGGTTCGATAGCTGGAGGATCACCGATTAGATGATGCAAGAGCGCAGTCCGAGGGCGACAATTCTTAAGAAAGGTTGCATTAGGGAGTGACCTGTTTTCCTTTGGCATTGGGAGCGCTCAAGGGTTCAATTGTACAACATCTTTCTGCGATTATCAATCTTCGAAAAAGGCTTCTAGGGACATGAATAGAGTGCATACATGTTAGTAACGGTTAAGCATGGGTGTTGGGCGGAGCTTTTAGCAGACGAATCTAGCGTAGGCTACTACATCATGCGATGAAATACCCACTCTTCGATTCATATGCCTTCAGCTCTTCACGCATGTGAGTTCTGACTGACAATGTGCTTCAGGATTAATCATCCCTGCAGCTTGCGGCGATCACAAGCCACAGCTTACCCCGGATTTGCGGCAAGCAACCCCACAATGTCATCTCACCATAAGCCGTCGATTCCAATGGTGTGGTTTACAAAGCACGACTATGGACCCTAAGACAAAGCCGACCATGACGCAACTTCCAGGCCCCAAAACAATGGCCTCTAGCACAAACCTTGCCAACATGCCGAGGTTCAAGTGTCCCTGAACCTTGACGACACGATCGGCGCGGGTCTGATCGACGGCGGGAGATGCGGAACCCAAGACCACCGTCCCTCTTGAAAGCCTGCGGATCCGCAGTATCTGTATCTGTACATGTACATGTACACGAACACTCAACCTCATACTGAAACCACCATTCATTCATCCACACCATGTCCATCGCACTGCGCCATGCATCCACGCTCGTAGGACACATTGCGCTCAACCCCATCGTTACTTCCGCGCTGCTATGGATCCTAACTAAGGCCCCTGTGAGCGTGCGCGCACGACTTACAGACAGGATTGCTATACTCAGGGATCCCCGCCGTGTGGAGCAGATTGTCAAGGCGCTGAAGTGGTGTCTTGCGTTTGGCGTTACGGGCGCGGTGAATCGGAAACTCAACCAAGTTGCGCTGAACGGCGGGCGCTGGGGGAGTGAGACTGCAAAGTGGGATTGGAGCAAGGAAGTGGCTGTTGTGACGGGCGGGTGTAGTGGGATTGGTGCGTTGGTTGTGAAAGGGCTGGTGGGCAGGGGAGTGAAGGTTGCAGTGCTAGATGTGAATGATCTACCTGCGAATATGCAGGGGTGTGAGTGTCTTCCCTTCACACATGGGAACACGCAAGCTGATACTGCCACAGATGCGCACATCAAATTCTTCCGCTGCGACGTCACCGAGCCAGACGCCGTGTATGCTACCGCGGGGGAAATCAAGACCTCCCTCGGCGCACCCAGTATCCTGATCAACAACGCGGGTATCCTGGGCACGCACACCATCCTCGCCACGCCCGACGCCTTCCTCAAGAAAATCTTCGAGATCAATGTGCTAAGCAATTGGTACACGACCAAAGCCTTCCTCCCGTCCATGATTGCGGCGAATAAAGGGCACATCGTCACCATCGCGTCCGCCGCGTCGTTCATTGGCGTCGCTGGCCTGGCAGACTACACAGCGACGAAAGCAGCCATTCTGTCGTTCCACGAGGGTCTCGCGCAGGAAATCAAACACCACTACAAAGCGCCGAATGTGCTGACAACAAGCGTGCATCCGAATTGGGTGCGCACGCCTTTGCTCGGACCCGTCGAGGAGGAACTCAAGAGTCGAGGGAGCGAGATATTGGAGCCGCAGTATGTCGCGGATAGGGTCGTACAAAGCGTGCTGAGTTGTAGGGGTGGACAGGTTGTATTGCCCGAGGCAGCAGGCAAGGTGGCGATGCTTAGGGGATTGCCGAATTGGATGCAGGAGAAGATTAGGGATGGGGTTAGTCAGACGATTTTGAGGAGTGCGGCGGTGAAGGAGTGAGACGAGGAAAGGGAGGCACGCTATTCGGTTGATATGTTGAAAAGGCTGCGCTCAATGGATGCACTCGTTGGTTTCTGATTGACCAGGAGATCAAGGCGTTGTGGATGGTTGGGGTTCTACAACGTTTTCGCCAGGCTGTCCTGCATGGTCCATGTAGCTTTCTTGACCAATGGGATTTGCTCTTGTAGTCCTTGCCTTTCACCCCTGTTTTGCTGTTAGATCGTTGTACAACCACGGCACTTCTCCGGGTACTCTGCATTTCCTCGAGGTGCTCCATCCAGCAATTTCTCTCGAAGCAGAGCTAGCATAGATGTATAAAGACATTTGCGCTTCTCACCTAAGCGTTTAAAAATTCTTCCGTCTGCTTACCACTCCACGGGGTCAGCAACGTCATTTCAAACGTGCGAATGAGTGCAACAGACAAGGCTCGTCACTTGGCTGTCCCGGGTGCCCGGCAGTGGTGTAGGGGAATGCATGCTTGGTGCAGACGAGACTGCTTCTTTGGGAAGGTTTTGGTCCAAGGTGTGGAAAACAGCATGCGAGATGCCGTCCGTGTTATTACTAAGGAACGCGTCGCGTGTCCCCACCACTTTACGGTCACGGACAGCAACAGTTGCACCACAACGCAAGTACAACAAACATACACTCAACGCCATGGCCGAAATAACTGATGATGCACAAATGGACACGCAGGATATTGAGCAGGAAACTCCGCCCGAGGATGTCTTCATGGCGCCGTCGATCCACAAGGCGGACGATCTTGCGGGAAAGTCATACTCGCACTTCTCAGATGTGCCGAAGATGATCGCGGACGACATGGCCAAGGAAGTCGTACTGGGCGTTGATGAAGCTGGAAGAGGTCCAGTACTGGGTATGCGATCCTCTGCACGTCTATGACCGCACAATATCTGACCGAAGCACCAGGACCCATGGTCTACGCACTTTTCTACTTGCCCGTCGAACTCCACCACTCATTGCTCGCCGATACCCACCACTTCGACGATTCCAAGAAGCTGACGCCGGAAGTCCGCTCAGATCTGATGCGCCGGATCTGCACGCCGGGCACAGATCTGTATGAAGCTGGAGGATGGGCGACGCGATCACTATCCGCACAAGACATCTCCGCACACATGCTGTCGCCGAATGTATACAACCTAAACGCGCAGGCAATGGATGCGACCATCGACCTCATCAAAGAAGTTTTGGCAAAGGGTGTCAATGTGACGGAAATCTACATCGACACTATTGGCAGGCCAGAGACCTACCAGAGGAAGCTGGAGAGGATATGGCCCACTATCCGCATCACTGTCGCGAAGAAGGCCGACAGTCTGTACCCCGTAGTCAGTGCCGCCTCGGTGTGCGCCAAAGTCACCCGAGATGCGGCCATCAACGTATGCTACGCGCCCTACCACAGCCGCGCCCTAGAGGCGGGCACGGCGGCGGAGAACGCAAAGGTCAATGTTGCTTGGGGCTCAGGTTATCCTAGCGATTCCAAGACTTCGACATGGTTGAAGCAAAACATGGACCCGTTATTTGGTTGGGGCAACGAGTGCCGCTTTTCTTGGGGCACTGCGAAAGAGCTGCTTGAAGGCAAGAAGCCCGACGTCAACGTCGACTGGCCGATTGAAGACGACGGCAACGACATGCGCATGACCGATTTCTTCCTGGGCAAGAACGACACCGCTGGAGACGAGCTCGTCGACTGGTTCGGGAAGCGTGTGACGGAGGAAATGGAGGTATTTTGACCACAGGCGGTGAGAAATTGCAACTACCAGCGACCCACACGCTTTGGCCAACAGACCAAGACGCACCGAAGCACGCGAAGCACTTTTGCGCAATGACCAGCACAGAAAGCTACGGACGCTTGCGTGGAGAAATGTAGTCCGGGATGCAACGCTGCAAGTCACCAATAGGGTCTTTTCAGCATGCGCTCGCTTCGCCGCCGGGCATAGACCGAACGCCGAACAGGACCAACCCAACACGCTCGGAGGTTTTGATCATCTACCAGGTATCGAACAACAGCTAGGCGCACATACTCGGCAGTAATGTCATTGTGCGTACGTAGCGTTTTTCCTGGGTCCGTGAGGCCGGGGTTCAACAACGCGGCGCGGTTTAGAATAATATCTTCCGATATCCTCACACCAACAGGCACATTATCATCATTATCATCTCCTTCTTTCGACTGTCTTTTCGGTAGTGAATTCACGTTCTTTTAGGTTTTGGCGTCTTCGACTGTGTACGACTTGATTCATTGAACGTGCAGGCCACAAGCCATCACCAGTCAAAGCTTGCGTTGGTTGTTGCATAGAACGCTTTACGCAACCATCGTCAACCGCCTCGATACACGATCGAGGGTGTTTTCGTAGCTTGAAGGGCGGGCCTGCGCCACGTCCGTGTCATAGAATTTGCTCATCAGCGGCACAGAATACTGTTAGGAACTGCTACAACCACGAAGAATCTCATACGGCACAAGGCCAGAAGAGGAGGAATCTAAAGTTCGGAGCTCGTTTGTCAAATGTGTGTCATACTTCCAGTCAGCCACATACCCTGCACACATACAGTTGCGATATGGCAGCACTGCATCGATGCCACCCGATCCGGTCGAAATGGAGTAAAGCCCTGCTGGAACGTTAAACAGCATGAGAAATCTGTCATCACCCGCAGACTATGTGAGGACTGTAGTGGCCAGCGCTTCTTCGCGCGGCGAGGCGGCGTCGCTGAGCGCGGCAACGGCAGTCCCACACCTTCTCCTGCAGCAAACGACTCCGCCGACGACTCAGGCTACCACAGCGACGTCATCCACGAGGAAGACGAGGCTTCAGATCGCGATGAATGTCCCTTGTCTCCCAAAGCACTGGCGCCACGCACCAAGCCCAACAAACAGCGCAAACGTACCTCGTCCAACCACCACTCTTTGACGCGCAAGCCCAGCTGGAAGCCCAACCTCAAACGCGAGCTCGACTTCGAGTATGAACCCGTCTTCTCATCCCACCGACGCGACTCAATCGACTCACTTATTTCAAACTTCGATGCCACAGACGTTGCCGCGAGCATGGACACGACGCGCCGACCACCCACGCCCTCGCGGAAAACGAGGGCTGAGACGCTCTTGCATCCTTCCTCCCCGACAAAAGCGAGAAACACACCATTTCCTCAAAGCCCCGACGTACACCATTCCTCAGGCTCGCCCAAGCAGAGAAAGAACTCGACGCTCTTACACCCTTCATCACCCACAGAGGACACGAAGCGCAGACCAAGTATCTACGCACGCAGAGGCTCGTCGCTATTACACCCTTCTCTACCCACGGAGCCAGTGGCTGTGACACAGCTGCATAAAACTGTCCTCTCGGTTCCACCGCGCCGCGTGCCCCTGCTGCACACGAGCCACTCCGAGCCGCAGAGTGCGACGATGGCGACGCAGAGGAGGAAGAGCGTGTTGCATTCGTGCTTGTCGGATGGGGAGGACGAGGGGGAGAGGGATAGGCCCGTGTTGAGGCTTGGGCGGAGGAGCGAGAATGCTGGGGATAGACGGTATGAGGGGGAAGTGGAGGAGGCGATGATGCGGACGGCGAGGGTGGCGAGGGAGAGTCGGAGTGGTGGGAGGGCGGGTAGGGGGAAGTGGAATTATCATTGAGTGTGTGATGGAAAGGAGAGATTTGCTTTTCACTCTGGACGATGTTCATGACTACTTTGGCGTTTGCTGCATATAGCCAAGGCGTTACTTGCTGGTTTCAAAGCGTAGATGTAGGTGTAGATGTAGATGAAATCTGTACGACGACCAACATTGTCCTTATGCACTCAAGTGAAGCTAGTGGTGCGCATACCTCAAGAGCTATCATCACGACCACTCCACCCCTCCCAATCTCTCACCCACGTTTCAAGACTGCAATAAATACATTATCATTCTCTCAATACATGATTCCATGCCCTGCCTACCACAAAATCCACATCCCCCATCTAGTACTCCGCCAACTTCAACCGTCGTCCGATATTCCTGCGTATCACCTCCCGCTCGGCAGCGGGATCGGCCTCGCTTCGGTTCGCTTTGAGCGCTTGTTGCAGCATGCCTGCGTCGAAGAAGCCATCTAGGAGAAGAAGGAAAAATCAGCGAATGAAATGTAAAGAAAGGGATGGGGGTTTTGTGTAGTTGTGGAGAGGGGATGGTGAAGTCAACGTCTCGATATGCGTCCAAGCAAAGGAAGAAAGAAACATGGGGTATGTGCTATGCATGTGCCACAAAAGAAAACAAGGGATATGCAGGAAAACAAATCAAGAGGACGTAAAAGTATGCCGCCCAACAACCACCCTCTTACACTTCCTCAGTCTTTGATCGCTCACAAAGACCGCCGTCATCGGTTTGAACGGAGGCGAAGAAGGCGGCGTAGGTGGCAAAGAAACAGGCATCAAGACGTCAACTTCATCCAAGGGGGTAATGGAAGCGGGAGGGGAAGGGGGAGTCCTACATCCACCGAGTCCATCGTCGTCTTCTTCATCGACGATGCTTTCACTGGGCGTTGCCGTCTTTCCGGTTTCTCCGAGGATGATGCGACCGCGGCTCTTCATGCGGCTGGCGCTGGGTCGGTCTTCTGCTTCGCGGGCGCGGGAGGCGGTCTTGTCGGCCGAGGTTCCGCGGCGCTTGATCTGGCGCAGGAGTTTCCGGATTTCGAGGAAGTATGATTCTAGGGCGTCGATGTAGCGCGAGGTTTGGCGGTGCTTGGAAGATGCGCAGATCGAGATGCTGCCGTCTTTGATAATGTATCCGATACCGAATCCGTCTGCTGACGTTGGCCCGAAGCCGAACTGGCGGAGCGAAGGGTTACCACAGTTTGAGGTGGAAAGAATGGTGTTGTTGATCTTGTCCCAGCCCGGCGTCGGCGAACAGGGCAGGCATGGAGTGCTGCATTGGTGCTGGTGGCGAGCTGGAGATGGAGCCGTTTTCTGAAAGGACAGAGTTCCGCTTGGGTGAGGCAACGCTGGAAGCATCGGGACTGGACGGACGAGTCGAGTCCCAGCCATCGCTGCTGGAAATCTCGTTAGAATCATCAATTGCACGTTGCCATATGCAGTACAGGGCGTATAGGTGACGATCTGGTCCTTCTGCCTTCGCACATATCTTTGTGTTCTCGGTGTGCTTCTTGCAAGCTTTACGCAGAGCCTCGATCTTTTCTGCTGCTGGCTTCTCGCCCCAGAAGGTCTTCAAAAACTCAGCAGACTCTTCCGTCACAGAGCGAATAGCCTCGGTCCGTCCATGGTAGAAGACTTTTGTCATTGCTGGCTCGTAGACACACTCAACTCTACCGTACAAGCCAAAGTAGGCAGCCTGGAACGCCATTTGCACGAAGGCGTCAGGAGAGAAGCCCATCGAGGTCATAAAGTTCTTTCCATAGTGGGGAAACTCCAGAGTTGCGAACTCATTCTGCTGAATGAGATCGGCCAGGCGAGTTTCCGCAAATCGTAGGGCAGTGCTGAGCTCTGGCACCATGTCCCATTCAAGCTTATGGGGAGTTGTTTGGACGTCACCAAAGCTATCGGGGTCCCGTTTCGCCGGATCGGGACTACTTGACGCCCACAGACTGGGTGCACTGCCATTGATGGTCCGGGCAAAGCGAAGGATGGTATCAGTGTAAACATCCGAGGCAAAGCGTAGAACGGTGTGGCCATCGACACCGGTGTGCTCGAAATTGATACCTGCACTTCCGTTCTTACAGACGATGATCTGAAGCTTGTCGTACCATCGATTGGTGCAGGTACCAACCTGAACACCTCGTTCCACTTTGCTGGTACCACATAGCATGTTCATACACAGATCAGCACCTGTTTGGGGCTCGGTATAATCCAAACACAAAATGAAAAGGGCCGAGTCGACAATGTTCAGACTGTCGGAGTTGTTCGAACCTTCTTCCCGGTGGAGAACATCGCGAAGTCCGGCCCAGGTTTTCCGGTTCTCCGTACTCAGCACTCCCAGCGCTCCCTTCGCAGCGTCTTGGATGGGCATTTCTTGTGCATCCTCAACAATAACTTGCAGGTTCAGTGCCACATCTTTTTCGCTCATGATCAGGTCGTTATTGTCATCGAGAACATCAAACCAGTAGAACTGGCCATAGCACATGACAACAATGTGCTTCGACGTTGGATCCTGGCCAATCTGGCATCCATTCTCAGTCGGTATCCTAGCGGTACCAAAGAGTCTTGAATACTGGTACATGCAGAGCGGCTGCCCCCGAATTGTGTCAGGTGGTAACTCTTCTCGGCGTACTGCTCTGACGAATGAAAGTGCCGAGACCACTAGCGAGGCTGCACGTGTGACCTGGTTGTTACGAGCTGGTGTGGGATCGTCCTCCAGTAGGAAGAACGGGTTTAGATTAAGCACTACCGGATTGTCGAAATTCAGATATGAATCATACCCTAGTAGCAGCTCAGCACGTCTTCAACGATATCACATGTGTTGAGATAAGACACTCCAAGATTGGTCTCGCCGTCACAAAGTTCATAGAACAATATCAGGTTTGAGTGATGTGGATTACTTACAGAATTGTTCGATGTAGTTGGCCCTGGCACTTGCATATTTCTTGAGCTTCTCCTGGAGCACTGGTCCATCGGACTTCAAGAACTCTTGGATCGATATGGTGGTGTCGTTATGCTCCTTGGGCGATTGTAAAGGCTTCAAGGCGGCGACGTATTTTTGCAACGAGCTCTCAAGTTCTGGGATTGGAAGTTTGGGGAGCTTGTCTTGGTGGGCAAAAGTGATACCAGGCCGCGAGTTGGGATTGGTAGAGTGTGCCAGTGGTTCCCTTGCTTCGGAGGAGTAGGACTGAGCACTGTCTTTGGCGGCTTCTTGCGAACGGCCCGACCCGTTGACCTCTGGTGTTGACATCTTGGTGGCTGTGGCCAAGGTTGCGTCTAGGGAAGACGGCGGGGTGAAGGTATGGACTGCCATCGCGGGTAATGTCAGTTACGCGTAAAGAGGCGAAATGCAAGTGCTAATGGAGAGGAGCCGCAGGGCGCTGCGGTAAAAGTAGTGACAGTCTTGGAGACAGTAGGCCGGCATGAGTATACGAGCAATTCGCCGAAAACGTGGGAGTGTATGGCTTCAGTGGTCTCTTATAAGAGACGGGACGAAAGGGAAGTAGCGTCAGAGTGGGTCCACGAAGCAGCTAGGCATGTGAAACGTTCTGTGGGCTTTGTAATAACGGAGGATGTGATCCAAGCATCACTGGAGTAGCCGACCGCTCACACGGAACGTGACCCGCGAGATGCAGACGAGAGAGGTGAATGACCCGACGGCCTGAACCAACGAAACGCGGCGCAAGGAGATGCAACTTACTTAGTGGCGCCGAGCCTCTTCAAAATTGTAGATGGGATATGCTGGTGTCCTCAAAGAGCCACCGGTACTGCTGCTATCAGTGTAATGTCCTGTGTGACAACTTACCGTGCTCCTGTGCGTGCACCTGTACGCGTCTCCCAAGAAGCAGCAAGACGAGGATAAAAAGCCGGAAAAGTACTGCCGCTCTCAGAGAAGAGGTATAGCTGGACTGATTCGGCCAAGAGGATACGGAAATGGCGTGCGGCTGCTCCGAGGTGTACTAGGAACCCTGTTGGAGCGAGCTATCAGAGCCACGGACGAGTGGAAGCCTTGGTGGAGCACGAGCTTTAAGACAGAGGTAGACAGCAGCGTGGGCCTGGGTTGCCGGCTAATCGGAGTAATGCACTTGTTGGACAGAGCTATCTTGGAACGCAACACACGACCAGCAGCTTCTTGGTGCTGTGACTGACGATGGCTACAGAAGGTTCTCGACCTGGAGACGAGCAGCGCATGCGGTCATGGCTGGGAGACCAACTGGCGGACCTCAGGCGTCAATCACAGGGCCGTCCTTGGGGTCTTGGGACGACTGGGATGGTCTGTATGGCTGATGTGTGCCAACGCGTGGGGAAGCGGGGGAGTGGTGCTGGTGGTGACGTCGGCGCGGAGAAACGGAACCCCCACCATGGATGCGCGCATGCATGCAGTGCTTTCTTCGACCAAGGTCAAGGTTCCAGCCACACACACACGTCCGCCACGCATCGCGCCGCCACCGTCCACCACGCATCCTTCGTGACTTTGTCCAGCAAGGACCGGGCCCGGAAACCGTTGCGCGTGCCATCCGCAGAGCCGCGCAAATGCTAGACACTAGGGACCCATGACGGACCTGCTGCAGGTCCTGCCTGACGCCTTTGACACGAAGCCATATTCGCATCTGCTGCCCTCGCTCGACAAGGCCCTGATCACCACCAACGACCTGCTCACGCTCGATGCGACCGATGTGGCCAAGCGTGCGCAGCTCCCAGCCGGGGAGCTGAGGAAGCTGACAGATGCTGTTGTAGCTGCCCTGCACCGGCAGCTTGGCTTCGGAGGACAGGAATCTCTCGGCAGTGCATCATCGTCTGGATGGAGCAAGTCTCTCCACGCGGAGACAGACTGGGACTGCATCAGCACTTTAGATGAAGAGCTTGATGCCGCTCTTGGCGGCGGCATACCCCCTGGCTACCTGGTAGAAGTCACTGGCGAGAGGTAAGACATGCACACTTGCCTATACTCCCGCATATATTGCTCGAAACGACTCGATCATCATCACCGTGATTGGTAGCGTAGACTGACGACATCTAGTGGTGCCGGTAAAACGCAGCTGCTCCTCACCCTTCTGCTGGCTGTCCAGCTGCCGCCCCCGTACGGCCTCGCCAAATCAGCTGTCTACGTATCGACCGAAGCGGTCCTCTCGACCAAGCGTCTTGCACAGCTCCTCTCCTCTCATCCGGCCCTCGCTTCAGTATCCACCGATGAGAAGCCGTCTCTCTCCAAAATCCTGAGCATCCAGACCCCAGATCTCGAATCACAAGAGCACATTCTGCGCTACCAACTACCGGTGGCGATCAAGAAGCACGGAATTGGCCTCGTCATAATAGACTCGGTTGCGGCAAACTATCGCGCAGAGTTTGAGAAGAAGGGTGCGAACAATGGCGCTGCGTCCATGGCCAAGAGAGGCACGCAGCTGGTACAGTTAGGTGCGCTGCTACGAGAACTAGCCCGCACAGAAGGCATTGCAGTCGTTGTCGCCAATCAAGTCGCCGATCGTTTCACCAGGGCGCCGTCTGCTGCTGCTTCAAACGCCGTCTCCAGAACCACGTCCACCAACAGCCAAGGCAATGCTCGCGAACTTACACCTCAGCCGTCCTGGCAAGCTCAGCCTGAGGTCGGCTTGCTCCTGTCTCCCGATCCACTTGCTCTCGACCACCAGCAGAAATGGTTCACAGGCTGGGGAGACCAGCAGTATGAGCCGGAGCAGTCGCAAAAAACACCCTCGTTGGGCCTTGTCTGGACAAATCAGCTTGCCTGCCGCATCGCGCTCATAAAGAAACCCGTGTTCGCAAACAGACAGCAAACCACCACCGTTAATGGCGAGGAGCAGTGGAACGAAGAAGAAACCCACATTTCGAAATGGCGCCGCTGGATGAAAGTCGTCTTCGCACCCTGGACGCCACCGTCAGATGACCGAGGCGTCGAATTCGAAATCATATCAAGTGGAATGAAGCACATAGCAAAAGATAAATAGAACCAATCATATATTGTTTTGAGTAGATGAATAAAAAATCTTCATTGAAACAACAACATGGCAACTTCTATGCTCCACTCTATTTCTTTGGTGAAAAAAAAAACTTAGACCCAGAGAGAAGGAAGAAGAAGAACAAGGAAAACTCGCGGGTATATGCGCTGACCTGTGCCAAATTCGAAAACTGCAACTGCAACTTGCGCTTTTTTTCCATCGCCCAACCAAATAGAAAGAAAAAAAGGGAAGTGAATACAATGAAAAAGAAGAAAAAAAAAAGACATCAAACATAAGAGAAACACGTTAAAATCATCCGTCAACAGGCACAGGCGGCAATTCCTTCTCATGCCACGGCACCGCCGAGTCCTTGCGCGCGCGCTCAGGCTTATACGTCGTACTCGGCAGCGTGACCGTCGTCGACGTCGTCGTCGTCGTAGTCGTCGACTTCTTGCGCTCCGGCTCGTACTTGGTGCTCGGCAGCGTGAGTTTCGGCGGCTCGTATTTGGCTGCAGACAGCGTCGTTTTGGCGACATCTGCGTCGTACTTTGTTGACTGGAGCGTGGTTTTCGCCAGGTCGGCTTCGTATGTGGTCGCTGGAAGGGTGGTTTTCGCTACATCGCCCTCATATATCGTTGCAGGGAGTGTTTCGCCGGCGCTGAATTTCGCTGCGGGGAGTGTGGTTACGCTGTTGCTGCGCGAGAAGTCGTATTCGATTGCGGCCAGCGTGTCGCGCCTGTCCCATGCGGGCACGGCGAGGGAGTCCTTTGTGGAAGTGTGAAGTTTCCTAACAACAGGGGAATTGTTACCTGGTGAGGAGTGGCTGGGGAGCGTGTATAGAAAGACCTGGTCGATTGCGTCGTCGATCTCGTCGAGGAGGTTGTGGTTCGGGCCCAGGCTTGATTCTGAGTGTGAGCGCGTGTCGAAAGGGGATTCGTTGGTAAATGTAAATGAGATTGGTCGCTCTTCGGGCGTGTATGAGATGCGCGGAGGGATGAGGGAGACGTTGCTTTCCTTGCGTACGTGCCCTCCGCCTGCGTTCGACGTGATCGGATTTTGTGATACACCGCCCCCGTAGGTTGTCGCGGGGAGAAGATACAGACTTGGTTCGGGCGCTGAGGATGACGGCTGACTGAAGCTGGCAGATTTCGGTGTATCGTTCTTTGGTGGTGTGGCCGGTCGGTCGCTCTCAGAGACGAGAGTGGAAGATGAAGAGAAGCCCGGTGATGTTATGGGGTCGCTATGACTTCGCGAGTGTTGCGAATGCGCGCGTGGAGAGTAGCGCGGCGATAGTGTATTGGTTCGGTGAATTGAAGTTGGTGTGGGCGCAGACTGAAGCTCAAAGCGCGGCGATGGCGACGGCGCGTATGGACTTTGAGGACGAGGTGAGCGGTAACCCCATGCACTGAAGTCGGGCGCTGGCGGTGAGAGGTAATCTGGCGGTGGAGCGATGAAGATGTCGCCAATGGCCATGCGCTCTCCTGGTTCGACGTTTCGTAGTGCTCGTAACCTTTCGTTCGCGAAGTTCGACTCTAGAAGATGTGCCTTCTCCACGAGCTTCTCCACTAGGGCTGCATGTGAGTCTTTGAATGTCCTCTTGACAAAGCCCATGAGTAATGATGAACATGTCATTGTGACATCTTCGCGAATATATATGCCGTGTCGTGGAGTATTAACGCCCTTCTTTGCTGTTTCTTTTGGCTCGCCGGGTAATGACCCGCCTACACTCCATTTGCCACGGATGTCAAGGCCAAGTGGCGCGTAGACATGTGTTTGAAGGCCTTCAGGTGTGTCGTGAAAGCATGCGTGGTAGGATACTGATCCTTGCGCGAGACCACCAGGTAAGTAAGAGACCTTGTCTTTGTTGAGTCAGTACAGCGTAGTCGCGTCATGAGAAGGGAAGCCTACCTTTGATGGTATACCAAGCCGCAAAATACTCTTCCGCTGGCGTATATGTTGGTGGCTTGCACTTGAATCTTTCGACAACGAGTGGATTTAGATCGATCATGGCCATGTGATCTTTGTACATATCGAGGACACTTTTCCTCCTAATGCCCGCGGGCAACGGCGTGATCGTCGTGAATGTGGTCGTCTTCGGCATTGTATCAATCTCTCAGATGTGACCCACTACAAGATTCCTTGTTCCAGAATGGTCGATTCGAGAGCTTCCTCGTTTGCAAAAAAATGGTTGGTGAGTACGCGCCGGTAAAGCAGAAGCTGGGGGGTACAAGAAGATGTTTGGACGACAGCGAAGGAGCAGCAATTGACATACTTGTTTCGCAAGCTCAGGCCAAATTCTCTTGGTGTGCTGATATTGTGTCATCTCTGTGCTTGAGCATTACCCCTTCGCCCAGTACCCCTGTGCCCTGATCTACAGGCCTCGAACGACAGCACAAACCCCCGCCAAGCAGCACGCCAATATTCATGGACGTTCGCACTTGGTGAAGGATTCCGGTTTCGAAGAAAACATACTTTCCCGATTGTTCTAGGGCAGCTCAAGTGCCGCTCTCGTCAGACGGGTTTCGCTATGGATGACACGCAGACACCGAGCTCCCGTGAAGATAGAGTTTGAGACACGTTGTTCTGGCCGAATCTTGCAAGAATCCAGGTGCCCAGAGGTAATCGCTGACAAGGCGGGATGGCGTTGTGTGACAGCTTTGGAATCGTGGAAGGACCCTGGCGCAGATCAGCCATTACAAGTTTGAGGCTAAGATTCACACTAAGACTGATGTGGCAATCACGATGATTCTTCTGCCGAACAACCTCGCCTCTCCATGTTCAAACTCACGATATTGTTACCAACGAAGAGCAATGTGCACTTCAAGTCGCAGTCAAATATGTTAGCGAGTATCTCTTCACTTGTCAGCACCTTGCGAACTTGCCATCGCAAGCTGCAACGCGCTTGCGTGCTTGCCTCCACCATTGCCGCTTTCCCGTCTCAAGCGCATCTTGTCTCTGCTGGGTTTCAGTACAGCTTCATCAGGCCATTTTTTTAGGCACTAAGCGATAGTGGGTCTCTTCCGTGTATCACGGACACGTGTGCGACCACGAAACAATTCTCACGACTAAGAGCAAAAATGTTTGAACCATCGCTTGCGCTACTATTTGGCATTGATGGCCGTTGTCTGGACCAAAGCCAAGCTCATCCTTCTCGCATTTAGATGCTATAACACTGCTTGTTATGCGGCATTGTTCGCACACGAAAGTGCCATGCTCGCTTCCTCCGTCCAAGAGAATGCGCTGAACAGTCATCGCAATGCGTGGTAAGAGGATTTGTGAGTACTTCGCAAATTGCACTTGGCTGTTGATGTACCCAAGTATAGCAGTATATTGTTACGGCCGAATGCCAATATGAACGGGCCAGTGCTTCCGTAGATACTGTGCACTTATACTGTACAGTGACCTCGAGGTCCCTGTGTATGAGCTTGTAGCCCTTCGCTTGATCTCATGTAGATTGCCGATCCGCTCAACGGTTGCACATCCTAGCTTCGGGCCTGATACGGAGCGATCAAGCTCGAAGTCACTGCGCCTAGGCGAATCCCTGAAGTCATGATGCAGAGACCGTTAAGCATCAATACATGGAAGCTGGCTCAAACAGTGTCAAAAATTTGGTAAGATTGGGTATGTACTAGAAGCGCTTATGAAGATACAGCCCTCGTCCTCACTATAGGTCAATTCAAAACCGCACGCCGCGATCATACCTGATGATCGGTTGCCCATCTGCGCCAATGAAGTGCATCACTCGTTTAGAACCGTTCATCAAACACCAACACAGTCGCTCGATTTATACACCCTGATGCATCTCCACTTTGCCCGTACCCATCGGTTGCCTCTTGCCGAAGGTCCCAACTGCTTCCACTCTTGACCATCTGGAACACGCCGAACCCAAAGGTGACCGCCCACATCAGCCAGTTCACTGCACTGATCGCTGTGCTTGCGCGTGCAACGTCGCACACAGTTCCGAAGCAGATCCGGTCGCTCAGGAAGACTGCTAGTGCGACGAACCCGCCGAACCAGTACAGCATCGTCAGGCCTTCGAGGACGAGGAGGCCGACCTTGGCGGCTTTTGATGAGAGCATGTGGGAGAATTTGAGCGGGACGACGATCAGGGCACCGAGTGCGAGGACGGTCCATGAGGGCGCGAAGATGAGGAAGTTCACCTCCATGGGTGACGATTGGCGCCAGTGTGTTGCCCACCACGATGATACTATTGCTAAAGTTAGTGGATGTATGAAGCTAAGAACGCATGTGGGACGGACCATATGCCATCAGACCCAAGACTGTGATGGAAAGCACGGCCTGTACGCCGCGAACAGGGAGAATCCAGTTGACCGCCATTATATCCTATTCTTCGTCTTTAATCGTGTGTAGTGGAAAAGGTCGTGTGCGTTCAGCGAAACCAGTTCCCAAAGCTTAGTCAATAACCTGTTGAGCGAGTGTCTAGAAAATATAAAATATGTTCAAAAAGGAGTGTGTGTGTGAGAGAGCCAAGGCAAAGTCAATTGAAGAAACAGGAACAAAATGCCACCGAGCGGGATGCCCTCAGGTGTATATCAAGCCTCAAAGCACTTCTCTTCCGCAGCCTGTTCGCCCATAGGGCATTTGACACCCGCCGCGCCTCAACCCCCACTAATTCTGCAATGCAATCCTCGGAAGCATGGCGATCCAGCATCATCCACCGTTCTCAATGCAAAAGTTTCATGCAACGCGTCGTCGATAAGTCGTGAGTGGTTGATGTCGCACATTCGCGTGGTATCGCGTTTCATGTATGGTCAGAGTCCTGTCGCGCATGAAGTGTGTCAGGTTCAGGGTGCGTATGATTGGTCGGAAGATGGGAATGCTGCACAGTCATGTACTGCAATATTAGACATGGAAACTGAGTGAACAGAGAGTATGGTGCTGAAGGTCTTGGTGTATTAACGAGCGTTCAAAGTCATTCATTGGTAATTGGGTCTGCTAGCATGTGCTCGGCTACTCGCCTTATTTAGGCTGTCAGAAACGTCATTTGTGAAATGTGATCTTCAAACACAGGGACCCATTAGTAACCGCGGAGACACGACACTGGAAGTATTTGCCGAACGCCAGATTTAATATCATTGCTCCATGACTAAGGTGGTCGAATTATACTATACACAGGTGCTCTTGGACAGTAAATCCAGAGCACACTCGCTATGCTTTTGGTACATTTGAGAAGTCATTCATTGCCCGTGAACGTACTGAGTCATCTTCGGCAAGGTGCGATGGCATCATGTGAGACCGAGTGAGCATTCCAGCATCGCTCAGTCTCAGATACCACGCCGACAACGCTAAAGGGACCGCAGTAGCAGTGCTAGGCGAATATAGTCTTTGTGTACAAAGATGGATGCGCCGCGAACGCGACTAGGAACCGAAACAAAGAAAGAAAGGACAGAAATGAAAAAGGTGGGTTCGGGACCTCCAAGGGGCGCACAAAACAATCCTCATAGGCGGCGTCAAGAGCGCATCTGTATACGTTCAGCCATAGCGAGATCCAAGGAAGGATTGCAGAACGCCCTCCATGATGTCGAGAATGTAGACTAAGACCAAGGCGTTTCCAGCACAAGACCAAGTATCCACTCTGCACATCTAGTGAGAGGTCTTCAGTTCTCAACGAAAGTTCGACGAAACCTGACGCATCATCTCGTTGCACTTGTTCACCTGAGCCGAAATGCGACGAAGGAGAGGGCTGCCAGGGGTGGTCTCATTAAGACTCATGTAGGTATCAGTCAGACGCTGCTTGACCACTTCCATGATCTTCGGCACAATGTCCCGAATGTCACGATCCTTCAGAAATGTCAGTAATATGAAAATGGTGCAGGGCTAAAAATTACTTACGTTGGGGTCAACGCTTGTCAGTACAGCATCAAGCCAGCTGAGTCGCTCAAGAGTGTGGCGGTCGAGGTTTCCTGACACTACTGCACCAGTCGAAAGCGCCAACAGGGGACTAACCTGTCGAATGTAGGCAGGATTGCAGCGAATGAACAATTCATCAAAGAGCTCGGCTGTACGGGGCGACTGCAACCACTTCATGGTAGCCTGCTCGTAATTGCCATCAGTCATCATTTGAGTGATTTGCTCCAGCTCCAACTCCTCTGGAGACTTGCGCGGAGAACGGGCAGTACGAGGCGAATGATCGACAGCCTGTGGTGCTGGCGCTGGTGCCGCTGGCTTTTCGAGGGCTTGCTGAAGCTTGGCGACCTGAGACTGCAGCTCAGCTTGCGAGGCAACCATGGACTGAATCGTCTCGAGACAGGTATGCACCGTATCGGTCAATTGTGCAATCTTGGAAGCGTCCTCGTGTCGCTGGGCATGGGCTTGACGCAACTGCTCACCGATTTGCTTCTCGATGGTGTTGGACAAGTTCGAGATAGCAGGGTTGACAACGGAACCGACAGAGGCAACTACAACAGGTTCAAAGTTTGCGGCGACCTTCTTGGCGACTTGGTCAGAGAGCGACTGGAAGATGTGAGGAGCCTTCAGAGCGCGTGCCACAGCATCAGGGATCTCCTTCGATAGCTGTGGAGCAAGTGCAGACTTTAGGTTGCTGCCAATGCTCTGTTCCAGGGTTGAGGAAGTCTTGGCCAACATCTCGGGCAGCAGGACCTGGCGCATGTTTTCTTCAACCATCTTCCTGATAACACCCTCGACGTTCTCCGTTAAGGTACTGGACACCATACGGAGGATGGCCTCTTGCTTAGCACCATTGGCCGCATTCAAGACACGCTTGTCTTCATCGAAGCGCTTATACATGACGTCAAGCTCGCGAGCAAAGCCTTCGGTGATCTCAGCTTGTACAACCTCCTTCAGTTTCTTTGTATCAAGCTCAGCAACTGGCGCAGCAGCCTTGAAGTGCTGGCTTATTAACTGCTTGGCCCACTCAGGTGCTTCGTTGGGGGAGGCGACGGAGGCCTTGGACTCTACCGGAGCCTCTGATGGCACTGGAGATTTGGACAAAGGAGTACTCTGAGCAGCTTGTGCGTATGAAGGAACCGAAGGGGCGGCTGCACGGGTAGACGTAGAAACCTGAGATGCGGTATCAGCCGGAGACGACTTCTTCTTCTTTTTCTTCTCAGGCTTCTCGCTGGCGCCGTTTATGATTGTAGCCCGGGCCGTATCTTGCTTGCCCTCAACCTTTGCGAGTGTTGAGGCTCGCATAGCAGCTTCTGGGTTCACCGTCTGCTTGGACATAGTGCTAGGCTCCTTCTTCACGCTCTCGCGGACGGATCGATCGGACACTGACTTCGGGGCTGGTGTGTCACCGGCAGTCGAGGACTCGTCTGTAGCAACTGTGGCAGGCGCAGGTGGCTTCAGCTGAGTGATGGTAATGACACCTTCTTGCTCCGCCTCCTTCGGATGGATAGGCTCGCCCTCCTTCTTCCAGCCGAGATCGTTTCGTCGAATACGGAGGACACAAACACCCTTCGAGTGCATGACGTACAGCTCAAAGAGTGCGGCGTTGTCCGGATCATCAGTGTCAGTTGGCCCGACGGGAGTAGGCTCGTTGAGCATGTGCAGGCTCCTAATCTGACCCTTGGAAGCAAACGAATACTCTGTTATGCTCGTCATGATGGCCGTGGCGTTAACCGGTGGTAGCGGAGCGAGGCCCCTCTCGCCCTTGTTTGCAAGGCGAGCAACATAAGCCGCCTGGCTCAAAGCCGGCAGGTTGTACCTGGGACAAGACACATGAACGAAAAAGATAGAGTTCCTTGTCGGGTGGGCGACTGCCATGATACCAGTCCTAGGATGGAATGACACGCTGCAAATGGCATCGGATTCGTTTTCATGCGGCAAGTGGATCTCTTGAACGGCCTTACCAAGACCGAGATCCCACAGCTGGAACGAGTGGTTCTGCTTCATGCCCACCATGACATATCGTAGCGCAATACCCTTAGTGAAAGGCTTATCTTTGTCAAAGAAGAACACGGAGGTTGGCCATGACTTGGCATTCGGCGTAGTGGTGTGGAACTCGAGAAGTGTCTCAGACACCTCAACCTGGCGTGGAGGGGCCTTTGGGTTGCCCAGTTCAGGCTCAGTCAAGGTACGGATGTCCCAGAAACGCATGCGCCCTGCCTTGTCCAGTGATACGACAATCGTGTCATCTTCACTGAACGTGAAGTCCTTACCGGCCTTACCAGTGAGGATCTTCAAAGAGCGCTCCTTAAGGTACTTCTCCGTGTGGCAGATGCGGCTCTTCGAGCGAGCATACTCTGCAGCAACTCTAGGGAATATGATGTGAATCGACTTGCCGCGACCGACAGCGAAGAACTCGGGATGACGCGAGGATGGCTTAGCACGCGTCTTCAGCTGACCACCAGATGTATTATCATCCTGAATGGGCGATGGAGGAAGCATGAGACCCTGTGTGTCGAGGTTCTCGCCAAATGTATCCTCGCGAGTTGGGTCGAGTGACGACCAGAAGACGGTACCGTTGACGCCAATACCAAGGATGCTCTCGAGCGACTGTTGTGAATCGTCTGCAGAAGCGCAGAGCGCAATGTTGAAGATGCGCTCGTGGTGGTTCTCAAAGACCTGGCGATACTGACCAGAGTCCTGACGGATAATGCGGAATCCACCCTTCTTAACGAGTGCGTACACAATAAAGTTCTTGCTGGCTGATACGAGTGAACGATCAATCTGATCAAAATCCTTCTTCAGCCTGGCGACGTCCATGATCAAATCGGTGGGGAAAAAGAGACGCCGAGGCGGCATCTTGTTGACCTGGATCGAGGCAAACGCGCGCATGGGGAATCTATAGACTATTACCGTCTGGTCCTCGCCCTGTGCTAAGCTCTCCTCGGCCTCCGCGGTCTCCCAGTCATCAGCAACATTGCCATTGGCAACCTCGGTAGCGACCTCCTTGAGGGCGGCGGTCAGATCTTTGGGCACGTTCTTCTCGAGCGATTTCATGCTCTCGTCGTTCTCGAGCTCTGCCTTGATTTCATTTGCCATGTCAACCATGATTTGTTGCACCTCTGCAACATCGTCTGCAGGCATGTCATCAAGCTCCGTAGTGATCTGTGCAGTCGATTTTCCTTCCGCCTCGGCAAGTGCCTCCTCCACCTGGTGACTGATCTGTTCACCTAGATCTGTGACCGCCTCAGCCACAGTCTCGTGTGGGTGAGGTGTGTGGCTTGACGCAGAGGCCTCAGTAGCGTGCTTTGGCTTCAGTATCTGAACCTTTGGAGTGGAAGGCTTTTGTACGTCAGGTACGGGCGTATGGTTGCGAGGGCTTGCAGCCGCGAGCGCTTCGAACGGGTTGATGTATGTAAACTTGGGCGTATGTGTCGTGGACTCGGGATTAACGCGCGAGGAGGGTCCAGGGCCGTCGGTACCGAACACTCTCATCGGCGAAGCGCTGGCAGCGGGGTCAGGTGAGACTTGCTCCAGCTCAGCGTCGGCAAGGTCCTGTGCCAGGTCATCCACAGCCGTTTCAGGCATGTTGGAAGCAGCTGGCGGGGAGAACGCAGTAGCGGAAGCTCGAGGCAAGCGATCGTCGCCTTGGGCCGGCTTGGGGTGGTTCAGCAGACGCAATAGCAGATCCTGCGGATTCTCAGATGGCATGGACGTGGGTGCAGCCTGAGCAGATGTAGGAGCCGCGGCGCTAGGGCCTTGTGAAGGCGTCCTGTTACCCATGAAGCTCGATGCGTGCTCTGTAGGGCCTGAACCGGTGCGACTTTGAGCTTGAGGAGCCTCAGAAAGCTGAGAGTTCTGAGACACGCGCCGGGCTTGTCCAGCACCGGACTGCGAGTTGAAGCGGAGTAGGCTGAGGAGCTGTGCGGACTGCTGCTGCGGTGTCTGCTGCGACGAAGCGCCATGGTCGGCCACTGGCGTATTGACAGCGGAGGAGTTGGGCGACATGATCGCAGACTGGTGATGCGGCTGTGGACCGCTGGGCGATGGTGAGAACAGCGGAGTGTGGACAGATGGCTGGCGGTAACCGTGCGGCGCTTGCTGCTGCTGTTTGTTGCCAGAAGCACCGCCGTTCAGGCGAGCAAAAAGCTCCTGCAAGTCGGACATGGTGAAGCAGAGTCTTGGGTGATCTGGACGGCCATTTGTTAGTGACGGTGAAGCGCTTGCGTCGGCAAAAAAGATGACGACGTGACAATTTGGGCGGCGACTCACTTTACTCAACCCCAAAATTGCTTGTGCGAATTGCGCGGCGACAGCCACTTGGAAGCGTGAATCGTAACAATTAAAGCAAACTCCTAATGATGGAAAAGGCTGCAGAAGCAGAAGGAAGATGAAGGAGAAGGGCTGCGATGGAGCGCAGAACATGTGTGGTTGACGTTGGAGCAGGTGAGAGCTACATGCCGCGTTGGCAGGCGCGACCTTTTGCGCTAGGCCCAGATTGGCAAAGCTGTCGATCACTGCTTCCTCGCGACAACGAGGTGAGTGCATGCTGGAAACCAATTTTAAAGTGACGCGCTCATACAGGTACTTGAATCAAGAGATTGGACATTGGAAAATCCGAATTGAAGTCATTCCGTCGAAGCTATCTAGTCACAACCCCAAAGTGCATAGTCAGCTGCTTCCAAGATCTAGACTACGCTGCTGCACATAATCTACAACCAGTTCATCATATAATGACTTTATACAGAGCCCTCGTTTACTGTGAACTTTGGTTGTGTAGTGAACCATGTCCACCCCACATCCAGGTGCCTCCCGAATGCGATGAGCAAATCTCTCTATTGTAACAATTCCTCCATCTTGCCCGCATCCACTCAAAGGGTCTCCGCTAATCGCCAGAATACTTCATTCTCTAGGACACCTCGCTTCCCCGATAGAAGGCTGCTGCACTAGCATTATCGATTTCTTCTTGTAAACTTTCCCTGGCTGACCTCTGACCGTGAGATGGATGGGTACGTGCAGCTAGGTTCTGATTTAATGTTTCGGTAGGTTGCGTTTGGAATGTACGAAGATCTTCATTGCTCTCATTAGTGCGTTCTTCGTTCGGGCGGGTTACCCTATGATGATAAAAGAAACACATGTCTCTTTACTGGAGGAAAGAAGTAACGGTGGAACGTAGAGCGGGATTGAGAACGGGAAGATTTAACATATATGAACAGACTCAGCTGACTGGACATCAGGGCAGAACGATACGGTCTTGAACAGCAGTGACTCATGCTTTCCACGTGGAAGCTGCTGAAGCGTCCAGCAGCTCAAGATCAATGCTTAAGTCGTGGAGCAAGGATTGGTCACTCTCTAGAAAAGAAGATCGGTATTCAGACATCACAAAGCCGTATCTAGTCCTGCGTATCTTCGGCGTCGTGGAATAGAGCTATTTCCTTTCATACTGTTCAATAGCACGTCTTGGCTTGTTAAGCTCTGCGCTGGGTCAAAAAGTCTGGAAGTATCGTCTTCTTAAGTCTACATCTATCATCCTCATCGCACGACTTTTCTCACATCAACGATCGACCCGCGTCTTGGTATCTTGAGTAAGCCTTCTATTTCATAGGCTCTGTATCGACACTCTCTTCAGGGTATCTAGATCCCTCACAGCATCTTGACAGAACTTCGAGCCTCGCCTTTTCCAGTGTAAAGTAGCGGAGAGGCTCATTTCTCAGATCAAAATGCAGGTAGGGTGGATGTGGCACTATACGAGCTACGAGTTGAGACTACGATGAGGGCAGCGTTTGTTGTTCGATGTCGTAATGGCAGAGATGGGTTGTTTGGTTAAGCATTCGATGTTAGTTTTGCTGTCGGCTTAGGACAGATGAAAATGCGTCATCCAGACCGGGCTTTCCACCGGCTGTACCAAAACACAAACAGGAAGTAGGCTTCAGGCTGCGTGGCTGTTTTTTAGCAAAGGAGTTATGGTCTGCAATAGACTTTTAAATATCACAAATCCAAGGAGGAAGAGCACACTCCTAAGCTTGCACCTGTTTAAGTATTGAATTTTCAAAGATACGGACTACGCCTTTTGCGCAATATAAGAGCGCTTTGGTAGGTATGTGTCATCCATGCAATATTGCTAGCACAATAAGGCCACGAAGCTGCTTTGAGCGCGACGGTCCTGATCATGGATGCCTTACCAGTAGAGCACCTCACAGCTCCTCCATATCCTCGTCGCCGAGGTCGAGAGCAGGGAAGTCACCAGCCTCGCATCGCTCCGGCCGTACGAAAACACCGCAATTGTTACCGCATTCAAAGTATCGCTTGCCCTTGACGGAGCCATCGTTCTTGCCCGTGGGCTCATCGAGGGTGACCCCGATCCAGAAGCCGATGCCCGGGATCTCGGGCACTGCACCGATGTACGACACAGTGCCTCTTCGAGCGTCCGATTCAGGGAGGAGGCGTACGCGACAAGAGAGTGAGAGACCTGTTACTCGTGTCAGTTTCTATTTGCGATAGTTTGTTGAAGCCGAAGATCAATATAGATGGAGTGCGTGTGCATGGGCTATGCGAGGATCATGCGAAAATCGTGCGAAAATCGTGCACAGTAGGCGAGCTGAGTAGCCAGTGAAGAGGCATGGCAGGGGGAATGCAACGCGAGTCGTGCGTGCTGCAGACCAGTCACGCAGGTAGCCGCTCGTGCTGGAAAGAGGCGTCTTTGCGCGATAGATTGCGGCCCGCAATAGGCGATGCAGCGGATGGACGGTATATGTCGTACCATAAAGGCAAAGATGTGATAATCCTGCGAGCCAGACGACTGATGTGGCTGTTGATGCTTTGCAATATGCTATCCATTGTCGCTGGATTGGCTAGAACAGCATAATCGATGGACGGCCTCAGCGGATTTCTCCACCTTGTGTACCATTCGCGCAATGTACTGCGAATTCGCATGCAGTACGAAATCGGTACAGTTGGCAGAATACCTCTCGACCTGGGAATCGGAACTCCCAAATCCTTGCTTGTTCCTGACCTCTGAAGCCGAAGTCGAGTGAGAGATCGCCAAGTGGCAATAAACGTCTAACAAGATGGGGTAGAGGTGTGGAGGCCGTCCATGTCGATGCGTTGTCATAAGGGTACCAACATAGTGAGCTTTAGACCGCAGTCGTTTTACTCCTGGCTAGGAATCTTGGAGATGAGGTACGTCACCAAGAGCGTGATTACTGTTGTCGCGCTCTAGGACTGCTCCATGCTGTCTCGGCAATTGCCCTCCATCCACGTCAGGGAGTGATGAAACAAGTGTGCTCCTGTTCTCCAAACCAAGGTGAAGTGACGTGCAAGCGTCTGAATCCAGAGCCACATGAAGCATTACAGGTCCTAAGATGTGGTCCACATGCATAGGTGTGGGTCCGAATTGCTTTTCTTTGTGATGCATTCTCGCCGTCGTACGGGTGCACAAGTGTATTGTAAAGCAACGCGATATAGCTTACCTCTTTCTTCTACTTCTCTTTGCGAGGCCAAAATCTTCTGTTGCTCAATGCTGGGCGCATTTGGATCAAAGCGACCTAACTTCTGGGCCTTCTTCCATGCAAGTACGCTGTCCGTCCGAGTCTCGTACTCTGTGGAAGGCATGACATACTTGTCGACTGCTGAAAGATCAGAAAAGTCTGTCCGTGCAGCAGGTGGGCGTATGTCAACGACCTAAGACCAGCATGTTAGAACCGAACCATGTTCACGGAAGCAAATAGAGCTGCTCGATGCGCCACGCCAGCAGGCTTGTCCATTGATGCAGGAGTCAACGAATTGGGAAGAACCGGGGGTGAATGGGGCTAGGATAGCGAACAAAAGCAATTACAACAGGAAAAGATCAAGCAACACCGGTATGTAGTGCAAGGCATCTGACAGGACCGGGAGGCTCGTGACCTCTAGCACGTGCTGGTCGGCGGACGAACCGATGAAGGTCCTCCAACGACTGCGGCGTGATGCCAAGGCTCTTATGATCTGCGTCGACTAAATGATGAGGGGTTGAAAGGCTGAGAGGTGCTGAGGGGCATTGCGGGGCATGCACCTAGTGATGCACGCTGGGTTGACAGCCTCATAATACGACCGAGGCAGCGAATGGGGACAAAAAGCAAGTTGTTGACTGGAGAACCAGAAACATGTCCGAGTTATATGCCAGGGAAGGCAGAGCTGGACCAGGGAAAGGAAGATGTGGCAGACAATAAGAGGAAGAGAGCAATATGCTCCAGGACAGGGCTGGTAATACCGAGCAATGAGAAGTAGAGTGAGATACTTACGGTGATCTCCGCATACGGCTGCAGCGGAAACGATGTGAGACGCGTCTGCTCTTCGTCGACCGCAGTGATGGGAACGGCATCCTGAGAGGCGACCCGCAGGGATAACTGCTGACTACCAGCCGGAACTCCTGTGATGGGCTCTAGGCGCGACTTGAGATGTGCAATTGTCCACGACGGCGAGATACGGCGCTCTGACGAGGAGTTGGGCGAGTTGATGATTAGAGGCACATCCGCCGCGCTCTGTAGTGACATGCTGGCGCCAGAGAGGCTGGTGTGGTGGCTAAGAAAGAAATTTGTGGGGGTTAGTGCCAACGGGACTGATATACAGCAGAACAAAGTATCATTCGTAACACTGGTGTGGTGAATGTTGATTAGTGGGCGCTTGCAGAAATGAGCAGGCTCGACGAACCCACGTTCTCGGGAAATGCCTCCTCGAGCGTTACCAGGTGACCCACGGTGTATGCGGGTGGTGGCGCGGGAAGTACGTTTGACGCAGTGTCGTGTGGTTGAAAAACGGTTGCGTTGGTCAGCATGAGGGATGGAACTTTTCGTTAAGAAGGCGCGCATAACAAGCGAGCACGCCAAGCGAATAGTTTGCGTACAGCGTGAATGTCTCAGAACAACGCAGAGATGCATGTCAGGCACCCCACGCGCTCCTGTGACCCTCAATGCCGTGGGAATCGCACACGCACCCCACGCAATCGTGCTGACACTGATCGTGGGCAGTGCCGGACGTGTTTCGAGTCTGGCCGCCTACCTGCGACTCCAGCCAGTGCTTGTCGGCTCGAGCTCCCCTCACCACTTGCACGAAACCTCATCGTCGTCAGCCAAGATTTGGGGGATATTGCACCCACAAGCATATGGCTCGTATGGCTCGTATGGCTCGTATGGCAACGCTGTTCGCAGAAGCGCCTCTGGCCTGTGCCGCAATCGTCCGACTTGTTGTGAGCATGAATCAACAGTGCGAAGCAGTCATCACGCGTGTGCAACAAGCGCTGCCACCAGCCACCGTGCCTCAATCTCAACGACGCCAGCTCGGTTTTTCCTCCAACTGTGGAGAGGCCTCACCGCTTGTATTATGCAATGTAGGCCCTCTAAAAATATAATGCATTGCGCCAGGATGCAGGCCCTTCGTATCCATATTGATGAACTGGTAACTACGGAACTCAGCAGGTGAGCTGGCAGCACAGCATCCACATCCGGCGAACAACCGGGTCATTTACCAGCAGCCAGACGTTGCGTTGTGAGACGTGGAGGCTGTGACACGCAGCAAGGACTGCAAAGTCAATCCCGATTGAGCAAGCCGGCGTACCAGACGGTTCGCCGGATCGTCGCACCCAAACGACAGGACCGGGGCACACAATGATCATGTTCGCATGCCGCTCACACAAAACCGTCTGTGGGGAGTCCTTCATCACACGAGCCGCGGCCATGGCCTTTACATACTGCATGTTGGCGCCGAATGCGCACAGGGCCACTGTTCGCTCCATGTTCGATCTTATGCACCTCGGGCGTTTAGAAGAAATTTGACCCGATCGCCCTTTCATCTCAACCGCAAGTCACCTTGACCAACACGCAAGCGGCCTTCTCACCGCTGATGTGCATCGTGATGAACCACGTCCGTTCGCGTGTGGAGGCCTGGCCGGCTCATTGCTGCCGTTGCTGCCGTTGCTGCGGCCGACAAGGACGGCGTCCCTACATGAACAGTGTGAGTTGGCATAGACATGCCAGACAGACGACTCAAAAATGCCAACAACGTGGCTCCTGGGCACAAGACAGCACAGCAGCACAGCAGCACAGCAGCACAGCAGCACAGCAGCACAGCAGCACCGCCGCCATCCGGTAAAGCGGTGTCTCACGTGCTGTCGTAGCACAAGTTGATGATGGCTTCGCGGGTCAGGCCGAGGCTACCATCGGCACCATCGCAAAACCCATCAGTCGCTTGTGTAGCACCACCGTGTTTGGTGCACAATCAAGAGCTAAACGTCCCGGCCATTCCTCGGTCTCTTCACCGCAGTTCACCGCTTCTCTGACCAAGAAGAGGCCTAATTTTGACATAGATGGACGTAGAAGCCACGATCAAGGACGCAAGCCACCCATGAGGTGTTCAGGATACAGGTGGCAAGTCATGTCTCGACAAAGGCAAGCTTTTAGTTTGAACACATCACCAGCCGCACCGCCAGAATGAAGTCAGCGTTCGCAAGGCTAGATTCGGTAGCGATCCCTCTGGCGTACGATAGCCGTGAGGCAGGGCGAAGGCTGCTGCAGATCTTGTTCGCCGCGACGCCAGGTCATCGCGCTTCCTGCATCCGAACCCGACCCAAGAGCAGCGCTCAGCGAATCCCTGAGGCTGTTCACCGCTCTCATCCAGACATGATTCGCCGCCCTCTCCCATGTTCTTGCTTGGGTAACAACTCGTGACTTGAGTCCTAAGTGAACCTGATGATCGTGACAGCTCTAATATCCTTGCTGAGGAGTGTAGGCGCCGCAGCCCCATTTAGGGGTGCATTGAGGCCTAACGGAAATCGGAGGGCAGCAAATGAGGTCTGAACGTGCGAGTAGGTCGATGGGAACCAACAAGAAAGGGCTAGGCAGAGTGAGGTAGAATCTGGAGTGGGGGACACGTCATGAGCAGCACCTCTTGCTAGGAACACACCGGACCCATCTGCTTTTGTTGCAGACTAACGTTAGCAATTTGGGCTATGGGTGTTTCTTTTGGGTCCTCGCTAAACTTCCGGCGGACATGCTTTCGCAGAGATCAGATCAGCTGGGTTGCCTGGATGTGGTCTGTGGGTCATCAATGTGGCGCGCCGCCAGCACGAGTCGAGCCAGCCCAAAGCGCCGAAGTAGTCAGTGTCAAGTCAGAAACGCAAAAGGGTACATCCTAATCCCAAGCCCCCGGATCCCTACCGCGGAGGTACCACAGTAATGAGGCTGCACCAGGGTCTTTGCACAGGGCTTGTATTACATGTCGCACACTAAGTCACTCTACTCACACATCCATGCTACTCACCTGGGCAAGTACCTGGCCTTATTCTCCGCTCTCGCCTGGTCGCACCCACTGATCCTACCACAACGCCCTCTACACACCATTGACTCTCCTGTAAAGTCAGAGGCTCAGCACGCTTGTCACTGACTAACCCATTGGTTGGACCGTTTCAAGAACCCTGTCCTGCGGCCCTGCAAATAGCTCGAGTCGGGCAACCACTCAGAACGTGATTTGACCAAAGTACATTGCCAGTGGTCACCTCAATCATCATCGGCACACTTAGCTTCAGTCGACCCCGACCACTTCACGATCGTCTTCCTCCGTTTCGTCTCAAACTCCGCAACGCCATTATTGATCTCCAAGCCGCCTTCCTGTTATTGTTTATCGAAACATAGACCTCGCCATTCCAACAATCCTCCGGACTGCTGCTACCCATTGACCGGACGGTATTCTGCCTTATTCAAGCCCAACGCCACGCCTGAGCCGCCGTCATCTTGCTGCTCCTTCTGGTACCTCAGGACTCCTTCGATATCTCCCCTCATCTCGAACCCGACACAGCTGCAGAACATCTACCATTGAGCCACGGTTACGACTGCTATCTGGATTTATCGACCCCTCGATCTTGGTGGAGCCGTAGATCTCTCAGACCCTTTCATCAACTTATGGAGCTGGCTGGACGCCGAGTCCTTTCGCATCAATCCTGGATATCAACCTACTTCTCGAGCCGCGGGGCTCCGAGTCTCCGGCAAGCAAGAAAAGTTCGATGTCGGTGACCTCGAACTCGACTGCAGCTACAAGAGGCCTACACGAGTGCTCCGTCAGCGTATACACAGTCTCCTGCGCAAAGAGCATCGCCTGCATATGTTACAGGATCCCCAGCTTACGCACCACCCATGTCCTACGTGCCAGTTTCGTCTTTTCCTGGACAGGCGCCGACATCTTCACCACACGGACCTGGACCTATGCTCGGTGGACCAGTCTTGCCGGCGATTTCAGAGCTCCATAGGCACCCTGAACCCTCCTCGCATCCACAGTTCCGACCCCTCTACGCTGGGCATCCAGGACATCCAGGGATCCATCAAGCTGCACCACGGACGAACGGCTCCCCTCCACAGGCGCTGAAAAGACAGGCTTCTCAAACACCATTACCAGAGGAGAGTCCGGCCAAGAAACAATCCAAGTGGACCCCTGAAGAGGACAACTTGACGATAGAACTCCGAGGCCAGGGGATGAAGTGGGACGACATTGCGAAACGTCTGCCTGGTCGCAGCTCCATCTCTTGCCGGTTGCGCTACCAGAACTACCTCGAAAAGCGAGCAATCTGGGATGAGGAAAAGAAGAACAAGCTTGCACGATTATATGCCCGGTATGTACAGCGTATCCCTGGAGTTTTTGGTCCTTTCACGATACCCTTCTGGGCTCGCACATCTTTGGTTACTTTTACCCCTCCTTGCTTGCTTACATTGCGTGTATGACACAAACATGAATCTCTGTAGAACGAGACTAACAGTCTACTAGCTTCAAAGACCAGATGTGGCAGAAGGTGGCTACCGAAATGGGTATTCCCTGGCGTTCGGCAGAGTCGATGCATTGGCAACTAGGGGAGCAAGAAATGAGTGCGCGGGCCAACGCTCCTGTCTTCCAGCTGCATCCATCTGCAACTGGAGCAGGTCTTAGCCCACCCTCACAAATGCCTGCAGTACCCGCGCCGACCTCGCATGGCTTCACTGCTACAAACGCTGCTCCTTTGATGCCCAACCCACCACCAATGCTTCAGCAGCACCACCAAGCGCCGTCACCAATACCCCAAACCGCTATGCACGGTTACCATCATCGGACGGACAGCGGATCAAGTCAAGGAAGAAGGAGGAACAGCTCCTTCAGTCGTAGGCGAGCGGATCACCGATCAAGAGCCAGTGTCCCACCTCAACTCAGCCAACCTTTGCCTCAAATACACGCGGCATCAGCAGAGGACCTAGTCAGCGGGGCCAGGACTGCACCTGTTCCAGACCTCCAATCTGGCATGAAGCGCGAGGGAGAGAGCTCTAGCTACATGGAGTCATACCAGAAGAGGAGAAGAGAAGACGAATACCTAGGACACTCGCGTTCCGAGTCAGACACCCGTAGCCAGGGGTTCAAGAGCCCTGACAGAGTTTCGCAACGCAGTGCGACTGGAAGCATGAAGAGCATGAAGAGAGAGCCAGAAGAAGTAGAGCGCCCATCTGCCATGCCATCCCCGCCTCGCACGGCTCCGTGATCGCCGACCAACGTCAGCGATTAAATTGCCGCGGCCACACCACAACCACTTCCAAGAATTAAAGAGGAGGAAAGCACGTACATCGGGCAGGAACCGAGTGAGCACATGACATTTAAGAGGAGGATTATGAATAGACATTGGGATTGCATTAGAGGAAGGCCATTATACGGATTATACCATCAAGCGGCATGATTGTGGCATTTAGCGTGGGTTGGGTCAGCGGTTTGCTTGCAGTATCTTTTTTGCATTTTCAAGCACACAAGATCATAGCGCTGGTTTTGCTGAGTTTTCGCATTCGGTTTATGATTTTTTTTTGTCTGATACACCACTGGCGCGGTTACGATTGTCCGTTTGCAGCAGCATTTCAGTTTTCCATCATCAAATCATCATAATCACAAACGGCATAGCGTGGGGAGCATATCATTATAGTTTCTTGTAATCTCCTATCTGCATTACATCTTCAGCGTTCTACACATCATTAGAGTTTTCCCTTACGCGTCATAGCATACAGCATTTGCGCCAACGCATACACACCTTTGAAGCCAGCATGGCCATGACAGCACAAGTAGAATACAACGTCGTTCATCTCCGAAAGGCCAAACCCTCTCTACTGAACCACTGAGTCACTCCCAAATTTTCAAACTTCTCGCCAGCCCAAAGTCAAGCATCCCATGCTCGACCTTGTTTGGCGGTGAACAGCACGGCAGTGGCTGCCAGGAAAATACCCACCGCCGCAGTTCGTCTACCCCGGATCATCGCTAATGACGTATCCAACGGCGACTTGCATTCGAGTCGGTCAATAAAGCACCTACGTGGCTCCTCTTGTCACCGCTTTGCCATGTCTTGCAAGCAACCTGATAATGATGGTGTAGAGTGCGTTGGCAATTCGCACAGCCTCGCGTGACGCCTCATCATCCATGAAGAGACAGTAGGGCCGACATGGAGGGGCGCGGACGGGCTGCATGAACCTTGGCCGCATCCGTGAACCATCCCTGATTTATTTTAGAACGCCATTGACAGCGCAGAGACCGGTTCATGAACCTGGACGCCATCCCACTAAAAGCAGATTAGATGGATCGCACGCGTTCAGCGGTTCGCAAAAAGTGGTATGTCTAGCGATATGGTGCGGCACATCATCTCGAGAAGGCGGCCATGTTCGTCCCCTGTTCCCTCCTTCCCGCGTTCTCAAGAGAGTCTCTCTTAAACTTTCGGTACGAAGCCGAAAACCTTCCACCCCACCACATTCCAGTCGTGAAACACTGCGGAAGAATGAGCAGTGTGGTTTGATTCCTATCAAGGTTCTGTGTCAGTTTGACGAGTCTCGCGTTCCGTTGCTTTTCCAGAATAACCTTATGCTATGGAGATCATACCCGATAGGGCTATTCTTGCCGTTCTCTACGACCGTTCATTCAGGCAAATATTCGGCATGAACATCAATGCCGGACAGAACCAGTGCAGGACCTGGCGCGCGGTATTGACCAAGAGGCATGACATGAACGACTGCCCGGTCGAATGAATGAAGTATTGCGCCATTTGTCCGATTTGCTCGTTCTTGTTAGACTCAATTGCTTCTTCCGCGCATGGTCACCTGTGCGCGCAGCCATCTGCGAACATGTTCAAACAAATGAAATTGGCGCATGAGGGGCGGGATTTGAGCTAGGGCACATCACATGGCGCGCAGGAAGGGGCTCCGTGCCTGCAACTGTTCGGCGAAGATCAGACGCTTCCACACTGCTTCGAGAAGCTTTCCGATGTTCCGCTGCCTCCTCCGTCACTGCGATGTGCTCGCCCAATGCAGAGGAGGCAGGCCTCAGTCGCAGACGGTCCGACACTTCCCTTCTCCTTTTGACACACGATATCTCCACACCCACACGAGGTGACATGCTTTGCATGGGTGCAAATGTCCATGCAACCAAAATATCTACTCGCCTTCCGTGAATAGACCAGTTACACCACGATCAGCCGGGATCGCCCAACCCTCGCAAAACCGTTCCATGACATGCGAAACACCACCGTTTTCGGACAGGAACTATAGTTTGCGATGGGGACCCCGTCACTGCTGACCGTGCCTCGAAGAAGCTGACACACGCTAGAACGTGAAAAGAAGGTCCTCGAGCCGTCCTTCATTTCTGCACTCCGGGCTTTCATGGCGGGTAAGGCAGACCAGGCCGCCTCGAAAGTCCGAAACTGCAACGTGCGTTTGAGCCATTCAGGTGAGCGCCATGGAGAACTCGAAACTCCCATCCAGTCGGATACATAAAGAGTCAGCATTTCAGTTCTGGACTCCAGGGTACAGGCTTCACGAACCGAAACAGCGCGAATCACGGGCGAGCACAACTCAAATCCTCTCGCAGGAGCCGTTCGGGCATGCACGCATTTGTCAAATTACATTTTGGCCAGCAGCCATCACGAAAAGTCATGTTATACGCCCACTACTCGTACGATTTGCCTGCCATCCCTCAGCTTCACGCACAAACTTTTTAGCAAACTCTCCATGGACATCCTCTTGGTGCCCGACGCGAACTCATTATTCGCTTCGACTTCCACGCGACACCAGTGGACAGCATGCACCTGAAACATTAGGCATCTCGACTGCCGCCACCGCTTTGGCCAACAAGAAGCTCCGATGCGATGCGCCCAGATCTCAATCGTTCATGAAACCTTTCCGCCTTGCCGCCATCTCGTCATTCCGCGGACGCTGACTCGTGAGGCTCACATCCTCGGCATGATCTCCCGGAAAGAATGTGAAGCTAGCGAGTAGTGTCGATCATGATTGCGGCTCTTCTTTAGGAGCATCCACCGAGCACGGTTCATCGCGGGGTTGAAGTACGAAAAGGGGGATCGTTCGAGTCGTGCAGCGAACGCTGGGGGCCGCTGCTGGGCGACTATGTGGGAGGGTGGAAAAGGGCGCGCAAAGGAGTTGCGCGCACCATTGTCGTCATGTGACGTCAAGCTGTTCGAAAAGGGGAATGATGGGGCCGTGGAATACCTTATTCATGAGTGTCCGAAGGCCCGGACGATCAAACGATCGCACGTGACCTTCGCTCTGCCTAGGCACCTTCGATCCATGGATGCCGGTTCAGAATTCGCTCAAACGTTTCTATTCAAAGAAACAACACATCAGTTCCTTCACCGATTGTTCATGCGCTACAACTGCCGAACTAAAGTTTCCAGATAGGTTAAAAATGTCTAGATCTACGCGTGTCGCACAGCACTAAGTTGGCTCCCGCGGTATAGATCGATACCGGACTTCGCTTGTGGTTCTCCAAATCTCTCTAGTCTGCTTCTCTCCATACTCACCGGAAGCTATCACGACCACTTAAGAGAAGTCTACACCGCTCCACACCGCTTCAAAGCAAACTTTCCAGCAACTTCTCTTCTCGACCATGTCGGGCAGGTCAATTATTGCACCCAAAGTTCTGGGACCAAGGGACCAGGGATTCAAGAACGCCACAACATGCGCCCAGCCACATGTTTCCATCAATTACATTTGCAGTAAACGGTTACACAACATGCTCAAGGGGAAACGGCAACGACGGCGAACAGGGCCTGATCGGTACTGCATCTGACACGAAGCATAGCAGTGACGTTGTGTGCTGAGACTTTGTCTAAGAAAGGCAGCGATTCGATACAGGTGTGGTTGCACGAAAGCTGTAAGCGAAGTGGAGCATGTCAGAACTCTGTGCGAACGTACGTTATGGTACGAGCTGTCACTTCCTGTATCGACTTCGTCTGCAGAATATGCAGTCAATTTCGTAGCCTCAGGCAAGGCATGCTGCATATGACACCGTGGACAGCAGTGATTGCTTGATCGATGCATCCACCAACACTTTTACAAAGCACTGCGTCTTCCTCCGTTCGCCATCTAAATCCAGACACGCAGACCGCCTATCTGATTCCTAGTTTTGGTTCATCTCAAGACAGCAAATGTCCCACAGCAGCGGCTCGCCGGCCATCAAGCACCCGTCTCTGTACCACACTCGCTTGCTCACCAGCAACGGGAAGCCGCAGATCTAGAATGGGGATCGCGAGGAAAACCAGGCGAGCGGTGTAAGTAGCGGTGAACAGGTGTTGTCACTTCGAATAGCATGACGTTGAGTGGCGAAGTATACACACATGATGGCAATGAGAAGCAAGCAGCTGAGTCGGCGGCATCTAACGCATAAACGCCTCAAGTCTTGAATCATATACTTCATTACTAAAAAAGGACTGGGAAGCTAGAACCCGGATATTGCGCCCGTTGAAGATGCGCTGCTTGCCTGACTCCACTCATATACGAAGGTGCAGACACTAATAAACTTGCGAACCCCGAGTGGGTTCACGAACATGAACACCTCAGCCCAGCGCCTACGCTAGCCCCACACATCCACACCAGAACACCGGACCCACGAATATGCAAGACGGGCCTTATAAATCCCTTAGCGCATCGTGACTTGTGACCAGCGAAGAGGGGGAATAGACACCGCCAAAAGGTCGGCTTTCACCGCTCCTTGCAGTTTCAATGTGGCTATTCGGGAAGACCGAGTTGCGACTGAAAAGGAAATGAGGCGAAACTACTCCTCCGCGATCGGGACAGCAACTTCGCGTGCCTGGGCGAAGAAGACACGTGCCGTCCCGCTACCGACGTTCTTGATATTGGTATGTGTTGCCTGTTATGATAGGTCAGTTTCAATGTTTTTTGATAGCGCAACGAGCGCCAATGAGACGCGTAATCACGCGCCATGGCGGAGTGAGAACGTGTGATAAAAAAAACAAGACGTGGGGGCTGGAGAGTGACGCGGTTGGATGAGAGGTGCACGGCATGTAATGTCACACGGCATTGAGTGCCGGTTTGCTGCAGGAGACGTGAACACGTTGTTCGTCTCGCCTCCCGCTTACCCTGTCCAAGCAGTGCGACGTTGTAATCATCGTGTTGCGCAACATCATACGCGGTTGGAACATGCAATGTCCCTAAGCGACTCAGGTGTAAAGTGACGGCCGTCGCACAATACTTGAGGCAGTCGGGGAAGCGGGAAGTCGCTGTCGCAATATTGTTTCCAGGCGTGCGAGGGGCTCCTGTTGACCATGCCGCAGAACTATCCATATTGCGGCGCTTCCCCAGATACAGACTGTATGCTGGGACGGCATGCGGGGGTAAAAGAAAAGAAGGAAAATGCAACATACCTCGAGGAACTTGCCAAACGCCACCTCTGTGCACAGTAAACTCATTCTCATGCACTTTAACTTCCACTGTGCCAGATTGCACATTAAAGATCATGTGCATCTTTCGCGAATTCTTCGTGCGCTTCATCTGATCTACTCGAAGGTCGATAATTCCCCAGTTGAAGAAATCTCCAGCAGAGGCCAGCTTCGTATACTGGAATGAGCCATCTGGGACATCAACTGGCTGCATGCCTTTCTGGGCCCACGCGATTTCTGTAAAGTCAGCAAATACTGTTTGAGGAAGCAACACACGCGAGTAACTTACGGCCTTCGAGGACCTCGTTTGTCGTGGCATCTGTAGCTGCATCAAAGTCCCTGTAGTTGCCAACCAGAGTGCCATCCTCCTCCTCCCATGGATCGAGCTCGACTTCTTCCTCTTCAATAGCTGTCAGGTTTCGCTTCTTGCCCTTGGTGCTCGAGGCCTTGTAAGCTTTACGCTCAGGCTCAACATACTGATTCTTCACAATCGATGTCATGCTACCAGTTGGGTCGTACGCGATTCGGTCGTTCTTCCAAAAGTCGATGGGCTGAACCCGATGCCTACCCGTTCGACCAACACGAGCTACAGCTTCTGGCTCAAGCTCACGGAATACTGAAAGATGTCGCCCTCGTCCGTAGCGCGAGCCAGTAGACATTGTAGACATCTGCTCAATATCCTTCTTATTGAGAGGGTGGCCATGCACATCTACAAGTTTGCCGGCCTCTGCCTCCGTAGTTTCTGGTGCTCGGTCATTCGAATGAGCCCTTTCCTTGCCCTTCGTAACAGGCTTTTCTTTCGGTTTTGGCGCAGGCTTTGGCGGCTTCTTGAAAACTTCGGTCGGTTTTGCTTTGGCAGCTGCGCCTTTGGTAATCTTTGTAGTGACTAAATTGTCTTTGGCATCTGCCTTCGAAGCTGCAACCTTACTGGGTTTCGAAGCTACTGTATTCCCCTTGGCCTCAGACTTTGCACGTGGAGGTCGCCCTCGTTTCTTTGCGGGCGGGGGCGCATCGTGGGCTCCGTCCAAAGCACTGACATCTTGGTCTGTCTGCTCTGTCATGTCCGATACACGCTTTGAACGACGCGAAGAGGCAGCTGGGGCGGGCGCAACACCCTTTTCCTTCTTCTGCATTTCGGAAGCTTGTGCAGAGGTTGCCCCTCGCTTGCGCGACTTTGCTAAAGCTGAGCCCTCTTCTTCGACTGGTTCCAGAACATCGCTCTTTCTTTTTCTCCCCCTCCTTGCGGGCTCTTTGACAGGCTCGGGTGCCAGCTCCGACTCTTCTTGCTCCACCAGGTCTTCCACAGCTTCCGCATCGTTGATTGTATCGTCTCCAATTTGCGCGATGGAGCTCTCCTCAGCAACTTCATTGAATACCACCGAGTCTTCATTTGCCGTAATTTCCTCTTGTACGAAGCTCTCTTCAAGTACAGCACTGGTCTGTGGCACAGGAGATCCATCTTCAGGTATGTCGTATACGTTTGCGCGCTGTCCACGACGCTGCCCTGACCCGCTCAGCCCCGGTGTTTCTTGTAGACTCGATTCATCCTGGTCAAAGTCTAAGCGCCGCGCAACTGCGGGGTGCGATGCTGCGCGAATAGGACTGGAAATGCCGACGGAGCTCCCTCTAGGGGCCATAGATGACTGTCGGCGCGGTGAGGATCCAAGCGCAGTCTTTTTGGGGGATCGAGATCGCGGTGGGGGGAGATGTGTGCGGCTGTTTCGTAGAATCTGATGCGCAGTAGTGAGATCCGGTATCGAGCCTAAGTAAAGACGTCAGTTGATGCTGTGCATAGTTGTTCGAGTTCCCGTGACTGCATACTTTCTTGAATATCCATCGACTCTGACGCGTTCACAGCGTCTCCGCGCTTTGGTGGTGACTTCTCGGGTGACGAGAAGATGCCTGAGATGGGCTCCAACCCATGTTCATCGTATACGCCTCGGTCTGCGAGGGTAATGCCCGTTTTCCTGGAAAGGTTCAGTATATGCGAATGCATCAAAACATACGCGTCGCATACCTTCCTTGCACACCAACATTGTAAAACTGATTCTCGCGATTTTCGCGTTTCCTTTGCGGTGCCATGTTTGCGGATCGTAGCAAGCGGTTGGAGCAGCGCGTGCGACCCAGAGTTGACGCGTTGGTGATGTTGCGGCTGCGTTGTCGCAAACGATGTCGATTGTTGTTTGCGCGAGGGTGGGCTGTAAACGAACTAGTCCGCGTGCGCGCAACGTTGCGCTAACGAAACCATGCGACCACGGCGGTTCGTTGTATCACCACTACTACCACTGGCAACTTCTCCATTTTTTTGGCAATGCCATTATTCGAGGGTGATTCAGAGTTTGAAGCTCGGATAATAGTGTGCCGGCATGAAAGCTCCCGGGCAGTACTGATGATTGGGCGTGTGCAAGATATCCACAGGTCAAGATTAACAGGCATTCGTACATGTAGGTTGAGGAGCCCCTCCAAAAAGGAAGGGAACTTTTCAATATCTTCATGCTGCAACTTCAGTCTGGCTCTAAGCTATCCAATCACAGCTATAGATGATTCCAAACCTCCGTACAAGGAGCTCGCTCTCCTATTTCATGGGCACACATCTCCCATTCATCGCTCGCGTGGAGTCATACCGCATTTCCTACCCACCCACTGTGTATCTACCAAACGCAATATCTTTCTGTCTCAAGAACTTTTCGTGAACCAAGTCTCGTGGCGTTTGGTCGCCGATAAGGACCAGGTCGATAATGTGCTTTTCGGGAAGCGTCGAAAAACGGCCGCCAAGCCGTAGAATGAGAAAATGTACAGGAAAAGAAAAGTCATTATCGTGTCGATGATTCGTCAATCATGGCGGCAATCTCTCATAATCGAAGGGCCCGGGCGCACGCGACAAGTCGAACCGTGGCATCAAAAACTACAGCGGATCTAAAACATCGACGGGATCCGAGGAGCGACTCTAGTTGGGGCAAGCGCTCTGAACGTGGCCGGGCTGCTTGCAGCGGTAGCAGACACGCTCAGTGGAGGTCTCCTGGGGGCAGTCCCGGGAAAGATGACCAACCTCGCCGCCTATTGCGTGTTAGTATTGCTCAATATTCCTAGACACAAGTTCACTGTTCACTTACAGTTGTAGCACTTCTGGCCCTGAGTGCAGTCGCGGCTCATGTGGCCAAAGCCACCGCAAGAGTAGCAGGTGGTCTGACGGGCACCGCCATAGCCGCCACCCTGAGCACCACCGTAGCCTCCGCGGCCCCCACCGAAACCGCCGCCGCCACCTCCATAAGCAGCACCGCCACCCTGGCTGCAGTTGCGGGCAATGTGACCCCGCTGGCCCGCACTTGTAGCACTCCCTGGCCGCCACCAGCACCTCCCATACCGGCGCCACCCTCCTTGGTGCACTCACGGCTGATGTGGCCGGTACCACCGCAGCGGTAGCAGGTCTTCTCGGCCTGAGGGTTCTGGCACTCACGGCTCACGTGGCCCTTCTCGCCGCAGTTGTAGCAGGTAGGGGTGCCCTTGGTGGGGCACTCGGCAGCGCGGTGAGAAGAGTCTCCGCCTGATGATCATGTAAGTTAAAATCCAGGAAATATAAGATAGCGAAAGGGCGTGTAGATTTCAAACGTTCCTAGACGCTAGCATATTGCTCCATCTCTTGACACGACTCCCATTGTCGTAGCCACTCGCTCAAGACGGCGTGGAGTTGGCGGGGGGGTTGTAGAAAATGCAAGTGGCGAAATGTGCTGTTCGACTTACAGTTGTAGCAGCCGCGGCTGCCTCCGCCGCCGGTAGCTGGGGCCTGGTATTCCATTATGTTGAAATTTGGGTAGGGACCTTTGTTTGTCAGGGAGAGTTCGCGGTGTGTGCGACACACGCGCCAAAACGCGGGGCTTTCATACCGTAAAAGTCGGCTAATAGAGAGTGTCGTTGTAGGTAAAGGTCTGGTCGTAAAAGAAAGGATCCAAGTATCTGTCGAGCCTCAACGTGCGAATCCGCCTCCAATTGAACTTTGAAATCAGGTGTTTGTGGAGTGTCGAAGAGAGAGAGCGAGGGGCAAGCTGCGGGACAGATATTTTCTCTTTCCAAGTGCGTTAGCGCTAGGTCGGAAACCGTTAGCCTCGATCACCTCCGAGGTCTTGTGTTTGTTGGAATGTCCAAGTACAAACAGCGCGATTGTGTCTATGACGTTCTGACTAGAATGCTGACCATTAGTTTTGCACCGGTATGCAGGCTTTCGTAGACTCAGTATATTATGTTTGCGTTGGTGCAAAATGTTGGTGGTCCTTCGCTTCGCCAGGACGGCTAGTCTGGCCAGGCAAAACTGGGTAACCGACAATCTTATCCAGAGTGGCGAATAATGGGCGTGGGAAATGGAAGCTTCCACACGATGTAGCTGGTCCGATGTGATTTGATAGCAAGCGGCGTATGCAAGGCCACAGGCGTACTCTGTTGGAGGCATGGCAGGACAAGCTATAGGCGCGCTCGCAACCTTTGGAGAACTTCTTTGGTGATATGCTGTATGATCGTTTAGTGTTCTTCAAGTGAAGTCGTACACAACCAGTGCTTGTATTCCTTCCCTCTTCTCCCGAAGCACAATGACGTTCTGCTCATCGAAGCCGACCCAGCCACGGCTGACAGTCGAGTCGTCGAAACCCTGATCAAGCGCGAGCCGTAGTCCAGCCTTGTCTCGAAGCGAGTCTTCCTCAGTGTTGTCTGTATGATTTTCGGCCTTCGAAGGTTGTACCCTCACGCTCATCTCGCCGTTTCGCAATCGCCGCCGGTTTGCCAGAGAAGTAATCCCGCCTTCGAGATCCCAGACCCTAAGCTCATCGCCAAGTCTGCTCACAGAGACAGCCTTGCCACGCATGCCAACGTGCGCGCCAGATATGGAAGATGTGTGGCCCCAGAGTCGATTACCGGAACTTATTGACAAAGCAGCAGCGGTCGACTTGACCAAATACAGAGAGAGCGTGTTGTCGGGATGAGCGACGAGGAGATATGGATGAGAATACGACATGGATGTGGGCTTCGATGTACTCGGGTTACTGATCAAAGAAGCTTCTTGCGAGCTACCTGGAAACGGCGGCGATGGTAGTGTGGTGGGAGATGACGCTGAACGGTGTGTCGAGAGTGTGAAGGAATGTTCGTCCGCTGCTGTGGCCAACCGAGACTCGAGTAGCTCGCCTTTTGGTGAGAGCATCAACTCTTGCACACCAACAGTCCATCCAGAAAGATAAGTTGGAATCGAGTATGCAATAGCTGCAGTCATGCTCTTCGCGGTCGTGCGCAAAGACAGCGACACTGGCGGCCACGCAGTGTGTGATCGAAGTGAGTAGAGAAGATGTGGAGCTGCAAGGATAGTGGAAGTATCAGGCGAGTCCTGGAATGCATACAGTGATAGCAAGTGATCTTCTGTCATGGTAAGTAGATACGGTGACGAGTAGGCTATTGCCGACAATGCGCCGTTGCAGGATGGCGGATGCGTGAAAAGGCAGTCGAACTCATGGCGGTCTCGCTGGAGAGCATATAAAGAGAATGAGCCATCTTCGAAGCCCACGGCGATCTTATCCGGCTTATCCGAAGTCTCCGTACTCTCGATCGAATCTATGGCCATAGATATTGGCAGTCGCAGAGCATCATGCGCAGTCACTGCAAGCGACGTCGTAGCCAGTAGCTCACGGGCGTCCTTCGAGTTCCAAGCTCGTAAACCTGATATAGAATCGGCCGCAAAAAGAGTGCTGTTTGACATCATGACGAGCAAAGGCGGGTCAGGGCGCCTCTCGGCGACAACGATCTCACTGACCGCGCATTGCCCTTGGGACCAGTTGTGCCGGAGTCGATACTGCTGCTTCCAGTGAGTCTTGACTCCATCTTTGACAAGATCTCCATCGTCGAGCCACTTCGACAGCCGCGAAGAATAGTGAAAACGGTTGGCGGGGCCAGAGTCCTTAATTCCTGGTATGCGGGATGCGCGCGGGAGGACGAATCGCCGATAATATGCAGCTTTCCAAAGCTCAGAATCGATGGCGAGGCGGCTGAACTTCGTTGACAACCTGACGGCATCAGTGTTGATTTCCAACGGAGAAAATAGATCGTTACCTTTGGCACACAAGCAGTGAATCAACAGGGACGAAGGACAAGATGCGCACAAGCAGCTCGTCGCTGAGTTTAGAGAGTCTATCAAAATTTATCACACGGCGCACTTTCGGCGGGGGTAGTTCTCCATCACAGTCCTCACGCGCCCGCTTCATCGTGACTGAGAGGAGGCTGAAAAACGGCAAATGCAAGCCTCAGAACCGTGGTGGACTTATCGATATCGCTAGCCTGCCAAGGCTGTCAACGTGACCACGCGACGCGTTAGCGCGTTCTGCGATTCCGCTGCCTGGTGGCAACCTATCACCCTCAAGTCGGACGGAAGCTCCGTGTTAAAACCGACCCTCCACTTCCTGTGAATTATGTTAATTGGATAAGACATGTCAGACTTCTCAGCCTGGCTCGAAAAGAACAAAGCGCTCTGGACACGCGTCTACGATGAGGTCATTGGACCAGACCTTGAAGAGGAGTGGAAAAAGAGTATGTGCTATATCAGTTGCGTTTGGAACATGCTAATCGAGTTTTTAGGGGACGAAGCTCACGAGAAAGAGCTAAAAGACAGTAAGTATACCCCGTTCCTGTCCCGTACTGAGCCTAACGCGCAGAAAGAGGATGTCAAGCGGCAAGCGTTATCAAATCATCTTGAAGATCAAGTTGTGGAAAACTCACGTCTGAGATCCGAGAACGAAGAGCTCAAAAAGAAGCTGGAGGACTTGTCCAGTAATGCCCTGTCGAAGATCAATTCGGATCAGGCAGCGACCGGCGCTTCCACGGCATCCGATATGGATCTTGCTGACAAGTTCAACGACCTCACCAAGAAGTACCAGGACCTTTCGCAAAAGATCAGGTACCTGGAGAGGAAGAACTCGACTGTGATGCAGAAGAACAAGGATATGAAGGAGAGTGTACGAGCTTGGCAAGAATATGCCGATCGTCAGTCAGGTAGGCAAAGACCTAAAGGCGAGACTAAGCCGGAGGACAGCCGACCAATGCTCTCTGGAATACCTCAAATAGAGGACCCTTGTCCTCAGATGCCATCGAGCCCTCGATCAGTAGTGACTGTGCGCACACCACTCTCGCTCGCAGATCTCGGGCGCTCATCTCCAGCGCCTATCGCTCTTCCTGATGGCCTAGTAGTTGATACTGAGGTCGGAACTGTATCTCCAGCACTTCAGGATGATCACGATAAGGATCGACCCGGAAGTTGCGGCGGATCGGTCACTCCGAAGCCCATGAAGTACTACAGGTCGCCTCTGCAGGAGCACGCAAAGAGTCGACTGAACTGCCTGAATTAAGACCAGCAAAAGAGATTCCTGGTGGATATGTGAGAAGACATCTGCAATCATACCTACAGGCACCGAACCCGAGCTCGAGTCAGACCACCGAGGATGAAAGCGCCGAGCAAATTTCCAGGCAGACGCAATTCACGGCTGGCGATGAGGATGACATGCCGGAATTTGTATCAGCACGACCTCTAAAAAGGAAGCGCGGTCAGCCGTCCAAGGTAGGCATCACGGGGCCTCACTCCTCTAACGGCACACCGGTAAAGCCATTCCGAGTGAAGGACGAGCCTCCTAGTAGCCCTCCTAGAGCTCAAAGTCTTGTACGAAAGGAGACAATTGACTTAGACGACCCTACTTCGACCATGCTGCGAACGCCGCGTCATCCTAGGAAAGTACATACACACCACCCAGCTACTACCAGTGCTGCTCGTCATCAAAGGTCAAGCAGTGCGCCTTTCTCTCAACCCATCAAACGAGAAGATGAACATTTGGAACACGCAAGCATCAGTGAGAGCGATCAGTCAAGACCTGAGAATCTCCAAACTACAAATTTCGAGCCCCGAGCATACAGCGAGCCTTCGGATCCTACTGAAGGTGTGATTGACGTCTTACGTCAATTGGATCCGAATATTATCGCGACCTCTCACGACACACGATCTAGCAAACGAACAAAGCGAACCGAAAGTCACGAAGGGAATGTACATCAAATACTCTCTGAGTCCGGCGAAGAGCCACCTCCAGCGGACGAGAACACAAGCAGACTCGCACCCCTGTTAGCACGAGCGAAGCTCAATCGTAAGCTGCATGACTCGACTAATCTTGATGGCATGGGTTCGGCTCAGCTATCCACCCATATGCCTGTCAAGATCAAGGTGGAGCAAAACCCGACGCCTCCGCGAAGTTCTGCTGGTGCGACACCTGCATCGCTACCCAAGAAACGGGTAGGCAACCCCCAGTCAGAGGCTCGATATATCACTCAAGATAGCCCTGCTACTGATGGTCGTCCACAATGGAGACTGAAAGCTCATGAATCGCGCTCAAGTGTTCGCAAGCCTCAAGCAACCTCTCCAGTCAAGCAAGGTCGGCTCCGACAAAAGCCTGTATCCGAGCTTACCCTACAGGACTTCAAACCCAATCCCGCATACAACCAAGGTTATACCTACGCCTTCTCTGAGACCGTACGCAAACGCGGTGACCGCGCATGTCTGCCTGGTTGTACCAATCCAGACTGCTGCGGCTCCACATTCCGCACCTTCGCTGAAGTTCAGGCTCCGCTCCCAGCCTCACAAGAGGATGCGCTGCTCGAGGACTATCTAGGTGAAGCCTACGACAACATGAACTTGACACAGATGTCGGCCGAGGAGCGACAGGAGCTTGTGCTCCAGGCACGCACGAAGAAAATGGCCAAGGAAGCTGGCAAGCACCGTGAGGCTTACGAGCGACGTCGAACACCTCCAGGATTTTGGCGGATGGACTTCCCAACCACGCAGGAACAGCAAGAAGATAGGGACAAATCGAAAGAGCAAGAGAAAAGAGTTGTGCACGAGAGATGGTTAGAGGCTCAGCGGAAGGGAGGGAAGTGGTTGTATCGAGATGAATGACGTGTCCGATTGCAGTGCGATTCGTAAATACTTCCAAAGACTGAGCGATTGCGGCCTTCATGTACAGATGTTATGAAGCGCCTACTTTAAAGTGTTTTATTATTCATCATCATATTATTCCATCGCGTGCTATCGGTTAGTAGACTGTCTGCGTATTCTATCACACAAAACGCAGGCTGCAAGATTGATGTGACCCAACATTGCGCATCAGACCTAACTTGCCCCTATGAGACTACCAGCAATATGCGTTACTTTTCTTCGTGCCGTGAATGCAGCCGGTTCTCGCATGAATGGGGAAGCAGCCTGGGCTTGACGTACCAGACAGAATTCTGTGGTACCGCACGACTAGGTCCCAGAGACAGCTCGAAGGAATTACATTTATACCGTCACGCTACACGACAACATCAACTCCTCTACGTGATCCAACTCAACATGTCCCCAATGATGTGCACCAAAAAGGATCCCCTCCTGCCTTCAATCAATTCTTCCACCTATCTTTCATCGGAAGCCTAACGCCTCTGCGGCCACCGGGTTGACGATGCAACAACCAGTCCCTATCCCAATCCTTACCCACCCGGCCTCTCGTTCATACGATACACCGCATCCATGGCTATTGCTTTATTTCTCGTCGACGCCCGCAACATTGCCCACATGAATAGTGTTTCTTCCTTCGGTGCAGGTCTCCAACTCTTGATCTTTGCGAAAGACATCGCCTACGAACCGCAGCCCCGCCGTGGAATGTGGCATGGTATATTCGCCGCGACGCTGATATTGGCGTTGTATGCGACGTGGTTTGGCATTGAGCGACTCCTCCCGGGGAACACTATGACGATCATGCAGCTCAATGCGATATATTTCAGCTCGGCCTGGTTTCTGGTCAGCGAATATGGCACAGAGGGCACGGCAGGTGTATTTGGCCGGATTGGTCGTATCGCGATTCGGAATACCCAAGGAGCAGGCGAATCTGCGGCGCGAAAATGTTTGACCAAGAAAGGTTGTTTTGGAGAGACTTTTGCACAAGATACGGTTCGATACAATCTGCCTTCGATTTCCTAGTAGTGGCGGTGTATCATGGGGGACTTTGGGGTGTAGTTTGGGTAGTGAGGTGGTGGGTCAATCCGCAGGGCGGGATATACATGCCCATTGGTGGAGACACGTTCTTCTCGAGCGAGAGATGGAGTGGATACCTGGTGAACTTTATACTAGGGGGATTTCTGAGAGTTACGTGGACAGGATTGTTCGAATGGAGTCTCGAGAAATGGGTGCAGAAACGGGAAGATAAGAAGCTAGTAGAAGAGACAAAGTGGTGAGCTTATCGCTTTCAACATATTGACACCGTCTACATGTGTACCCTCCTCGCGTCTCCTTGTGCTCTCAGCAACACCGGGTCGAGCGGCACTTTTCTTTCATTTGCCCACGTCTCTAAACTATCCCAGTCTGCACATTTTCTTATCGAATTTGTGGTCGGGTGTGGTCGGTCTTGATCAGACGGTATCCATTCAAATGCATATATGCTTAGATCCGCTGCGCACATCAAGCTTTTTCGAATGCTTTCGAGGCAGTGGTCTAGATCTCATCGTCAGCTCAATACAGCGGTAGAGAAGATATCTTACCAAGATGGTGATGTATGTATTCGACGTTGGCATCTGTGAGATTTGGGTAGAAAGTTTCGTGGTAAAGATAGAGGCGGAATTGACGCTGGTGACTAGTTATACCACAGAATCGCTCAGCTTTATACTGGTAGGAAGGCTTACTAGGCAGTGTATCTCATGATATATACCTAATGAGGCTACATATCCGCCGTCTGCAAGTCGGACGGAATTTTCGACACGTGAACCTGCGTGCTGGAGCTCTTCCTTCGATGCGGCAAAAAAAGTAGCTTACTCAATTAACAACATGACGTTAGAGATGTCGGGGTGGTGTGCTTACGCTGTATCAGATCTTCCCATGCTTTTATATTTTCGGGGGTTGGTGCGCCTGCAAATGTAGAGTACTGGCTTGCGTGCGACATTGAACGGTGTTTATATCGCACTGCCTGGGAAGCGGGTGCTTTTTGACGTCAACATAGCTCTTTTTAGCAAAAAAAACTGTTCTTTGGACCTACAATACGACACTAGTTGGTCTGTTTGAGCAGATGAGAGTGTGGCATATAAATTGAATACAAGCAGTCCCAGATTCAGTGCTGAAATCAGCACGACAGCGATTAGAGACCGTGTCGCTCCAATCCTGTGCCGCTCAGAAGCAAGATGTCCACTTTTTTCGAGAAGCGGTTCTATTGAACAATTCTCCTCGAAGTCTTCGATAGAGTGCATTTTGTCATTATCATCAGATCTGTTCATGGTCATAGAAAGTGGTCAATGTGTGAAATGATGTGAGGGAATCGAACTTCATCGCCTGTAGGTCGAGACTGAAATCTACCATCTCAGAGTACTTCGCTTAGAAATTACGTGCTACAATCCGGTAAGACCCAATGAATAGATGTTTGCTGAGCCCTCGTCACCACTTGCATGGGTTACTTCATACAGCTTCCTAACCGAGCCATGTCTCAGACCCCAACATACAATCTTCCGTTATCAAAGACGCCGCAATTCAATATATCGGGGCTTATTCCGTATGTGTATTCCTTGAGGATACTGTTCCAGGCTGTATATGACTGCATGTATGACACATGGGCTCCCATAGGCCAAAGAACCTTGACTTCATAGATTGGACTGACAGGGAGAAAGCGGAAGTATTCATGCAAGTCAGTCTCACTCCGTTCCATGACGCGTAGAACTAATGAAGCATCGGGGACTATTCAGCCAACCGGATTATAGTCAGGGAAATTCTACCTTGTATTGTCAGACAAGCGTGCATGAAGTCATCGTGCCGTGTCATTGGAAAGCAAAAATGATGGATTAAACTTGCTCCAGATATGCGAGTACCGGTGGCAATAGAGCATAGTTGCGCTCATGCTGTGACTTTCCTTTCGTCTATAAATGTAAATGGGACAGACATGTTACAGGCCGATTTGAACTCCTTACATCAAAGCCGAAAATCCCTCAAAGCTCAGTATTAAATCTGCTATATTCTGTCATGCGTTCCTCTATCCTGGTGCAGCTTGCCATTGCACTGTCCCTTGGCCATATTGCAATCGCACTGCCTTTACTAGGTAGGTGCATAGCTGTGTCTCGCTGATTGAATGCTGAAAAATTCTCCCAGTTACTCGTGAAGATGAAGTAGTGCAAATTGAGGCGACAGCGGAGTCCGCACCGTGTCCTCCGAATGGCAAGCAACGAATCTGGCCCCTCCTATTTGGCTTTTCTGACATAACAAAGCTCCTGAAGCGGTCGGAACTATCAACAACCGAGACATCTACAAACGCTGCTTGTTCTAGTTGAGACGATGTAACGGTGTTTCGTAGCAGGAACGTCAGCAATGTGGAGAATGTAAATGCTGGGCAGTGTCATTCGACTAGTAGCATGAATCTAAAGCCAATCACATTATCAGACTGTCTTAAAATTGAACCTGAAACTTGATGAGCATTTCTCACTGATTCTTGATACGGGTACATATAGTCACCTTCCCAGCTTTGACTATATGAACCAATGTGAGATCAAATGGCACCGCTCTAAAGTTATTCTGGTGCCACCCTTCGTAGATGCGATTTGCCCTCTTACTTCAAGAGATTTTACTTATCCTCAGGCCAGCGAAATGGAGAGAAACGTAGCTGTTGCCAATTATTCACTGCCAACACACCCTCAAACAATGAGGCCGACAATGCAGCCATTCTTGCTCTGAAAAGTCATTCTCATCTCCTCTTTCCACTCGAAAACAGGATCGCGATTCTCCACTTTCGAAAACTTTCGCAACAAGGTGACAAGAACGTATGCGCTCTCAGTGAAAACCAGCCTCTGGCCAGGACACGCGCGTGGACCACCGCCAAATGGTGTGTACTCCCAACCAGGCCTCATGTGGTCCCAACGCTCTGGAACGAACTCATTCACGTCTTGACCCCAGTATGTTTCATCACGCATCATAGCGCGGTAGTTGATCTCAACGTTATCGCCCTTCTCGATGTAGAGGGGTTGCTTTCCATCCGGACCGCCGCCGAAGGGGAGAATTGTTGTCTCGAGACATTGGCGCTGGTTTAGTGTGACAGATGGAGTGACTCTTTGTGCTGAAAAAAAACATGTCAACGACCACAAGCTGCATGTAATAATTGATTGACTTACTCTCTTTGAGCACATGACTTAGGTAACGATAGGAGTTGAGCAAGTCGTAAGTTAGTGGCTCGTGTGCTGTGGGTAAGGTTTCATGCCGAAGTTTCGCCCACACATGAGGGTTTCGCGCAAGATGAAACATGGCATTGGTGAGTGTAATGCTGGCGCCGTCGTGCGCTGGACTGAAAGTGTTGATGATGTGCGATCTCAACGTAAGTTTGTCCTGAGTATCTTTTGCCATCTCATCCACAAGTCGCAGCCTCTCACCTCCTTTGATCTGGCTTCGGCCAGAATCTCTCTCGCGTAGCCTTTGTAGTGACATCTCCACATGCTCATCCGCATAGTCAGTCATCGTTTTACACGCCGCCCACCACTTCTCGTCTCGGTGAAGGAATTTGAACATTTTAAGCATGCTCCTGATCGCGGTGCCCTTTAACCCGTACGCAAAAGCTTCTGTAATCTTATCCCCAAGTTCTGGATTCTCTAGCGCACCCATCGCTTCACCGAAAATGAATTCGCTAGATGTATCGAGAATCTGTTCCATGTCTTAATCGAGCTGTACTTTTGGATGAAGAGTCTTACGTACCAGGCGTAGAAACAGTGGCATGAGATCTACTGTAGATCCGTCCATGGGCAAGAGATCCATGAAGACGTCTACGTGCTTCCTCAACCTGTCGAAATTGGCAAGATGCACAACTTCGAAGCTTGGTCTCATCAACGCACGCGCATGCTTCCATCGCTCTCCATCCACGACTATGATACCATTGCCCCACAGATGCGTGGCAACGCCGTACCGCAAAGGCTCTAGCCCGAATCTAGATGCATATGTCGCAAATATAGCTTTGGAGACTTCCGGGTCGATAGATCTGACAGTAGTTTTGCCCATTATGTTCGCTTTAAAGGTTCGCCCATATGTATCGTACATTTGCTTGTTGAAGCCGAGGAAATTCTCCGCTTTAAACGCGTTCATGTATTTTGAAAACAAATCCAATCCCAGTATCGGATCTTTGTGTGGATAATGCGGAGGTTCGGCGCAGCCGTTACGTTTGACGCGATAACTGCGCAATGAGCTCTGTAGTACTTGGTAGAGCACAAAAAGCAACGGTGCAAGCGCGAGAGCTTGGAAGGTGAGAAAAGCCATGGTGTTGAGGGTTTGCGCGGCTGTAGTAGTTATTTTGATTCAAAGGCGTTCATCTAGGAACTGGTTTCGGCGGTGAGGGGAGAGGCTTGACTGAGTGGAACAGCGTAAAATTCGTGAGTAGTGATAGAACATTCGAGCCAGTCGTGTGCAACTTGGGAGTAAGCGCGAATGAGGCACAGTTATCAAGATCAGCCGGTGCGCAACTCGAAGTAGGAATCAGCCACACCACAGGGTACGTCACTACATGTTGCGCTCAAACAGTCTCCAGGGGCATGACATTCAGGCAAGTCCCGACACTGCCCATGTATATAAGCCATTGGTGGGGTAATTCAAGACCAACAAGCATGGAAGGCGCAATCTTACCACAATCGTGGGTCCCGAGTACAGGCTAAGTCATGACTGCAGTCCCAAGGTTCTCGGGGTCCAACGGGATGGTCCAACTCATGCAAGCCTTTGCCGAGCTCCATAGTAGATGCTTATCGTTACACCAAGCAGTCCTCCGTTTGAATGCGCCTCTTCTATCATCCTTTTTGACCGAGGTGTTCGTCAGACACGCGCGCACTTCCTTATCACCTGCATAGTGATGATGTACTGCATATACTATTGCCACAGTTTAGCACTACACCTCGTAGAATGGAGACATGACCATTGGCTACTTATTCCCCGACATACCGGGAGATTGTTTGAAAGAAAGGTGGCCTGGTTATGAGGCATTGTCGCAGTAAGCTGTAGAAAGCCGGGAACGAAGCTTATTATGGGATCTCTCATGACGAGCCACCCCTTAGACCATATGTCCAAATTTTAGTGATTGAGCCGTGAGCTCTTTAGAATAACACAGAAATAGAAGTCCACAGTTCAACACATTGACCACCAAACAGCTTCCAACAACGACAGCATGTTGATGGCAACACAGTCACCGACGACAGTCGTCGTCGTCACAGCAGTAATGCTCGCCCTCGATATCATCGTAGTATTCCTGAGAGTAGTGGCTCGAAAACAGAGACGGCAGCCTCTGAAAGCCGACGACTGGTTTTGTTTCATTGCGCTGGTAAGCTGGCCCATCACGATGCTCACCACGAACACAGCCAACATGTATCTCAGACACTCTCCTTTGGCCTTGCAACAACACTCTTCATCGGTAAGTACGTCCTGTATGTATTCAATGAGCCATGACTGACTGACTCTCAAGGCGTCGCGCAAAAAGCCCTCGCATATCCCACCCCTACTGCGCCGCTGCGGATTCGAACTGCACTCGATACATCCAACGAGAAGACCATTATCGTGAGCAGAGTAAGTCCCTTCCATGCCCCTCATACAGACTTCCAGATAAACTAACATCTTCGCAGCTCCAATACATCTTCCTCGTAATCTCCGTGCCTGCGCTGGGCGCCATCAAAATCAGCGTCGTATGCTTCTACCGCCGCATCTTCGTCGTGGACAAGACCAATCTGCGCGACTTCTCCAACGCCATGTACATCTTCGTGATTGCACTCGTCAGTATCTGGACTGGTGGGTTCTGTCTTGCCTTTATGTTCTCTTGCAAAGGCGAATTTGCAGCTTTTTGGACCTCGGCGATCAGTCTGATAACCAAGTGTGTCAACACGCTGGAGCTGTTTTTCGCGTTTGCGGTGTCGGATTTCATCTCTGATTGTTTTATTATCGTGCTGCCGATTCCCATGGTGAGTTTGTATATGTCGCGATGGGCAGAATGGAAAGCTGATGGGACAGATTTTGGGCCTGCATTTACCGGTGGCGAGGAAGTTGGGTGTGCTGTTTGTGTTCTTGCTTGGTATACTGTAAGTGCCATCTCGCCAAATAGATGTTGATCAGAAGGCTGACTCTGAAGTGCCACTGTCGCATCCTTGATTCGCATGATCTGGGTCACCTGGGCGCGCACTGTTGGCTTCGATGTAACTCTCGATCAGAATCGTAAGCTATCTCTCTACATGTTCCGTCAAGGCAACCTACTGACCAATTTATTGCTAGTGCTCATCACGACTTCGTTGTTTTGGAACATGCTCGAAGTGTCTCTTGGTATCATCGCAGCATGCCTACCTACGCTTCGAGGACTTGCCAAGGCCAAGTCTGTTGATTCGCTTGTCAATAGCGACCGCGACAAGATCTCGATTCGGTCGGGTAGCGCTTCTAAAAAGAGCAAAGATAGTTCAGGATCCACTGATGGCCACCGCAAGGACAACTCAGGACAAGGGACTGACTTTATTACTGTGGCTGATCACAGCGCCGTGTGAAATCGCGAAAGCATTGAGGCATAGAAAATGGAGAAGGGAAAGCCTCGCGTTCTGAGATGCTGTATTTTAAAGAGCGACTAGTTTCAATCATTTATCAATGAGTGTCATCGCCACATCTTTACAGCGAATATCCACGGCCCACAGTTTCTCCACCTTCGTACATCACCTACTTGCAAAGCCACACATTGCGTCACTTCTGACTCTCTTCCACCCTCACATCCTCAGCAGTCTCCAAAATCCTCACAACCAAAAGCGCCGTCAGTAGCCCCAGCTCAATGCGCTCACTACATCGCTCGATGCTCCTCCGTCACTGGCGGCGGAAGTTACACACTACCTTTCCCATCCTTCTCCCCAACATGAATCTTCATCTTATGGCGTTTCTCCACGTCTGCCTTAGCCGCCTCCGCTTCAACAGCAGCCGAGTACGGCGTGTAGCTTCCATAGTAAGTCCCATACGACGTGTACTTGTCGTATTTGTCGTACTCGCCATCCGCAGCCATCTTCACACGCTTCTCTAGGACGGCGTTAGCTACATTTGCATGTGTTCGGGGGTAAGACTTGCCCATATTCATCTTTGCGGCCTCTGCTTCGACGGCTGCGGAGTATGGGATGTATGTTCCGTAGGGCGCGTAGGAGGGATATTTGCTGTAGTTGATGTCTTGGGCTGCGTGTACGGAGGGGTCACGCTTTGTGTTGGCGTGGTCTGATGCTGGCAGCACCTCGCGTTAGTGTGTATGAGAACGCTAAGGAATCTTTCTTACCTGTTTGGATTTTTGTGGCCTCCGCTTCAACGGCAGCTGAGTATGGGGCATAGCTCTTGTACGGAACATAGGTTCCATAGCTACCGTCTGCTGCCATGTTCACGGGAGCAGCTGTAGAGCGCTTCGCGTTGGCCGTGGCTGGGGATCGTCAGTATCGAATTGTGAGCCTGGAATCCAGATGTTCATACCTCTTTGCATATTTGCGGCTTCCACTCCCACAGCGACTGAGTATGTACCATAATTCTTGTATGGATCATAGGCCCCGTAGCTACGGTCTGTTCCCATTTCGATAGGAGCAGCGACAGCCATGACGACTAAGCCGGCGAAAGCGAGTGCGTAACGCATCTTGAGAAGCGTTGGGTATATTATTGGACTTTGAAGAGGGATCTCGGGTTGAAGAAAACAGTGTGCGCTTGTCTCTTCGGTGTCCAGTCCTGGTAGTCTTATGTAGAGGCCGCTACATGTAACATGTATCCCGATGGAGAAGGATGAGGCGTCCCGTCCCAGGCTTTACACATTGTGTTACGCGCATGACAATTGGAATTTCGGTGTGTGTTGCTCCACACCAGCCTACATTTTGTCACAGTCTGTTTGCTCGGGATGGAGACCGGACCAGTGTTCAGGGTATGCTTCGAGGGACAAATGAGCTGGCAAAGCCATGGTATAAGGCGGTTTTGAGCCACAATGGGATTCGATCGATATGATTGGATTTGCTGGACAAAGTGCTGGTCACGACACCGAAGTTTGTCTGATCGATAGAGGCCTAGACTACGCAAAGCTATGCACTGCATGTGAGCGTAAGCTGCATATCATATTGGTATAGCACGACCCAAACATGCTTGTAGACGTCAATACCGATCGCTGGGCCTAATAGCCATTCTATTGACCAAACAGTAGTCCGAGAGGAAGTCGGCTGATCAACAACATCTGGTAGCGTTTGTCTAGCGTTGTGGTAAGTATGTGATGACAGCCGTAGGGCCAGGTCCTACTTGAACCGGGCTCCCCCAAAGCGAGGGCCTTCTCCAGATCTGATAGGCGTCTTATACCGAAAGAATGATAAGTTCAGTCCCTAGTTTGCCGCCAGCAACGTTTATGACAGGTGTGCAATGGGTCATGTCTCTAATCACAGTGACACCCGGTCATTATATCGTTACACCATCTCCTGGTACGGGGACAACGTACAACAATAGAATGCCATCAATGGCAATTGCTGAACTTTCCTCACCGGTGACTGCGGATAGTACGGTTCTGTCTGTCATGCGACGAGTCTGGTTGATCTCTCAGCAATCTGCCAGATAGTTTGAACCTTCCCATCCATATTCACATTGGCTCCACGCTCTTCACCAAATCTGCAATGTTCGCAAACCTCTTCCAAAGCCGACTCAAGCACATGCACACACACGTACCTCAGCGGGACTCAGAGAGCCTGGACAGCGATACTCTTTTACCTTCGGACCCGTTGACAGCATCTCTTTCACTCACAGCTAATGCTGTCGACCGATCAAGTCGAGACATAAGAGTCGCTGTAAAGACCCTATTGCTCAGTACCGCTGTTTATCTTGGCGTCGGTTTGTGGCTGGCGTACGGCGCCCGGAATGCTGCTTTCGTTACTAACGTAGATGACTTTTGCATGCGTCACATCTCGCGTTACTGTAAGAACCTACAATGATGCACTCCGCTATCTGGCTGACAAAAGAAGCGCCGGTTGTCAAGAATGTGAGTCCTGGCTGGCACGATAAGCTGTTTAATGGAAGCTTCCTGCACCAGAATGAGTACCGGCAGCCGGCAAGTCCGGAGACCGACGCTGCTTGGGAAGCTCTAGGTGTAAATTGTGAGTTTGTTCGACGTCTGCATGTATGTCAAGGACTGACGAGTGCAGATCGAAGCGTAGTGGTATCCCTAGACGAAGCTGAGCAAACCGGACTGCGATCTGAGCAGGTCCAAATAAGCCAAGAGTACGGTGGTGGCTTCCCAGCAAACGTGGAAGGTTTGCATCATTTGCACTGCTTGGTAAGAACTTTGTTGGTATGACTTTTTTGAATTGTTGTTGATACGCTGCAGAATCTCCTGCGCAAGACTCTGCATTGGAATTACGACTACTACAGGGCACTCGGGGAGGGCGCCTTTGTGAACAGCGAGTACATTGTGCAAGTGCATACAACCCACTGCCTCGACATTCTGAGGCAAGTTTTGATGTGCAATCCGGATGTCGGAGTACTCGGCCAAGTCTGGTGGCAGGCCGAAGACGAAGACTATCCTTCAGCTTTTGTCGACTTCAACACAGTGCATCGATGTCGCGACCATGAAGCAGTCAGAGTCTGGGCCGAAGCAAACCAACTGCCTCCAGAAGATCAGGTGAACATGTCGCGATTTTACGAGATGCCTAAGCCAGGAACCTCGGTATTGACGGAGATCCCTTGAAAATGGCTAGGTCGTGTTAGTCCACAATGGCGTAGCAGAAATACTTTTCTTTACCGGCATAAGCTATCAGGCAAGATGCTTTCCAAGCGCGGTGATTTGCGTATGCATATGGGGTCTTGCAATGACGACAGCTGCTTGTGCACATAGGTCTCATAGCCAGTAGATGACTCATTCGCTCAGTTTTGACGAGGCTTCACGACCCCGTCATGGACGATGTAGTAGACAACAGTGCTGTCCGAATCTGCCGTGCCCAACAACACCCTCTTTGTAGTCCTCCACGGATTTTGCGGGGCCGCAGACTCAGAAGCAGCATCTGGTGGGGGAGGCGGCACTGAAGGAATTGCATCAAAAACCTCGGCCAATCTACGCAACGTCCACTTTTCGTTCAGCCTGGTAGGCAGTATCCATTCGCGCTCGGGTTCTGCCTTGACCTGCAATCCGCTGGTCTCTCCTGCCGATTTGTTCGCTTTTCTCTTGCGATCGGCTTCTTTCAGCAGTTCGACTTGCTCATCGGGGTGTATGTAGATGCGCTGCGGGGGGAGGCCAGAGACCAATGGGCGGGCCAGTGGCTTGTTCGAGAGCGATGAATGAGTGTGCACGTGCAGGTCGGTCCAGTGGTGCTGGTACTGGAGGTTGTGCTGGACCTGTATCGCGAGCGATTGCAATTGCGGCAGGTGTGCGCCGGCAGCATCGACTGCAGCGAAAGCTTGCTGCACCGGTGCGGGCACGATTGCCGGCTTTGTGGGCGCAAGAGACGTCATGACAGGCGGACACGCGGTGTTTGCGGGTTATTGGTGGTTGTCGTGTTTTGAATGGCCGGGAGGTGACGAGGACGCTGTGCTGTAGCGGGAAGGAGCGAAGATGGCACTTGCCTAATCCACCTCCCCACCAGTCACAAGAGACCGCCGAGCAAGCAAGCTTGAAACATATACGCAAGCCAGGTAACACAGGCCGCGTTGCTTAAAAGACCTGCTGGCCATGTTCGAAGCGACGTGTTTGCAAACTTTCGATCCTACCGTATAAACACAAACATGCTTGCACTCTTCGCTCCCACTGTGCTGCTTCTGGCTAGCGTAGCCGTTGCTCAATCGTCTACACCCAGCGTCGCAACCTACCAGTCGATCCCCCCAGTTCCCACAACAGAAGGCGTCTTCACTATTCAGACATCCGAGCCCGTCTTCGTGGAGTCGTCTGTTTGTGCGGTTTGCTTCATGGAGCCATGTCCTCCCTGTGCGCAGTACCAATAAGACCACACCGTGTATGGCGTGCTAACACAGCCAAGGTGGACCATCGTCTGAGGGCTCCATGGGCGTATTTCCTGGGGAAACACCCATTGTCAGTGGTTCTACGGGCAGCGTCCCTGCTGTGACAACCGTTGTCAGTGGCTCCATGGGCGTCCTACCCGGAGAAACACCTATCCCGAGTTCGTTGTTGTCGAGCAACCCGGCTTCTGCTGTCTCCAGCACCTCAGCACAAACGACACCGTCTTCCTCTGCATCCGGAAGTGCTCCTCCCCAACAGTCCACTGCAGCGGCATCGGCGGTACTGCTGCACAACGACCATTCTGCTCTCTCGCTTGCGTTAGCCTTATCAGGACTGGCGCTTGTTGGTGCTTCATTCGTTCTTCTCTGAGACAACTCGTAGGATATTCGTACATGTGAGCTGGCTGTTGAAGAGGATGTGAAGTATGTAACAAATGATACCATGAACAGTCAAGCGCTTTCCATGTACTTCGCGTGCCCGATCAAAAAGAGGCACTCTGGCAGAGCCTCTGTCTGCCGATGCGGCTGTTCCCGACAAGGGGAGGCCTTCACGCCCTGAACACCTTCCACGGCTCGGGCGAACGCTCGGGATGCGGCACTAGGGCGATGCAGGCGTCAGCAGCAGCGTTGACCTGGGTGGAAGGCGACGGAGGACGCCGTCTATACCCTGTTGTGCCTAAACTAGGAAGCTTCAGCGAGGTCAATAGCCTCGTGGCGAGATATATCGAGGTGCCAGCACCAGCAATAAGGCTGAGTCCATGGTGCGCCCAACCAGGGCTATCGCAATCTCTCGCGGCGGGGAGGGGCCAATCAGATAGACTTATGTAAGGCTTGGCAGACCGGAATTGCTTGAGACGCCCGATCGTGATGTAAAACCTGGAGAAACGACCATAGTCGAGCCTCCAACACTGATTTAACATCGCCGTTGAAGCACCGACTCGAAATCATCCACCCGGTGTCCGGGATCACTCAGCCCTAGCATCGACCCTTGCAATGTTCTCCGCCAGCGTAAACTTCCCGGCGCGAGGGCATAGTCAAATAATCGTGACCAGTCCGATATACTATAGCAGGGCGCACCAAAAGGTCGTCAAAACTGATTTTACCTTCCTAGGCTCATCCTTGTACATTCGATCCTTTCGATGCTTATGATGAATATACTATTTCCAGTCAAGCAAGCGCAAGAATTCTAGCTCTAGACAGGTGTAATCAAAGCTAAACTGACCACACGCTAGTTAAATTGGGAAAAGGCCAATGTTTTACTACATGAAGAGAACTTGGAGATGAAGGCAGGGTCTGGCAGCAGCAAGAGAAGGGATCAGAAGGCTTCAGATGAGTCCCTGGATAGTGCTCACTCTCTAAGGGGCTGCGCGGCGCAACACAACCTGCAGTCCGCCGAGAAGCTTGCAAAGGCCCACCGTCGACGATTGCCCCGGCCCTTTATGTAAGCCCTAAGCCAGCATTGTTGTTGTTCGAACTTCGCTAGAACGATTCAGTGACTTTGAATCTCGTTGGGCGACGAATTTGCATTTCATGCGAATTTAGGCCTCAGAGGCTCCTCCAGACATTCCTGCATGCATCTTCTAACTCGACATGCGAAAGCGAGCCCTTTCCAAATGGAAGCATACGTCAGTAATATATTGTATCATCCTAATACCGCCGGTGCGCGATACTAAGGCACGTGGTTCTGTTTTGTATCGGTACTTCAACATGCCATAACCCTGGCGCGTCATCATCAGCCTTGCAGACCTCAGACCCTAGCCCTGTTGGACTTTTGACAGCCCATAAAAAGTTAGCGTAATGGTCGTCGTGGATTGTCCCGAATATGCGGTCTTACTTCTAATTACACTTCACCTGGGCAGCTTACACGGTAGGACCGGTCCGGAACAATCACGGCATGTACAACTCCAATGTTGGTAGCCATATAAAAACATAATATCCTGCTTACGGCAACGAATCCATCCCTAGACGCTCTTTACTTTTCACATCGCTCTTTACCACATTCTTTTATATTTACATTTTACTGCAAGATAATATCAATCATGCGTTCGTTCGCCGCATTCGTCGCGACTGCGGTGGCCATACCAATGGCCATCGCCGCGCCCAACAAAGCCTGGAACTCGGACAAGCTGGATGCCAAGTACTACTCGCCGGAGCAAGTCATGGATGTTGATGTTGTGATCATCGGTGCAGGTGGCATGGGTGCTTATTCAGCTATCCAACTCAAAGACGCAGGAAAGAAGGTCGTGGTAGTGGAGTCGAAGGACCGCTGCGGAGGCCACACGGAGACGTACCACGACAAAGAGACCGGAATCCCTATCGATATGGGTGTGAAGCTGTACCATGACGAACCTCTGGTGTACCAGTGGTTCGCCCGCTTCAACCTTTCTACCACCTTTACCACCGGCGCAGCTGGGGCAGCCGCCGGGCCAAACCTGAACGTTGACTTCAGGACTGGACAGGTGATCCCGGGCCTGCCTGCTGCCAACCAGACGGCTATTGGTGCTGCTATCGCACGGTATGCTGCCATTATTTCGCAGTGGCCTCAACTCGAGGGTGGCTTCTACCTCCCTGAGCCTATTCCCGAGGATCTGCTCATGCCCTTCGGCCAGTTTGTTCAGAAGTATCAGCTCACCGATGCGGTGCAGACTATCTATGTCATCACTTCTGCGTTTGGCGACGTTCTCGAGATCCCCACGTTACAGGTGATCCGTACCTTCGGTTTGGGTCTCATTAAAACCATGCAGAACTTCCAGACCAGCTCGGTCAATGACAACAGCCTCCTCTTCGAGAGGCTCACTGCCGAACTCCTGGCATCCAACTCTTTGCTTCTGTCTTCCAAGGTCACCAAGGTGGCACGCGTGAGCAAGATTGATGGCGGTGTCAAGGTTCTTGTCGAGACTCCCAAGGGCTGCCGTCTCATCCAAGCGAAGAAGATCCTCATGGCCATCCCGCCCACTCCCGAGAACCTCCAGACATTCGACCCCAGCGGTGACGAGTTGAAGATTTTTAGCCAATTCACTTCCGTTGGTTACTTCACGTCCATCATCAGGCACGCTGCGCCCAACAACACTGCCGTCAACAACCTGGCAATCGACAGGCCGTACGCAGTGCCAGCTATGCCTGCTGTGTACAACATCCTTCCTACGAGCAACCCTACCCTGAGCCTTGTCTACTACGGCACCAAGGTTGGCCAACAGATCAGCACCGAGCAGGCGAAGGCTGCCATCATGGCGGACATCAACCGTTTCCGAGCTGTGAACAACGTCACTGGCCCCGCGCCCGAGTTCGTTGCATTCGCCAACCACGCCCCATACAACCTGATGGTTGGAGCCGAGGCTACGCGCGCTGGATTCTACAAGAGCCTGTACGGACTGCAGGCGAAGCGCAACACTTTCTGGACTGGTGCGGCTTTCAGGGCTCACGACAGCTCTTCCAGCTGGGCCTTCACCAGCAGGAGCGTGCTGCCTCAGCTGTTGGCCAGCTTGCAGTAGATGTAAGTATGCGGCGGCTCGGCACTTGAGTTAACGTGATAACGGGGTGGTTACTTTTTTCTTTGGTCATTGGAAATGCATTCATAGACCTGCTGTTTTATCAAGCCTTCAAATATCGTTGGTATATAATAATTACTACATACCATATTCCCCCCCTCTTTCAGCTTTAATGCACGTGGATGTGAGGATGTGATCCGACTTGCGCGGTTTCCATACTGTATGCGATGCCATTAGAATGCTCTTTCGTTGATGAGCATTTTCAATTTATCGTCAGCAGACGTTGTCGATACACGAATGTTGGGATGAACCTGGTGGGCGCGTAGATCCGTCGATGCGACAGATCTCCTTCGTGCCACGCGTCGAAGTCAAATACGAGGATCCGTTGGGATACGCGACAGTGTGCGAGTGGCGCAGATGACGGAAGTTTGTCCGCGCGGGTGGCTTGGGTGTGGATCTGGGCCCTTGGATCCGCAACCAAAAAGGGGGGTAAGTTGCGGATCCATGGAGCGGTCGCGACCATTCACCTGTGCATGGACAAGCCAGCGACCCCAAACATGAGACTTTATCTCCTGATGCCCCAAGCCGGCTTTTTCTTAACCATTATGACGCTGCCATCCGGTTGATAAATTGTATCTCCCTATAGCAAGGTTTCTGCCAAGGCATTTGTGCCGCTGCCAACTGTGCCAGCGGTCATTGAACTGGTCATTGAGCTTGGCCAAATACGCCAGCTGGGAAATTGGCCACCAGTCACTAAAAGACTTGTGACAGCCAGCACAGCCTCTCGCAAACACACGCGCAATGGCGGCTTCGAACTCGACCCCGACGCCCGTTCCTTTCCCGCAGCCAAAGGGCATTCGCGACCCGGGTTCGAGCGATACTCCGCCGGACTCGCCTGGTAATACACGTCGCCAGCGAACGTCCACCAATGCCTCCGCTATATCAAATCGAGTTCGCACTGCGAGCTTGAAGCTGATGGAAGCCAACCCTCCTCCTGGAATGTGGGCTGCGACCGGTGCAACTGCATCCAAGGCCCCGTCGCTAGCAGACATTCGAAGAGGCTCCTATGGTTCAGAAGGTTGGAGCGAAGACACGCAGCGCAAACGAGCAGGCTCTCGTACAAGCCAAGAGAAGAGAGCTGAGCCATCAAGGCACGCCAGCGGCACTATATCGCCGCTCGAGGGCGGTGTCGAGGCGTTCCCGGCAGTGACAGAGGAAGACATGCGCGAACGCCCGTCAGGCGAAGCCATGCGCGAAACGCAAAGATACGAATCAAAGCACAACAACGCCGCTACAGATGTTGAGCTTAGGCAGAGCAACTCCATAACGGACAAGAAGGAAGAAAGCGCAGTTCGAGAGCCTTTGACAGGCTCTGGAGAGGTATGCTTCTCGTGTTCGATACCCATGTGCCATTCAATCACGTACTAACGACTGTTCAGTATGCCAACGGCTACGTCCCTCCGCCAAAGCTGCCCTGGAAGCGTTCTTTCGCCATAGGCATGAGATCGTTCTGGAAGTGGTTCTTGACGCCAGCAGGCTTCCTCATCACAATCTACGCCTTGAACGTCGTCGCATGGGGCGGTATGCTCTTCCTGCTTCTTTGCAACGCGGCACCAGCTATGTGCACGCCTACTTGCGACGACATCAACTCTCCCCGAAGGAAGTGGGTCGAATACGATTCCCAGATCTTGAACTCTCTCTTTTGCGTTACTGGCTTTGGTCTGGCTCCTTGGCGATTTCGCGATCTCTACTGGTGGGGATGGTGGAGGATGGGCGGGTCTTCACGCAAGGAGATCGGTATTCGCCGTCTTGCTGGCATTCATCAAGGCTGGTTCCGCCTTCCCGGCTCCCAGCAACTACCCGAGCTTGCAGACGCAAAGTCAGTTGATCCCGAAGATCCAGCTGTACCGATTCCGGCGAAATCGATACCAGACCCGCCGCCAACAGGCATGCGCGCGCCTCCTACCAAGAGCTGGAAGATGGATTTTGTCCTATGGATGAATGCGTCAAACACTTTCTTCCAAGTTATTCTCTGCTTTTACATGTGGCACTACAACAGAATTGAGCGCCCGAGTTGGGCAACGGGTCTTTTCGTCGCCCTAGGCTGTATAGTCGCTGGTGTCGGTGGCATAATGATGTGGCACGAAGGCAAAAACATCAAGAAGGTGGAGGGAGTGCCGATGCGCAAGGATTACAACGACACCCCAACGAACGACGTCGAGCGACGCTCGGTGCAGAACATTCCATTGGTGTCGAATCCGGGTGGAGCGGCAAAGTCATGATCACCGAACCTGCAGGAAAGCAGGGTGTGGCGCCTTACATCGCCTTGGCGCAGCGAACACTCAACATCATTACAGCATATTCAGCTAGGATACAGTCTTGGAGATACCCCATTTTTTCGTACATCATTGTAATCAAGACATTATTCGCGAGTCATTTCTTCCCGATCTCCCTATTACGTCACACATACGAGCCCTCTATGCAGCTGCAACTCAAAACTTAAAGCAGTTCCCATGCAGTTCGGTGTAGCCTCGCACCATGCATACGCTATAGTGGCATGCCGAGATACCCGGTGCCACTGAATACTAGGCAACCTTCGCACTGATAGGTTTCAAGTGTTGACTTGGATGACGTCGAGGGACATTTGAGCTGCTAACTTTTACGGTAGACGTGACATGTGCACGCGATCGATAACTAATACCTAGAGCTGACCCATCTGATGCTGCAATCCACTTTTTGAGCGCCTCTCACCTTCTGACATATACCGTCATTGCTTGATATACCCGGGCGTCTCTTACTTCATTTCAGGAAAGAACGAAGCCTTACGATCCTGAACCTCGACTCCACCATCTCCACCTCCTACGAACCCTACGAAACACATCCATCATCAACCTGAAATCGAACAGACATGGCAGCAGCAGAATACTACGCCACAGCCCACGAGCTAGCTGGCACCCATCCACCACATGTCTACTCACCACAAACACAACCACCACCACCTCAGTATCAACAACCCTACGCACAACGACCACCACAATACAACACAGCGCCACAACAGCAACAGCAGCAGCAAATCCAAACCTACCCACCGCATCCACACAACGTGCACCCAACACCACCCTACCCTATAGACCCGCCCCCATACTTCGCACCCCCTCCGCAATCAAACACACCCCTAGGTGCCCCCCTGCACCCCCACCGAAGCCGCTCCCAACCCCCGCGCGTTCGCTTTGCAGACCAAGACTCGGACCGCTCGCTCTCAGACTCTCATTCAGACAGCGACAGCGCGTCGTCCTCGCCGCGACGCCGGCATCGACACCACAGCAGCAATCGCGATCTAACCCACGCCCAACGCCGCGAACACAAAGACCGCGACACCTTCCTCGGCGCAGGCGCGGGTGCGCTCGTCGGCGATGTGATTTTCCCGGGCCTGGGGACGGCGGCGGGGATTTTGTTGGGGGGCTTGGGCGGGCGCAAGTATGCCAAGCGCTCGAGGTCTGAGGATGGGGGGCGTGGGCATAGACATAGGGAGGCGTATTATGAGGGGAGGGAAGAGGCGAGGCATGAAGGGCATGGGCATGGGCATGGGCATCGGGATGCGTATCGGGAGGGGAAAGAGGAGGCCAGATATGAGAGGGGTGGGGAAAGGAGACATGGGGAGAAGAGGCATCGGAGGAGTGATGGGTGGGACGGTTAGGAGCGGGTTGGTTGTTAAGTAGATGTCGAGTGTAGGTAATGAGGTATAGATAACAGCCATGACTTGTAGTTGTAACGAGTATTTGTTCTTTCCAAAATCGATTTGATGGTATCCCAAGTAAAAGTTCATACCTACTTCCCGGAACAGAGACCAAAATCGCTAACATTATGCAAAACAAAAATAATGAATATACTAACAACACTCAAAAAGTAATTTCCCTCTTGCCCTCCACACCAAACGCCCTCATCACATAGACAAAACTCCTGGAAATGCTACCCATCTCTCCTCACTCCATCGTCCCCCGTCTCGGCATCCCCCTACCCCTTTGGCCCACCCCATTCAACATATCCAAATCAACCGGGCCCGTCCCCATCCCCAGCCCAAACCCAAACCCCTCATTCCCCTGCGCCGAAAACACGCCATCATCACCCATGCCCGGCGGGTCGACATTAAATGGAACAAAGTAGCTGCTCATGGGGTCGAAGAACTGGTTTCCCGCGCCCATGTCGAGGTTCCAGAACGCGGCGGGGTGGGCGTTGAAGTCGGCGGAGAGATCGGGGAAGGGCGACATATCGAGTTGCTGGGAGGGGTGGATCAGGTTGGGCGAGGTGTTGAGCATGGGGAGTTGGGCGTGGGCGTGGGCGTGTGGGTGGTGCTGGGGATGGTGGCCGGCGAATTCGGCGATGAATTGTTGGGAGGGGGTTTGTTGGTGTTGGGAGGGTGTGGTGAAATATGTAGTGGGGTCATAGTCAAGGGCGTCTTGTTGCGATGCGAGGTTCATCTGGGAGAGGTGGTGTTGGTGGAGGCGGGATTGTTGTTGCTGGGATATTGAGTTGTGCCGTTGGGACTGGGGTGACAGGTTTGGTGGGCCGTCCGCTTTCGAGATTGATTTTGACTTGGCTTTGCGGGCTTGTTTGCGTTGTTGGTCGGATCGCGAGGGTGGGGAAAGAGAGGCGAAGAATTCTTCGACGCTTTGTAAGTCGCTCTTGGTTCCGAGAACGGCATCGGTGCCTGGTTCGTTCGCGAGCGATTCAGCGGCGTCTTCATAATCTGTCTTTGAAACACCATGTGGATATCTATCAAACCAGTCTCCGTATTGGAATATGCTGCCCTTTTTCTTGTCTCCTGTAGATGCTGGTCCCTTCAATTGAGCATCCGCATGCTGTCGATAGAGATCCTTCAGGTTCTCTGCAATGTAGTGGAACATGCCCCAGTACTTCTTCATCTTGGTAAGATACTTGACATTGTATGCCAAATACTTCTTCGATTGAGCTTCGAGCTTTGGGTTCTTCGAGAACACTCCATGTACGTGAACGGTTGACGCAAAGAATGCAGAATATCCAGCGAAGGGTGCGACAACATTGTGGTCCATGGATTCGTTGATGAGCATTGATATCTGATTCGCAGCGTCCAAGGCTGAGCGAGCCGATTCGGTGAGGAAATCGTGTGGCATATCCTTGGGTGGTCGACTGCCTGCTGTCGACGGAAGAGCGAAGCGATGCATGAAGAGCATAATCTGTTGCCACAGAATATGCAGGTACAAAAACGAGTTTGCGGTCTTGCCTATCGCGTGGCTCTTGAGATTCTCTGGCGTGTAAACAAGCATCTCGGGTAGCGATTCTTTGAACTCCTTTGCCTCCTTCTTGATCTTATTGAATGTCGACTGTGGCGACCACATCGTATCTGATTCACGCTCTTTCCCACCCAAGTTCATGTACTTGATCAAATTGCCCCAAATGCACACTAGTCGAATCGTGTACGCCGATACGCCCATGTTGTCGCGTGGGTTCGCTAATTGGCCACTGTCAGGCGGAACAGGGTTGGGCACGTTGCCTTCCAAATTCTCCGTCGGCGCATGTATCTCGTGCAGGTAGAGATGCTCTTTGACCGGTAATTGTACTTCAATGTACTGTTCGTGCACGAAGAGCGGGCGATCGGTGCCAGACGAGTTGAATCGATCCATTAAGAAGCAAGACCACATCGTTCTTCGTCGGATCTCGCGATCTGTGGCGGAAAGTGGCTTCCGATCTGGTTCACTGACAAGCGGATCGAACTCGTTTTCCTTGTGTAATTGCAACGCATATGCCATGCGCTGCGCCATGCCGCCAAACATCCAGCTTCGTCCTCCTTGACATGTGCCAAATTCGTGAAGACCAAGTAACAGATACACAATCAGTATCGTGATGTTCGGCGCATCGTATCGTTTCAGTGCGATTTCGCGCGCTCGTTCGGCCCAGGTGTCCCCTCGCAGAAAGCACGGTTCGGTTCGTAGTTGGGGATGTGTCGAAAATCGAGCTGATATGGCGCACATTGCTAGGATTAGAACTGGAGGCACTTTTCCAGCAGCCAGTTTCCGCATGAAGCTCGGCTTGTGCAGAAGGGGGTAGCTTTGCCCGTATACGAAATCAAAGTACACTTCAGCCAGATGCTCTTGGATTTCTTTCGAGGGCAGACTCTCCGCGCCTTCTGTAAGCAGCTTGGTATCGTCCGATTCCTTCGAATGTGATGCGATGCCGGTCGCAGCTGGATCCGACCCTTTTGCTTTTGACCAGTCGTCCAAATCGTTTCCGAATGCCTCTTCTGCGACGCGCTTTTTGGTCGTGGGCGTTTTCGGCGGGGCTCCTGGGATTGGTGGTTTGACCACCGACCTTCCAACGTTCGCGACAGATGGCAGGCTTTCTTTTGGTATTAGCTTTATGACACGATCTTCCATGCGCTTCAACCGCTTATCCAACATGGCCATGTAGTCTGTCCTCGGCGCAGCCTTCCTCGTGGTGACCTTATACACGCACGGTATTCTGCTCCGCAAACAGTGCTTGCATGCTGGCTTCTCGCCCGAGCAGCGAATCTTCTTCCTCCGACATGCGATACATGCCAGCGGCAGCCTCTTTCTCTCTTTTCCAGCTTTCGTCTTCATCTCGCTCCAGAGCGGTGGATCCTGCGGGTCGTCTTTGCTTCTTCGCGATGTGGTCGAGTGATCTGTGCCGTCATTTCCACTCAGCCTGATGCCGAGTGCTGAGGCATCGTTCAGGTTCTCCCCAATAGCCAGCATGCCCAGCGCGGCCGCGCTTTCGGGGCTTGTATGATTCCCATCCAACATGTTCCGCGGGCTGCCTCCAATACTCAGCCTGTGCTGCTGCGCGCTACCTCCTGCACTGGCATTGTCCTCGCTCATGTGACTTAGGCTACCGCGGTGATCTTGGTAGCCCGACTCGATCTTGATGCCATCGAAGCCAGTCCCAAAGCCCTGGGCCTGCGCATACGCTACGTCAAAGTCGCCGAACGAACCCATCATGTTGTTCGGACTAATTCCAGAAGCGTTGGGCGACGAGCGAAGTTCCGGTAGGCCGTACTCATTCAGCATGAGGGAGTCATCGTGCTCAAAGCGTGCGTGCGATGGCGTGGCCATGGAAGTTGCAGATGCGCCGGAATCGGTCAAGCCTCGCTTGCGCGTTTCTGAGCCTCACGAATGCAGAGGCCGCTCGCGCTCACATCGGATTCGGACGAAAAGTCCCAAAGACGCTACAACTGGCACCCTTGGAGATCCAAAATACACATTGCCAGACCGGAATTCAGCTGTCAAAGAACGTCGTGTGCTAGGCGGCTCGGAGGCGCACAGAGGCGAGGAATGCGCGGGCTTAGTGTAGAGCTCCGACTTTCTCCACAGGCCGAAGTTAAACGCAGTGGGGGCGCTAACCGCAAAGATCAATTGCTGTATGTGGGGAGAGAGACAAGTCGTAAGCGGGATTGGCAAGAGACGAGACGAAAAGGCAGAACATCAGCAGGTGGTCGCGGAGACAGCTCGGAAACTCGAGGCACGCGAATGACGCTGACGGGCCGTTGATGTGTAGCCAGGCCAGTTACGAGCAACAAATATCGACGGACCAGGGTAATTGCTGAAATGGCGTTGTTGCTGCATGGCTGGGATCGCATTGATGTAATCGCGCCGACAGGATTCGCAGCTGGCGCAGGCTGTCTTCCCGCTCAGGTCCGATTAACCTCGCTAGAAGGCACGTGATTTCCCCACATGGGCATGGGCGGGTCGAGGCCAGGACCCTATTAATCAGACATCACTCAGCAGCAGCGCCATGAGATGAACGCATAAAAACTTGGCCGCGCGCTGAAAGCGGTGGCCGATCGGCGCATCTGATGCGCCTTGACCTAAAATCGCAGAGGTTTTTCTGTATCCTGCCATGCCTACGATGCGATGCTACTCGAGACTGCAGCGTGTGGTGGAGTTGGCTGCTGTTTCTTGCGGGGCGCCCGCTTGTTCACGCCAAAAGCCACGCGCTGCATATTACATGCTTCATCAATCCTCAATCTCCGACTCCACCCAGCATCCGTTGGCTATTTCTTATTTCTTTCCGCCCGCGCCGATCGCCTGACTTCAGGTGCGTTTATGGACATTTACATACTCTTGCTCGTGATGCTTTCTTCGTCAGCTTTGCAGTGAACAATATGGGCTTGTCATGAGAAGTGGAAGCCGCATTTATTCTGCAGTGGAGCACTGCAAATGCATACGAGTGGATGTCGCTTCCACATTGCGGGCCGGACCAGGATATCGAGGCCTCAAAGTTTGGACGGAACGTGGGACCTTGTTTCTGGAAGGCACGGTCCCATGCTTGATACTCGCATATCGCGTCTCGTGCAAGGCCTCTCCGTCGTTGAACGTTCCGGTTATTCGCACGGTCACATGCTTCACTCTTTTCTCACAGCTCACCTCGCAATATCAACTTTGATTTAGCCATATTTTACAGTAGACAATCACCTGCTGTCTCCATGCGTAATCTCGTTACACAGGATCCTTCCCCACAGATTCTGATGTAACAGTAGACGATATCCAACCGGGATATACCCTTCCTAAACGCGCAACTTGCCCGACCCACTCACCCACCGGAGCGACCCTCTAATCCATACAAGTTGTGCACGAGGTGAACGGCTGCACCTTGTGCATATTGTGAAGCAATCCGTTTGTCCGCTTCAAGCCTTCTCCATATACGGACACCTTGGCGATGTCCGAGACGGACGCAGACAAACAAAGCTTCATTTACAGCCACATGGAGTAGCATGTAGGTCTGCACGCGACGGCTGCGGGGAAGCAAGCATCAAATCTTGGTTTTGTCGATCATTTGGCGTGGCATCAATAATCGCCAGGGGTGGATAGCTGCACCTAATACGCTAACGTAATGGGCGCGGTCAGATCAACTCACTGCTCAGGTGCAGTGCTGTGACATGACGAGCTAGATTCTGCCCAACAAACCCAACCCCAATTATTTCGACTTCCAACTCTTTTTCCGTGAACGTTTTCTGCATCTCCTTAGTCAAGATACTTTCAAGAGTATACGTTCTTCCACATTGCGTTCCATTGATGTTCACAAGGAAGTATGAGAAAGGCCCAGTGAGATGGCTGTATGGTATGCCAGACAGTCTATCCTCAGTGGTACCAGTGAATTTCCAGCATAGTCGCACGTGCTTATTTTCTCCTTCGCCTCGATGTTGCAATTGTACTTCGTAAATACTGTGTACATGCGGAACATTATCGCTCTGAAGTGGCGTGATCGAAATTGTGTATATCTCAAGGATAGGGACGGTTCCTTCACCACCAAAGCCAGTGAGGTGAAACCCCAATTCTTTTAGGCCACCGCCCTCGTCTGTGTCTGTTTGCGGACCAATCTTTGCGCGCATCGTGTGGACTCCCCCATTGTCTTCTATCGGTAGCAGTCGTGGCTCATCGCGATTGATGAGCTTGAGAGACAAGCTTGGTACTGCGCCTGTATCAGTGGCCAGATTGCGATAAGTGACTTCCAATGCCAGACCACCGACTGCAGGCATATTCAAGCTGTAGAGAGGTATGTAGCAGTCGAAGTACTGGGTAAGCACATCGGCCTGTATGCAGTTGTGGGCTTCGATTACCAGCTTGCTTTGAGGACCTTGTGCTAACCTGTGTGCGATGCGGGCTTGGCTGCCTTGATTGACACATGGTACTGGTATAGGAAGAGGAGCTTGCGCGCCAAGTTGTGCGTGCAATGGCCCATCTGTGACGTGCTTCGCGAAACTGCGGCTGAAATCAGTAAAAAAGAACATTTCCCATCCAGCTGGAAAACACCTGGCAGATTTGGTGATACAGCATCCCTGTGTCTGTTGATGTCGAACTGCTGCATTTCCACAAGAACAGTCGACATCGTTTGGTAAATCGTCACCGTGCCACATTGTCCGCTCGATTGCTCTACCCTGCACAGGAAAGTGCTCAAAAGACCAGGCAGGTGCAAAGATACCAGCGGACAAGCCGAGTTCTGCGAGCTTTGTCACAGCTGCACCAGTGTTGGTTCCACCGCCACCTTTTTTGGGATACGTAGATCTGGATTGGTGTGACCCTGAATTATTTTGCGCCCAGACATCGACGCCAAAGAAGATCTGTTCGGGTGGAAAGCCTGACTGCAAAGCAATCGTCTTCGATCTGCTTGCCTCGGACTCGCCCCAGCAGTAATTGGTCAAGATGCCGCCACAAGCTTGGGCAAAGAGAAGATTGGAGGCGGTTAGAGCGTTCTGGTAGGATATCTTATTTGACGTTGTAAGGGCATCATACCTAGAAAAAAAAACCCCCGTCAGCTTACTTGGCCACAAGGTAAATCGAAGTAGATCGTCTTCACTCACCATACCAATTGCCTATTGTCACCCAGCTCGTCTCTCAACTGCACCAGGAAGGCTTGAAGTATGTTCGGACTCCAAGCCTCTCTTGGGAAAGGTATCTCAATATTGACTAGATAGCCATCGAAACCATAGTGCTTCGCTATATTGGCTAGCTTTGTGGCGAGACCGAATGTCATGTTGCCATCACTGCTTGTGTGCTGCAAAAATCTATCTGTCTCCTTGGTCTGCGGCTCGACGAGGATGGTACCAAGAGCCAAGACACCATTGCGATGGAGTGTGTTGGCCCAAGTTGGTGGAGGTACACAGACTAGCTTATGGGAGAAGTACACAAATGAGTCGACGTACTGAAGGTCCTCACATGCATACATCTCTTCTGCGAGATCCGCACCTTGCACGTTTTCGTAATCGTGGTAATTGCCTGCATAGTCATGGACTAGTAAGACGCGCGCTTTGGGTCCTTCTTTTGCCGCAGTGCCAACAATTCGAGGTAGTAATGGTGTATTCGATATCTGCAGTGGGTCTGAATCGCTCTCTTCCCAACCTTCGAGCTGGTCGAAAGTGTCGAAATACTCGAAACCCTTCAGGCGATCTCGTTCACGTTGTAGCCGGCGCTCTTCTGGAGAGGGACCGGTATCTGGCGTCGGGAACAGATGGCGATACCCATCTCTGATAGGCCTCAGGATGTCTTTCCAGCCTAGAATTGAGGCCATCGTTTTTGAATGAATTGCAGTTTAAAAGAGTCTCATCTTGATTGTAAGAGGCTTTCGCACTGGTACGCCGCAGCCAGAAAGTATGCGATAGACTGTTCAAAGCATTGTGGAGGTGATTGCAGACAAGACGACCGTTGATCAGACTGAGGAAAAATGATCTGTATTCCCAGCATTACATCAACCCGTCTAGTGTTGGTGGTGCGGGCAACTGTGATGCATGGTGAGTGGGCAGCGGGAGTGACGTTCGACAGGGATGAGCCTTGGCAACCTGCAAGGGCTCAACGCCTTGCAGCTGCTCCGTCTAAACGTGTCATTTCTCGACAACATCAAACAGTCTTTGCGCACTCCTTCAGAGCCTGCACCGTTGTCGAACCCACGTACGCGACTCACACACTGGCAAGACACGCTTTGCCGCGATCATGAATCTTTTCCGGCTACTGGGTGAGTTACTGGACCATTTCTTGCGGAGTCTTTGCGGAGGTGTCGAGGGATGAGATGGTGAGATTTGGTCGCGAGAAGGCTAACAGCTATTTGTAGGGGATTTATCCCACCTGTTCTCCATCTTGATTCTTCTGCATAAGATGAAAATGTCTAGCGTACGTCAATGAAGCCCCGCGATGAATGCGCCGTTCCTGACAATCCTCCAGAGCGCGTCGGGCATATCGTTCAAGTCGCAATTCCTCTACCTCATCGTCTACCTCACGCGATACATCGACCTGCTATGGACCTTCTACGAGCCCAAGTCTCTCTACAACACCGTCTTCAAAATTGTCTTCATCAGCACATCGGCGTATACTGTCTACCTTATGCTTAACGACTTCAAACCGACCCACGACCCTAATCTGGATACATTCAAAGTGCAATACTTGCTGGGTGCGAGCGCGGTACTGGCGATACTGTTTCCGTACAAATATACATTCTCCGAGGTAGGTCGTGGATAGTGAAGCGGCCACACAATTGCTAATGGCAGGGACAGATTCTCTGGGCGTTCTCCATCTGGCTTGAATCGGTCGCTATCCTCCCTCAGCTCTTCATGCTCCAAAGAACAGGTGAAGCAGAGACTATTACAACGCACTACCTCTTCGCGCTCGGCGCCTACAGAGCCTTGTACATTCCCAACTGGATCTACCGCTATTTCTTCGACGTGCCACGATTCTACGACCCAATTGCGGTGATCGCCGGTATTATCCAGACCGTACTCTACTCGGACTTTTTCTACATCTACTACACCAAGTGAGTGTTCCTGTTTCAGAATGATCAGCAAGTATACTGACAATTCCTAGGGTCGTTCAAGGCAAGAAATTCAACCTTCCAGTGTGATCGACGCAATTCGAAAAGTTTGCGGCCACTGTTCGAGTGGCATCTATCGACGTTCGCATGCTTCGTGTACAATATATAAGTAGGGTTTGAGCACTTTTGCTGGCGTTTGGAGGCCGAGGTGATTGGCAAATCTGGGCAACGGTGGTCACACTGAACGTTGCGCTCGCATGTCTTCCTTAGCATTTAGAAGACACGAGTACAATTTTTGTAAAATGATGCTACGGATCAACTAGCTTAGACGCAGGACATGGCTGCTGTGTGCGGCATGAATAGAGCTTTGACTTGAACCTTGTGTGCGCCTTACTCTACGATGTGTACTAGATGTTGTCATGTACGATGGACATAATAACAAAGATCAAGGCGCATTATTGCGCCCAACAAAGAATATACAACAGGAGAAGACCTGTACTAAGGTGATATAGCAGGGTAAGGATATTGTCCGAATTGGTGAGGCTGACGGCCCGGGATCCTACTCCGCACAGCGCCACCGCGGACGATCGGTCGTGCTTGCCAATCAGCCCTGTGACGATGGCCAACAGACCCGCGCATCGACTTGTCACCACTCTCATCTTTTCCCTGTATTCATCTAATTAATACCATTCACTCGCTCCTCTTTTCTCACGATACCCGCGCTATTCGACGTTTCCCCGAAGCATTACTCTTCGACCGCAACTGCGCACGCGAGGCTCCCGGGATCCCACAACACAAAGAATCATGTTCTGCCTACGGAGCTGGATACCTGTGCTATTCTTCTTGTGAGTTGCAAGACCGATCCCGACCTTCCGAAGCGTTGCGCAGTACTAACCGTCCATCTAGATTACGAACTCATGCATCGCCCGTCTACCTCATCCTCTTCATCTCTGCGACGTACTTTCTAAACCGGCCGTGTGTATACTGCTCGCTCCTCTTATTCATTCTCGTTGTCGCGCTGTTCGACTTCCACACGCCGTGGTTCGATCCGCCGCTTGCGCCCGACACTGCCGAGCTGGCGCTGAACGGCACGATGGTCGAGACTGCGGGTGTGCTGGCACAGGCAGCGAATCACACGGCGCAAGCGCTGGTGAAGAACGCGTTCGACGGGGTCAAGGGGAAGATCGGGCAAGGAAACGGCGGCAAGGAGTACGAGTGGGTGAAGGGGCTGTTGGGCAAAAAGGAGTTCAAGATTCAGTGTTTGGATGTGCTTATTCGGATATGAAGACGCGATTCAACGACAAAGAAGAAGAAATTCGCTCTGTAAATTCAACACTATGGAAGCGCGGCACCCGTGGGCGTGGGATTGGGATTGGGACTGGACAGGGTATCTTGCATGTCAGGCGCGTGGATTGAAAGCATTTGCATGGCGTCTTTGGAATACCACTTTGCACGCGGTGTGGCTCTACACACTGGAATTACAACTGTGTCAAGGGCAACGAATTGTTCATAGAAAGGCGACGGATCATCTTGAGCACGCGTTTAGGCCCTGAAGAAAGACCTATGATATCAAACTGCATGTTCTTGTCCATCGCACATCTCTGCTGATACAACGTCGAGACAGGGCAGCATGCGTTCTTCCCTCATCGGTCGTACATGGTGCAACGAACCTAGCCGTTGAAATTCTCAGTCTAGAATGTGGACCGAATATGCGGTGATTTGTAGAAGCGAACTCTCAAAAGTCCTCCAAACGCAGCCATGTCCATATGCACCGACAGAAAGATGCAGCTCACAATTCTTGGTCCAATGCGTCCACGATCTTCACTCAATGATGCATCATTTGGACCCCGCGCTACCTACATATGTGACAGGGATCAGCCCGTGGTGGGGCAAGAGCATCTTGCACGCGCACCTTCCCTTCTGGATCTACTTGCACGTTACGCAGCTTCCTCACGCCATTGAGTTTCTGCTATAAGCCCTCTCCTTCATTCGGTTCCCTGTCCTAAAGCTGGCTACCCTTTCTGTATCTTCGAGACTCTGCTCTCGACCTCGGCTCTGGACTAGACTTCGGATCACCCCTCGCCATCTGTATTCACCAGCAAGCTATACACCACTTGGATTCGCAAGCTCCACTAACCCCACTCAGAGCTCTAGAAGCTTCGTTTCAAAGCGTGCCGGCTCGTCGCGTACGCAATTGGTACTGCGACCGAGATTCGCAGCTGTCAGGTTAGACACATTCTCAGTTCAGAAGAGATTCTGTCAGAGCGAAGTTACAAGTAGCTTTGCAATCATGGCGTCCGACAGAGATATCCTCCCAGCTTGGTACGATCACCCTTAGCAAGTTCTACACATAGAAATGCAATGCTTCCCTAGACCACAAGCTAACACCGGCTGATCAGGGCTAAGCCTACGCACTACGCGCTCTCCCTCCACGACATCGAGTTCGGCGGCAAGTTTGGTTACAAGGGCACACTCACTATAACCACCAAGATTGACAAGAGCGATGGCTTCAGTGATCTCGTTCTCAACGCCCACCAGCTGAAGGTCCACAGCGCCGAGTTGAAGGCTGGCGATGCCACCAAGTCGGCGAAGGACATCTCATACGATGAGAAGCGCCAGCGCGTTACACTGGACTTCGGGGAGAAGATAAACTACTCTGGAGAGGCTACTCTGGAAATCAAGTTCGAGGGCACAATCAACAATGTACGTTAGACCATACCCTGCGACTCTGAAGAGGAAGTGCTAACAGCTGACGAAGGTCATGGCAGGTTTCTACCGCTCCAAGTATACACCCAAGGGTGAAGTCCCGGCATCTGTCGCAAAAGATGACGAGTTCCACTACATGTTCAGCACTCAATTTGAGTCCTGCGATGCGCGCCGCGCGTTCCCCTGCTTCGACGAGCCGAACCTAAAGGCAACCTTTGATGTTGAGATCGAGGTACCAAAAGACCAAACTGCTCTCAGCAACATGCCGGAGAAGGAAATCAAGTCCAGCAAGCGTGACGGCTTCCACACTGTCGTCTTCGAGCGCACACCTATCATGTCGACATACCTTTTGGCGTGGGCCATTGGCGACTTTGAGTACGTCGAGGCCTTCACTGAGCGCAAGTACAACGGCAAGAATATTCCAGTTCGCGTATACACGACAAAGGGCTTGAAGGAACAGGGTCGCTTTGCGTTGGACAACTGCCACAAGATTGTCGACTACTTCTCAGAGGTCTTCCAGATCGACTACCCTCTTCCCAAGGTTGATCTGCTGGCTGTGCATGAATTTGTAAGTATCAGCACCCCAGTTCACAGCCTTAGGCTGATCCTTTAGGGCGCTATACGTATACCCTTCACTATGAACTTCCTTAGACTGACCTTTGTTTTCTAGTCACACGGCGCTATGGAGAATTGGGGTCTCATCACCTACCGGTTAGTCGGAGCGCGATGTCAATAGAGGATGCAGCTTACATTCCTTTTAGTACAACCGCAGTGCTCTTCGATCCAGCTACATCTGCAGACAGCTATCGCAACAGGGTCGCATACGTCGTTGCCCACGAGCTTGCTCATCAATGGTTCGGTAACCTTGTCACCATGGATTGGTGGAGTGAGTTGTGGCTCAACGAGGGCTTCGCCACTTGGGTCGGCTGGCTTGCCATTGATCACTTGTACCCTGGTATGAAAGCTCATCAACCTTCGGAAACCCATTACTAACATAACCGGCAGACTGGAACGTCTGGGGACAGTTTGTCGTACGTCACAAGTCTCGAGGTATACATCCTTTGACCACTCACTGACTTGCGTGTAGACTGATTCCGTTCAACAAGCCTTTGCACTTGATGCTCTCCGAACTTCTCATCCCATTGAAGTACCCGTATACGATGGCCTCGAGGTCGATCAGATCTTCGACCATATCAGCTACCTCAAGGGAAGCTCCGTGATCCGCATGTTGAGCGCTCACTTGGGGGAGAAGGTCTTCCTGCAAGGTGTAGCCGACTATCTTAAGGCCCATCAGTACTCGAACGCCACCACCAACGACTTGTGGTCGGCGCTTAGCAAGGCTTCTGGTCAGGATGTAAACAGCTTCATGGACTTGTGGGTGCGCAAGATTGGTTTCCCTGTCGTTACTGTTGCCGAGGAGCCTGGCCAGATTGGCCTGCGCCAAGAGCGCTTCCTTCTTTCTGGCGACGTGAAGCCTGAAGAGGATCAGACTACATGGTGGATCCCACTTGGCCTGCACACTGGTTCCTCTGCCTCGGCTGCCTCGCTGCACAAGACCACAGCCCTGACTCAAAAGGAGGAGACCATCAGGAACGTTGAAGATGGGTTCTACCAAATCAACAAGAACCTCACGGGCTTCTACAGGACTAATTACCCAGCTGATCGTCTCAAGAAGCTCGGAGAGGCTCGCTCACAGTTGACCGTCGAGGACAAGATTGGCCTCGTTGGTGACGCTTATGCCAACTCAGTCGCTGGCTTCGGATCAACAGCCGGTCTCCTTGCCTTGGTAGAGCGTTTCTCAGATGAGTCCGACTACCTGGTCTGGTCCCAGATCCTCACCAACATCGGCAACGTCCGAAGCGTCCTCTCTAACAGCGAAGATGTCAGCGAAGGTCTGAGGAAATACCACCTCAAGCTCATCACCCCCGCCGTCGAGAAGGTCGGCTGGGAGTTCAAGGACGGCGAGAGCTTCCTCACGGGCCAGCTGCGCGCCAGCCTCCTCCTCTCCGCCGGCGTAGTCGGCCACCAAGCCACCGTCGACGAGTCCCTCAAGCGCTTCGACGCCTACGTCGCCGGCGACAAATCCGCCATCCACCCCTCGCTCCGCCGCGCCATCTTCGCCACCGCCATGCGCCAGCGCGGCGAATCCGCCTTCCGCACCATCCAGCAGGAATACCTCTCCACCACCTCCATCGACGGCAAGGAAATCTGCCTCCAGTCCATGGGCCGCGTCCAGTCCCCCGCCCTCGCAAAGGAGTACCTCGACTTCATCTTCTCGGACAAAGTCGCCATGCAGGACAAGCACTCCGGCACCATTGCGCTCGCGAATAACAGCAAGGTGCGCCCGGAGGTGTGGTATTTCATCCGTGATAACTGGGATAGCAAGGTGCATCCGACGCTTAGTGGGAATTTGGTCGTGCTGGAGCGCTTCTTGCGCTTTGGGCTGAATAAGTTCGCGGATGAGAAGGTTGCGGATGACATCAAGGCGTTCTTCAAGGGCAAGGACACTCGTGGGTATGATAAGGGGCTGGAGGTTATTGATGATACGATCCGCTCGTATGCCAAGTATGCGAAGAGGGATGAGGCGGTGGTTAGGGAGTGGTTGGGCGCGAATGGGTACTTGGGTTGACTTGCGGCGAGGTTGTAGCGCAGCTTAACGCAATCGTCTGAGCAGGCAGTGACCAATAAGCACTCAATCATTACTCATTTCACTCTTGATCCACGTAAGAATGTAACCTATGTCTTGACCCATCCAATTCGCCACGCTTCATGTACGCAAGGAAAAACCCCCTACCCACCGCACCATATCCATCTCCAACGCCCAAGCAAAAATTACCACCCCCCCCCCCCATCTATCCCAACGTCACCCCCTACTTCGCCCCAAAAATACGCTTAATATCCGCAAACTTGACCGGCTTAACCAAATACATATCGACCCCCGCATCACTAGCATCCTGCTGATCCTGCGCACTTGCCAGCCCCGTGAGCGCCACAATCGTACTCCGCTGCAGACCCATTTTCTTTTCAAACTGCCGTATCTGCCGTGTGGATGTCAACCCGTCCATGACGGGCATGCTGAGGTCCATGAGCACAAAGTCGAATGGCCGGACGGGCGCGGACTCCGTAATGTTTGCTTCGCGCTTGAATGTATTGAGCGCTTCGAGGCCATTCATCGCTTCGCTGAAACGCAGCTTTTGGCGCTGCGCAAATACGACGAGCAGTTTGAGATTGATCGCGTTGTCGTCGACGAGCAGGACGCGGGGGCTGAAGTACTCGGCGCTGACTTCCTGGCCAGGACTTAGGGGGGTGATTGTCGTTGGGAGGGCCTGAGAGATGGGCGGGGAGGGCATGCCGGGTTCATTTTGGGACGGGGGTTTTTCGTGGGGGTATACTTCGCTCAGGGAGCGGTGTGCGAGGGCAGCGGGCGGGGTGAGGTGATGGTGCGTGTCGGTGGTGGGGACGTTGAGGATGGTTTGCGAGCGGATGAGCGAGTGGCGGTTTGAGCCTTGGTTGGAGGCACGGGAGCGGCAGGTGAGAAGGGCGCGGGTGAGTTTGCGGGGGCCGCAGCTGGAGTTTTGGTTAGGTACGTGTAGATGGTGACTTGGGATGTGGGCGGACTTACGGTTGTGTGACAACTTCGACGACCCAGCCCAATGCATCCATCTTTTGCGAGAGGTGTGCGTCAACGACTGTCTTTTCAGCCGTGTCTGTGCAGATGCAGACCACAGATAGAGGTGCCTGATGGACTCGGCCCACGCCCGGCTTTTCAAGCAACTCCGTAAGTGACGGTAAGTCGCATAGCAAGAGGTCTGTTTCGGCACTTGTAACTTGGTCAACTCCGGATATGTGCATGTCATACGTCTGACAGGCCTTTAGCATGGACTCTTTCAGATGAACTCCACGCTCATCTCTGAGAGTATCAGCCACTGTGACGACACTTGCAGACAATCCAGACAATTCCTTCGAAGCGCGAAGCGCATGGTCCTGTTCCGCAGGATTGCTTTGCGAACTCGGTAGTCGAATAGCTACCAATATTTGCGTGCCTACATTGAGCGTGCTCTTAACCTCAATTTCTCCCTTGAGAGATTCGACGATTTGCTTCACTATGCTGAGCCCAAGCCCAGTGCCGCTGGAAAACGGATCTTCCTGACTAAAAGGAGCGAACAGCTTAGTCCGCTGGTAGTCAGAAGACATTCCACGGCCGGAGTCTTCAATGGTGAGAGCCAAGTCAATGGTCTTGTCACTGCTCATCGTCTGCTCCAGTCTTATTGCAATGAAGCCTGAGTCAGTATACTTGAGGGCATTTCCAAGAAGGTTCATAACGATGCGTCGTAGCGCGCCCGGTTGCGAACGGATACTCCAGCTCACATGAGGCGCGACGATGAGGGATACATTGACTCCACCAACTCTATCCCTGGCATTTGTAATGTTGTTCTCTGCTTGGTCATAAATGGCGCCGCCATTGGCGTTCTGTGTCTTGCGGAAAGTGTGACCTGCGCAGACTGTGTCACAGACCTCTTCCACCAGCTGAGCAAGATCAAAGTCGGCAGTCACACCAAGGATTGAGTTGTCAGCCGGGGATCTCTTCTGGCGCTTATCGTTGCGTTGCTTGCGCTGAGAATTCGTGCTTCGTAGTTTGTTTATCTTTGCGTAGTCGAGAACATGGTCGATGGTATCCAGTAGTGTTTTACCACAAGTTTCTATGGAAGAAACGAGAGACTCCTGGTATGCGGATGATACAGTATCGCGAAGGAACTCGACTGATCCTAGAATTCCATGTAAAGGACTGCGAAGCTCGTGGGATATGGAGGCAATGAATGTTGTCTTGGCTTTATCGGCCTTCTGAGCCGTCAAGCGTGCAACTTCGCTAGTGATGCTGTTCCCAAATGCTTGAAGATAAGGTAGCTCGTTTTCAGGGCTCATTAGTCGTCCAGCCTGTGTGGTCCAGATAAATCCACCAGCCACCCAGCGCTCGGAAGCCGGATCCCAAAGAGGGAGGAAGATGAGTGTTCGTACATTGGGCAGAACTTGCAAGAACTCGGTCGGGATGAACCTCTCTCTTCTCTTCCGATTCTTGATTGGTAAGTTCGATGCTTCTGTCTGGGTGCGGTCCGATTGGTCAGTTTCCGAAGTCTGGCTCTTCTCGTCGGAGCTGTTAAAACCAACTCCCTCTTCATTGTAATTGAAAAATTTGCCAAACGGATAGCGATGAATGTAGCGCTCCATGGTGGCTTCAGTAAAGGCGAAGTCAGCATGCACTAGAGATGCATTACCATTACGCAGAGAGAGACCTGCAACTGGACATGCTTTGCTTTGGGCAAGTGCCGCATCGACCGATCTTTCGTGGAAAATCGCATTTTGCCTTCTACGCCGGCGCGATGTCGTAGAATCGCCAGTGTCGAAGTCGGTTGTGTTGTGCGTTGCACTTTCATCGCTACTGTTCGCCTGTCTGTCGAAATTGTGGAGCTGGCCCGTGATGCCAGCTGCAGAAGTATCAAAGAAGACGACACCATCAGCGTCTGTACTTTCGCGAACGATACGGGCTGCCCGTTGGAAAATGCGCGTCGTGTCCGACTCGCCTTCGTGCTTGCGCTGGGCTGCTTGCTTGACTGTGTGTGCAGGCGGCGCGGGAGCAGCATCTTCCTCTTCATCAAGTGTCTGGAGGCGTGCGTTCTCAGTCTGTCGGTCCATAATCGACGACCTGGGGTTGGAGTCTTCGCGCAGGTCCTGCGCAGTTGAACGCTCGATGAACTGGGTCAGACCCTTCACCATGCGCTCGCCCTTGATGCGGTCATCTGAGTCCTTTGCAAGCTCAAGATGCTCCATGATGGCGGCGGCCACGTCCTGCATGAACCGCACCTCAGCAGCGCTGATGGCATCACGCGGCTTCTCGTCCGAGACGGCATATACGCCGATGCGATGTCCAGCTCTGGTAATGATGGGCACGCCAGCGTAGAAACGAACACCGGGTTCGTCCTTGACATAGTCCCTGTCTGCGAAGCGGGGATCCATCCGGCAGTCTGGAATGAACATGGCCTCTGCCTCGTACGGATCGCCATTCTCCTCCTTTGCAATGTACCTCGAAGTGAAGGTATGGTGGCACACAGCGTCGAACTTGTTCAGAATGGCATTGCCAAGCCAGACCTCGTCTCCCGGGGATTCTGCAGCGGTCGAGAGGAGAGAAACAGTGCGAGTGGCTTCGGCGAGAATGTATTGTCGGGTCGAGTCAATCAACGAGACCATGGCACGTCGCGTGTCCAAGCGCAGCGCGGCCAGCTGGGCGAAGGCCGTGAGGGAGCGATCGCGACCATTTTGCGGGCGAAATTCCTTCTGGCTGAGGCCTTTGTAGCCGATGCCGTTGGCACTCACGAGACTCTGCGCGTCCAGCCACGGGCGGTAGTATCTTCAGGGGCACACAATCAGCAAAAGCCATGGAGTGGGGTTTTTTGTGCATGGCAACACTGGCTACCAACCTGTGAAGATCTCGCTCTCTGGCCGCCTCGTGGTAGGCGCAAACCATGCTGCAGTAGTAATGTGCCTCCTCGGTCGAGTATGGCAATCTACACGCGCTACATACAACGTGGCAGTGGGAGGAAGCAAGCCAAAATACTTGGAATGGTTCCTGCAATTCACATACCCTGGTCTACGGAAGGCGCCCGGGGACGCTTGGTGCAGAACTGGCTCGAGGCCGATGAGGGCTTTGTGGTGTAACTGGATTCACTCTAGCAGTAGCAAGAACCCTGGCTCACCATGGAGCCACTCGCTACCGGAGCGCGTGTCTGCTTCAGGGCTGCAAGGGAATCCTGCAATCGGAGAGGTCTGGAATCGCTTTCTGGGTCGCATCCTGCGTCTCTGGGCCTCGGCAGCGTGCTTGCTGCCGACTCCTCTGGGTCACGCGGATAAGCAGTCCCAATCGTGTCCATGGCACTCGGTGGCGTCGGCAAAAGCGGAGATTTCCTGGTGTGCATTGTTGGTGAAGTTCGATCCACAGAGCAAGGACGTAGCTGCGAATCGCACTATCAAGTAGCATCGACGGACAGCACGGGCCGCACGTGTCGATCTCCCGGTATGACAGCCGATTTGCCGCAGAGAACTTTCGCCCTCCAACGTCGTTCCAAGTCATCCGCGCGTCATGGCAGAAGCATTGCATTCGAAGCGGTAATGTGTTCCTGTCGCGCTCGCCGACCCCCCGTGCTGACCATGGTGCAGCGTTCGCCGCGAGGAGCTCCACTCGCCTGCGTCCTCAGCACGCTCTACCCCAGACCCGGAGCTTGAGGAACTGCTGCGTGCGCGGCTGCGTAACCACTTCATCTTCACCACTGCCGAGACTGACGATGCCGCCCTCCAAGATGCTGTTGTCAGCGACGAAGAGGAGACGGAACTGCGCCTCTTCACAACCACTTCCAGCAGTGCCCCCACCACGCACAAGATCCGCCTCTCTTCGCCTGATGCGGCCAACGGCGAGCCCGGCTTCCTCGTGAAGAAGCCCCGCTCCTACTACTTCGCGGATGAGCCGACGAGTGAGGACCAGCTGCGACTCCAGGCTGCTGCTGTAGATGGCAAGACCATATCTGAGCTTTCCAAACTGCCTTGGCCAGGATGCGCGCTTCCATGGAAGGTCAAGAAGCTATCCCCAGCCGGCTTCAAGAGAGAAGTCCTCGTGGGCCATCCGCCCCAGCCAGCCACAGTCGAGGAGACAATCCACAAGCGCGCACGCAAGGGCAAGAAGACGAGGATCGCCCTGCGGAAAAAGATGCAGGCCAACAAGGACAAGCACGAGGAACAAGCTAGGCTGGCCAAGGAGAAGGAGGAGGCAGAGCGCGAGAAGAGGACGCGGCGGAATAGAGAGAAGAAGCTGAAGAAGAAGGCAAAGTCCCAGGCCAAGAAGCTGGAGGGTGCCGAGGGTACCGAAAACACTAATGAGCAGGCGGAAGCTAGACAAGACGAGAGCATGGATGAGAACTGACGAAATGAACTCTGCAAAAGGCATTTTATGCAAGATTCGCATGCCGCCCAGGAATATGACCCGACGCCACTTCACTCTGGGGAAAAGACAAACGCCTCAGCATCATGATCATGTCAAGTAATACCGCTAAGGCTCTCACTCTGGGTGAATGGATCTCACCTGCGTCCCAGACATGCCTTTACCACAAGCACGCTCCGCTATCACTATATCCGCTCGACCCGCCTGCTTCTTATCACTACTTCCGCTACCCAACTCAACTCCTCGTTGTCTACACCCACTCCAGCGAAATGGACGTGCATGGTGGTGCTGGGCCCGGCTATGCGCCCGAGGCCTCTGAATACCCTGCCTCCTTTGTACGAGGTGAACCGCACATGCATCAGCAGTACATGGAGCCATATGGCGGGCCCGCTTTTGCACATGACTATCAGCAACCTCGCGACGGCCATGGCTTCGTCCCGCAGCCCAGTCCGTCAGCTGAAGTGCAAGGCTTTCAGCACCCTCCTAACGGGTCTGAATTCGCCCCGCAATTCGATCCATCAGCCGAAGGACCCATCATCAAAGCACCTCTCACTTTGGAGCCACCTGCGCTGCAGGTGCCTCTACACCTCCAAGACCTATGTGCCCGATACGTTGCCAGCTACGACAACGAATCCATTCCGAACGCGGACCGTATGCGAGCTGCCCAAGACCTAGCTCTCGCTTTACTGGAGTATTACTACCCTGCATGCGCCGGCTATGTCGTCCAACCAAGTTCTCTAGGCCCCGTCGCAAAACACGGCCTGAACTTCATGCTCAAAGCTGCCGACGGCTCAGACCCCGACTTCACCGCCCTACCACCCAAGAAGGGCTCCAAGAAAGGCAAGACAAAGAAGCCAAGCAAGAAGCAGTTGGCAGAGCAGATTGAGAAGGAAGCTCTCAGACAATTCGGTCACTATTGGTCTTTCACTACGTCTGTCATATGGCACATGATTAAGACAGAAGACATTGCTGGATTCGAGGTTTTGAAGAAGATTCCCAGCGCCGATGGATCTGCCGACGAGTATCGCCCGTACACCTACCTCGCAATCATGATCGACAATCTCCAGACCTTTCCACAGTTTGCCGGAACCAACGACGTTCACCGTGGTGATGTCTTGACTGATGTGCTTTGTCGCAGCCAGCACATTCTCGAGGGTCATGGCATTTTGCTCTTCGGCACGCGTCTCGAGTTCTACGATTTCTACAACGGGGCTGGCTTCGATCCTGAAGCTGTTGAAGCTGGGCTCGGTGTTGAAGAGCCGTCAGTTATGCTTGGCGAGGGTGCGAACCACATGGACTTGGCGGTGGACTTGCGTGCGACGGGCTTGCAGACCGTGGATCTAATGTTCAAGGAAGCAACGGCAAGCAAGGTCATTTATCTCGACAAGAGCGTCGATGATGATGTCCATGATGGCGCTGACGGAGAGCTTGATGCAGATGGCGAATACGAGGTCGCACTGAACAGCATGGTTGGCGAGTAAGAACCCCACCTCACATTCAGGCCTCATCCAGAATGGTCTTTACGGGCTAAATTCAAGCTCTCATAGTCTATACATGCTTTGCTCCATGACAGCAATTATATCATGCTAGAATCAAAGTGAACACGACCTTCCATGCCATCCTCCCACTGCAGTCTGAACTCCGCTGACCATGAAACTCGGCACACATAAAGTGAGCTCGGGAGTATGAAACACACACCACCAACTGCCTTTTCGTCTACATCCAATTCCCACCCATGCTCTCCGAATACCCTCCCCTTCCTCCGCCTCTTCGACTAGCCTGACGTATTGGTGGCGGCGGACCTATATACACACCTCCCCCACCGCCGCCCACGCCTTGCACCTGAGCATACTTATCGTTGATTATACGGACCGGTCCATGTCCATGATTCTGCGCAGGAAGTGCGCCGTAGCCTTGTCCCTGCACCTGAGGAGGAGCGAACATGCCCTGCTGCGGGATCAGGTGGCCCACACCAGGGCTATTGGGGGGAGCCGCCATGCCCTGTTGCGGCTGAGCAAAGGGAATCTGCGGCGTCTGATGCTGCGCAAAGTGCTGAGGTTGTCCTCGGAAAGCCGTGTTGTCCGAACCCCATCTGCTGTTGCTGTGGCTGTCCTCCAAACCCGTGGACTTGGCCGAATTGACTCCCACCCGCGCCATACGCCCTCACAGCATCGCGATTCGCCCTCGCCGCCTCACTAATCCCCTTCCCATCCCCTCCACTACTATCACCTCCTTTACTGCCATTCATAACACACCCCCACGTCCCCTTGCCCAACTTCTCCCGTACAAACTTCACCTTCTCCCCAACGCCCTTCGGCATCCCGCTCTTCGCCTCGTTGAACGCCCACTCACATGCTTTCCGCACGGCAGCCCACATCTCCGCCTCCCCGCTGGCGAGGTCTGGATTCCCTTTTTCTTGGCGCACGCGCTCGAGCACGGCCATCATGAGGCCCTGCGTGCGGTGCGTGACTTTGTCTTTATCCTGCGCGTGCGCGGGGAGGAGGATGTAGCATGTCGCCGGGTTCGCGGGGCGCATGCGGGATTGGGAGAAGGTCGATATTCACGGGTGCTGCGGTGTGGAATTCGATACTGCCGAGTGCTGCGGGTCCAACCGCGAGTCTCGAAAACGCTGGGAGGGAGGGGCAGGAGGAGGAGGAGAAGAGTGAGAAGGGACTGTCTGCGATTTGAACAGCGCGGTGTATGCCTTGCTCCGCGCCCGCAGCTCTACACTTGCTCTTCTCATAGTTCCGCGCGTCGACACACTGTCTCGCCCACTTCTTCGCCGCGCCGGGGTCGAGATGCGCCTTCACGGCTTTGACGACCGTCTCGCCATATTTGGCTTTACTTGCGCCGAGGATCTGGAACGCGAAGGTTACGAGCGAGTCCTGCGCTTTGTGCAAGTGCGGCCGGCTGAGCGAGGACGGCAGAAACGTGTTGATATAGTATGCGAAGTAGTACATGTAGGACGCCAAGTGTGGGAAATTGAGCAACTGGCTGGCCGGGTCGAGGAAAAGGATTGGGATATCTAATTTCCGCGCATAGGTTTCGAGGCAGGTGAGGTCTGGGAGTGTGTTTGCGCGGCCAGCGGGCGAGGGCTTGACGCTATCTGTGAGGTTGAGGGATCCGGTGATGCTTATGGCCGATAGAGCTGAGCGCAGGGGTGGAGGAGGTTTTGTTGATCCAAGTGAGGAGGAAGTGTACGACGGGGCCGTGGTGCCAGATGAGCTCTTTCTTGGTGCTGCTCATTTTGAACACGCGCTCGATGGCGATGTTGATGCGCTTGACGGTGCTATCGACTTCTTTGCCTGTGTTGTCGCTGCGTATACTGTTGTTCCATCCTATGACGACGACGATGGTGCCAAATGCTGCGACTGTGCCATCTAGATGTTTCTTCCCGTTCGCGCAGGTCAGGTGCTCGACGAGCTGGCATATGCGAGCGAAGTTATTGCGGCCGGACTTCTCCTCGGCGATGATGACCATGGCGCCATCGCTTGCGTTTGCGCCTTTCTCCTTGCGTGTCCCGAGGTTGCATAGCTTCGCGATGACTGAAGTGAGTTGGAGCATGTTATCGATATCGGAGTCAGTCTCCCAGACGTGCAGGACTTCCGGGTCACAGACTTTCTCGAGGACCTCATTGGATGCGCTGGAGAAAGACGACTTGTACTGGTCGGGCATAGACTGAACCGCCTTCTTGAGCGCATCTACGTCGTCAGTCCACGGTCCAGTGAAGGACGTCATCTTAAGCCGGTGGTGCTTGCGCATATGTTGTCGCGGCGCGCTGGACTTCTCTTGTCGGCGAGGGCTCGTCTGTGGGCTAGCTGCTGGCGGCGGAGGTGGACGCGAGTGGGGTCTTTGGTATGGGCGTGATGTAGAGCGCGAGTGACGATTGAGCATGCGATTGATATAGTCCATGGGGAGGTCGCTGTGACCATGACCTCGGCTGTGAAGGTCAGAGAACATATGGCGGTCGCCCATTGTGCGTGTCTGTCGCGTTCGCGTTTTGCGCGTGAAGGACCCAGTACTCGTTGGAAAGTAGTGAATGCGCAAACCGCAAGAGTGTTAATAGCTGTGACGTGCGCGAACGGGACGCTCGAAACGTCGATATAGTTGAACGAACGGAGGAAATGTGTGGTATTGATTCGCGAGAGTGGATAACTATTTATAAGGTATGTATTGCGATTTGTGCCAAGAAGTGAAGTGAGGAGTGATGCGCTCAAAGGTGAAGAGGAAGACCGATACCCATACCCAAACACTTGAAGTATATGTCCCAAGTACCCCAGCACGTGTGATGCTATTCCGGAACGCCATCATCAACGGTAACATAAGAGAGTCTGACATCTATGAGCCACTGCCACCGTGGTTGGCGATGTCCTGCTTGTCGAGCTTCTCAACCTTTCTGCTCAGCAGCGCGCGCAGCTCAGGGCTGATGACCTTCGCATCGCCCTCCTCGTTGGCGGGCTTGCCTTGATCAGTGCCCGTAGAGGATGCTTTGGGCGGTGCATTCGAGCTCGATGAAGAGGGCACAGGGCCAGCTTCTACCGCGGCTTGCGACTTTCGCTGCCTTGCTTGTGGTGCAGACGGGAAGTTGCCCTTCTTGTCAATGGTTTCAACCGTTCGTTGGAAGCGTTTGAATAGTGACTCAGCACGAACGATTGTGGACTCAAGATCCATGGTGCCAGACAACTCGTTCACTGCATGACGTTAGCTTTCCAACCCAGAAGTAGTAATCAAGCAATAAGCCTACCATATTTCAATACCTCGTCGAAGTGCTGAAGATGCGCCATGATGACATCGCGATGCTTCTCCAAGATAGCTAGCGCAATGAAGATGTGAAAGTTGCTGCTCTGGTAGTCGGTCCATAGTGACTCCCACAGTCGAAGAACATCGGCCCATTCAAACTCCCGCTTGTACCAGACCAGGAGCATGCGGAAGAAGAAGAAGAAATTCGTCGAGTCAGCAGACTGAAGGTGGAGGTATAGCTTGGGGTCCATGAGCTGCACAAGGTGATCAAGAGTCGTGAGCTGCTTGCGCATGCCAGACTGGTCTCTTAAAAAGTTGCGCTCCTACACAGGTCAGCATGTCATTGATTGTTGTTAAGCTGTCACATACCATGCGCTCCATAAATCCGACAAAGGCCCAGAAGGCTATGGCATCATCTTGCATGACTGCGTAGATGGGTGCAAGAAGGTCGCTCATACCCTGCACATACCCGAGGTCCTTGTTGTATTCGTTGTACGTCAGAAGCATATCCTTCATCTGCTCCAGATGGACATTGGTACCGGTGTCTGCGAATGGCGAGTCAGGATCTGGATGTGGAATATCTTCGCCCGCGAAGATTGGTATGTTGCGATCAGTTCGGTGAACATCTTTCTCTACATGGCGGACCCCATAGAATGGGGAAAAGTTAGCCTGGGTTTCTTCGAAGGATGGTGAATGCGAAATACGAACCTATCCTGTTCTTCTGCTCTCTCCACCACTCCTCTTGCTCTTCGGTCTGTTCGCCTTCTGCCAGCCTCTCCCACCAAGCACCCTTGAGGCGGATGTACTCGTCGCGGCGGCTGTTCACGTTTGCACGACGCTCTTCCTCGGAGCTATCCCACTCGTAGACGCCTAACAGATATAACCATGCCTCTTTCCGCACGCCATCATCGGGGTCTAGACCGCCGTGGAAAATTCGCTCCTTGACCTCGTCGGGTGTTAGTTGGAGCCGGCCCTTTGGATCAAAAAAGCCCTTCCACTCCTTCAACGTGACAGGCTTTCTCCTGTCCGCCATGGTCATCTTGTCCATGTCAAGGATCTCGAAGTCTCCGACATCACTCTCCTCCATTGCTAGGACGTCCTTCGCAGTCCATATCCTTTGATTGCGTTCACGCTCGCTCTGCTCGGCCATGCCCATTGCCCACCTTGCCAAATAGATTCGTGCGCTGTCGAACTCGTCTTGAAGCGTCTGCACCTCTGGATTTTGGATCAGTCTCCGAACTTGTGGTGGGATCTTAGGGTTGTCCGCGACTGCTTGCGCCGTTCGTCGTGTGAATGTCGTGACTTGACTGAGCTTCTCGAGGAAGTTCCACCTTGCCTCCTTCAATGCCTTGGTGACAGGATCCATGCCGCCGTCCCGCTTACCGGGGCTTTGTGAGGACGATGCATCTGCACTGTCTTTGTTCGACTTTGGCGAAGTAGCGTTCTTTCCAAAGGATTTTTTGTCGTCTTCGGACGGATCGATCAGGTATACGCTTGGGTCAGCGCCGGACCGTTCCACATTGACGTATCGCTTCAACCAGCGTAGCACCTCATCTCCGCCCCAAAACATGCCTCCGCCGTCGCCAAAAGGATCAAAACTCTCTTTTGCCAGCTTCTTTCTCTGCATGATGGTAGACTGACACTCGCTATCATGGAAAAAGAGGGCTGGAAAGCTATCGCCCGCCCTAGTATTGACCACGACGCTTCCGAACCACCATCCGATGCTCGGTGGTCGTACCAAGATGGAGTAGATCTCGCTGACAGGGATGGCGAAGGCATATCCGGGGACTGCGCTGTGTGTAGAAGTCGTCGGCGGTGGAGGTACGAGGTAGGACTGTGTTGGTGGAGAGGCCGAATCTGATAGATCGACCTTTACGTATGTATCGTAAGCATCCCCGAGAGCCGACTCGGGCATCCACGCGAGAAGCAGGGAGGGCGCGTTGACGCTTCGGGCGGACGAGGAAGAGGTAGGGCGTGCATCACTAGCTGTGGGTCGTCCTTTCTGCTGCACCAGGGCTACGAACCCTGGGATATTGTCTTTGGCCGACGGCGATGGATGTACGTAGACCTGGGGCTGTTAGATGATTTCACGCCACCGGGATAGTAGGATCTCAACACACTTTGCTTTTGGTGTAGAGCAGCTTCACACCCCGGCCGTTGGTGGTGTGTTTTATGGTATTGTATTCGCCTTCTTCATCATCACTCAGGGCGTAGAACGAAGCAGGCGACGGCGATCTTCGTGACGAGGACGCCATGCGGGGCAACTGTGGGAGGATGTGTAGGGAGACAAAGGTATTGGGTATTGGGTATTGCTCTACTTGGTACTAATAGGGATTCTGGGTGTAGGAGCCTGGAAACTCGCGCGCATCAACGAAGACGCGCACATGGAGCACTAGAGTCGCCGCAGGTGATGGTTGCGAGCTGCTAGTTCACTCGGGTGACGTCGGTGCTGTGGCGCAGGCGTCGGGCGCGGGGTACCAATCACGGCGCATGCACGCACTATCCGAAGATGAATGAGGAAACTTGCATGTTCTATTCATTACCATCTAGAACTGCTGCGAATAAACAGAGCTATGTCGTGTACTCCTTGACGCCATGCTCAAAATGCTACCTGTGACCCAAATGCAACCCCATGCGCCAACCCCTTCCGTCACCAAGCTTCCCTAACGCATGCGCGGGCCACTGGGCAGCCCTACACGTCCACCTGCAGGTCCCCGTTGTGGTGGTCCTCTGTCATATCCAGGGCCGTATGGGTCGTCGTTGCCTGTCCAAGGCGAGTTCGACGACACGCTTGACGAGCCCTGCTGTCTTCCACCACCACCACCACCACCACCACCACCACCACCACCACCACCTGTGCTTCCATAACTGTTGTTGCGCTCGTCTTGATATGGCGCCCTTCCTCCCTGTGGTGCCGGTCTGTCATATGCGCCCATCCTCGAAGACTGGCTGCCTGCGTCCGAGGCTGCACTTGGCGCAGGGCTGTTTGACCTCCCCCACAACCTCGCCTTGAGCCGCTCCTGTGCTGTCGAGCCTGATCCTGCGCTCGGTGGTGGCGATGCATCGGCTTGGTAACCTCCTTGGAGACTGCTCTGATAGCTGCCGGCCCTTTGGCTCGGTAGTGGTCTGCCTTGGCTTTGTGGTTCTGGTGTCAACGAGTTGCCCATGCCGGGTCGTCCTTGCAGTGGTCGCGCTCCTCCACCTCGAGCACCTGGTCCACGACGCAACGAGAGAGGCTCCTGTGGTTGCTGTTGTTGCTGTGGCGCGTCCCATAGGTCACTCAGCCCTCCCCCTCGTCCGCCCGTGGGTTGCATCTGTCCTTGCTGGCGCGAGGATGCGAATTGGGTGGGAGCTGCCTGCGGGGCCTTTGGGTCGGGAGGAAGCCATTGCGGGAATGGCCTGCCTTTCTCCGTGTAGTACGCGCGGAGCACTCGGGAAATGTGCGAGTCGTCTTCCGTGTCGCCGTCTGCTTCGCTGTTGAGGAGCTGTTGCCGCAGATTCTGGTATCGCGAAGTCGTGTTTGTGAGGATGTTGCTGAATAGCCCCGACATGATGTCGATCTAGAGAGCGAGCGACTATCACTCTGATCAGCGCAGGCCCGGGTCGTGTTTGTGCAACCGTGGTAGTGTTGGGCGGTGATTGCACGTGTTACAGAGTTGGTCGCTGTTTCCAGTTGACCCGACGTTTGGCGTTTGGCTTGCCGAAGCGAGCCCAAGTCGCGACCACGACCACTTTATGCACCCACTTGCACCACAGCACCACTAACCGCCGCTTTACCCATTATGAACGTCGTACCTAGAATTGATTACATTCACTCGTCGTCAGAAGTATGTGTCGAGTCCGATTCTCCATAATTGTGACCCGCCATCCGTACATCTCACGGGACAATGGTCACAAGGTCGGCAAGGGGCGCACTAGACGAAGATGCTTACTTCATTGCCAGCCGCGGGCACACTGTGCATAGAATTAAGAGGAATCACGAACAGAGAAGAGCGCCAGAAAGCTGACAGCCATCGTGGAGTATGAGGTTCAAACAAGAGTTGTCCAGTTACAGTTACATGTATCAATTCTTTCTTATTAGCCCTTGCTACGTCTTCCTCCGCAGTATCACTTTTGTATTCCAATCAGCTCTGTTTCGCATCGGACTTTGCAGTTCAGGACATCGATAAACTTGGTCTATGAGCGATGGCTCGAACTGGCTACATGAAAGCATTGTTCACCTCTTTCACTTGCAAAAGCCTCCTTCACTTCAACAATGTTATTCAGCCGTCCTTTGTCCATAGTACAGTGGAATAAGGAAGTGAACGTTGATTTGTTTGAAGCATGTCCATCTGCACGTTGATGTTCATGTATTCTCAAACTACCTTACTGTCTTCAATTTTCAGCTCGTTGAAGATCTATCCCAAGTTCCCCATTATCTTATTAAGAATTTCACAATGCCTCCACGACAAAGTCAGATCCAGCAAAATCGCATCGCCACCGCCAATCGAATCTCCAAAGCATATAAATGGGATGTCAATCGTCAAAATCCAAGGCCTCGAGGTCTGTCAAATCTAGGCAATGATTGCTATCGCAACGCCACTTTGCAGACACTTTTCCACCTGCCTCGCTTCGTCAACTGGATACAGGAGCATCGCGAGGGTGGTGCGCATTGGGATTGTAAACCTGATGACCCCAATATGGACCAACCACGTGCAGATAGGGTCTCTATACAGATGGAACGTCATGGCACTGGTTGTGTACCATGTATTTTGAAGACTCTATTCCAACAGTACTGGGGCCCTTACCGAATGAATCAAAATGGAAACGGTGAACCACGAATCTTCGAACGAGATGATCCAGCGCTGGTTGGCCTTCATAATCTGGCAGATCGATGGTTCTCCAGGGATCCTGAGCAATGGTCAGAGAAGTTGGAAAAAGCGCGCGGAAGGAAACTTTTATCCCAGTCTGAGAAAGACAAAGCAACAGCGGACGCAAGAAATCGAAATTCGGGCGCTCAACATGATGCAGAAGAGTTCATGCGGCTCATCATGGGTGGGGTAGAGAGCAGTTATGATCCGTCGTAAGATCTGCCCCTATGGATGCTTAATCGTTCCAGCAATAATGTACTAACAAGGCCTAGGGACCATTCACATGGAGCTCGCCGCAAGACACAGTACGATTCTCTCTTCACCACATCCCGAAACGAGTACCACACATGCCTCACCTGCAGGGAAAGGCATTTCAGCATGTCCCGTCCCGAACAAAGTCTGCGCGTCAATCCCCTCAGAACAAACGGCGACACTGTCGAAGCCGCCATCCGTCGCTGCATGGCCAACACCCTCGACGGTGTCACCAAATCCACATGTTCAAACCAGTGCCCCGAAGCGAACATTACAGTCGAGTACCTTATCGAAGCCGCGCCCGAATATCTCTGCGTCGTCCTGCAACTCGACAACTACGACGAGACTACAGGAGAGATCAGCAAGAACAGAACCACCATCCAGCTTCCCGACATGCTCGATCTGACAGAGTACATGGACCACGAATCCGCCGACCCTCTTCCCGTGCGCTATCGGCTTGCTTCGGCGATCTACCACGCTGGAGAGTCGCTCTCGTCCGGCCACTACGGCGCGGGCGTGACTTCAGGCCGCGCACGACGCGCGAGGTTCCAAAGGAAAGTCGTGCCCGACCCCGATACCCTCCAATTCTTCTGCAACGACGCCGAAATCGCGGAGTGGACGCAGCCCACCGCTGTGGCTAATAAACTCACCATCAACCCGGTTGACTTTTCGGATGCAATGAATTCGAGGAGCGTGTGGGATCCGTATACCTTGTGGTACGTCAGGGAGCCGCAAGATGCGCCGGCCGCACGTGCAGGATCTGTCGTGGCACATGTAGCGCCGGTAGAGGAGGCAGATACTATTGCTGGAAGGCTGCGGGAGAGGAAGAGGAAGAGGGCGGAAAGTAGGGACGGTCTGTAGGATTGTGTGTTGGGGTAGAGAGAGGGGTTGAGGGATGGTGCTGTAGGCTCCTCGCTGGTTCGAGAAGTTTGGAGTAATGTTTGTTAGCACGCATGTCATATCCTGTTCACCGTCTTTGTAAACTCCTTCTTGACCAGTTCGTGAACATTTTCGTGACGCGACTCCTCACAGCTTAGTCACCGATTCTAATATCGTGGCCTCCTAGTCGATCATCATTGATGCCTATAAATTCGACGACTTGAAAACCCGCGCCTTTCGCAGCTCGCATTGAAGACTTTCACAATGCCAGTGTCCATTGTCTTCCTTCTTTCACTTCAACCCAGCTGGACACAAGGCAACAAAGGGCTCCCAAAATATTTCAGAAAGAAGTGGTGAAGTACAATGGAGCTCTCTCGAAGAGCCATCTCTTTATTGACCGAACGCCAAAGACATGTGTGCATTGTATATCAGAGTCCATCTTCTTCGAAGCCATGCATCCACCATTCCGTCTCGAGTCCACTTACTTTTCCAGAAATCTTACAAACATGCCTCCCCGTACATCCCGCGTGTCCCAACAGGCAACCTTTGCGCTGAAAACACCCCTCCAAATCAAGCGTGACCACTATGTAAGTCCATCTCCTCTCGCACCATCTCCAGATCTAACGCGATCCAGGGCTTCAAAATCAAATCCCAATGGCAGCCCCAAGACTACCGCCCCAATCTCGAACCCCGGGATATCCAACTCGCGCCTGGAGCAAACACATACTACCAGCATGTCGTGCACCACGCACTCATGCACACGCCCATCTTCGTGCAGTGGATACTTGGTCACAATCAGCCAGCCGATCCCACCCATCTTTCCGCAACATGCATAATGTGCGCGTACAAGTCACTGGCCTGGGATTACTGGCTCTGGCAAGGCCAAGGCGGGCAGAAGATCATCGCCGCGAACCACGCGGGGCTGACGTTCATCGACACGCAGGCGATTCTCGCGCAGCCGCTGGTATATGCGCATAGTCGCCCTGGCGACGCGGGGATCTTTTTCGAGTGGGTGACGGATCAGATGGAGTATGCGATTCCCGCAGTCGTCCCGGCAGATCAGAGATTCAAGCTCCATTGGAACGAGGAGTTCAAGGCGATGTTCCAGCTTGATCTGAGCGAGACACGGGAATGTCAAGAAGGAATACGCCAGGGTGTGATATGTGGGAAAAAGATTGTTACGCCGGCGGCGCCGGTGAGGTCGATTGAGGTGGATCTTGACCCGGAGATACACACTCTTGACGAGATGCTAGATGTGTATTTCAACGACTACATGGATGAGGATAGGTTGTGTACGAGGTGCAATGTCAACCGTAGACACACGGTGAAGCGCACGATTAGAGCGGCGCCGCAGGTGTTGAGGATTCGGGTTAATATTATGGACGAGGCGGCGGATGGAATGACGACAAAGTACCTGAATGGGTGGACTGTCCCTACGAACCTCAATTTGCAAGGTAATCAGGAGATTGACGAGCTACCTTTGGAGTACGCGTTGAGCAGTTCGATTGCGCATGGTGAAGATCGTCCCGGCCTGTACGAAGAGGTGGGTGGGGTTACCGTCAGACTGCCTGTAGGAGATGATGATTCGGATGATGCTCCCGTAGATCTTGAGCCCAGTTCTGAAAGGGAAAATGAACCCATGGCGGTAGACGAAGACTTCGACCCTAACGATCCGCACGAAGATTTGTTTGACGTTCCTGAAAGGGTAGATTCAGTTATGGCAGAGGACGAGCCACATCCGGTAATCTCCTCCTCCTCCGAGGAAGAGGAGCACGATGAGGACGACATAGCAGAACCTTTGAGGGAACTGTGGAATCCCGCATTTAGTTCCTCGCCACGTCGTTGCCGGTGGCGTCGCCCCTAGATCACCTGTACGAGACGAAGATGACGACTTCAACGGCTTGATCCTAGTCACCAACGAGGAGTTCCTTGAAGAGTTGGGCCCGTCTGTGGACATGGAAATGGATGATCTGCCAGAGTACACTGACACTGAAGGCGAGGATGACGACGAGGACGAACACGAATACGAGTTTGAAGCGCCAGAACAGCTGAATAGACGCGAAGGATCCGCGAGCCCGCCACAAGACGACAGTGACGACGACAGCGACAGCGGCGTCATCGATGACTTGATCGTCGACGACGCAAACGATGTCAACGATTATATCGACGATGAAGAAGTTATCGATGTCCCGCACCAACTCCACGACGACATGTACGGTTCCGACGAAGAATCCGTCATACCCAACTCGCATTACATCCTCAACGTCCGCGGGCCAGAAGAAAACTACCATATCTCCATGGCCCACCACAACCACCTCGACCCCCATGCCCTTCCCCTCGCGACTCTGTCCGACAACCCACAGCGCCCATGGCATATGCCCTGTCACAACCCGCGAGGATACCAGGTGGTAACCCTGACGTACACGAGGAAACCGCTGGAAAATAAGTGGAAGAAGATGGAGCAGAACATCCCGGCGTTCATCTGAGCGCGTGTACGTGTACGATATGTTGTAATGTAATTTTTTTTTGTTGTTGTTGTAGTGCGTTCTAGCAGGTCTCGGGCGCTGCAATCATATTCTTCTGTTTCAAAGCTTCTTGTCTAAGGCGTCTTTTTGCCATGCGAGGCTCCATCTCCTCTTCAGGACGTCCATACTCTGTGCTGTGCTCCTGCCTTTTTCCTTCTCTTCGCGATTTATGCGTGTGATGGCAGCGGCGAGACCGATTGATATGGCGAAGACGGGATCGAGGCTCCTAGATCTGCATTAGCAAAAGCAGACTTCATGCAATACTCAATGAACATACTTGGATATTATGTACTGGTAAGACATGGCTGTGAACTGTATTGGGAATTTTCTTGTGCACTTCTCCGCGGTAAGTGTCAATCGCAGGAACCCGGTGTATGTCGTGTGACGGTAAATCCTCTGGTGGGCTTTTGGTGTAGAGAGAAATCTGTATCAAGATCTAGACGCGCATGTCATCGAAGTCGCGATAAACTTCATCGAACGTGGAGCTTGTGATCGGCGTCCCGCACCTGCATTTGGATGGTCCGTGCACACGCAACGGCGGGGAGCTTACCCCACGCCTTTGGGCGCGTGGATTGCTCACCCAGGTGCTATCGGGCGGCATAGCTTGCACAGATCACTTCTGACGAGAGAAGCGTGGGATATCATGCGTCAGGCTCTGTTCCTCATAGGGCCGCATGCGTGCGGTCCTCGGACGAACGATGTCGTCATCAGTCTCAGAGTCCGGATGAGCCGCAAGTCACGCGGGCGGGTCAGTAGGAACAGCTTCACGCGTGCCTTGGGCGCGTCACGATGGTTGGCAAGTCACATGGCTATTGGAGCAGTTCTGTAGATTCGAGATAGGATGATACTATTGACGACAGTTACAGCGGAAGGAAATGACCCAACTTCCTTGGACAGAGCCGCTCTCTCGACCGTCTTGTCCAGCGCAGGCACCTTATCAGCTTTAGGTGCCATGTGACAGGAGCCGAGCTTGGTCTTCCTGACAGCCCGCACTGAGTGTAGAGAGAGCGACTACCGCACTGCCTCGTTCATCATAATAACTTCATTCAGCCCAGCCATGATATAGTGTTGCAGCAAATGTCAAGGAAAGCCCACAGAATCCGAGAACGCCGTAGTCCCTCCGCGCCGTCGATGATCGAGTAAACAAGAGGTGTGTAGAATGGCCTAGATCGCCTCGCCGAACGTGTTCTCGCCCGAGTAGCTGTGTTGCTGTTAGCATGGCTCCTGCGTCTTATGCGAAAGGAGTGACGTACGTGATGTAGAGGAAGCCATCCTCGTCCTTGTGCTCCTCGTATATCGAGCTCATCAGAGCGGCAGTCGGCGGCAGGACCTCATCGACGAAGATGAAGATGGCCTTCTCGGGCGACAGCTTGATGCGCTTGCGGATCACGTAGACGAACTGGCCTACGGTAAGGTCCGCTGGGACGAGGTACTTCTTCTTGTCGATGGTCGCGATGTCTGACTTCTCGACCTTCTCGCAGATAACCTGGGTCCTGTTAGCGACTGTACAGCCAGACAGAGGCTGCTGCTGAAGCAGGTAGACATACGGGAATGCGGTCGTTGTACTTCTGGCGGATGCGCTCAGCCTCGGCCTTGCGCTTCTCGAACGGGTGCTCGTCCTTGAACTTGGAGCGCATGATGACTGTAGTAGATCTGGTTCTGTTGTTGAGTGCGGTGGTAGCGGGTGCAGAAGTCTGTGAAATGTGCTTGTGGTGCGTGGCGGAGAGATATGTAGGAATGAGGGCTGGCGGCGGTGAGAGGGGACCTTAAGAGGCGGGGCGTGCAAGGCAGCACAGCTTGCCAATCACCAGCTTATGAAGCGCTAGTCGTGACTACCCGCTTCACAACGCCATACAAACACGCTGCGCACCTGCAAGACACTTCAAGGCTAGGATTTCGTCATGCTGGGCCCGCCCTTTCATTGTCGCATGGACAAGGTGACTCTTCTTTGATGGCTGTGCCTGCCCCTAGTCACTTGCCCAGCTTCCCATGACCATACCCCCAAGGCTGAGTCACCTGCACCGGTACATCAGTACCTCCTGGGGCCTGTGTACATCTTAAGCATCCAAGGAATAGATCACCCGTTTCTACAGAGCGCGTTTGGTTTGGACACGCGTTGCGCGCGAAGTCTGTTCTTTTAGATACGCTGGCGGCCAGCGGCCTGCATATACGTGTACAGCAGCGCATGAATCCAAACGTAGACAACCTCTTAGCTGCAGCACGTAGAGAGAGATTTCTCCACTGACCTTATATTGAAGACCATGACAATCGACAACGGATTCGACATCGGGGCCCTAAGCACTAGTTTGTCGTGTTTGTATCGCCGGAAGCTCCTCGGTACGTACCTGCATGATGATGCGCCCACCGTGGTGTGAGATGGGCCGAACACTTTCTCCACGATAACTTCTCGCGTCCTAATTCCCGTAAGGCGAGATCGCGTCAAGCTTATCTCTGCCTGTTCTCCACGGTCACCTCGAAGCTTCCATATTCATCCGGCTTCTCAATCGCTCAATATGCCGCCGTTTCGAGCGTCCTTCCGCGTCGCGAGAGCTCTCGAGCTTCCCCACAGCTATGCGCCACGACCGGCACTGCGACCAAACACCCTCAGTGCTAGAGCCATACGAACTCCGCGAAGATGCATGTCAGATACGCCTCCTCAGAAGAAGCCAGATCCTCTCGAAGCATGGCGAAATCCCCCTCCGAGCAAATGGCCGAACAGGATACGGTTGCTTATGCTGCCCTTCATTGGAGCCATGATATACTCTATGGTATGATTGAAGCTTCATCAGGCCTTCAGGATACACACTAACGCTCCAGCAGTGGACAGATGACTCCATCAAGGCCGAAGCCCCCACAATCGCGCAGAAAGATGAGCTCCTCAAGCGCGAGAATGGCGTCTCCGAACAATCCCCCATGCGCCTGCGAATGGAGCAATTCATAAAACAACACCAGAAGCAGATCGTTGCCGAGCTCGAGAAAGTCGACGGCACAAAGTTCCAAATCGACACCTGGCAGCGCCCAGAGGGTGGAGGCGGCATAACCTGCATTCTCCAAGACGGCAACGTCTTTGAAAAAGGCGGCGTGAACACCTCCGTCGTCTACGGCCGCCTCCCGCGCGCCGCCATCCAAAAGATGCGCGTGAACCACAAAGCCCTCGACCCAGACGTCGACTCGCTAGAGTTCTTCGCTGCCGGCCTCTCCATGGTGCTGCACCCGCACAACCCCAACGCGCCCACCGTCCACCTCAACTACCGCTACTTCGAAACCGCCGACGAGCTCGGCAACACCAGCGCATGGTGGTACGGCGGCGGCTGCGATCTTACGCCCTCGTACCTCTACGACGAAGACGCGATCCACTTCCACAACACGATGAAGGCGACGTGCGATAAGCACGACAAGGAATACTATCCGCGCTTCAAAAAGTGGTGTGATGAGTACTTCAACAACAAGCACCGCGGCGAGACGCGTGGCGTTGGCGGCTTGTTCTTCGACGACCTCGATGAGACGGAGAAGGACCAGGAGCAGCTATTCTCCTTTGTGCAGGATTGCTTGTCTGCGTTCTTGCCTTCCTACTTGCCCATCATCAATCGCAGGAAGGACATGCCTTTTACGGAGCAGCAGAAACACTGGCAGCAGATCCGTAGGGGACGCTATGTGGAGTTCAATCTTGTGCATGATCGGGGCACGGCGTTTGGATTGAATACGCCAGGTGCGAGGGTGGAGAGTATCCTCATGAGTTTGCCGCTCACGGCGAGGTGGGAATACATGCACAAGCCGGAGATTGGGAGTCGAGAGGAGAGGTTGTTAGAGGTGTTGAGGAAGCCGAGGGAGTGGGTGTGAGGTAGTCTGGGAGCCTCAATGTACATAGTAGAATTCAGAAGTTTGATTTGTGTACAACTTTTCTTGGGGTTGCATGCAGTGGCTTTGCACGTGGGTGTCTGATGTTGGTCACAAGGCACAGAGAGAATGGTGCTCTGTCAGCAAGTTCAAATGTCGTGGGCATGTTCCGGCCGCGGTGGACGCTGTGCTCACAAACAGTATGTACATAAGACTGGCACATATAGATCCAATGGCAACAACGATGGTTTTCGGCCGCGGATACCTACATTATCCATACCCGTCGCTGTTGTCAGCCGTGCGCCCTGTAGAATGGTGAACTACAATCCGTGGATACCAGTGAAGGTTCCCGCAGATCTTTGTCACATGATACGCTGCATTGGGTATCTGTTCGTTGCAAGCATGCCGCAGTCGGCTTCGAGTTCAAGAACCAATAAAGCTGTGAGAAATCGGTGCAGAAGTGACTCATGCAAAGGACCCTGAAGCAATGCTGTGCCGACTGGCACCAAGGTGGTGTGACCTACTTAAACTTTATCAGTGCAGGGGTATCTGTTGGATTTCAGCAAGCCTGCATTGGCTGGTCAGGCACAAGATCCATAAGTGAGTTAAGAGCGCGTTGATTGAGAGCGGCATTATTGCGTACAATGTGCTTGCGCACACAAGATCAAGATGGGAGTCGCCAGAGTGGAATGCGCAAAAGCCTCTAAATTCTGTACACTGAGGGGTAAATATGACATTGGCCTCTTTGTCCTCTCCTTTCTCCGGATGTGTTGCACACAGACGGTACCAAGCAAAATGTTGACCCAAGGAAATAAGGTATCGGTGTTGGTGTATGCTGTGATGTCTATGACTGAACTCTTTACTCGTCGTTGACCTTCTCTCCGCCAGGAAGGTCCTTCTCGGACTTGGACTGGACCAACATGCCCTTGTAGCCGGTGATGGGCTCGGTTCCTTGGGACTGTGATGTGTTAGCGATCATGTGACATAAGAAGTATATGATTCCACATACCTTCAAGTACTCCTCGGAAGCCTCTTGCCATTCCTTCGTCATGGTGCGTGGTCGGATGGGGCTGGCGAACATGCGGGTGAACGCGAAGATGGCAAAGGCAGCGCAGATAACACCAGCAGACAGGAAGAAGACGTTGCGGCCCTCATCTGGAGGCGGGGGTCGTCGAGGGCCGTGGGGACCGAAAGCGATGTAGTATGCTGTGAGAGAATGTGTCGTTAGCAAGTTGTCCTTGTTGATGACTCTGGACGCTTCGTGATAGGTTCGCGCTCGGCGTATTGGTGATGCGGGCCACCTGGGCACCTCGATAAAAACACCAATACGTCATGCCACTGCCCATCACGTCTCATCGTCCCCCAAAGGATTGTACACACCAGCCTTCTTCTCCTGCATAGTCATCTCCTTCCAGTCCACCTTCATGCGGTCCCTAAGCGACATCCACAAGTCGGCCTGCTCCTGGGGGGGCATGTCTTCCCATCGCTTCTCGATGTTGGCGAGGGTGGGGTTGGAAATGGCGTGCGAGGACTGGCGGGTCTGCTGAAGCTGGCAAGCTACGGGGGCAGCTCTGGGGAGAGCTGTGCGGGTCGCGACCGATGACATGACGCTGGCCGAGCTCCTGGAAGCCCGGACGATCGAGGTGCGCAACATGGCAGCGGGTGGAGTGGAGATTGTCGTAAAATGTAGAGAAAAGGAAGAAGCTTCCCGTCGAGGGTCCTGCGCTTGCCAATGGGTTGGTGGTGGTGATGGGGGGAGGTAGGCACAAGGAGCAATTCGCGAAAATGAGGTCGGTCGCTGCGGCACGCCAAGCCAATCGACATGGCATGATCCGTCCACACGTTATTTTGCCTTAGTCATCGGGCTTCCTACCTTCACCTTCACGACTACATTCGCATGCTGAGTTTTCATGGACGAAGCCAAAGTCGAGCATCGTTGCTTTTCTGTGAGGTTAATCGTCGCTGGGTCGTTCTTTCCTTGACTTTTCGCACATAATCGTGGGACAGATGTTTGCCGAGGGAATCGTCTCGAGGCTGAACAACACGAGGGGCTCCCAGATTACATATGAGGTGACGAACTGAGATCAATAACATATCAGTTGTCGCGTGTTGACGACATGATATACATGTATGTGTTACATTAGATCATCCAGTAAGCTGGGTTCAGGGTACTCACGCACGAAAAGCTCGCAAACTGGCTCATGTGCATGTCAATCACCTCTGGTGCAACACAGTCGCAACTTTACCACTAAGCTGGGTATCTATAATACTCCTCTTTAGCTATGGTGGACAGGCTTGAAGGACCTTTCCATTTCCAACTGAGCTCCAGGGCTGATGGATTAACACCCCTAGAAATCACGTGATAACTGGTGAACAATTGCCCAGCTGGAACGCTGCCAATACCAGCAGCCAGACGATCGTATCCTGCAGCTCATAGCATGGTTATCACAGATAAAACATCATCATGACCAATCTGTACGATCCTAGCACAAATAGGTAGATACAATCAAGTTCAATGAAGCACACATCAGTGCACAGCCGAGGTCAGGCCATCGTCTGAAAACACGAGCTTACGACGAAGGATGCTCAAGCTCGAGCTGTCAGCCCTACAAGTTCTCAGACCACCCGTCGAACGTTTGCCTCGCCACTGCTTTTATGCAGGTACCTTCAGCAGCTTCGCGCGCCATTGTGGCACAAGTCGATCATGGGGTGGTCTCTCTTCTTAGCTAATCCCTCGTCTAGCTCCCCATGTCGGCCGCGGATGCGTTGCTCTTCACCACTCTTCCCCAACACCGATCGTTGACTCGGCGCTGCAATTCTCGGAGGTTACACCAAGAGCTCGTCTCAACAGCTAGTCCGGTCCCGCTGTGGCGTCCTTTGTTTTATCTCATCAAATGACCAAACGAGCCTGCAAACATGTGCTCGGGCACGTCCATTCCATACCCATGAGAGTTGCTTTTGACAGCTAGTCAATGTCATCCCACCGACACGCCGCATTACGATACGCGCACATAGCTCTTTCGTAAGCAGTATCTTGACTGAGATTGCCACGCCGGTTGCGCTTAGAGTTCCGGTAGCCAAGCTAGCGATGTGCAGCCAATTTGCAAGGATGAAGTTTCGACCACAACGCGGGCTACGAGACTACGAAGGTAAGAGAGTTCGTTTCCGAGATCAAGAGTCCCTTGAGAGCCTCGGGCATGTATTGAATGCTAGAGTGAACGTAGCCGAGCTGCAGTAGGCCTCCGTATGGTTCCGCGCACCCTCCACGACAAACACGCGCCCGAGGTAGCATGCATTCTAGAACGCAGGTTGCAGCACCCGGCCGGATACGTGGAGTGGGAGGGCAACAAGTATATTATTGGATCCGGCCGTGCTGCGTATCGGATTAGAGAAAAAGTATAGCCTGTGACGCAAAGCCCTGAACGAGACGTTCAAACTACATAAGCGGGGCAAGCTCCTTCCCCCCCACCAGGCCCAACAAACATCGCGCCTTCCCAGACAACAAATCTCTTCTCTCCCATTCCACCTCAATCCCATCTTCCATTTAAACAGTGAGCGCGCCTCTCATCTTCCAATTCCCCGTTACTTCAATACTAAACTCTCCTCAGCACAAGAATCTACACATCATGGTCGTCAAGGTGAGCTTCTCTTACCCCGCCTAAGCTCATAGCAGCAATTGACAGTCGCACACAGGTTGGTATCAACGGCTTCGGTCGCATTGGCCGTATCGTCTTCCGCAATGCGTATGTATTCTATCATCGAGAGCTACAGTTGAGCGATCTAGCTAACGCCGACCCAGCATCGAGCACAACGACGTCGAGATCGTCGCCGTCAACGACCCCTTCATCGAGCCACACTACGCTGTAAGCAAACCGCGCCCTCATTGCGCCGCTCCAGACCGCCTGGAAATTGTACTGCAGAATACGGGCTAACATGCGTCCAGGCCTACATGCTCAAGTATGACAGCCAGCACGGCCAGTTCAAGGGCGACATCAAGGTCGAGGGCAACGACCTGACCATCAACGGCAAGACCATCCGCTTCTACACTGAGAAGGACCCCGCCAACATCCCATGGAGCGAGACCGGCGCATACTACGTCGTTGAGTCCACCGGTGTCTTCACCACCACCGACAAGGCCAAGGCCCACTTGAAGGGTGGTGCTAAGAAGGTCGTCATCTCCGCTCCCTCGGCTGATGCGCCCATGTTCGTCATGGGTGTCAACAACGAGACCTACACCAAGGACATCGAGGTGCTCTCCAACGCCTCCTGCACAACCAACTGCTTGGCTCCCCTCGCCAAGGTCATCCACGACAAGTTCACCATCATTGAGGGTTTGATGACCACCGTCCACTCCTACACCGCTACCCAGAAAGTCGTTGACGGCCCTTCCGCCAAGGACTGGCGTGGTGGCCGCACTGCGGCCCAGAACATCATTCCCAGCAGCACTGGTGCCGCCAAGGCTGTCGGCAAGGTCATTCCTGACCTCAACGGCAAGCTCACCGGAATGTCCATGCGTGTTCCCACCTCCAACGTTTCTGTGGTTGACTTGACTGTCCGCCTCGAGAAGGGTGCTACCTACGATGAGATCAAGGAGGCCGTCAAGGCCGCCGCTGATGGTCCTCTTAACGGTATGTTTACATTCACTGGTTAAAAAAAAACACTCCTAACTCTATATAGGCATTCTCGGATACACTGAGGACGAGATCGTCTCCACCGACTTGAACGGTGACACCCGCTCTTCCATCTTCGACGCCAAGGCCGGTATCTCCCTGAACAAGAACTTCGTCAAGCTCGTCTCCTGGTACGACAACGAGTGGGGTTACTCCCGCCGTGTCCTCGACCTCTTGGTCTACATTGCCAAGGTCGATGGTAACGCCTAGGAATCAGGACGGAGCCAGGCCATGCCTAAACTCTGATTCGCATCTTCACCTGATTTGGTCCATGAGAAAGATTGCGATGTGTATGCAGCAGTAAAATTATGCTAGACATGACATGAATGAACAATAATCACACAAAACATGGTCCTTACTGCGAGACGTGATATCATACTGCTAACAAGTTCTTCTCCAAAGCTCCCCTCACCCGCTCAGATCCCTGCTGTCGCCTGTCACTAGCGTACATACCGCAACTGGTTTCCGAGGCAACTCCTGCACCTGCATGTCTCGTGCGGATCACGTCTTCCCTAGTTCCCGGGACCCCATTATGTTCTTAGCCTCGCTTGAGAAAACCTGGAGTCGCGTGAGGGACGTACGGGGTACGGAACGGGAAGAATCGGGTGCAGGATCAGATCGGAAGCACGAGCTAACATTTGAACAGCCTCCGTGGCTAGCGGCGGCCTTGAGAAATAATCGATGGCTTCCGAGGTAGACACAGCTCTTCCGAAATTGGTTAGACTATAGCAGCATTGAGAGAGCTCAGAAAAGTCGATCGGTGCTGGATCGTTGCCTCCAGGTCATACCGGACGAATTGAGCAATGAGCTGTATGTCTACGCTTTGATGGTGTAATTTTGACTTTACTGCAATATTCGATAACTAAGTGATCTCATACCCGTAGTAATATACAGTATCTACACTCGCTCAGCTCAGCCAAGCAGTCTGACATACTGCGTCCTGGCACGTTGAGAAAACGTGTGGTTGCGTAAGAAGATATTCATGGATTCTATGATCCAGAAGTACACTTGGGCTCTGGTTGCAGCCTCGAGATTCTAATTAACGTCACTAGCAACCTTGGAATTGTCCTGTATTTGAGTTATGCTGTAGACATATTGATGGTCACAGATAGGATGCGTTTCGGACGTAAGTATACTTGGATTTTCGATGACAGAATCACTTTTTGAACAAAAGCTTTCATTGAGCTGTAACAGTTCTCTGGTCATAAAAGCAGATTGGAGGTTCACTGCCAGATGATAGTAGTCGAATCCATGAGACTTTCCAAGCGAGAAGGAATCACTACTGGCAGACTTTCATCGGTATCAAAACACGAGCCATCGCCACGCACAAGCTTTTATACAAAATGGCTTCAACCCATGATGTTTCTAAGAGAAAGCTCCTGCGTAGAAGATCGCGAAGGTCAAGGGGAAATTGACGCTAACGCCTTGGCGCTGCTTTAGTCTCGACGCTCCTTGTGCTCTACAAGTTCATCAGATACCGCGTACACAAACATCAACTTTACTTCCTAACATTTAGTGTCTAAGCTGGGAGTTCGCATAATTGCTCGAGCCTCACAGCATACTTTCAAAACGCGTGATTGGGCAATCGCGCATGTGGATAACACCTGTTTGCTGTTCGCGCCGAAGTGAGACCTCAGAGGAACACGAGCATGAACTTTACTTACACCAACATAGACTGACACACCGACGAGGCTGCAGCAGATACAATAGGCAGACTGTCGCTCTTACCACAAACATTATTGTGTCGACAGACAGCCATAAATCACCTTTTTCTTTCTAAGCTTTCTACTTCTGCTTTCTGGAAATCAACAACCTCCATGCTGTGAGGACGCGCGAAGTAAGTGAAACGGTAGATCTTATTCGCACGACTCTCCTTCTATGTCAAAGCGTGCTAGCCAGGGCAAAGCTTGGCTCGCCCGGTGCCGTTCATACACGCTTTCCCCCACCTACAGCGCGTGTATGACGGCATTGCTCCACCCGCTTCCCCCCGGAGCTGCCCTGCAGGATACTCAGCGCTTGAATCAGACTGCTGCATTCGATCGGCATGCGTAGAAACATGCTCAATAAAGCGAAGCATGCCATCTGCTAGACACTAACATAAAGTCAGTTGTCAACGGATCGTCGAGGATAGAAGCGCGGCGTCAGCGCCCGCTTCACTGGCTCACCGAAGCCATGGATAGCGAAGATTATCCTATGGCTGATGAGGAATCCATAATAGCCTCGACAGAGCTGAATGGCGATGCGCTGCCTTCTACGGTAGACCCATCCAAGCTCGGACTTCAAAATCCGTCCCACTTCCATAACGACTCATTACCATTTCACAGCCCATCCAAAACCTCGCAATCTTTCCGGCCGAGTGGCCACAACGAGAACGAATATAGGGCACGAAAGTCGACAGATGACATGGACATCTCAACACCAAGAAGCCGCTCAAGTCCAGAAGTGCGTATAGCACCCAAACCACGGGCAATTGTGCTCCCATATGCGTCATCGAAGACGGGTTTGGTGTATGACTCTCGTATGCGGTTCCATGCGGAGTTGCCTAGCATGACGCTCAATGCAGACGACATACACCCGGAAGATCCACGGCGGATACACTCCATCTTCGAAGAGATCAGACAAGCAGGCTTAGTAGGCTCATCTACTGCAGAAGACGATCAGACAGAGCAGCATTGCTGGAGAATCGCCATTCGGCCGGCCAGCCGTCCCGAGATTTTGTTGATTCATACCGAGGAGCACTACGAACTCGTGAAGTCATTACAATGTAAGGCCCCAAGACCTGGACGTAGACGACGGCTAACATTTGCTGCAGATATGAAATCAGAACAATTAAAGTTCGAAGCCGAGCAACTGGACTCCATTTACTTCAATCAGGCAACCTTTGAATGCGCAAAGCTCGCAGCAGGAGGAGCCATCGAAGCTTGTAAAGCAGTAGTCCAGGGTTCTGTGCGCAATGCAATCGCCATCGTTCGACCTCCAGGACATCACGCGGAGAGTAACCAACCTTCGGGATTCTGCATCTTCAACAATGTGCCAATAGCAACACGCGTGTGTCAAGAAGCATATCCAGAAACATGCCGCAAAGTCATGATCCTCGACTGGGATGTTCATCATGGCAACGGAATCCAGCATGCATTTTACAACGATCCTAACGTGCTCTACATCTCCCTCCATGTGTTTCGGGGTGGTAATTTCTACCCGAACCTCCCGGATGGGGACCTAGACTACAGCGGGGAGGGTCCTGGTGAGGGCAAGAACGTGAACATTCCCTGGGCCGATCATGGGATGGGAGATGCAGAGTACTTATACGCATTTCAAGAGGTCGTGATGCCCATAGCGACTGAGTTCGACCCAGACCTGGTCATAATTTCTGCTGGCTTCGACGCAGCAGAAGGAGATATCCTGGGAGGTTGTTTTGTAACACCTGCAGCGTACGGGCACATGACCCACATGCTCATGCGCTTAGCCAGAGGCAAGCTCGTGGTATGTCTCGAAGGGGGCTACAACTTGCGGTCAATCGCACGGTCCGCATTGGCGGTGACCCGTGTACTCATGCTTGAGCCTCCCGATCGACTACAAGAAGATATGCCTGCACCCAAAGACAGCGCCGTCTACACTATCGAGCAGGTGAAGCGCCAGCATTCAAGGTATTGGAAATGCATGTATCCGAAGCATCTCGACAAGAGCGATCCTGGCTACAAGAATACACATCGTTTACACGAAGTTGTAAGAGAATGGCAGAGTCTGCGACTATCCCAGGACCATGCCATGACGCCTTTACCTTTGACAATCAACAGAACAGGTCTTGCTCAAACCTTCGAGCACAACGTCATCGCTACGTAAGTACAACACTATTGGCCCCTGAAGAACTCTACTGACTATACCAGGCCTGGTTTCATGGGTCGGCATCCACTACTATTGATCTTCCATGATCCTCCATCTTTCCGAGATCACGAGGATCCTGTCACGGGGAAGCGAGAACTCCACAACACCTGGCTTGTAAGTAGTAGTACAGTCTTGCGCTGTATCGACACTGACTTTGAACGTGAAGACTGATGTTACCAAGAGGTACATTGATTGGGCTTTGAACAATAAGTTCGAAGTGGTCGATGTAAACATCCCAAAGATCGTTTCTGTCGAAGATGTAAGCCATAAAATCACGGGAGACATTCATGGACTAATGATAGGACAGCCTGAGGATGGATATGTCAGAGCTGACGATTCGGAAAAACGTGCACACCAAACACGGGAATTGGCAGCGTACATCTGGGAAAACTACATTGAGTGAGCAGTTACTCAGTCTGAGATGTAGCATTTACTAACGCCAAGATAGGCCCCACGACGCAACACAAGTGTTCTTCATGGGTATCGGAGACGCCTACGCTGGCTTGGTGGATCTTTTGAGCAACTATGGTGGGCTTCCTAGGAGTCGAACATAGATTAAAGCTGACTTGCATTAAAGAAAACTGTACAGAACCGGACAGTGTCGTCGAGTGCCTAATTGGATTTGTGGCGGAGACCACGATTCAGTCGATAAAGCGACCCACAGACGACACCATAGCTCTTTGGTATCATGCAGTAAGTCCCATTTATCCATATCTCGCTGAACACATGCTGACCTGTCACCCAACAGCATTCCAAGATCTTCGTCAAGAACAGCCATTTCGTCTGGGACCCCTCCCGCCAACGTAAACTCCGTCGCAAGCTCGGTAATCTCGTCCAGTCGACAAGGAAGATACTTTAGACGCCATGCTCGAAGCGCATATGGAGGATGTGCAAAAGCTTCTACTTGAGAAGACAGCCGAATATGCAGAGATGAACGATGTCTCCAGCCTGACGGACGATCAAATACCCGCGACCGGCCCCTTGCGTAGTCCTCCTGCGCTTGCGAGAGCCTTCACGCCCAGGGTGCGGCAGGAGAGCATGTCTGACGCGCTGAAGAGTCCGAAGCTGCCTGCTGTGGGTTTTTTTAGCGTGCCGTCGCACAGCCCGAGGAGCCCGAGAAGCCCGTTGAAGAGGGGAGCGATCCGAGAGTAGGTGATCGATTAGCATTACCCAGCGACATGCATTTTCCTTTTGTTTAGCACGCCTAGCTCGCTTCGACATGTCGGTGCAGTTTAGCGATATCTCGACATTGTGTATGCGTGCATCTCTTGTTTTCGTAATTTGCATGTAGCAGTGACAATCCAAGACGTTGCTCAAAGTAATCCAGACTATAGAGGGCCGGCTTGTCACTTGTTTCATATGGCATTTTTGCGAAGTCGCATCAGGTGCTAAGCTACTTTGTGTGCGCCACACAAGGTCTGTCTGTGAGCACTGTCTTTAAGCAATGTCAAAGCGTAAGCAAGTCCAGCCTGCATGACTTCAAAGTGCTCTTGGTATTGCGCAGCATATTGATTAGCTTTTGAGTCTCTTCAGGACGACAGTCAGTTTCTAATAGTACTCCAAGGTTATCCAGAGCCCGCACGGATTGTTTCTGAACCAAGTCCCTCTCTCCTTCGTAATTATTGATAGACATAGACTCTCATGTTTGTGTATGAACCTACCTGTAGCTACGGATGTTAGTACGTATTGTTCCAAGTAGACTATGAGAGGTAGGAACGATGTGGGGAACAGGAATACAACCCCTGTAGCTATGGAAGCGCTGTGGAGTTAGAATAATACCGGTGTGAAGCGACGCAGCGATATTCACACATGCATGTATGTTGTGGTTCGTCGAATAGCTTGGGTGCCGCGTATGTACACGGGGCTCGCTGCGCCATGTGAGAAGAGACAAGATGGGGTTACAAGAAGTGCTGTCATTTGACTTCACTGTAGTACCGTTGGGATTTAACGTTGTGCGGTCGTAGAGTACAAGACGGCTTGCGGACATTTCCCAGCAAATATCCGTGTGGCTGTGAGAGGTGCTGACGAACGAACCCATGATCTCTTCGCGGCTTCCGTGATACAGGATTGCTCCATGGAGAGTGCCAATAGACTTTCCCGGTATTGCTTCCTGAAGAGGTTGTTTGCTTCGCGCGTTGCTGCGATGATTTGATGATTTGAATCCGTCCCTATGTAGTCTCTCGTTTTATGCCTTCTTGTTGATAGAGTGTCAAGGTCGCTTCATCGAACTTGAAAGCTCAGTTGAACGTCACGGAACTTACAGACCACGCCCGGCTCGCTCGTATCAGCGCATAACGCTGGCCGTCCAATGTCGACGTCATCAGAAACTTCCTTCACGGCTGAGGCAGAGGTAGAGCAATCGACGCTCATGATTACTACAACAATCTCCTCGGCTCTACCGCCTATCGTTACGAGTCCTTCCCTTTTTGCTTCTCAAGCCTTTCTGCTGAAGAGATCGTCGACATCCCATACCATTAAAGTTGGCCCTGGCACCGAGTTCAAGTTTGAACCAGCGGTACTACCTGACGTACTCATCGGAGATGTCATATCGTTCGAGTTCTACCCTAGAGGCCACTCTGTTGCACGTGCGGACTTTGAAAAACCGTGCGTGCCATATGAGTCGAACGGAGCAAATAGAGATGGATTCTGGTCGGGAGAACAGATGATTGAAACTGGGGTACGGGCTCCCTTGCTGGCATTGAAGAAATATGCTAATTGCTTTTCAGACATCAAGTTTTGATGTCAGCATCAACAGCACGGAGCCCGTGTTCTTCTACTGCGCAGCAAAAGACTCTTGTCACAAGCACCTGATGGTTGGCGTAATAAATCCTAATGAGACACAAACGCTAGACAAGCAGATCCAGGCAGCGAACATGACGACGCACCAGCTTGCACCTGGGGAGTCAATTCCGCTTGAAGGCGGCTTTACGACTTCGGATTCTCCCATCCCAGGTGGCTCTACTTCGACTCCTCGGCAAGCAGATGCGTCGCATGACCATTCGCATGGACTGTCCACCGCTGCGATCGTAGGCATATCAGTCGGCGCAGGAGCTTTCTTAGTAGTTTGTGCCGCACTCTTCTTCTTCGTTGGGCGCTTGAAGTCGCTCAAGGAACTGATCCGACATCATGGCCAAGGTAGTACAGCGAAGCCTCAGGGTGTGGGAGGTGTACATCCAGAGCCGGATTACAGGCAATCGACATTCTCTCAGTCGCCGCAGTCCCCACAAGGAGAGTATCCGCCAGCCTTTGGCCGTCCGTTACCGGCGTATGCGGGACCACATATCAATATGAAAAGAATGCCGTCCCACAAGTACGTTGTCGGGGCTGCTGAGCATTACGGTACTCGACTGACATATACTTTAGTGACCGCAAAAGCTCGCAACCAATGGCTGCTGAGCTGCATTCGCCAACGCTTGGAAGGCAAGGTTTCTCAGCGGAATTGGAGGCCTCAAATGTATCGTCGAAAGGGCATGGCTAAGGTGCGAGCGTATAAGACTCGAGGATAGCTGGCATACCTGCTCCGTCAATCTTGCACATGTTTCTGTAGTGGTATGCCATGTAATATCGGTGCTCTAACATGGCACTAATTGAAGGCTGAGTCCAAAGCTGTGCGACTCGGCGACACCTGCCCAACACTAATGGTGCAACGGCGCTCCATTCTTTGAGCACATTTGGTAAATCTGACCGATGTTCGCAACCTCCCTCTATCATCTGGGGTATCGTGGTATCGGGCCTTCTGACGATCTAGACGGACTCGTGACTGGCACACTCAGTCAATCAGCAGAGTACAATTGCACACGTTGTCGGCGGACTGCGGCCCCCGGCGTATCGCTCCGCGCGGCTTGTTTGTAGCGTCAGTGCCACCGTTGCGCAAGCTAAGCAGCGCGGAAGCTAAACATGGATGAATTTTTCTGTGGTGTTTGGTGTTGGACACTGGACAGGTCGGAGTTGGTCGCGCCTCGGAAGCAGGGCTTAGTCCCGTGCTGGGCTGCGGCAACGAGATGCCGATGACGAAGGACACGCCCAGGACCGCTGTTCGCTGGGCGCACAATGGGCGCGGTGAGAATTGCCAGTGGTGGCGCCACAGGGAGAGCCACAGCAGAGCTTTCGGCGTATCATGCCTCGCTGCAGGAGGTGAAGGGGTTCGTGACGGGGGACGGCCCAATAGACAGCCACAGATAGCGAACGTGTTTGCTGCAGTCGAAGGTAGGGGACCCGATTGACTTGGAGCCGAGCCAAGCTTCGCGCACCAGGAATGGATGGTGCAGGTGGCATCGCGCCTTTCTTCTTCGACGCCAGATGAGTCTATGCCGCCGCGTTTGCTCAACTGTTCCCTCCTCCACGACACGACCAGCATCGACTATGACGGTATTGGGCAATCGCTGCGGGCATCTCCCTCCCCCAACCGTAGCCCTCACTGTAGCTTTGCCCTGCCGCCCATCGCTGCCAGCAGCCGTGCGCCGTGCAGCCTCGACATGCTCACCTCGTCCTCACCGACCATCTCAGCGCCTGCATCGCCCTCGGCCGCCTTCCACGCTCCCAGCCGCGCATATCATGCCTCGCGACGGACGTCGGCTTCCTCCAGCGCCCACTCTCCCCGCTTCGCCGTGAGCGCGTCGTCGCGGCGGTACGACGTCACCGCAGCCACCACCACCTCCACCACGAGGCCCATTCCAATACCCTCGCCTTCCGCCGCCTATACGCAGTCACCGCAGAGCCGCAAACGGGCCTACGTAGACGTCGGCACGCAGTACACTCCGCCAGGCCTGCCCCCCACCTACCACCCCCCGGCATCGGACCAGCACACTATCCTCACTTCCACTTCCACTTCCACCAGCCCCGAAACGACAGAAGCCGCCCTACTGGCTGCTCACCCTGCCGCGACTACACCGCGGGGGGAGCCCTCCGCCACGCCTGTCGCCACGGAGCCTCCAGAGCCTGAAGTGCGGGTGGATCCGCAGCCATTCGCGCCTGTCCATAATGCTCAACCCCCGGCTCGGAGGGCATCAGGCTCGAGCTCGCGCTCAGCAGTTGGACAGGAAGGAGCCTTGCCCCAGACAAGTGCTGTCTTGCGGGTTCCTTCCTCGCCAGCCAAACGCGCACGACCCCACGAGCCAGATGTGAAAGTCATGCCACTCCTGTACGAGACGTGCGACGTCAAAGAACTGGGCGTGTTGATATCAGACATGCTCATGGAGCTGGTGCGCATTAACGATGAGCAACCGCTCCGGGACGGTACTCTCACGCGGTTTCATTCGAGGTACGTTTCTAGAAGCACTTGTGTGGAGACGAAAGACTGATTAGAGCAATAGGGCGCCGCCTGGCATCTCTGTGCGTGACTATCTCTCCCGTCTGATCGTGCATGCGACCCTGTCGCCTCCCATCCTGCTCTCCATGGTCTTCTACGTCGACAAGCTCTGCGCCATGTACCCCTCCTTCACAATCAGCAGCCTCACCGTGCATCGCTTCTTAATCACAGCGGCAACAGTAGCAGCGAAGGGCCTGAGTGATAGTTTTTGGACCAACAGCCTGTATGCAAGAGTGGGAGGTGTCAGCGTACGCGAACTGGCACTACTAGAGCTTGAATTCCTAAGGCGGCTAGATTGGCGGATAGTCCCGAAGCCTGAGGTGCTTGTGGACTACTACAAGGGCCTGGTTGAGCGAGGCTCGGGCTTCGTCATGGAAACAGAACCAGAGGCAGCTCCAGAGCCCGGCTCCCAGGATGCAATCAGCCCTGGATCAGCGACTGGGATCCATACCAACCAATCAAATTCCTAATTGAAACACCAGTACCATCGCACCACGGCGTTCTCTTGTAGTAGAGAGTATGCAACCTTATCACCGCACAACATTACATGACCTGGTCCAGGTTTGTGTGCTAGGCCAGTGCACATCACCTAGGTCAGCGAGCTGCAGCAAGCCATGAACGTACCATCCATGTCTTACAGGGAAGAGTTGGATGGACGCTGAGCTGGCGGTGTCGACTAGGCGAGGACGAAAAAGGGGTGGAGTCGGTCCAAGAGTCTATACTGGCACATTTGTTGGGAAGACGGTGCCATGAGTTAGGAGCCATAGTGCATCGTGAACATATATGCGCATCGGTTCGGCGCGCTGCGGCTACATGTCGTCGAGAGGTCTGGCAGCTGACTACGGCACCAGAATGCATCACAGATCCGGCACGAGGTTACCAGAAGAGAGTGCATGGCCGCTGCAGCACGAGCCAGAAGGCATGGGATCGCTGGCAGACATGCAGGGCTAACAGAAAAGCCCAGCAGCATGATTGGTTAGATAGTGTTAACTTTGTAGCAATAAATCCTGATCAAATCCACTGGCGTTGCTGTAAGGGTGCCAAAAGCTCCAGCAGCTAACAGAGTAACGTGGACAAATGATATGCCCCCCACCACGGGACCCATGTCCAGTTAGTACGGCGTACCTAACGAAGAAGTGAGGCTATCACTCCACTTCCAAGGTCCTTCTTTGCATATTGTCGAGCATACATGAGCGCGAGAATGGGGAGGGGCTGGTCGGACACCAGGACGCACGGAGATGGCAGGAATGACATGCGCCAGGTCCCGCCTCTGACCAGATGAAACCCATCCCATACCGCACCACAATAGCCGCTCTCCGCCCCCACTACCTCAGCGCCCATTACGATACACAACGACATCGCAGAGGTCGTGTGCCCGCACTGCCGCTAAACCATCCCATCGCAAGCCGATCTGCACCAGCACTAAGCGGTACCGAGACGCCTTCTCCGTTCAAGCTGGCGGCAGGGGCGCGACATAGTACCATGAGAGTAAGTAGTCGTCACGAGAGCGCGCCTAGGTCACTCCTCATGTGTTCCACTTGCTATAGCTCCCTTCACCATGGCTTGCCCTAGCTGCTGCCAGCCTTGCTTCTCAAGTTGACGTTCAAGCAGAGCCCCACGTAGCTCCTCCACCACCACGAGCATTGCTATGCAGAAGACATGAACGCGGAATACGCCCGCCGGGATTACAGCCAGCACCATTACGATTCACAATGGGGTCTTCGTCTACCAGAAGCTCCCGTACCGCCTCCGCCTCTTCAATTCGCGTTCCCTGACCGACCGGTTGCGCAACTTGAAGAGGGGTTCCGGCAGCTACAGATAGGGAACGGGACCGCACAGACACACACCCAGGGTCCCAAGGGACGACCAAAGACGCGAACCACGCCTGTGACTACGCGCACGCGTATCACCCGCCATGGCTCGAATCCCAACCCCATCCGACCCTCGTCCAGTGGAGGAGAAGCCAAGATGATCGCCTTTCGACCATTTGCCCCGCCATCGTCAAAGCGCTCTGAATCCTACTCTCACCCCACCCCACTCGATGACTTTCGCAACTCGAGACGATGGCCGCCCGCTGGACACAGACTGGACGATGCGCTCAGCTCGCAGCAGGCCGAAGACCTGATCTGCGCAGGCGCTTCCACGTTCAAGGGCTACTGGGACTCAATACCGAATGCGCCGGGCTACAACCGCTTCTACGCAGTCATGGAGTCGGAGCACCAGAGCAGGACAGATCGCGCGCCGTTCCAGCAGCCCGCATATCGGGAGATTTCTTTGAATATGACGGGCGCATCGGACAGTCAGTTTCCTTGGCTGTCGCAAGAGCAGCCGTGCATGGCATATGCTTTCGGAAAAAGCGCTGGCACAACTACGCTGAACTACTGGGTCAGCAAGTCGGGAAGCAGCAATCCACCCACACCGTTCATCAGCGATGTGAACCCGCGGAAGATCAAGCTCCTACAGATCTTGGACCGATTGCAGAAGCTGGAGAGCGGTCTTAACGAAGATGTCAGTGCATAATGTCGTACGGGATGCTTTGGTTCACGTGGCCTAACTTTTGGTGCAATAGGACCCTGAAGAATTGTACCGATACCTATACGTTACGCTCATCGATGACCCGGAGAAGTTTACGGGCAACCCTCACATAAATATAGACCAGCAGATCGAGGACCTTGTCACGGTTCTGACCAATCCACGATGGATTGACTTTTCCCTCCCGAAAAACCAGGTCGTAGCCAAATTCTTCGACGCGCCAGACCAACATAAGAAACAGGAGTTCTTCCATCAGTTGCTGCTTTCGGTCGAGCTGTACCTGCGGATGCACTCGAAAGAGTACAGTGACAAGGCCAGGAGGAAGATGATTATGCAACTACCGCCGATCATTACCTGGGATCTAGCTGTTGCACAGCGTTGGTTAGAGAATATGGAGATCACCAAGACTCGGACGTCTTCCACTCAGAGCACCTTCAGTTTTGAGCTGAAAAGCAAGAACAGACAGAAGGAGGCGTTGAGAACGTTTGCGACGACCTTGAAGTGGCCAAACATGGATGAGGTCGACTACGTCCTGGACGAGACAGACATGAAAGAGAAACCTTTGGAAGACCGCTCGGCAGATGCCATGTCTTGGTTCTCGGGCATTATACTGCCAGGGAGGACGCTGCCGTGGCTAATCATGAACAGCTTGATTGACTGCGACCGCGACACAGGGGACGGGCTCAAATTCTTGACCCATATGCAGCCCTCTTCGGGCTTCCAATATCGAGCGAATACCTACTGGTCAGCCCAATGCATAGTCGGTAAAGTTTTAGGAGCTGCTCGAGGTGTGAACCAGATTGCAGGATGGGTGGGTCCCTGCATCTATACGCCGGATCTCAAGCGGACAGAATGCGTCAAAGTGAAGCAACTTGCCTCACTTGACCCAAAGCTCGATTCAAGCGACGTTGATTCAATGGGTGAGCGAACAAACCCGCTGGGTCCGATAGATGACAGCTATCCCGTCGACGACTACGAAGTACCAATGCCTGACACAGAAGATGTGACGGACTTGATCAGGATCGAGAAACTCGGTTTCAAATCTGCAAAAGAGCAACCTTCATCAACCAGAAATATTCCAGGCGCGCCGCTGGTATTCGATGCTGCGATATTCTTTGCATGTGGCGGGAAGAGCTGGCCGATGAAGCTGAAATACGATGTCGACTTCATCAACGCCTTTCCCTGCCACCAAGGCCCTCACGGTAGCCATCACTGGAACCACAGTCAAATTGCAGATTACTGACATTTTGTAGTCCTCTTCTATGACTTTGCGTACAAGTCCATCAAGATTGACGACGGTCTCGTAGACATCCACGACTGGGGTCGCCAATCCGGACGCATCTCCCGTCCTACCTCGTCACGCTCTTCGCCAGGAAAGAAGGCTTTAGTGCTTGCGAACGGTGAGGTCAAGACAGCCCATGAACAGGTGACCAAGGTACTCGTAATCGAGGCCCTGGGCGTCAGCGACAACGAGGTCTTCGCGAGAGCCTGGTGCGCAAGCCATGGTCACAGTGCGATTGTAGCGAACATCAAGGAGACGTGCATGGCATGTGCTATTCGAGAAGCATATGCGGCGTGCGTGTCAGTTGTCATTCTCACCGAAGGTGGCAGTGTCAAGGAGAACGATGCAGAAGTCCCGGAGCGTGTGGAGCGCATCTCCATACCCGGGAGCTTCTGGTAGCTTGCATTCAGGCAGCGTCATGCTTCGGCATATTTGACCTGTCACAACCCTTTAAAGCACACTTCTCTCCTTTGTCTTGGTTGGGATTGGGAGTCACTGGAGTTCGCATTTGCATTTACGGGTGTGGCATATGTCCAAGACAGGTACTGGGACGGTCCTCGGACTCTTGGTGTGGTGTTTCCTAACTAACGGCTGTAACTTTACGACTGCATATGGCATGGGAAGGAAACCGTCGTCACGAGTATGATCATGTAGCTATGCATTACGAATACATGAGCTAAACCATGTTTGAAGTGCACACTGCGTGCCATCTGCTGCTGTACTTGCTGTCAGAGCGCAAAGGCTGCATGCAATCAATGCGATGGGGTCCGTGCACACAGGGCTGTGACGTCTGCGCCAGCGGTCCTCCGAAGATGTGTCTGAGCATATGTCTACGCGCGGCGAGGTGACATTGGCCGCTTATAGAAGCTGTCGATTATCTTCACATCTGCCGGGGCAGACAGAACGAGCGCTGATTGTCTCGACCAAGCAATCTGTGCTTACACGTCCTGGAGGTCGTACTTCACTCTGATACACAATCTCGGACCTCCCCGCGAAGGCTCTATACACATCACATCACTTCTTATCGCGTCCTCGCTAGGCTTCAGATATAGCTTGCGCCCTCTGGCTCCCCGGTGGACGGTGGACACTATCCTGCAGCAACCCTGCGCCCATGCCGTTGTGCAACCGTCCCTCCTGCGCCAGCCCTGTGTAGCACATTTCCAAACTTCACCCATTCGCGCCCGTTGCGCGCCATGGGTCGCTCCATCATCCGCCCTGCGCTCGTCGAGCTGTCGAACCCAAGCACGCCCGAAGCTCAGATTGCTGCCCTGCAGAGCCTAAAGAATGAAATCGTCGGCCATGAGCAGCGGAAGGAGCTCGCCGTCACACATGGCATCATCAAGCCTCTCGCAGGCTTGCTGAGGGTCGAAGCGCGCAAAGGCGGGAAGAGGAGGAGAGGCCAAGCTAACGGACATGGCTCTGGGCCCTCCAGTGAGAGTCGGGGAAGCCGTGTGGACTGGACAATTGAGGACGAATTGAGATTCCAGGCCACGCTTGTCATAGGGAGTCTTGCGAATGGTGAGCCCACAACGGTAGAGAGAGGGCAAATACTGGAACACATGAAGGCTGATACATGCAATATACAGGCGGTCCAGCATTTGTTGCCCCTCTACTCTCTGGCAACGTCCTCCCTCCCTTACTCGAAGCGCTGCGCCTCAGCGAAACGCCCTCGAAGCTCGTCACAACGACCATACGCACGCTGAATCAGATCGTAGATGCAGTCGCACAAGAGAACCCTTGGGTAGACATGTCAGATTCATCATCGAGGTCAACACTCGCCTTCGCCGTCAGCGAGCAGATCTATGCACGGCCAGTCGTTGAGAATTTGGCCGAGATATTGTCGCAACCAGCAGGGACGCTCAACGCCAACCAGCAGATATCCTTGGCCGTTCGCCTACTGACGAAGACTTGTCAGGAGGAGAACCAGAAGAAGTTGCTCGTGGATGCTGGCATACTCGATATCTTGGCTGCCAAGCTGACGGCCTTTGCTTCGTCCGATGAGGTCGAACGGAACATGAATTCAAACACATCAATCCCGGATTTGCTCCCGCGCACCTCACTACCTGAGGTCATTGAGGCTATCGCAGCCATCATCAAGGACTCACACTTCTATACTGCACGCTTCACTTACTCACAACCGATACAACAATTCTTCGCGTGGCCTAAGGACCACACAAACACGTCGTATGACGAACACAATGGTGCTCCACAGCCTTTTTGGGACAGGCTCATCCCTCGCGTGCAAACAATGGCGAGTAAATCGGATCCATATATCAAGTCATGGCCAGCGCTTGGCTCCCACACTGCCGCTTCAACAGAATCTTATGGACGGCAAACAAATACCGACCCCGTACAGCAGCCCACGGGTCGCAGCGTAATTACCGATGAGTCTGAGGCACCACTCTTCATCTGGCTGATGTTTATCGCACGACGGAGTGAAGGCAGAGAACGCTTGTCAGCTTGTTGGCTGCTGGCGCTGCTGAAGAAGTTTGGTGACAGATGGCCGCTCAACGACCCATCCAAGGCCACGCGAGAGCGACACTTCTCGTACCTGATTATCCCTCTTGTCGTGAACATGATCGAAGAATCGTCTCCCACATCTGAGCTCGCGAAAAAAGCATACGCTGCCGGGCCAGCTGCGAAGGACGAGATGCGCTTTGCGCTCGAGAGATCTCCACTTGTGCTTGCCGAACTTGTCGCTGGTAACAAAGCACTACAGTCCGCGGCGGTCGATGCCAAGATACTTCCGACTCTCGTGCAGATTCTGAAAAGGTCGTTTGATACGGTCACGAAGTCGTCGAAGCCTCTATGGCAACCACGGTCGTCTTCACATGAGGTCAAGGACGCCAACATTGACCCCGCTTCATCCACACTTGGTCGACCTGGTCTTAGTGCTGACCTTCTACACGCCTTCAAGTACAGAGAGAGTGTACTACTGGCATTGGCGGCACTTGCTGGCGATCAGGATGGACTGAGGAAGCTTGTCATTGAGATGGGCGCTGCCACGCATATCATCGAAGCTATGGTCCCGTACACTGAGAATAATGAGCCAGGCTCAACAGCGACAACGGCAAAGAATGGCAATCCAGAGCCAGTGCTTGTGGCCGCCTGCAAAGTCACGCGCTCCTTGTCGAGGTCTGTGAGCGTACTCAGGACAAGTCTTATCGACCACGGCGTGGCACAGCCGGTGTACGAGCTTCTCATGCATCCTAGCGTTAAGGTACAAATAGCCGCCACGGAAGTCATTACTAATCTGGTACTGGAGATGTCACCAATGCGTCCGGTAGGTCACTCCCTCCGCTATGTGGATTTAGCTAACACTGTGCAGGAGATAATTGAGGCTGGTGTGCTTCGGGCTCTGTGCGAACAATGTCGATCTGCAAATTTTAGTCTGCGCTTTGGTAGTCTCTGGGCACTGAAGCACCTTTGCCTAGGCTTGCCGCAACCCATGAAGATCCAATGCTTGGATGAGCTCGGTGTGGGCTGGCTTGTGCAGGTGCTCAATGGAGAGCCGAGTAAGCCTGCCATGGCTACACCAAATGCAGCAGGAGAACAGGTGGACATACTGAATGCTTTAGACGAGCCACATATGGACGTTGACGACGAGCTGTCGGATGAGGACGAAGACGAAGAAGAGGATACAATGGCAGAGAGCATACCCGCTATGGGACGGCTTCAGCGCCCTGGCTCCAGATACACAAGCGCGAACAACATACGAGACCGCCTACAGCAAATAAGAAACGACGAGCATGACACACGACTGAACAGCGAACGCGACGACGTGCGCATGCAAGAACAAGCCCTCGACTTCATCCGCAACTTCATTTCCGAAGAACAACAGAGTGGCGATATGATCGACCACCTCCTAAAGTCCTTCGGCCACAGCCGCTTCTTCGATCTCATCGACGCGAAAATCCGACCCAAGAACTCCACCTCATCACACTCCCTATCCGGCTCTCCAGCGCCATCGTATTGGCCCAACACCAACCCACGCAGTTCCTTCACTTCATCCACAACTACCCAGCAACAACAAACCAACTGGTCTGCCTACCCCGCCCCCGAACTCATCCTCGCAGCCGTGTTCGTCCTCGTGCACGTCGCCAACGGCCGCCCCAACCACCGCTCCCTCATGATCTCCCAGACCTCGCTCATGCAGCACCTGCTCCCCATCCTGTCGCATCCGAAGCGCGAAGTTCGCGCCACCTGCGCTTGGTGCTTACACAATCTGCTTTGGCTGGATGATTCGAGTGATGAGGCTGCAACGCGGGAGCGCGCAATGCTACTTCGGAATCTTGGTTTTGAGGAAGCGGCAAAAATCATGCTGGGCGATGGTGACCTAGATGTCAGTGAGAGGGCGAAAACGCTGGTTGGTCGGTTTACGACATTGCTGGGCGATGGACACAGCCAGGGACATGCGCAGAGTCAGAGAGGGAGCTTGTATGGGAGTGGAAGTGGAGGTCAATTCGGTGGCGATGGGAGCATGAGTGGATTAGGTAGGTTGGGCGGGCTGCATGGGTGGAGAGGACATGATTCTAGGGGATGACTGTGTGAAGTTCCTATGCTGCTGGGATTGTCATTGTCATGGCATGTTATGGCGTAGAATGTTTCGATATTTGTAAGCTTCTTGGGGAAGGGAAGGGGCATGCTGGATAACTTCAATGCATTATTAAAGATTTATTCATGTTTGAAATGGTGGCATGGTGTCTACAAGAAGCTAAGGCATGAGCGTGTATGCTGCTGCTTTGGTTTGATGACCTGTGTGCTGGACTTTGGTTCTATAGATGCTGCCGTTCTACGACCTTTCAACTCCTGTTGTTACGGATTTCTACTCTTTCTATTCCGTCTTTCGAGAATGACGCGGCAAGTGTAGGCAAGAAAGAGTTTAGACCCAACCGTAGCCGCCCTAGTATATTGTCTTTTTCACGATTCTGGTCGATTCTTCTCATTGTATATGAGACTGCTTACACAGTAATAATATGACGCATAGCCTGCGCTATTGTCAAAACCTGCATGTTATGCTGCCTTGGGACTCTTAAAGAGCAAAAAGAGATATATACAGTAGGACAACAGAGACTCGAACCGGGGGCTTCGTAGAGTGACAAAATGCCAAAAAAATATAGGAATTCGGGCGACTATTCGATCGGAGCCCAGGGCGAACCCCAGAGTCTAATCATTGATTGGGTCGGGGAATTCCTATAGCAGATTCTTGATTTTACTGATATATATACCATTAGTTAATACTGCAAAAAGAAAGATGTATTTGTTGTTTGCGCGAGTGCAAAGTGGGTCACGTCATGCGAATGAGGAAGCGAAGTGAAGGCAGAAGAGCAAACGCAAATTTAAACTACACCAAAGAATTTTTCGAGAGGAGCAGCCCAAGCGACATTCAGAGCTCACGCTCCGTATACTGCGCGTCTCCAGCACCTGTCTGCCTTGCGCTGTCAAGTATAGGAATGGTGAAGAATCCACCACCACCACCCGTCACTGGCGCACCACCATCCTCCTCACGCGGCAAACCCTCCATCAACCCCCCAACAAAAACCCCATCATCCCTCTCCTCTCTCCTCGCTTCTCCAACCGCCGCGCTCGCAAGCGCAAACAGCCCCAACCTCTCCCTCTCCATGCCCTCCCACCTCTCCACCGCACCTTTCAAATCCACCGTCATGATCTCCGCCACGGCGGCGTCACCCTGCTGCGCCCTACGCTCCGCAATCATGTCGATCAAGAGCTGCACCACCTCGCTGTGGCGCCCAATGCTGACGGCGCTCAGCTTCTTCATGGCCTCGGCGAAGTACTTGGACCACGCGAGCGCGTCCATGGTGCCGATGGTGCCGGGCCGTCTGAGGAGGTCGGCGAAGGTGGCTTGTGAGCCGAAGGCGAGGAGTTCGCGCGGGGAGTAGTCGGGCGGGAGGATGGCGTTGGGGTCGGTGATGCGCCAGTTGAACATGGTGTCGGCGATGTAGCGGTGTGTTTTGGACATGGCCATTGTGTGTGTGTGTGTGTGGTGGCGGTCTAGTGGTAGGAGGATTGTTTGCTTAGGTGATAGATAGAAGAGGAGGAGTGTGGGATGAGGGATTGGGTTTGCGGGTTGAAAGTTTTCATTAGGGTTGAGGAGTGAAGGTGAAAGTGAGTTTGGTATGGACGCTGCAGAGATTGGCATACACCTACGCCTAGTCTCTATGTTCATCGAGACTGATTATCTTCTGCAAATGCTGGTAAGACTCCTATTCACCTCCATCTACTACATAGCTGTCGGTTTTGAATGTATCGATCGCATCTTCGATACATTCGAAGATTCACTGTTATCTGAAACGGTAGCATGCCGTCTACAATGATCAAACGAAGCGACATTCGATGGAGTGAGCGAGCTTAACGCATCCCAAGGGACTCTAAGAACAAATTAATTTGCAGCTAAACTGCGAACTAAGACTGCCTGCCTCTGTTTGGCCTCCTACGCCCCAAACTCGTTAATTCTAAACACATTAATCGTGTCCACAAACGTAGAGTTATTATCCAAATTCCTCGCCAAATCCACTCCATCTCTGGTAATCATCTGTCCCGCGCCCACTGTGTTCAGGTTGTAGATATTGATGGAGTAAGAGTTCTGCTGCCCCTCAATACTCAAGATCCTCGTCTGACATGGTGACCCCGCAGCTCTCGCGTTACATGTCGTGTTGTAATTATTGAAAAAGCTGTATAAGCCCACGCCGTACCCGAGGATGTTGTTGCTGCGGAGAATGCGCATGCCCCATCCATCTGCGGTACTGACGGAGGAGTTGCGAGATGGGGTGAAGACGGGGTCAGAAAGGCTTTTGTCTTCGGGGAAGGGCAGGGATGCGTCAGGGTTGGGCTGGTAGTATGCTGTTTCCGTCTGGACCTGGCCCATGAAGATGTTGCGCGTGTCGACGAATTGGTACTCGTATTTGACGTGGTGTTCGACGGCGGTTCCGTAGAGCCATATGCGGCCCTGGAGACTCTCAATGAGCAGGCCGCGGCCGGCGTAGAGGGTGAGCTGCGCGTAGGGGTAGTCCAGGTCGTGGTCCGAGGTCCAGAGCCAGTTGTTTTCCATGTATAGGCCTGAGGCGAATTTGGTTACATGCATGGACATGTATGCGGCAATACACTCTTTTTGCAAGGTGCTGGCTGTGATTGTGATGTTTGGTGTCTTCTCGCATTGCGCGCCCTGCAGGTTGGAGCCTTTGAAGCCGCCGATGCGGGTGTGGACGTCCCAAAGACCGGAGGGCTCGCTGGCGATGGTACGGAGATTGTATTGTATCAGGATTGCACCTTGCTGCGGGCCTTGAGTGCTGACGATCAGGTCGGAGAGTTCGAGGGAGCCTTCCTCGCCTGGCTGGGCGACCTGTACGACGGCTCGAGGAAATTGCATGTCATTGAAGGACGAACCGCTGGAAAGAATGACGGTTGCCAGAGCTTCACCGACAATCTTCGAATCGGGAGGAATGTAGATGGTGTCCGTGACTAGGTAATATCCAGCATCCATAAATAATATTTTGCCCTCGCCTCTGGCTTTCAAGATAGCGCCATTCAGCGCCTTCGTATCGTCAGTCTTGCCATCACCAGTACAGCCCATATCACGAGCACTAAGGAACGACGTAAGCGGCTCGGAGTCGTATTGCGGCTTTGAACGCACGTAGTAATTCCCTGAGGCATCGAGAAGGTCCGCTGGTCTTTCACTAGGTGCAATATGGCCACGAGACTTCCGAGGCCCATTCGGAAGGTAACGATGGCCGTAAGCCCAGGCGTCGATGACAGTGGCATCTGATGAGCCTGCAAGGTACGTCGCGTTGGGTCCAAGTACAGCTGTTCTAACGTTTTCCAGCTTGACGTTCTCCAAGTAGATACTGCCAGCAGCAGGCAGCTCGCTGTTAGCCTTCACTGTTTGAATGCCCACAGGTGTGTTGATAATTTCAGAATCGAACAAAGTGATCGATCCTACATCCCCGGACAAGTTTAGACCGACTCTGCAATTGTTTATTGTGAGGCCAGTATAAGTCCATCCCCAATCCCAGAGCTGGTTGATGGCAGTTTCGACATTGTTGAACGTCAAGTTACGGTTGGTGTACTGTTGGTTCCCGACATCGAGGCCATATTTGCCGCCGTTGAATACCAAATCGGTCATGAACCCCGCGGAGCCTGCCTCCACGAGTATGCCCTGGTGTAGCGTACCATTAGCGGCGCTCATGTTGATTACAATATTCTGGAGGGATGTCGTCTGTGCAGTTGGCCAATGTATTCCAGTTGCAATGACATTAGCGGGCATTAGAGTCATGTCTAGGATGAGGTTACGAATCTGTCGAAAGAATGTGGTTGTAGCTCCGTAGCCAGTGCCTCCCGCACGTGGGCCCTCGTTTAGATATGGCGACCCGTCAATAAGACCTAAGTCAGAAGAGGTGAAATTGGCTGAGGCTTGGATGACAGGAAGACAATTAGGGTTGCCAATCATCTGATTCTATTAGCAAGGTTTGTGATCGAGATGTATGGTACGACGCACTTGAGTGTAGTAGTAGTCAATAATGCTACGAGAAATGACATAGGTACCACCTGGAAAATAGACGATAGCTGGTGTGATAGTCGAACTCTCGCAGTAGCTTGGCGCGCAGCGGTTGCCGTCAGTCATGGCCCGGTTGATTGCCGCTGTATCATCTGTAATCCCGTCGCCCTTCGCTCCATAGTCCTTTACGTTCCTGAAGACGCGATAGGAGGTAACGTTGCTGAATGACGTGCGGTTATTGAACAATGTACCGTTGCTGAATGATGTACCGTTATTGGGCGTGCCGTCGTTGAATGATGCGAGCCCTTGATGTTTGATGTTTTCAAGCCAGTATGGGGCGGCGCAGTCGGGTGTGCCTGTCGGACTTGGCTTCGGAGATGTTCGATCGCCATCGCTGGTGGAATATGCAATCACCGAGATGCTGTGATCAAATGCAGGAGACCGTGTTGTAATGGACGAAGATGGAGTTTCTATAAGTGTAGATGTTGATACTTGCGAAGATACTGGTGTCACTACGGCTGTGCTTGTGCTCTCGTATCCAACGCTGCTGTACGATTCACTATATCTTTTAACGCGAGGGACATTCAGCGCAAACGCACAAGCCGACAACCCTAAGATAATGGAGGATTTTAACATGCTGTTGTTTATGTAAAGAGTGACTAAATGAGCGACTAACGAACGAATGAGTGAATAAAGATCAGAGTAGGAAAGACATGTCCAGGTTGAGGGGAAAGAACAAGGTTGGTGGCAGTCAGCACTGGGATATAAAGGAAGTCGTGACAAGACTGAGCGGACCCATCCGTTCACGAGGATCAGCTGCAAAGGATCGACAACATCCTATACCCTGGCGAATCATAACGAGCTGTGCATCGACAGTCGGCGTGAGCACGGAGAGTGGCTTGTTGTACTGCAAGGATGTACTATGCTTCCGAAACATCCGGGGTATCTCTGTCAGCAAAGTTTGATGTGGTGTATTCTTAAGCTGGGGCAGAGTGAATGTTGTGTAACATTGGATATCGATGAGTTGACCAGGCTCGCGTCACACTCACACTCACAACTAGGTACCATAGCCATGTGATCAGTCATGTTAACGAGTGAATCGTCATATCGACCAAGGTACGGATAAGTCAGTAATCTTGTCCGCGCGTCAAAGGCACAACTACTAGTTTCTGAGTGTCAAGGATGCCGTTGTGAGAGACCGAAATCAGGGGCAATACGGTTGTCGTTCGCTGCGGCAGCCAAACCACTTTGGGATACATATCTTCGACCACCACACTTGTGCCATCCCTTGCTTCGAAGCTCCCACGATGAGAAGCAAGAACAGTATTCTGCCCCGATGATCAACTTGACCTTACAGCAGCGAAAACAGTGAATTTCTCTGGATAAGTCTAAGAGATAGGCGTCAACAGCATCATGCAGGTGTTTCGTATGCCCACGAGGCGCCCACATGTTGCTCTATGCCCATGAAAACAAACAATACAAAGTCGCCTGGAGTAGCTCACTTCCATCTGCCGTTAAACTCTTCATTGTATGCGCCCATGTAACCCTTTCGCAGTCCCCAACACCAGTGACATTTCCCACTTCCCACCTCGCACGTCCCCCATCGGCCCCAAATCCCCAAACCTCCGACATCTCAAACATTTTCCCGCAAACACCCAACGTCATCTTCGACATCCCGCCCAGCACATCCTCCAAATCCCACACAAACACATACACACACATCATGTTCGGCGGTACGTAATTCCACTTCCAAAAGTGTTGAGGGCGCAGAACTAACGGCATCCGCAGCACCACCACAGCCTTCAAAGCGCGAGCTCGAAGCCGCCGAGGCGCAGACGTTGACGGACATCAAGTGGACGGCTGCGAGTGTTGTCGTGCTGTACTTTTGTGAGTTTGGCTGGAATTAATGTGGGGGCTGTGGGGAAGAGGGCTAATGAAGACAGCGCCACATCTGGTCGAATATGTATCGAAGCTGTTTTAGACGGTGACGCAGATGAACGACTCGGCTATGTGCGACGATCGAGACAACCTGAAGGATTCGGTCATGGCGATACTCGGGCTGTAGGAGCGGATCATTGTATGATTAGGCGAGGCACATGGGGAGAGGAAGCGAATGTAACAACATGGAAGATACACCACTGGACATGAAGCAATGACAAAATGGATTCAAAGGCAGCATGGAGTGTCATTTTCGATTTGATGCGCGGGATCGCACTCGACGCATAAAGATCACGGTCTGTCGCAATGACATGTACGCGCTGTTTCTGAACCCTAGGCACTATCTGAGCATGATCAGGTTAAGGATGTGCGCACAAATTATTGCCGCACCTAGAGATGTCATTATCAAGACAGGAGAGATATAGTTGGTAGTACGCGTTGGACGCTACCGTTAGATTAAACCCGCTTGCTATGCTTCCCTCCATGGTATCCAGAAATGCTATTTTGCCCGCCAGAAGGATGTCTACAAAACCTCTATAGATCGTACACGCACACCGAGAACCAAAGCCAACATCAAGCTCATCGCCTAGCTGGCCGTGCCACCTTCTCCGACTCCCACGTCTCGTATTCCTCCTTGGTGTCGTCGACCCACTTCTTGAGGTGCTCGAGTTGCCTGTCGTAGTCTTTGAGGAGCTGTCACGGGGAATTAGCATGGTCTCTTTGATGCTTGGAGTGGTTGTACATACCTTCTCCAGTGCCTTCTGATCGTCCTCGGAAAGAAGCTCGCCGTTCTGCTGGCTCTCGAGCGACTTGCCCACCTTCTCCGTCTCCTCTTGTAGTATCCGCGCTCGCTCGCGCACTCCCGACATGCGTGCCCAGATCTCCTCTTGGCGGCCTCCCAGCACGGGATCGAATGTCTCCTTCTCAAGCTCAGCGAGCTTCTTCTTCAGCTCTTCTTCTTGCTGATCCATAACGTATCCACGGTTCCTCAGAATCTGCACCTTGGTCGCTAGGGCCAGTGTCCGCTGTGTGAAGACAATGTGCTTCCGCTTCGCTTCGGTGATGCGCGACGCCACATTCAGCTCGTGGGCATCTTTCAGCAGCGTCAGACTGTTGTTGATCTCGTGCAGGCGGGTTCGGAGGGCGGTGACGGCGGCGGCTTGCTGGCGAATGCGCTCTGCAACTTGCTCAAAGCCGCGAGCGATGACGGGAATGGCGCCTGGGCTAGGTTTGTTGGACAAAGCTTCCTCCCACTTCCTCTCGTCTTCGCCAGGAGAGGGACCGTAGAAGGGCGCTTCCTCGGGCTTGACTGAGTTGTAGAAGTAGTGCTGGAAGACGCAGTTGGGGTTCATCGGATCCCATTTATCATTCAGGATGCGTATCTGCTCGACAACCGACTTCTCCCTGTGACCATTGACGGACCCAGCAGCAAAAGGCTGCGCAGAAGACTGCCGTAATTGAGGGAGACCTTCACGCTGCTGTTGGATGCTCTGCGCTTGAGACTGGTTCAGAGGCGGTGCGGGCTGCAAGGAAGCTCCGAACAAGCTGTTGTTGAATGATGGCTGTTGTTGTTGTTGCTGTCCTTGCTGCTGCTGCTGTTGCTGGGATTGGCCGAAAAGACCTCCGCCTGTGTTTTGCTGTTGCTGTTGGGGTTGGCTGAACAGACTTCCGCCTAGATTTTGCTGCTGGGACTGCTGCTGGGGCTGTGCGAAGAGGCTTCCGCCGGTGTTCTGCTGGTTTTGCTGGGGTTGGCTGAACAAACTTGACCCAGTATTCTGCGCAGCGCCGCCAAAGAGACCGCCATTCTGGGGCTGCTGAGACTGGGTCGTGGAAGCGCCGAAGAGGCTGGGCTGCGCATTGTTCGCCGGTTGCTGTTGCTGTTGGGAATTGCCAAACAAGCCCCCAGCGGGCGCGGTTGTGCTGCCAAACAGCGTGCCTGTCTTCTTCTCCGCGTTGTTCTGATTTCCACCGAGGTTGCCAAAGCTGAAGGACATGGTGGCGATGAGTTCTGCGATATGCGACCGTCTTTAATTGGTATGCAGCGAGCGCCAATGGTTGTCGTAGTAGAGTTGCGAGCTCCGACTATTTGTTGACACGCGCTCAGGCACGCGACGAAAGGCGGTTGCGGTAAGAGAGCTTGAGGAAAAGTCTGCACTTGTCTCAATCAGACTGCACGGCGTAGAGAAAAAGATGTGCGCCGTTTGCGTAATGTCTCCTGTGAGGTTGGAGGTCAGTAAACGAGCGCGTAGTCTTCTTTGACGATGAAAGCTAGCACGGGCCTCTCAACCCGACGGCGGAAACGGCCAAGACCGACTTCATACCTCGAAAGTGACGAACAGCTCCAGAACACGCAGCCCGCCATTGGCACCCCAGGTTCACCATGTCGTCGCGCCAGCCCAGGTACGCATGCTCTATGCAGTTTACATCACGTCCTGCCGCTAATCGAGCCCAGGTTCAACCAGAAAGCCCTCATCGACACCACCCCTCTGCCCGATGACATCCCCAAGGTCCAGGAGCTCGGAGCCAGTTCTGCGCCTCTGCTCAGTGCCGCCTACTTCATTGGAGCGCGATGCAAGGACTACAACGATGACTACATGATGTGCAAGACCGAGTCGGCCGGCCGCGGCGAGCTTGACTGCATGAAGGAGGGTCGCAAAGTCACCAGATGTGCTGCTAGCGTGTACGAGCCCTCTGAAGACGAGATGAGCAAGTAGCGTAGCTGACGAACATTCCAGTATCAAGGACATTAACGAGAACTGCCTCTCCGAGTTCCGCACCCACTGGCAATGCTTGGAGAACCACAACCAGCAACTCTGGAACTGCCGGTCGGAAGAGAGGAAGTTGAACAAGTGTGTTTTCGAGAAGCTGGTGCGTACAAATCACTGTTCACCAGACCTTGTTGCTAATGTGCGCAGAATCTGGAGAAGAAGATACCCGATACACCCAAGGGCGAAACTCAAGTCCATCTGCGGACGAAAAACACCTTTGCGACTCACTAAATCTTGTATATATCATGCGCAACAGGAGAATCAAAGGTCATCAATCCGCGCGGACTGTCGTTGTCAAATGTGGGATTCAGCTTGTTTGCATAGTGTGACGCAGCGAACATTGTGCCGCTATGACACTTACGCGCAGCAGATGACCCAGATCCAACGGTACTAGCATTAACATAACCTCGCCGACTTCCTGCGTGATAGTAGACGTCGTGCTACTGCGTCGCCCCCTTCTCCTCTGCATGTTGGTTGAATAGTGGTGTGAAGCCGTGTACATTCGCACGCCTGTGGGCTAGACTTCACAACCTACGGGTTCACTCTCACCGCTCGCTTCAAGCGCACATGTCACTCTCTATATGTTCAATATTTCAGTCGTCAAAACTGCCCCCTCTTTAGCTCCTCTGCGCTGTCGCACTCCTGCTTTGACATTCTGCCACGCTCTTCCAGTTATCTACAGCACGAATCAGCAGCAAACTAGTCACCCACCGACGATTCTATTCCACTTCAAGCATGAATAGCGACATCAGCGTGGATAGTGCAATACTGTCTGACAACCCCTTCAGTGACGAATATGTCTTGGATATCGACACCGTGCTCGAAGACGCACCCAGTGTCACTACAAAGCCTCGCGAAATAATCGTCCCGGCCAGATACACTGGTCCCATTCCCATACTTGAGCCACTCCCCCATCTCACAGTTTGGAGCCCTCAAAGCAGCATCTCCTCGTCAAGCACTACATCATCACCCACGGAGCACTCATTCGCCGGCCCTATCCACTGGAACAATGCAGACCTCAGTATGTCGGTCAGACGCCTACATACTCGCAAACTAATACTACCTTAGTGTACCTTCTAAGTTGTCTCCTCCCAGACCTCCTCCTAACCTCCCAACTCGTCTTCTCACCACCCCTCGTCGACCTCCCCACCACCCCATCACCAATCCACCTGCGCCTCTACAAGAGATACCCCGCCCTCGACCCATCCCCTGAAATCTTCTCAAAGCACGCACCCATCGGCACCGGACGCCCACAATCCCTCCTGCTCATCGCAGAAGCCGAGGAATGCCAGACCGCGGAGTATGCGCGGGTGTGTCTGGCGAAGAATATTTTGTCAAACGATGGGTTTGTCACATATATGCTCGACAAATACAACGTTTTGACGACGCTTCATGGCTGCTCGACGGCTACACTGCTCTCTCTGCAACGCGGCATGATTGAGATGCTGGGCGTGTCGGAGCTGGAGTGGATTGGCCGGTTTGAACAGTTGGGTGGGAATGTGGATGGGGCTTGTGCATTGGAGGCGAGAGTGGAGGTGTTTCTGCTGGGCGTGGGGATGAGGGAGACGGAGGAGTGGGTGGAGGTGCTTGAGACGGTGATGGAGATGGGGGAGAGGGAGAGGAAGGTGTGGATGGAGGTGTATGCGGATGCGGCGGGGTTCTTGGGGAGGTGTGTTGCGGAGATGTGGGAGTAGTGATGGGCATTGTGAGATGTTGGGTATGTACGGTGTCATATTTTGACGCTGGGGCATGCTTCTCCATAGCCATATCCTACACTACTCGTATCATAATTCATGTCTTCATGGTCATGGCCGTCTTTCATCCTCTCCTCCCACCCCTCGCAGCGCCCAAGAACCGATCTCGTAAACTTCCCCTCGAAGCAGCAGCAGCCGGTGAACTCCTCAAGAACGAGCTCCCCTCCATGATCGAACTGCTGCCATCCATCCCAAAGCTACTCCTTCCATTCCCCAGGTCCACACCAAGATCGATCCCCCGGACAACCCCCATCGACGGCCCAGCAGGCTGCGCGCCCGAAAACCCACTCGGCAGCCCAGAACTCCTCCGCCCACTCGTCCTCCTACTCATACCGCTCACCCTTCGACTCCGCCGACTCCGCGCAGAACTCAGACCCTGTATGCGCCCTGTATCATCCTCATCGCTGTCGTCCTCCAGCTCCGAATCCGTGTGCTCATACTCGCCCGCCTCAGGAACATCGTCGTCTAAATCGCGCTCATCCTGCAACACGCCCGCCATCTCCGCCTCTTCCATCTCGAGCATATGACTGACCTCGGCCTCAAGCATGCTGCCCTCAATAAACGAGTCCTCGTTAAACGGCACAGTAGTATCGTTCTCCTCCTCACTATCACTCGGTTCCTCATCAGAGCTCGACGCATCGCTAGCTTCCGCTTCGGGCACTTCGTCATCAAGATCGCGCTGCTCTTCGTCATCCTCGCCCATCTCCTCGCCTTCCTCACGCGCCTCGGCATTGGCGGCATCTTGTTGCGCAGCAGCCAGGTCCATCATGACTTGTTCGCGGCGCTGCATCATTTCCTGCTCTTCTTTTTCGAGCTGCTCGTCTTGCGTGGCTTGGAGCGTCTTCTGGACGCCTGGGGGCCGGATCCAGCCGGCGCCGAAGCGGCGGACGTTTAGTTTGCGCTGCTCGATTGTGTTTTCGTCTTGGGTGAGGGAGGCGAGGAGGGCCGAGGTCGAGGAGCGGGCATGGTGTTGGTGGTGGGGGTGGCCGTGGTGGGATGTTGGGCGGCGTCGAGAGGCGGGATTTGGGGGTGATGTTGAGGATTCGTCGATGTGAGTCGTATGGGGAATGCGGTGAGAGGGCCAGAGAGAGGCGTCCTGGTGGTTGTTAGAGGTGTGTGTTCTTGTGCTTGAATAATTTCAAGCTGTGTGTATTTGTTTGTTTACTCGTCGATCGAGTTGGGATTGATTGGACTTACCGCACGCGGTGGGATCATTGGTAGTGACAGCATGTTGGAATGGTATCTGTCTTCACACTATGTACAGGAGTTTGGTGACTTGCAAGCTCTACAACCAACGCGATGGTAGACGCGAAGCTGTGATGCCATAGCGCGCCTCGGTTGGTCCAGAACCGGCAACGCGCACTTGTGCCCTGTCGATCATTTCCACGCTCAACAACATCACTCGACTTCAGATGATGAGCTGTCGACCAGAGCCCGTTTGAGTCTCAACACCAAGATTTCACCCAAACTATATCAGCACCAGGTGCCGGCAAAACTTCTGTCCGTCCTCACCGAACAAGAAAAGGTTGAGGTATCCTGTATATTCTCAAAATCTTTCGGAACACTAGACAAGAATATCTTGAGGTATCGTCTATATTCAGGGTCCCTAATAAACTTATGAGTGCGCTCCCAGAGACTATATAAGATCATGTTGTGTAGGTGCAGAGCGGACACGAATTTTGCCGCTGCCTGTCAGAGAAAAACTACCATGTGTGACATAGATTACCTATGTATCATATTGTGGAAGTAGTGCAGGTCTTCTCGTGCTGTTTGCCGTTGCAAGTAGTGCAGGTCTTCTCGTGCTGTTTGCCGTTGCAAGTAGTGCAGGTCTTCTGGTGCAATTTGCCCTTGCAGGCAGCTAAGGTCATCTGCTCATATATCCTACATCGGCCCGTTCATCAAACTCCAGCCCTCAGACAACCACCCAAACTCTACACAAGAAATTTGACAGCGTGAAAACCATGCATCTCCCTGCCTGTCTTGACAGAAGCAAAGACCTAATGGTTGCAGCAGGGATATACGAGTCAAAAGAAGGTTTCGCACTCAAAGGCCCGACTCGAGTCAGGCAAGGACGACGAGGTTCGCTTGTTGACAGAGAGCGAGTACGGTGTACGGTACGACACCGCGTTTGTTTCTTTTTTTTGCGCATGTCCGGTCAGATCTGCATCCCGATGCTGTCGAGAGAAGGATTCATGGGGTGATCGTAATTACTACTGATCATCATCATGCACGTTAACTTGGATTCGCAAATTGTACGCCCTGCAGCGCAAATTCTGCTAAACATGTAATGGCAAAACATCGTACGTTTCTGTTTCGGAACCAGACCGTCGTGGTGGGTTCGTCTTGACCAAGTCCAGCCCGCCCTGGTCTTTTTGAGGCTCAATCTATGAGAAATCGAGGCCGGATCTTAGTGGACTTGTGTACTGTAATGTCAGGGATGATCCTTTTTGCGCTCCACTGTGCTAGAGTTTTTCGGTCTTGGCGGATCAATACTACCGCCTGATGACTACACGATATTAGTTTCTGTGTGTGTTAGTACCCTGAGGGCATTCACGAATTGATATAGGTGCAGTGTTGATGTTACATCAGCGAGATCCTGCGGAGCGAGTAGGGAATAAGGTGGTCGGTCGATCAGCAAAATCCTCAAAGTCCCTGCATGGCGTTTCTGATCGGAAGATCGCGCAGGCGTTGCATCAATATGCCGAATGTACCTGTACATCCCGAGAACAACTTTATTCCCGCACCCGATCAAGCCATCCTACACGTCAGCTCTCAGCTCGCTACAGAGAAAAAAAAACCCTATCTCTGCCGCGGCTCCACCTCCCGAGTGGTGTTAGATTCAGCAAACCATCCGATTCCCCATCGGCGGCCTGCGCATGCCCAAACTTCAATGTCCATGACCCACATCCCATAATATCAATCTCCGTTATTATGCTGCCGACCGCGGCAACGCCAACGTCCCGACCCCGAGCATCCATCTGCGATTCAGGGAGGCGCATCCGCGGGTCTAGGTCTTGGCAGAAAAGCTTGAATTTACATGTTCTAACGGCTGGGAGATTAGCCGCAGCGCCGTCGCTATTCGAGATTTTCGATGTGGCGTCACGGCTGAGTCGAATACGGCACTCCGAGGCAAATTGCTGACAGGGCATTGTGTTACGCGGTCCGCGGGGTTGCGTCTGGCATCGAGACGAAGGACGCGGATGGATGTCGGGTGGCGGAAGGAATTGGCCACTTTGCGGGTCGGAAGGTAGGTCGATATTGGCAGGGTAAACGTGCAATCGTAAGAGTGAGAGAAGGACATCCCCAAGAGGTATCGCGCTTGGTGTCCACGCAAATTTGAAAGAGCTCAATTGATCGATGTATCGTTGTTAGCTGGCTCTCCAACAGTTCACATGATATGATCTGCAAGTCTCGACTTCGAAAACATAAGAGGCGCAGTTCACATGGAGATACCAAGGAGCGCGTGCATGCATATCACACGATAACGACAACAAATGGGCAGCTGTTAATCGAACGAGGGGCCGAAAGTACACAGGTACCGCAAAGCTGTCATACTTACAATCGAAACTCTCTTATCTGCTTCCTTCTGCGGGGTGTTGAGTTCGTATCATGCAGTTGGGCAAGCGCAATATTGAAAGAAGAAGTCTGCAAGAGGCGAAGTGCAGCGCCATGCTGATTTGCAGGGAAAAGCGGTTATTGACAAGGATATGCGCAGAGGCAGGTTGGGTTTGGCAAGGTGAGGGGTGAGGGGTTTGTGTGGTGGTGGTGTCGTAACACAGAGGTCCATTGGACTGCGCGCAACTTTAGCGAGGTATTGCGAATACAGTGTACATAAACGGTTTTGGCGATTTTAGAGCGGTGATCTCCGCGATCATATTGGCGCAATGGCCTTGCAGGTGTTGGAGTCGGTCAGTAATTGCACATTCGCTAACCATCTGTTAGATGACGACGCCCAGAGTGTACCGCAATATCGGGATAGTGGCGTGTTAGAAACAATGATACTGCAGGCTGTCAACTACGAAGGAGATGAAAAGGGTTCATCCATTGCACTCAAAGCCGAGCAGTCCTGCGTGAACCTTGTGGCTCTCAATTAGACAAGCTCATGGTGCACCCTTGCCGTTTCCATTGCACTTGATAATCTGTAGTACCTACTTAAATAAAGTTGAAGCAGAACAACTGCATGATGGCTGCTTGCTGCTCGGTTGTCGGCTGCAGAAGTACAGCAATAGCGTGCACGAGCGGCACGATGCAGCGGGCTGTTTAAACCCTAAGCACATGATGCAAGTCATAAATCGGGACGCTCAACGATCCTGCGTGAGCTATTTTCTCAAATCAGGAAGAAGCCTTGGGGCCAGCCTCAAGTGGAGAACGTTCACCGTTCAAGTTTGCGCGAACTCTGGCGCTATCAAGAATCAGGTCTTCCGAGTCTTGGGTTGTGAGTGTCTGTTCCCGGCTTTCTGAATTGAATTTCCCCCGGCTCCTGTTGCCAGTTCGCATCGATGTGTAGTTTGCTTTGGCGAAAGCGGTCCAAGCATAAGCTGCACGGCATGCCAGGCGGACTACTTTCATTTCGCCTGGTCCTAGTCGGGCCGAGTAGGTAGCATCGACGTAACACCTGGAATTGATGTAAGGGATCGATGAACGCATCGTGGGGGTTGCGCAAGTCCAATGGGCCCCGTCGCAACGGATTTGTCTACTGAGCAGGGTCGATATGATGCAAGATGTTGTCCGTACAAACTCAATTCCAATCCCGTGATGGCGTGTAAACACTTCGCAGCAAGGTGCATCTCGCACCACAGAGCTACTTTACAGCATGCTGCTGTGCAGCGTAGATCCTCGTGCTCGAGTTCACAGCATGCTAGCGTTTCGATGGTAAGTATGTCAGAAGGCGACTGGCACCTGTCTGGAGGGTGACACCTATGCTCTCACCCGCTGCCAACTTGTTCGTGGACATCAGGAGTCAGGACCGAGCAGTAGCCATTGGCATGTCGTGATCACAAATGGAGCCCTTTGTCATACGGCGCACTGTTTCACGAGCAAAAACCTCGAAATTCATCGCTGGCTTCCGAGCCCGTGTATACCTTTGGGCCGTTAGATGAGTGCCTATGCCGACTTTTACGATATGCTTCGAGAAGGTAGATTGTAACATTTCGTGGTCCGCACGTATGGACCGGACCACGGATATTGTTCCTCGACGAAAAGTGTTGCACCGGTAGCCGCGCGGAATGGACATGCAGTAGTGAACATGCGGCAGTGGATCCACTTGAGCAGTCCGCAATCTTTTGGTAAAGTTAGCAATACGATCAAGATGTGTAGGACCATGGTAGAGGCCGCTACACTAGACTTGCTCCCGCTTTATCTTATCGCTAGAGCCCGCATATGTACGCGGTATGCGGGGACCGCGCGAACTACTGAACTGTGGGAGATTGTCTCAAAGTCTTTCATGTCTGCTCCGATAAGGCCTATCATGCAAATGATGTGAGTATGCACGTCTCGGCCTTCTTATGCCATGTAAAACGTCACCAGCTCTAGGCGTGAACAATGATGAAGCGCTGCTTGTGCTGGAGGCGAAGTTCACAACACGCTGTGTGTAGATCGCTGTAAGGACCTCAACATGGCCCACTGAACACGTTCCAAGATCCATAAATCTGAGGAGAAGCTGATCAAGGGTCCTCTGACCCACAATCCATGTGTTACTGGACCCTAGAGTAATTCATGAGAGATTGGATGCGCAACATACGCAGGCCGCACCCTGCTGGAGGCATCCTCCCATCTAGATACTATGTGTTTCATCGGGCGGCGATGATCGGTTGCGATGGCAGCATCCTGGGAAAAATGGGTGGTTCATGAAATGTGCGATCGATAGCCTCATGGCCAAGCGCTGGCAGGGGACCAATACAGCAAGGCGAGGCTGGACGTCCGAATACAGCTTGCCAGCCATGTGTAAGCCGACAAACAGCCAATCGCCTCGTTTCTGCAAGCGGATGCGAACGGCCGTGGGGGACGTCGTTGCAAGGCCGATCTCGCTCTGTGAGTCGTTGCATTCCGAAAAACTCAGCGATGATGCGTAGCTATCGCCACTGGAGGCGGGGGCTAGAGGATGCATTCTGGGGACTTGTCTCTTTTGTGCAATTGAGTAACCGGAAGGTCGTCATGGGGCTGATGGCAACAGCAGTTTCTCTTACGCAGGAGATTGCGAGCCATGGACACCGTCCAAAGGCGCCCCCTCGGCGCAGAGATTTATCAGGCCGACAAGCATCGGACGGAAAGAGGGTGCGTTAGAGGCTCGTAGTGCAGGTGAGCAGGGACAGTGTGCCTGCTGTTCGCTTTGGAGAAGGGGGCGGCGCAACCGGCCAGTCCCCTCTGGCACACTCAGCCCTGCGAAGCAATGGGATAGCGGCCAAGTGGTTGCTCGAGTAGTGCTGGACCATTCGAGGCCTCTGGAGACGCGCCCAGGTGGAGGAGGAGGAGGAGGAGGCGCGGCGCTTTCGGTCTGCCGGAATCTAGTCCGCGCTGCTAGCTTCAACGCTGGCGTGTGCGGAGCATGCCACGGCGCAGCACAGCAGAGCTCATCGTGCAGGATGATTCGCAACGATACGCTACAGGCCCCCTTGGGACGTGGTGCATCCTTCTTAGTTGAACAGAACGGTGCTGGTTGCACGACAGCAAGCCGAGTCTTTCCGCCTGCGCCTGTCAGGATGCAGCGAGGGTGGCAGGGCGATACAGGCCAGCGACCAGGGCAGGCAGAATCTGCAGCTAACCGGAGGCGGCTCGTGCGTTGCGACGGTGTCGATGTTCAGGTACATCTCCCGCAGGTGGGTGAAGCGAGGAATTCGAGCGCGCTGCATGCATTATTGATGCTGTGAGGGGGAGGCCTGGCGGCTTCGGTGCGATTGTGAGGCCAGTATGGATGGGCGTCGTGGTTGCGAGGAGACCGCCATGGGGCCGGGCAGCGGCAGGTTAAGCCGAGAACCCCCCAGAAGCGTCCCCAGACGAGCCAAAAGTATCTGTACACGGCGCGCGCTCCATGCCTTGGTGTCGTCGTAGCCCGACCGCAGGGGTCATCTTGGCGGATTGACGTTGCTTAGTAGGCGGCGAACAGACGCGGATGCCTCAGTGCTGGGTGGGGTGGCCCGTTAGCATGCAGCAGTGAATAACAGCCCGCGCTCGCCAGACCACCCTTCTTACCTGATATTCACCTCCGGAAATCCACCTTTTCCCCTCCGCACCCCGCCCCATTGCCCTCGACGCACAATCAGCAGAGCAGCACGCAGAACGCAGCACGCAGCCAGCATCCCGCAGCAAGCAGCACGCAGTCCATCTCACCGTCGCTTTCCTCGCCGCCGGCTCGAGTGCTCCCATCGCCTCCCCTGAGACAGCCCCGCCTGCCGAACCTGGATGTCCAGCTAGGCCCTTTTGCGCACCATTGGGCAAGCCGTGTTCCGCGCCAGCAGCACCTCGAGCATCGTCGCAGGCGCCCTGCACAGCATACTATCGCACCCGCACCCGTCTCCTGCACCAGCTCTCACCCTCGCCGCCAGCACGCCGTCGTGCCAGCCCTCTTGACCTTAAAAGTACCCGCTGCGCGCTGTCTCCTCGCGGCGGTGCATCCTCGCTTCGCAGCCCGACTTCTTACGACACTCGTTTACGCAGACACCACAGCTAGCCGGCTCCACCCTACATAGTAGATATATGCCCGCCGCGCCATCATTGCTAACCCACCACTGCGTATCCCACCATGGCGTACAACGCCCAGAACAACGACTTTGTGAATCCTGCCGATCTCTTTACCAATTATTCAAACAACGCCTCTGACCCGGTCTTCAAGGCCGAGTGGGACATTTCCGATCCGTCCTTCTTCAACACCGAAAATGTCGAGCCTTGGACAATGAACCCGGCCGACTTTACTACACACAGCCACCAGGACTCCGCCGTCGACCTGCGGCACTTTGGTGGCTCCGGTGCACTTCCTCCTCGCTTGAAGACAGAGGACTCGTCCGAGTACGAGAACTTCATGACTACACCTTTCTCCACCCCGGCCTCCAATACTTCCAACACCCCATCACCTCACGGCGACATGGTCTTTAGCAATGCAAACTCGCCAGGAGACTACCAGAGAGAACAGAGCCAGACAAGTTCGCCAGAAGCGAACAACGACGTCTTCGCCAGGGACAGCATCCAGATCCCTCACTCTGTGGATCCGCCCAAAGTGGCCATCCTCGTAGACAGGACCAAGACACGTGCGGAGACGCAGATTAAGACCGTGTTGGTCCTAGACCCTCTGCCTCGCCAGTATCAATGGGCCCGATTTCCCCGCCATACTCTCTCCAAGTCGAAGCAGCTTGCGAGCAGCGACGAAATCGAGGCCAATGAGAGTGGCAATTCAGCAGTACGCATCGACCTGAGACTTGTCTGCGCTACTGCAGTAGAGAAGGAAGAAGGCCTCCACCTCGCCCTCCGCCGTGCTCGAGGCGAAGCACACATGCCCACGAGACAGCCTGGACAACAAGTTTCTGAAATCGACAAAGATGACCCCGCGCATCCCCAGAACGGAGGTGCAGTCATCATCTGCGAGGGATGCAAGGAGCGAGAGCGCAAGCGCTACGACCGCAAGAAGAAGCGTAACCAGGAAGAGGAGAATGAGTGGAGCAACTATGAAGACCAGCGCATCATCATGATCAACGAAAAGGAGTTCAAGCGATGGCAAGACGCGGAGCAAGGCTCATATGGACCAGAGGCGAAAAAGGTCGAATTCGCTATGCGAATCACATGCTACTGCAGGCACCAGGAGGAGAAATCACCAGTCGGCTACAAGGTCATCTTCACGTTTCGTGACAGCAACAGCACTGTCCTTGCCCAGAGTGTCTCAGAAATCATCCAGATCACTGATGACCACAAGAACCGGGAGCTGCCCATGGTGAGCAACATCACGACGGACCTCAGCGTTCACCCACCCAGTCGTGAGGAGACTGTGCCTGCACAGCAGTACAGCATGCCAATGTACAACTATCCTGCTGCGCCTGTCTATGGCATGTACTCTTCACAACCGACCACACCGATCCTCTCGCAATTCCAAAATCCGATGTCGCCAATGGATGGACACTATGCCCAACCTGCCAATTCTGGTATGAGCTCTCAAATGTCTCACCCGTCTACCTTTGCCTTTACTGCTGGTCCGATCGCTCCCCAAGCGCCTGCACCTGCGCCATCGTATGCAAGCCATCAACGCTACCAGAGCTACTCCAACACGCCAATGCTCAGTCCCACTGAGCAATTTGTGGCACCGGCAGGCTTTCCTCTTCATCGACCACATTCCATGGACAGTTTCTCCGCGGCTTTCGCCAACATGTATACGCCTCAAAATTCGTATTCACAGCCCTTTGCCTCGCAGCCTCCATCGAGAAATGTCTCCCGACCAGCATCTCCGTCCTGGGATCAAGGCCCTTCTCGAGCAAAGAAGATGCGCCCAGTCAACCCCTTCTTCATCGAAGACCCTGACAACGAGTGAGGAGAAACTGTTACGATAGCACGATTTACGAACATAGGTTTTAATTACGAAATTCGATTGGCACTGCATTGGGCGGAGTTTGGGAGGGGGCTATTTGCGTTTTCTGGATGGGTTTTCAATTACAATCTAACCTCGAATTGGCGGGCTTGCATGCGCTGGTGGCATCCCACATGATTTGAGGCCACTAAAAGCAGCCTAGAGCGTCAGTCATCGAACTCGTTTCTACTGCAACGCGTTCAACATCGACGTTGATCTTTCTTTCATCTACGCTGGGATGTACAGACCGGATACTTTTGAGTACTACTACCCTTTTAATTACTAGACCAGACTTCGCGTATACACACTGCACCTCTCGCGAGGACTCGCAGAATGGATCAAGTCAATTGATTGATCGAATACTACATTCTTCATATCGAGTTTGTGCCCGTTGCGCCATATGATGTGGTCCGTGCAACTTATTTGTCTCTATGCTGAAGGGAACAAAACTTTCGTGCACATCCTAGATCTATCGGATATGCGCGGGAGATGGTGAAGGCATCCAGGCTGTACCATCGGGCCGACATGTCTATATGGCAGTGCAGGAGGAAGCGACGACCTCCGCCATGCACCTTCCCAAACATTGATCTTGTCCGCTCATTGAGTACAATTTACGTAACCAGACTCACGCAACGAAGCACATCACATCAATAATCACATCATCGACACGACTCAAACCTAAGCCAATTGCACACCGCCTCACTCGCTATACTGTACGCACCCACGACGCACACACATTAGCAACCAATGAGTTTCGTGCGAACTTTCACCCCTCCGTTTGGCCCGAATTTCTCGAGTCAAGCTCTTCCAATCGACGATTCTGCCCATCACCGTCAGCAGCCATGGATCTGAGGTGGTAATGAACAAGTCTGGTCTACGTCACGTCACGACGTCTCGACTTCATCCGGATAACAGGCACTACGACGGCCGCCACTGGCGAACTCGCGGCGCCTCATTAGGAATGCGCGGATGCGTCGAGATCGTCAGAGGCGCCGTTCGAGTGTCAGATTGCGCACGAAGGGCATGGTATCGATGTGCATGCTGATTTGCGCGGATCATTCAAGCGGGTCCCAATACCACAGGATTGGAAGCGTTCAATACGGGAGTTAATATGATTAGATGAAGGCGCGGGTGGGAGTCGATAACGGTAACAGCGTGAGAGGGTCTCGGCTCCTAAGCGTTCAGGTACGCGAGCGCGGATTAACGTCGAAAACGGCACTTGGGCAAATTCGCTTACATTACACGAGTCAATCGTCGAGGAATCCATCGTTCCATGTCTTCAGGAGACGTCAAACGATGCGACACAGAGTTGGGTTACACATAATATACGTTGCAGTATCTCATCGATCCGCAGATCATTGCCCGTCACTTCGCAAGACATGCTGTACAACCATCCACACTTTATCCAGACCTTCCCTCGCAGCTTCCAGCTTCCACTCAGCCGAATGAACCTGGTAGCGTCCTTCAAGTCCGGTCCGCATCTACTGGGGTCCTCCTCGAGGTGCACTCCCCTGCGACGGCCCGAGGCCGCGCTCTATGTATGTTCATGTATGAGCTCGGATCCCACATGCACGATAGTGTATGTTCTCTTGCATGCACCGAATCGTGTATGACCACCAGGCCCTGCTGAGCCCACACTCGTTCGTGAAGGTTGGTGGCGCAACTACGCGCCTGCCGCACCGGCTTTTCGGTACTCTTCGAAACTGCTGACCTGCTCGCTATTGGTGTCTTCTTTGCGGCGTAACTGCTCCTCCCACCTCTCCTCCTCTTGAGCCAGAGTGGTCTGGAATGCTACCTCTTGCCCGCGGTGGAAGTACAGGGGTGCGCATTTGAGAAGTGCGGCGTCTTGCGTGACGAGGATGTGCTTTACGGTTGTTCCTAGGCTCTGTTAGCTTCTGGATGCATACATGCATGTTCGAGGGGACGGCCTACCAGGCGTCTCATACTTGGCATCCAGCAACAGATGATCGACGACATGTCTCAGGCCACGAGCGCCTGTCCCCATCTTGCTTGCCTTTTGTGCAATTTTGCGCAGCGCAGGTTGGGTAAATTGCAATTCGATGTCCCTGAGGGAGAACTTGTATACCTCCTGCCGGACGAGACTGTCTTTGGGCTCTGTCAGAACACGCACCAATGCTTCCTCGTCGAGCGCTGCTACTGCACAAGTCGTGGGGTATCCGTCCAATCAACTCAGGAATTAGGCCATATTTTTGCAGGGTCAGCAGGCTGGACGTAATCCAAGACATTGGACTTTTCTCCTTCCTTTCCGCTGCTGTTTGACACCAAAAGGGCTAGGCTTCTCATGTTCTCGGGCCACAAAGAACGGTGTGTCCTTCATTGAATCTGAGGGCGTCAGCGCCCTTCAGCATTACTCCGTCCGCTGCCGCGTGAGCATTTGACGTGCGAATGGATGCTCCAAAGCCCATGCCACCCATCGCCTTCCGATCAACAATGATCTTGTGGAGGTTCGCGAAAGCACCAGTACAGATGAAGAGAATGTTATCCGTTCGAACATTGAAGACCTCTCCTTTGCCACCCGGGGGGCCTGGGGGAGAACGACTTTCGCCAGATCCGGGACCATCGTACGGGCTTCCTCGTCCTGTTGAGCCACCCGGACCTTTGCCTGCGCTCCGCTCTGGCTTTGCTTGTACTTGTACAGTTGTGCCTTCAATTATCTTGAGCAAAGCCTGCTGCACGCCTTCGCCTCCAACATCTTTGCCATACGCTATCTTCGCTCCGGCGATCTTGTCTATTTCGTCGAGCACTATGATGCCCTGCTCAGCAGCTTCGATGTCATAGTTGGCCGCGGACAAGAGGCGGGCAACGCAGGACTCGACATCGTCGCCAATGTACCCAGCCTGCGTGAAGGTGGTGCAATCTGACATGGCAATAGGGACTCCGAGTGTCTTGGCCAATGTCTTGCACATCAGCGTCTTTCCAACGCCAGTCGGGCCAAGTATCATGACATTGGACTTCTCGAGCTGCACCTCATGTTCGGTCGTGTCCAGCAGCTGCTCGGGTTTGGGGTGAAACGGCGATGAGGATCCGAAGACCGATGGCTGGTTATACTGCGCTTCACTGTGGCCGTAGACGTCGACTGTCGATTGTTGGCCCGGATACTCGTCTGCTCAGGTCAGACACGTGTGCAACAAAAGCAATCACTGGAGTGGCAATAGAATGAGATTGGAGCTACCTTCTACGGCATGTCTGCTGAACTGCTCTCTTCTCTGTGCCTGAGCCTCTAACCTAGCTGCCTCGTCCTTCCGCCTCTGATTCTCCTGGTTCCGCAGATAGTGCTCGTGCACGGCGACACTCAGGACGACCTTTGCGCGGTCCTGGTCGACTACAAACTGATCCAGGTGCTGTCTCAGCGCCTTGGGTGTGACATGGCTCTGGCCCACCTTGCTCGTGCCGCCCAGCGGGCCCTTTGTCGGCTGGTCAGTCTCATACGACGACGAGAAGCCCTGGCCGCTGAAGTCGGAACGGCTGTATGACGAGTGTACAGAGCTGCGAGCGGAGAAGCGGCGGCTGTAGCTGTAGAGGGCCAGGTAGGACGCCCTAGCCTGCGGGTGGACGGCGCGTAGGAGGGTGCGTCTGACTATCATGATGAACAGGAAGAAGACGCGACGGGTCTTCACATGGCGACACTGAGACTTGCAGTCACGGGCGCCTAGGAAGCTCAGACGTTACCTAGGGCAGCTGGCTCAGCGTATGGTGTGAGTTCGCGAGCTCTCTCCGCATTGAGCCGACGTGACATTGCGGGGCACGTCCGGGGTCACGTCTCTGATAAGCAGCCACCGCTCGGGCCGTTGTCTCCAGACAACGCGATGAAGTCCCCAGACACATGCTGCAGTGCAGTGCAGTGCAGTGAACGCCAGGCTTCAACGCGCGACGAGACGGGACCGACTGTGGTCCCACACGAATTGCGGCGCAAATCCTCCCGGGCGCTGCGACACGCTGTGCTGTTGGGATGCATGGCGCGGGCGCGTTGCCGTTTGGCGACAGGTGCACGATGACGTTGAGCTGCAATTGGCGATCGCATGTTTTGGTTGAGAGGTGCAGCCCTCAGCGATCCTAGGGCAGGGACCCCGCAAGTGAAGTTTCCTCGCCGTATGTCCTGGAGCTATACACGCATTTGTGCATGTTCATTATTCCATCGACCGTAGCGATTGCAGCACGTACCCGTTCCGTTGAGTAGATAGCAAACTTGGAGCTCCACCGAGCTCTTTCCTCCTACCTCAACAAACATGGAGCTCAACGCCGCTTCAGCAAATTCGACCCTGTCCCAGGCGCCTGGTCAGGTCCCGAACGATGGCACTGGTATGGTGGTTGAAGCTGCGTTGTGGTGCAATTGACTGACATGAGCGACCAGGCATCATCCAGATGGACGGCTACCTGGAGCCGTTCAAGGACGCGCTGAAGAGCCGCTTCTCAAAGGCACAGCAGTGGATCAAGAAGATCGACGAGACCGAAGGCGGTCTGGAGAAGTTCTCGCGAGTACGCAGCCTCGTCCTGCAGCAATTGACCGCAGAGCTGATGCGTGCATAGGGCTATGAGAAGTACGGCTTCAACGTCCAGGCCAATGGCGATGTCGTATACCGCGAGTGGGCCCCGAACGCCATGCGGGCGTACCTCATCGGCGACTTCAACAATTGGGACCGCGATGCGACGCCCATGACCAAGAACGACTTTGGCGTCTTCGAGGTGACGATACCTGGCAAGGACGGCCAGCCCACCATCCCCCACGACTCAAAGATCAAGGCATGTTTGCTGTAGCCACCATGTATGAGTGTGGCAAGGCTAACAGACTGGCTCTAGGTCTCCTTCGTCGTCCCCAACGACCACGCCCGTCAAGAGCGCATCCCGGCCTGGATCACCCGCGTGACCCAGGAGCTCAGCGTGTCTCCCGTCTACGATGCCCGCTTCTGGAACCCCCCGCAGAAGTATGTCTGGAAAAACAAGCGGCCGGCGCAGCCCAAGAGCGCACGCATCTACGAAGCCCACGTTGGCATCTCGTCCCCCGAGCCAAAAGTAGCCACCTACAAAGAGTTCACGCACAACATCCTCCCGCGCATCAAGCATCTGGGATACAACACCATACAGTTGATGGCGGTCATGGAGCACGCATACTACGCCAGCTTCGGCTACCAGATCAACAGCTTCTTCGCGGCAAGCAGTAGATACGGCCTGCCAGACGAACTCAAGGAATTGATTGACACTGCGCATGGCATGGGAATTACGGTCCTACTGGACATGGTACACAGCCATGCGTCGAAGAACGTGCTGGACGGCCTGAACATGTTTGACAACAGCGACCATCTCTACTTCCACGAGGGTGCGAAGGGCCGACACGAGCTGTGGGACAGCAGGCTGTTCAACTACGGCAGTCACGAGGTTCTGCGCTTCCTCCTTAGCAACTTGCGCTTCTGGATGGAGGAGTACCAATTCGACGGTTTCCGATTTGACGGTGTCACGAGCATGCTGTACACTCATCACGGCATTGGAACGTAAGTATGATCTAGAACGCAAGCCTGTATAGATGCTAACCATGCTCAGGGGCTTTTCTGGCGGGTACCACGAGTACTTTGGCCCATCTGTTGACGAGGAGGCTGTTGTATACCTCATGATAGCAAATGAGCTGCTGCACACACTCTACCCCGGTGTTATTACCATCGCGGAAGATGTGTCCGGCATGCCTGGTCTCTGTGTGTCGCTCTCGCTAGGCGGAATAGGATTCGACTACCGATTAGCCATGGCAGTACCCGATCTCTACATCAAGTGGTTGAAGGAGAAGCAAGATATTGATTGGGACATGGGTGCTCTGGTCTTTACCTTGACCAACCGAAGGCATGGCGAAAAGACCATTGCGTACGCGGAGAGTCACGACCAGGCACTTGTCGGCGACAAGACCCTGCTTTTCTGGCTGTGCGATGCTGAGATGTACACCAATATGTCCGACCTCTCTGAGCTGACACCCGTTATCAACCGCGGTCTCTCGCTACACAAGATGATCAGGCTCATCACTCACGGTCTCGGAGGCGAAGGCTACCTCAACTTCGAAGGCAACGAGTTCGGTCACCCAGAATGGCTCGACTTCCCTCGCGAAGGCAACGGCAACAGCTTCACCTACGCCCGCCGCCAATTCAACCTCGTCGACGACCCGTTGCTGCGCTACCGCTACCTCAACGAGTTCGACAGCAAGATGCAATGGACCGAGGACAAGTACGGCTGGCTGCACTCGCCTCAAGCATACGTTAGCCTGAAGCACGAGGGCGATAAAGTCATCGTCTTCGAGCGTGCCGGCCTCTTGTGGATCTTCAACTTCCACCCTCAGAGCAGCTTCACGGACTACCGCGTCGGCGTTGAGCAGGAAGGCACGTACAGGATCGTCCTCTGTACCGATGCCAAGCAGTTTGGCGGACACGGCAATGTGGATGAGAGCACGAGGTTCTTCACTACGCCGTTTGCGTGGAATGGGCGCAAGAACTTCTTGCAGGTCTATGTGCCCAGTCGGACGGCGATTGTCATGGCGTTGGAGAGTACGTTGTAGTGTAGATGAGCGGGTCGAAGAAATAAGAAAGATCGTTCGTTTGATAGAAGCAGTACCCAGGCAGGTAACTGTAATATACCACATATGAAAATGATACTTTTGAGCGTGTTTTAGCTTTCACTGTCTGTGGGTTTATGCAATCTTGTCCAAACTACCCCAGACGTTTCTTTGAGCACTTCACCCACTTGGGACAACTTCCCTTGACTTTGGCTCCTCGGGTCTACACACTTCCATGTATCCATCCGCCGCGCTGTTACCAATCTTGAGTCACAGACGTCTCTCATATATTTCCAGCACTATTCCTGCCGCACGTTGTTGCCAGCTCGCGGCAGTCGGGCTCGACTCGCACACGTGAGATTTCTGGTACTGACAATGATCCGCGGAATACTTTGCGATGCGATGCTGAGATCTTGGTGGAGAAGCTATGAGTATGGTTATGTTTTTGCTAGATACTGACACCGACACAGATCGCACCGCTGAACGTCCTGGGTAGACTCGAGGTAGCCAGTACATCATCGCTACTACAATCGTATCTTCGCAGAATATGTATATATATATTGACCACATTTGCTACATGTCCCAGACTAGGTAGACATGAGCGTCTCAATATTAGCTGGTATATTATTAACTTAGGTCCTGAGAACAATTCCTGGAACACTTGTCTCTCCTCGCCACTTTTCGAGAAGAATCTCTCAAAGAAGTTTTCTGGAACGCACTGGAGCGGTTCGGGTACCTTGAAAAGCTCCCGGCTGTGACTTTGGATAAGCAAGGTCGTGACCTCAACGCCGCGAAAGTAGCCAAGAGGTAGGGTCAATACTTAGTAGTTCATGGTGTCGTACCTGTGACATACGCACGGCGAAGCTACATCAATCAAATCGGACGTCTGTGTCAGTCTGTTGTCTTTCCTGATCCGCAGCTGCAGGGTAAGTGGTGTATCTGTGTAGCAGGCCTAAAGCCTGGGTGGGTATGTATATCTGTGCGATGCGCTGTATGCCTTTGCCTAGGACTGTTGGAGAGAGTGTATACTCTTCCGCTACGAACACCTTTAGCGGCGAGGCGGGAGATGCGAAGAACCAGAAATCTGCGATGCGGCCAAATGATAACAGAACTGATGCCGACAACGAAAAATTGACTGACATCCTAGTAGATAGCTATTCGGTTGAGGCTTAGAACTAACGCGATATATCGCAGGTTGTCGACTCCAGTAGAAAGTAATTAGGGTTATTTGCTAGCGAGAATTTACTCACACAGAATCAATAGGGTTCAGTCGCAAAGATAAGCACCTGTGTAAAGCCACCTATTGCACCCTGGTTGCTTTCCGTCGAAGTTGACGAGATATAGTAATACCTATGATAGAAATCTCGTTCGAGCTCTAACATCCCCTTGTACTTCGGGCAGGTCTGAGCCAGTGACAGCTAGATGATGTTGTTGCAGAATTTCGGGAGAAAATGAGAAAAATGTCTGACTGGCAACAGTAGTTCCGATATTCGCTAGCAGCAAGAATGACCATCTCAGCATCTGAACGTAGAAGTACTAGAACTATCTGTCCATGACTTAATCTTGAGTCTTAACCTTTGGTAGAAGTTTTTGCTTTTGCAATCAATGCGAACCCACCTCAGGTGTGCGCGCTTTTGTGAATAGCTTCAGGCTGTCTGCTCAAGTTGTGAATAGCTTAAAGGCTACGTTATCAGACAGAGACGAGAGTATAACAAGAATGATATGATAAAGTAAGGAGGAACGAGCGACTGGAAAGCGCCGAGCCTATCGAATTCAACTCATCTCTATCGGGACGATTCGGAAAACTCGGGCCTCGTCTGTTGCCGAAGTCGCCAATTGAAGAATTCAGCGTGCGTTTACGGGAAGCTGCGACAAGATCATAACGATTCAATTGACTTGGTCGAAAGAACAATTTCCCCGTGTATGACAAGTACAGTCGACGACGATAGCTTGTTGCTATGAGCTTGACAAGGTGTCGGCTAAAAGTGGTTAGGTTCCGGCCCGTGCGCCTTCTCCGGGCGGCCAGTTTCTGAAGAGCTCTTTCCCATCTTCCCACAGCAACACCACTCTCCTCTCCACCTTCCCCATCCGCAATTATCACAAAATGCTGAAGAGGTGAGTCCAAGACATGCCGAATCCAATTGATGATGAATCGATAGCTAATGCGATGGTTTTAGCGGGATCCTGCGCGCCAGCGCCAGCCTCCGCCGCCCGGCGACTGTCCGCAGTGCTTTCCAGCCCATCAAGAAGACCTTCGCCCCCAACCTCGCACGCTATGCATCAACCGATGCTGCGAAAGATGGCAAGATACACCAAGTGATTGGAGCTGTGGTTGATGTAATTTTTCCGTTTAGATGCGTTGTGGTGGAGTTGCTGTTGTACAGATCGGTGGTGATATCAATCTGCGCATCAGTGGACGACCACCACTTCAAATCTTATCACCTTTCCTCAGAACTCTGCTAACTGCATGCAGGGTACGTCCATGCTCTCTGGACCAAGTTGTTCCAGCATTTGGTCATGATTGAAAAGTTTTCCGCTGCATCGCGGCGGAGCTCAATATCAGCCATTGCGGATCGCAATAAAAGAATTGGCGCTGACAGCTTATCACAGTCAAGTTCGACACCGAGCAATTGCCCTCCATTCTCAATGCCTTGACCACAGACAATGGCGGCAACAAGCTGACCCTTGAGGTGGCGCAACATTTGGGTGGCACGTACACCAACCACCCAACCGCATGAACAACATCACTAACGAATCGTCAGAAAACATCGTTAGATGCATCGCCATGGACGGGGCGTTAACTCTCTCGAAGATTTGATGGGCGTAGCTAACGTTTATATGCAGGTACCGAAGGTCTCGTCCGTGGCGCTAAGGCCACTGATACTGGAGCTCCCATCATGATTCCCGTTGGTCGCGGCACCCTCGGACGTATCATGAACGTCACTGGTGACCCCATCGACGAGCGTGGTCCCATCAAGGCTACCAAGATGGCAGCCATTCACGCCGACCCCCCGGAGTTCACTGAGCAGTCCACCTCCGCTGAGGTGCTGGTCACTGGTATCAAGGTTGTCGACCTTTTGGCCCCCTACGCTCGTGGTGGAAAGATTGGTCTCTTCGGAGGTGCTGGTGTCGGCAAGACTGTGTTCATTCAGGAGCTGATTGTAAGGAGATATTGGGACAAGACGGTTAGCATGAGCTAACAGCGAAACAGAACAACATCGCCAAGGCCCACGGTGGTTTCTCCGTCTTCACTGGTGTCGGTGAGCGTACCCGTGAGGGTAACGATCTGTACAAGGAGATGCAGGAGACCTCCGTCATTCAGCTTGACGGTGACTCCAAGGTCGCATTGGTCTTCGGTCAGATGAACGAGCCCCCGGGTGCCCGTGCCCGTGTCGCCCTTACTGGTCTCACTGTTGCGTAAGTAATTCTATCCCATTATGCAAATGAGCCATTGCTAACTGTTAAAAGGGAGTACTTCCGCGACGAGGAGGGTCAGGACGTGTTGCTCTTCATTGACAACATTTTCCGGTAAGTACTTTCTCCCATTTATGTCTGCACAGTAACTAACAATATTCACAGATTCACCCAGTAGGTCCATCCTCCGCCTGCACGGCCACAACTCTAGATGATGTACTAATATGCAACAGGGCCGGTTCCGAGGTGTCTGCTCTTCTCGGTCGTATTCCTTCTGCCGTCGGTTACCAGCCCACTCTCGCCGTCGACATGGGTGTCATGCAGGAGCGTATTACCACCACCTCCAAGGGTTCCATCACCTCCGTCCAGGCCGTCTACGTGCCCGCTGACGATTTGACTGACCCTGCGCCCGCCACCACCTTCGCCCATTTGGACGCCACCACTGTCTTGTCCCGTGGTATCTCCGAGTTGGGTATCTACCCCGCCGTCGACCCTCTCGACTCCAAGTCCCGTATCCTTGACCCCCGTGTCATCGGTCAGGAGCACTACGACACCGCCACCCGCGTCCAGCAGATTCTCCAGGAGTACAAGTCGCTCCAGGATATCATTGCCATTCTCGGTATGGACGAGTTGTCGGAAGCTGACAAGCTTACCGTCGAGCGTGCCCGTAAGATCCAGCGTTTCTTGAGCCAGCCTTTCGCTGTCGCCCAGGTCTTCACTGGTATCGAGGGTCAGCTTGTCGACATCAAGGAGACCATCCGATCATTCAAGGCCATCTTGAACGGTGAGGGTGATGACCTTCCCGAGGGTGCCTTCTACATGGTCGGCGACCTTGCGTCTGCTCGTGCCAAGGGTGAGAAGATTCTTGCTGAGCTCGAGAAGTCATAGATGTTCGGCGTGGTGGGTGAGATATGAGAGTCGGCCATGATTCCGAGGGCATCCAGCCAGTAGTCTTGCTTTGTACAAAAGATATACCTCAAAACGCGGGATTATACGTAGGTGCTTGTGCGGACATGGCTTCATTTGTAATCCTATCTTGCATGCGAAGAGACCGTTTTCAACTGTTCAAACACTTTTTTGTATCATCTTGAACTGCTTGTGATGTATGTATGAATCCGCTCTAAATGATCAAATTACTGGACTGCAGGCCATAGAGGTCCATGTCGAGATTCAGTGTCTGGAGATTCTCAATTCATGCTGAGTTTACGAGAGCCTGGGAATGTTCACGTCATCTAGATTGTGACCGCGTATAGATCCAGAACGCGAAACCGTCCTTGCTTGCTAGTTCACGTGTTCGGGAGCACAGCATGCGCTTGGAAGGCGCGTCCAGCAAATGTAACACAATAATCGGAAAGAGCCGAGGCAATGAACCTCGCATATTCGATATCGATATATATTGTACAGAAAACTCTAGCTTGCAAGACGCCAGCCATGCAATTTAATTTCTTGCTCAGAGAAACCCCTTCGCATGCTATCATGCGCAAACGCCATTCTTGCACTCAGAAAGATCAAAATACTAAAACACTCGAACCAAGAAAGGAAAGGAACGAAGCAGCGAAGCGGCCAAATCAACGCCTGCCTCCACCACGGCCCTTGATCTGCTTCAAAATATCCACGTTGCTCGAGCGACTCCTTCCACTCTCGTTGAACACAACATTGCTCTTGGGCGCAATGGTATACGTAGTAGGGCCGGCTTCCATGCGCGCACGCTGGAAGGCTTTGGGAGCCTCGAGGGCTTTCTTGCGGTTTGCGGCGATTTGGGCGGCTTGGCTGGCAGCTTGGGTACGGGGGGCTGCGACTTTGCTATGATATTGTTAGCATGCACATCGTGCAATATGTGATATTTGACAACGTACGTAGGATCGTAATCAGCCTGAGCAAACTCCTTCTTGCGGTAGTCGTCCGTGCGCCTAAGAATCGGACGCGTCCAGTCTGTGAAGAGGCGCTCGGCTTGTCGCTTGATGGTAAGCTCGGGCTTCTTGCTCTTGATGTAGAACATGATGACCTTGCCGATACCCGAGGCTACGAGCGTGTCCTTGTTGACTGGCAGCCTTGCCAGAGAAGCAAAGAGTTCTTTCTGAATGTCGTATGCGGGAAGACTGCCGTCGCTCAGAGGTTCCAAGAAGAAACGTACTGACTCAAGGAGATTGACTTCAGGGTCGACAATGGTTTCTCGGAGCCTGTTCGTGTTGAGCAGGGCGACGACCTCGGGGAGCAGCTTGAGCTTGTGGCGCGCGGGCTCGTTGCGCTTGCGGCCTTCGTTGTCGGCTTCGGCGGCCTGGGCCATGCGGCGGCGCATCTCTTCGATCTCCTGGTCAGCCATCTGCTCGAGGTCGATATCCTTCTTCTTTCGGGAACGGTTCGCGCTGCTTTTGACGAGGGCATTAATCTGGCGGTCGAGTGCGCGCTTTCGTCCTTCAACGTATGTCAGTACAGTTGTGTCATATTCGCAAAGAGTCACTTACGCTCTTCTGGCGTCAAATGGTCTTCATTGTCGTCTGGCGATGCAGCTCGGGCTCTGCTTCCGCCTCCCTCCTTCTTCGAGCGCTTGCTCTTCCTTGTGCCATCGTCTGCGCCCTCGCCCTCTTCGCCATCCTTGTTCTTCTTGCGGCGCGGCTTGTCGGCGCGCTTCTTCTTTTTCTTCGGCTCTTCACCTTCGCCTGCGGTTCGCTTGCGCTTGTGCACACCAATCTGCTTGACGGTGTCTTCGTCGATAGCCCGCTCTTCGATAGCAATGTTGCTTGCATCGAACTCGCCAAACTGCTCGTCCAGCTGATCGTCGTCCAGCGCATCTGAGAGGACGGATTCGTTGTCTGAGAGGCCAGCTTGAATGTCGTCGTTGTCGGGCATCTCCTCCTTGTCTTCTGTGACCTCCATATCCTGGTACGGCTCGGCGATTGTGGGGTTTGGTGTCGAGTTCTCCTCGTCAATCTCTGGGCGCAGGGGGTCGCTCGGGTCGTTGCCAGCCTCAGGCAGCACTGAGTTGGAATGGTCTTCCTTGAACTCGACGTCCTCCATGCTGAAGACTGTGGATGCGCAAGTTTGATCGGAACGTGATAGATATGCCGCTGTTCGCCAGAATAGAGGACTGGATCTCGAATATAACACAGAGGACAAACGGAGGATTGGCGGTGATAGAGGATGTGGCAGCAGCACAAAGACGTTTAGAAAGTTGAAGGGTCGCGACTGCCCATGACGCTAGCTGTGGTCTTGGCGGCTGCAGCCAGTCGCGTGTGTCCGTGCGCCTAGGCTTTCCAGCAGCTGCCCGCTCACCTCGCAACCAACTCCTCACCTCCACATCAACACCACCCACTGACCCCAGGCTCGTCGCGTCACTCGCCCGCGACAATCTGTACAGGCGCCAGTGCTATTCTACACGAGCACACCGACGATACCAGCCGCGACCGCTGGTCCGCCATCGCCCTCGACTTTGCCTGCTCGTTCACCCGCGCAGTCTACAAGTATATCCGCTGCTTCGAGGCGCATTGCAGCCACACGCTGCTGCCATTATAGTTGGCTGGGAGGAGACGGAATTGCACGCTTTGGTGTATTGCAGTTGCTGGAGGAGAGCGAGTGTATTCCCTGTCCTAGCTTCGCAGGCTCAGTCTGCTCGTGGCACAGTCCAGCGAGACCATAGCTAGTTTAACAGAAACACTATCTTCCGTGTGTTTGATAGCGAGGCAGCACTTCGTCCACCTTGTTCGTCTGGCATTCGAGATCGACCTGGAACGCGACTCACGCGGCCGCAAAGCAAACAGCTCCATCTTCTTTGTCCTGCGCGCACCTCACCTCTAACACAGCATCCCCTCTCCATCTGCCCCTGCAAACACTTGCCCATCATGTCTTTGCCCGCTGCTGAAGTGGCAGCCGACTTTCGAGATGCGCTTCAAGACCTGAGGATGAACAGTCGACCAGAGATCAGCAATCTAACCCTTATCGCCAAGGAGAACACAGAGTACGCCCAAGCCATATCAACCGAACTCGAGCAGCACATCAAGTCGGTAAGTCATACAGGCACTTGTTTGTCTAGCTGGTAGTGCACGACAGTCCTTTGCTTCTCACAGCTTATCTAACCCGCTACATGTGACTGACACGTCTTAGACACGCCCAGAATTCAAGCTTCCGGCTCTGTACGTGCTCGACTCAATCGTCAAGAACGTCGGCACGCCTTATACAGTCTACCTTGGTCGTAACATGTATAGAACGTTCATGGACGCTTACCTAGTCATGGATCAAGGCACCCGCAAGGCCATGGAAGGACTGCTGAGAACATGGAAACAGCCAGTGCCAGAGTCCTTGGATAACCGCCCTGTGTTCCCAGCAGACGTGACACAGGACATTGAAAATGCACTCGCTAAGATGCGTAATGCTATTCAACAACAGGTTCAACGCCCAGCGCATGCGCTTCCAGCTCGACCACCCACCACAGTAGCTTGGAGAGACACTGCGACTCCGCCACAGAACATGGCGCGATATGCAGCACCAAACGACCCGCGTGCTCGACCTGTAGGTCTTCCTTCGGCCTAAATTTATTCCACAACGTTCATGCTAACTCTGTACAGCAGGGCATGCCACCAACTCCACAGTACGGGCCTCCGATGCATGGAAACGGCCCTCCAGTGCATTATCAGTCTCCGCAGCAGCAATCAGCACCCATGTCGTCAAATGACCTCGCTGATTTGAAAGCCGAGATCGCACAACTGATCAGCACTACGCAGGCCAGATTCGCAACGAACTTCAATGATCCGTCTCTTCGTAAGACGCTGGAGGCACTACTCGGGTTGAAGCACATCCTAGACACCCAGACGCTCCCTCCGCAGCAATTGGACGCTGTCCGTAAGCAAATTCAGGCATTGGCTCCTCCGCCGACACCTACTCCGACGTTCCCTCCTGCACTCTCATTAGGGTTTCCGCCGACTGCTTATCCTCCGCCAACTCCGACCAATGTGTATCCCCAGCACCAACCACCACCGAGCTTTCCTCCACAGTACCCCCCACAGTACCCTCCAACTGGTACACCATCAGGCAGTGCTCCGCCAAACGTCGCACAGTTGCTCGCCAGCTTTCGACCACCGGCGCAGCACACACCCCAGCCTGCTCCGACGCCGCCGTCGCTACCACCCTCCCTCGCCGAGATGCTTAAGCGCATGTCGTCTCCTGCTCAATCAGCTTCAGTTCCAGCACCTGCGCCAGCACCTTATCAACCTCCACCGTTCCAGTTCCCAGCCGGAATGTCTACGCCGATGTCGTTTCCGCCGGCTGCAGCGCCAGCACCGGCGCCGACTGGGACGCCCACTGCCAATCTTGCTGCCCTGCTTGCTCAGTTCAGCAAGCCTGGGGCCACACCACCAGTTTCTCAGGCGACACCTGTGCAAAGCACGCCCGTTCCACAACTGCCTCCTCAGCCGCCGGCCGCATCTGCTGCCCTCGGTAGTGCTGATTGGCTTCTCAAAGCCCTGAGCAGTGGTCAGGGTCTGCCATTCAATCTAAATGGAGGTCCTATGGCGGCACAACCTATGTCGCGCCAGACATCGGCTCCTACAAACGTCTTGGACCAGATCGAGCTCACCACTGCATCAATGAAGAAGCCACGATTCCATCTTATTTCTCGTCTCTACGAAGCTAAGCCTAACATATGTGCAACTTGCGGTAGGCGGTTCGATGCTACTGCAGAGGGCAAGGAGAAGAAGGCTCGCCATATGGATTGGCATTTCAAAGTCAAGGATCCTGATGCGAACAAGCGTGGTGTGCACCGGAGTTGGTACATTGGTGAGAAGGAGTGGATCGACTACAGGGAAGTAGACGAGACGGCTCCTCCGCATGAGAGCACTGCCGCTGCCGCCGCAAACAAGCCCAAGAAGCAGGCGAAGGACCGCTACATCAGCGTGCCCCAAGATCCTGTTCTACAGCAAGCACCGTGTCCCATCTGCCAAGAGAAGTTCGAGACGCAGTGGAATGTTGACGCCAACGACTTCGTGTGGATGGATGCACTGCAAGTTGGTGGCAAGGTCTACCACGCTACATGTTTCGAAGAGTACAGTAAGGGTGCTGGTATCCCGATGCCAGGCACGCCTGACTCAGTGCTTGGAAAGAGGAAGGCGGACTTGGGAGGAGAACTAGAAGGCAAGAAAATCAGGGCGTTTTGAGCAACTAGATTAGGCCATGACCCAATTGGCGGATATTTCCTGGGACTTTGAAAAAATTGAGCGTTACCTTCGACTAGCATAACGGGCAAAAGAGGGCTTTTGATGCATAGCGAGGCGTTTGGCGGGCTTTTATCAGTCATTTTGCTGCGCTTTTACATGGGCGGCACTACTTCAGCTTTTCGATTACGGAAATTGCTCGATCAATTCACACTTCACTTCACATCGTTTGTGTTTCTCATGTGCAGCTAGCTTAGGGGTAGGCGTTTCTCACATGACTTCCGTGCTACTGCCTACATATAAAAAAGTGCTCCATTGCAGACTTCCATTTCATCCACCACTTTTTGTCTTCATTGACCTCCAAAATGCCGACGTGGGTCACCGATGTGACCGCGTGTGTCCAAAAGAAATTGATTCCTTCTTCATGAGATTTCTGCGCTTTTCTGAGCATCTCAAAAATCAGTTGCGATAATGCATGTCTACATTTTCACTCCTATCCACTTCCTCCAAAAAGGGACTACTTACCGCCCAATGTCTGGGCGCGTTCGGAACGCGTGGACGTAAAAACATGGCTCTGTGCTGTCCGAGTGACCCAAAATATCCATTCAGCAGCAGCCATGGAGACGATAAATATGCGACATTTTACTCCTTGCCCAAGTAGCATAGAAAAACACATCAATTTGACGATTTCAGATATCCAAGGGTTTCAAAAGCTACACGATCCGCTCCACATGTTCCCGTTTGCGACGATTTACTTGATTGTTTGGAAATATCGAGGAATGGGTTATAGAATGGGGCTGGAGTATACATTCTGTCTTTAATGTAGTTCTTTGCCTTTTATCGTCCGCTCGGTTCTTTTAAATCGCCAAAACTCGGCGATAAGGACGAGTATGATCTGCTCTTTCTCTCAAAAACGAAGACCTCGATATGGATGGAGAATTCGCGGCTTGTGTTTTTCAAAATGCTGAACAAATGATCTCATGAGCGAGGAGGCTGTGTTCTCGGTTGACTGTTCAAAATACATGCACGTCAACACGAGGAAAGCTGTCTTGTTCAAAGCAGCTGAGGAGTCTGAGCACGAAGTTTCGAGCACCTAGCGCAATGCTGATGTGGTTGTAAAAGCTCGCACCTTCCCAACAAGTTTTTCGACATCACAAAAATTTGTTCCACGATACCAAAGTAAACCATGAGCCGCGGGATGTCCAGCATTTCCTCCAAAGCACACTTGTCTACAGCCCATGACTGCTGTCTCGCTCGCGGCTGAAGGGTTAAAATACACCTCTACCACTTCCCATGAGCTTTTCACTCTTTAAACATGGCGATAAACCACAAAACATGCGTCTTGGTGGCCCAGAACAAACGCACCGCGTTTTCCCACATGGCCGTTCGAAAAGAGCTGATGCTTTTTCGGGTGTCTACAAGCGGCTTAGCCATGGTTCCTACCACCCACTGACCACCTTTTAAACGATATTGACGCTTTTTATGCTCCAAAATTAATCTCTCGATCTACACATGATTGCCCTCCCACAAAATACGGTGAAAACACTGACAAGGGATTGTTGTCGGAGAGTTTACCCGCATATAAATAACCCGAGTACTTTCTGCGTACTCCTCAACCTCAAAATCTTTCTCCCAGACTTCCCAAATGGCATAGACGACCGTACATGGAGAAGAGCTGTCAGCTCCCGGAACAAGTAAAAATTCCAGATAAACTCGGGTTCTGGGCAGTCGAGATCTCCATTCATCATTTATTTCGTCCGAAGCAAGACTGTCAAATCTAAAAAATAACGGAA